CTGACGGTCGTCCTCCCTCTCTTTCTCTCTCTCTCTCTCGTTCCCTCGTCTCGTCTCCCTCCTCCCTATCCCGTCCCCTCTCCTCCCCCTGCTCTCCTCTGCCCCTCGTGCCTGACGTCGCCTCTGCCGTGCTCGCCTACCTCATGCTGCACCGACGGGCCTGATCCCCCCGTCGACAGCAGGCGCAAGGCAAGCACGTCGGCGAGGCGGTCAAGAAGAAGCCGAGGGCCACCGAGGTTCGTCCCACTGCCACCCACTGCGGGGCGCGGACCTCGCGACCTCGCGCTCGCGAGAGCAGCCATCCTCGTCGTGCCCGAGCGCCGTTTCTGACCTACGCCCACGCCTACCCCCTCCTCGCGTGCACGTCCTCCCGCCCTCCTTCGTCCTCCCCTTCCCCCCTCCCCTTCCTCGCAACAGCGCGCCAACATCCTCAAGGAGGTCCAGATCATGCGCGGCCTCAACCACCCGGGCATCGTCCGCCTCCTCAACTTTACCGAGTCGCGCGAGCACTACTACCTCACCCTCGAGTGCGTCCCCTTGCCTTCATGACGTCGTCGCGAGCGAGCCGCCCGAACTCACGTCTCTCCCCCTCCTGCAGGCTCATGCCCGGCGGCGAGCTCTTCCACCAGATCGTCAAGCTCACCTACTTTTCCGAGGAGCTCTCTCGGCACGTCATCCTCCAGGTGGCGCAGGGCATCCGGTACCTGCACGAGGAGAAGGGCGTCGTCCACCGGTCCGTCCCCTCTTCCGCCTTCCCAACTCGCCCTCCCTCTCTCTCTCGAACGCGAGCTGACCCTCCTCGTGTCCCCGCCTGCAGCGACATCAAGCCCGAGAACATCCTCTTCGAGGGTATCCCGATCATCCCGTCCAAGGTGCCCAAGCATCGCCCGTACGACGAGGACAAGGAGGACGAGGGCGAGTTCATCCCGGGCGTCGGCGGCGGCGGCATCGGTCGCGTCAAGATCGCCGACTTTGGCCTGAGCAAGATCGTGTGGAACAACGACACGATGACGCCGTGCGGCACGGTCGGCTACACGGCGCCCGAGATCGTCAAGGACGAGCGCTACTCCAAGTCGGTCGACATGTGGGCCCTCGGCTGCGTCCTGTACACGCTCCTGTGCGGGTTCCCGCCGTTCTACGACGAGTCGATCCACGTCCTCACCGAGAAGGTCGCCAAGGGGTACTACACCTTCCTCAGCCCGTGGTGGGACGACATCAGCGCTTCCTGTGCGTCCCTGCTCTCTCTCTCTCTCTCTACCTCTTCCTCTCTCCTCTCTCGTCGGTTCATCCTCGAGCTCGCTCTGACGATGCCCCTCGCCGTCACCGCAGCCAAGGACCTCATCACGCACCTCCTCGACGTCGACCCCGAAAAGCGGTACACGATCGACGAGTTCCTCGCCCACCCGTGGTGCAAGGCCCAGTCGGCGCCGTCGGCCGTCACGCCGGGCACGCTCGACTCGCTCAACCTCAAGCCTATCCCCAAGTACATGCCGATGGACTCGCCCCTCCTCGCGCCCGGCGGTCGTCGCGCCATGCCGTCGCCCGGGATCGGCGCCCTCAAGGAGGCGTTCGACGTCACGTACGCCGTCCACCGCATGGAGGAGGAGGGCAAGCGCCAACGCGCCGTCCCGGGCGGCACCGGCCGCGCCGGCTTCCTCCAGGGCCTCAACGAGGCGGACGAGGACGAGGCCGAGGAGGCCGACCTCGAGGCGACCAAGCGCCGGTACGGCGCCGAGGTGAGCCGCGCCATCGAGGAGAAGCGTCGCGCGGCGCAGGACCCGTCCCGGCGACGCGAGCCGGCGCAGACGGCCGAGGAGCAGCAGCGCGCCGCGCAGAACTACCAGGGCTGGGGCGGCGCCGACCGGCGACAGGCCGAGGCGGCGCTGTACGACGGCCGTGCGGGTCCTCGCGATCGCGGCGGCAAGAGCGGTGGCGACGGCGGCGCTCGTGGACGGCGGACCGGGTTCGAGCTCGCGCTCGACAAGGCGACGCTCCTCGGCCGACGCAAGGGCGCGCCCACACTCGCCCAGATGCCGAGCCCCATCCAGATCGACTAGACGCACGAGCTGTCTCTCCTTCTTTCCCCAACTCTCGCACCCCTCTTAATGCACCTCGGTCGTTCCCCTTCTCTTGTACAGACCCTTCTCCTCTCTCCTCTCTTCTCCCTTTCTCTCGATATCCCCTCGCTGTCCCTCCCCCTGTGGCACTGTTGTAGCTCTTCTCGTTTGCAGCCCATCCACTTCGAGCTCTTCTACGTCCGGGTCCGAGCGAGAGCGACCTTCTCAAACGCAGACGGGGTCGGCCAAGTCTGCTCGAACCAGCGATGCAGGTGCTCGTCGGCGTGTCGCGAGACCTCGGGCGTCGCAAAGTCGTCGTCTGCGCGCAAACGTGTGAGAGTCTGAGTCGTGAACCTCGTCGTGTGAGAGAGAGAGAGAAAGAGAGGACGGACTGAGAGTGAGAAAGGCCGGGAGCGACGTCTCGGTGACCCAGCCTGGTCGGCGCAGCAGGAGCGGCACGGGGAGGGCCTGCCGCATGCCGACGAACTGAGAGCTCGACTCGCCGAGCGTGTACGAGTAGCGGAGGATGCGCCGCACGGCAAGTCCTCGGGCCGAGGCGCAGGTCGGCGCAGAGGGTGTACGTGCGTCGACGACGAGGGCGACGTCGACGAAGCGTTTGGCGAGCGAGAAGAGGGCGATAGGGGTAGGTGGTGAGGACGAAGGCGGCGAGGAAGAGGGTGGACACGAGGGAAGGAAGGCCGAGAGGCCCGACGAGCCGCTCTTGCCGACGAGGGCGAGGACGATGCAGTCGCCGCACGCCGGGACCTCGTACGCCGCTCGCCGCAGGACCTCGATCGTCTTGCGCGGTGTCGACGACGAGAGAAAGTCGGCGCCGAAGCACGTCGACAAGTCGATGCTGCACATCGGCTGCGCCGCCTCCTCGGCCGACGCGTTGACGGCGAGCACGGGGCGGACGAGCGTCGAGCGGCGCCCACGCCCGACCTGCTCCTCGCGACGAATCATGCCGTGACCGTCGCTCGACGAGAAGGCCACCTCGGTCGCGCCGGCTCGGCGGATCCCGGCGCGTTCGAGCTGCGCGAGAAGGTCGTTCGACGGTCGCCGCCGAGGCAAGGGCACCTGCACGGCCTGCGGCGCGTCATGTTGCTGCTCGAGCTCGAAGCCGAGCTCGACGAGGAGCCGCCGCCGCTCGTCGAGCGAGAGCTCGCCGTCGAGGTCCCGGTCGCTGCGGGCGGCGAAGAAGGCGTGCAGGAGCGCTTCTCGGTGCGCCTCGATCGTGTAGTGCGTCACGAGGAACGGCAACTGGTACTCGGCGCGACGACCTCGAAAGCGGGATGTAGACGTCTGAGAGGAAACAAGGTCAGGCAGAGCGAAGGCAGGATCGAGGGAAGGAACGTTCGGGCAGGACGCACCTCGAGCAGCTCGTCGTGCCAGATGCGGCTCGTCTCGCGAAGTACTGGCGTCGAGAACGTCTTGGGGATGTGCGCGAGGTACGCTCGAGAGCGGGTGCCGAAACGGCGGTCTGTGCACGCGCAAAGAGGAGTAAGCGACCAGTCGGTCCTCGGGCGGGCGTTGACGAGAACGGACCGAGGAGCCAGTTGGCCTGTCGCAAGCTCGCCCACTCGCCGTCTGAGCCAACGCCTGCGAGTCGACGGCAGAGTGAGTCAGTCAGGCCGGAAGGAAGAACTTGAGAAGGCCGACTAGCGTACCGAAAAGACCGGGTGCGAGCGCGTCGACCTGCAGGTCGCGCTGGATACGGAAAACCGGGCCGAGGAAAGGTGCGCCGACGTCCGAGCTAGTCATGGTGCCGCTCAGGAACGTGTCGTCCTGTCGCGCGAGGCTGTCAGAGAGACGATTGGGGCGAGGCGAGGACCGAGCCGACGCACATTCAGGTACAGGAAGAACTCGCGCAAGCCGAGTATGTTGGGGAGCTGCGACTCGATGCTGAGCGAGTTGAAGGTCGGCAGGTCGGCCGTGTCCTCGAAGAAGGACGAGTGGTGGTGGACCTCGAGCTGCTCTCGCGGGATGGCCGAGCGGTTGAGCCACGAGGGCACCTGCCCAACGCGTGCGGCCTCGACGACCGGCGTGATGTTCCCGACGGGCACGTTGTCGAGGATGTCGCTCAGGAGGGTGTTGGCCGGCAGGTCGGTCGAGACGAGGTGCAGCTTGCCGAGTGCGCGAGGCTCGAACGCCTGGACAGCCGACCGCAACGAGTACCGCAACTCGTCGTGCTCGCTGTGTAACCTCGAGAGAATGCTTCAGTGACAAGGTCTGGCATTGGCAGGCGAGCGAAGGAGACGGACCGAAAGTGGTGCGACGCCTTGCGGTCGCGGACTCTGGCTACGCCTGGCCTAACCCGTCCCGCGAGCGTGCCCGTCACTTCTGCCCGCCACCGCCGCAGGAGCGGGTCCGACCCGTTCGTCCACGTCCACACGAGGTCCACCTGCTCGTGACCGCTCCCGCCGAGCTCGCACAGCCGTCCCTCCTCGACCCACTCGTCCGCACACCCTGCTTCGACCCGCTCCGCCCAGCTCACGAGGTCCCCGTCCCTCACCTCCCGTCCCTCCTGCGGCGTGTACGGCCGCCAGCCGTCCTGCGCGAGCCGCCAGAGGTCGGCAAAGCTGTCGTCCGGCTCGACGCCGACCTCGAGCAGCCGCAGCTCTCGCTCAGAGCGCGACGGCGAGCGGACGTAGGCGGCGATGGCGACGAGGAAGAGGGTGCCGACGATCGCTGCCGCGCTGTTCTTGAGGCTGAAGCGAGTGCAAGGTCGGCGGGCGGGTCGAGCGAGGTCGGCGTCGAGCCGGCGCGAGGGGCGCAGGGACGAGCCACTGGACGGGTGCAGCGGCACGTACTGCACAGTCGAGGTCATCGCAGCATTGGCGAGCGCGCTCGAGCGTGCTGGGCGAGCGTTGGTCGAGGAGGGAGCAGTTCTCCACGCGGAGCCCTTCCGGCGCTGTCTCTCTCTTTCTCTCGACGACCCTTGCAGGCTGCAGAAATCAGAGAGAGCGACATATAAAGCTCCGCTTTCGAATGCCCGTCGCAGGCGATGCAGAAGGGCGACTTTGTCGAGACGCACTCTGCGCACGAGCCTGCTTGCTCCGGCCGCTACCTCCGCAGGACGTGCCGGTGACGCTGAGCGCCTGCGGCTTGAGCGGGCCTCGAGCGTGGATGCCGCGGTCCAGCTTATCAGGCGAAAGTCGACGGAGAGGTTTTGCGCACCCGCCCGAGTCGGTAGCTAGCACGCTCGCTCGTACCGCAGGACGCGCGCAGACGAGCGGGACAGGGTTCGATTGCCTCGCTCGAGAGGGCCTGAGCGTCGACCAACTTGCGCACGAGCCTCGAGACCGACGATAGACAGGCGAGGCGAAACTGGCGTGTGAAATCGCTCGCCCCGGCGAACCTGGGTGCGAGCAAATTTACCGAGGGACGGACGCGGGGCTTGTCAAGCGGACTCTGCTCGCCCGAACGCGGCCGCCGCGCCGGCCACATCGACCGCATCGCTCCCCCTCGACTCTGCTCCTCCTCTCCCCCCCACTCCCCTCTCGCCTCACCGCTCGCCGCACCCCCGCTCGCACACGACGACCAGCAGCCATGTCCTACACCCACTCGACCGTCTCGGAGCCCGAGTTTGAGCAGGCCAAGAGCGAGATCTTCAACACCCTCGCCCCGCTCTTCAAGAAGCGCCCGGAGCTCGAGAACGCCTTCAAGGGTGCGTCCAGCTCGCTCATTCTCCCTCGCACGACGTTCCTGACCGTACGATCCTTGCAGTCCTCGCCATCCCCGAGCGCATCATCCAGTTCCGCGTCACCTGGGAGGACGACAAGGTGCGTCTCCCTCTCTCTCGATAAGCCGCCCGATCTCTCGTCTCTCGCGCAAGCTGACAAGCTCTCGTGCGTCTCACAGGGCAACTGCCAGGTCAACAACGGCTTCCGCGTCCAGTTCTCGTCGGTCCTCGGCCCGTACAAGGGCGGCCTCCGTCTCCACCCGTCGGTCAACCTGTCCATCCTCAAGTTCCTCGGCTTCGAGCAGATCTTCAAGAACGCCCTCACCGGCCTCCACATGGGCGGCGGCAAGGGTGGCTCGGACTTTGACCCCAAGGGCAAGTCGGACAGCGAGATCCGCCGCTTCTGCGTCGTGCGTCCTCCTCCTCCTCTCGACCCTATCCTGCCGAGCCCCGCTCACCTTTGCTCTCTCCCGCACCCGCACACAGTCCTTCATGCGCGAGCTGTCCCGCCACATCGGGTGCGTCCCTCTCGATATGCCTCGAGCGGCCAAGGCGAGACGAGCGGGAGCGCTGACCTTCCCAATCCTGCCCTTCCCCTTCCCTCTCTCCTCCTCTCGCTCCTTTGCCCGTATCCAGCCAGGACACGGACGTCCCTGCCGGCGACATCGGTGTCGGCGGCCGCGAGGTCGGCTTCCTGTTCGGCGCGTACAAGCAGATCCGCAACGAGTGGGTCGGCGTCCTCACGGGCAAGGGCTACGACTTTGGCGGTTCCAAGATCCGCCCCGAGGCGACCGGCTACGGCTGCGTGTACTACGCCGAGGAGATGATCCGCCACGCTCGCGGCGAGGACTTCAAGGGCAAGCGCGTCGTCATCTCGGGCGCCGGCAACGTCGCCCAGTTCGCGGCGCTCAAGGTCATCGAGCTCGGCGGCGTCGTCTGCTCCCTGTCCGACTCGAAGGGTGCGCTCGTCGCGACCGGCGACGAGGGCCTGTCGGCCGACTTTATCAACGAGGTCGCCGAGCTCAAGCTCAAGGGCGGCTACCTCAAGGACCTGTCGGCGCCCAAGGGCTTCAAGTACGAGGAGGGCGCCCGTCCGTGGAAGCTCGTCTCCAAGGTCGACGTCGCGCTCCCGTCCGCGACCCAGAACGAGCTCGACAAGGAGGACGCCGAGGCGCTCCTCGCCGCCGGCTGCGGCTTCGTCGCCGAGGGCGCCAACATGCCGTCGACGCTCGAGGCCATCGAGGTGTTCGAGGCGTCGCGCAAGGACAAGGGCGCCAAGGGCGTCTGGTACGGCCCGGGCAAGGCCGCAAACTGCGGCGGCGTCGCCGTGTCCGGCCTCGAGATGGCCCAGAACTCGGCCCGCCTGCAGTGGACCGAGGAGGAGGTCGACCAGAAGCTCAAGGACATCATGGTCAACTGCTTCAACCAGTGCCTCGAGACCGCCCAGGAGTTTGCCGCCGAGGGCGAGCTCCCTTCCCTCGTTTCCGGCGCGTGCGTCCCCCTTCCTCTCCTTCTCCTCTCTTTCCGTTCCTTCACTGACGTTTGGCTTCATATACAGCAATATTTCGGGCTTCACCAAGGTCGTCAACGCTGCCGCTGCGCAGGGCGACGTCTGGTTCTGAGCGCGCGGCCTCGAGCCGACGAAAAAGGGACGCTCGGGCGCCGTCGGCGACGGTCCCGGTCCCTCGGCGTCTTCCAACGCGACGAGCGGGCTCTCTCTTCTCTCCTCCACTCCCTCTCTCTCTCTCTCTGCATGGGCCGCTAGACCTGGTTCCCTCTCAGTTGTTGCCACTCCTTGTCTTTCCTCGCCCTCCTTCCTCCCCTCTCGCCTCGACTTTCCTCTTTCTCGCCCGTCTCGAAGCGCTCGACGCCACCTCTTCTATTGCAATGAGTTCAGTTGTGCAGTACTCTCTGCCTCTCGTCGAGAGGACCGGACCGCCGCGAGAGGAAGAAGCCGAGCGAGAAGCGAACTCGCGAGAGAAGGGTCCGAGCGACAGGCTGCACGTTCCCACGCTCCCTCGCGAGCTACATCTGCACGCCCCCGCACGACCCGCATCCTCCATTTGGGTTGAACACGACCGAGGGACCTGCACGAGTGAGGAGGGAGGAAAGGAAAGGAGGACGAGGTCGGCGAGACGAGCGTGGACCTGGGGCTCGAGAGACGAGGCGGGACGCACCTGAGCTTGCTCCTCCGAGTCTTGGTCCGTTTCTAGACCCGCCGCCTCGACCGCCACCCGCACCGCCCTCGTCTCGTCGTCGTCGGTCGCGGTCGCGGAGGGAGGAGGAGGGGGGAAGGCGACTGGTCGAGTTTGGCTGCGAGCGGGCAAGGGTCAGGACGAGGCCGGTGTCTGGACAGTTGAGGCGGGGCGCACGTTGAACAAGGTGAAGACGAAGAGGCACAGGGCGAGCCAGAGCGAGTGGACGAGGGCGACGAGACGCTCGAAGAGGGGGGGCGAGGACCGGACGTTGCCTCGCGCGTCGATGTAAGGCATCTCGGGGCGAGCCTTGGGTGGACCGGGAGGGTCTCTCGAGGCGAGCGGGAGGCTTGAGAGGACGAGTCGGCCAAGTGGGGGGGAGACGAGGAGATGAGGGGGCTCGCTCCTCCTCCCACGCTCAACGTCGCCTCCAGCTGGGCTGACACTCGCACAGTACCTCGCCACACCACCTCGCCACACCCACAAGCTCGAGCGACCCGATCCTGCCCACCGATGCCCGCCCTGTGCGGCCTCCCCCTTCCCTCGACCAGCGGCCACCACGACGACGGTCGAGCAGCAGGGAGCGCACGAGCGACCTCTGCTGCCAGCAGCCTCGCTCGACCAGTGCGCCCGATCGTCCACCCTCCATCCCTCGAGTCGCGCTCACCTCTCCCTCCTCCTCGTACAGCTTGGCCGCAAGGTGCGTCCTCGCCTCGCCAGCCCTCTCGCCGATCCCTGCTCACTCTCTTCGGCACACAGGTCGTCGTCGTCGGTGACGGAGCTTGCGGCAAGACGAGCCTCCTCAACGTGTACGTCAAGGGCGAGTTCCCCGAGGTGCGTGCCGCCCTCCCTCGCCTCGCGCCACTCGAGCCCTCACCGCCTGAACGTTGCGACTGACTCGCTCGACAACATCCACCACCTGCAGGGCTACGAGCCGACCGTCTTCGAGAACCACTGCGTCGACCTCGGTGAGCCAGTTCGTCCCACTCGAGCCGCGTCCACGACGTGCCGCGAGGACTGACGGCCTTGCCTCCGTCTCGCAGTCGTCGACGGGCGGTCCATCGAGCTGTCGCTGTGGGACACGGCCGGCCAGGAGGACTTTGATCGCCTGCGCTCGCTGTCGTACCCGGACACGAACCTCGTCATGATGTGCTTCTCGGTCGACCAGCCGAGCTCGCTCGAGAACCTCGAGGCCAAGGTGCGCACGATGTTCTCTCCTCGCACTTCTCTACGTCCCCGGCTCGAGGCCATGGGCGCCGAGGAGCGGCGACTCGTCGTTCTGCCCGAGCGCCTGACCATCGACCCCTCCCTCCTCCCTCTCCAACGCCCGCAGTGGATCGACGAGATCCGGCACTACTGCCCCGGCGTCAAGATCGCCGTCGTCGCCCTCAAGTGCGACCTGCGCGCCGACGTCGTCGTGCAGGACAAGCTCGCCAAAGCCCTGATGCGGCCCGTCGAGTACGAGGAGGTGCGTCCTCCTCCTTTCCTCAAGACTCGGCGACATCCTTCCTGTCGATGTGACGTGTCATTGACTCTCTTTCCTCTCCCTGTACAGGGTCTCGCCGTCGCCAAGCGGATAGGCGCCTCACGGTACTTTGGTGAGTCGTTCGCGCCCTTTCGGCTCGCCCGTGCCACCTCGCACCTCTCCCTCGCGCTCGGCGACCTCGAGCGAGCGTACTGACCCTCTCTGAGCCTGCGCAGAGACGTCGGCCAAGCTGCATCGCGGTGTGCAACAAGCGTTCGAGGAGGTGCGCCCCACTCTCGTTTCCGCCCCCTCATTCCCCCTCTGGCTCTCCCTGACAACTCCTCGTCCCCCCTCTCGCAGGCTGCACGAGTGTCGATCACGGCGCCACGAGCGGGAGAGACGCGAGGGAGCCAGCCGGCAGCAGACGGAGGTCGACGCGGGTCGAGCGGCGGGGGAGGTGGATGCACCGTGTCTTGAGTGAGCCGGCGGCAGCGCGAGTGCGGCGATACCCTTGTAGTACGCTCCTCAGCGAGCGAGATACCCTTGACCAGTACAGCTCGAGAAGCAGCGGAGCGCAGTCTTCGACAGCGAGGCTTTGGTTCGAGCGAGCGGCGGTGTTTGGTCCGCAGGCGCGCAGTGGTCAGTTGCCCGTTTCGGGCGAGTTTTGTCCATGCGAGGCGGCCCCTCGTCCAGCTCGCTCCGCGTCGACAACCCCTCCTCCCACGCTCGCCCTCTTTCGCCCAGCCCCGTGCCTGCAGTGCACCAGCGCGACTCGCCCGCTCTCTGACACCGCCCCAGCACCCGCTCGCACCCGCGTGCGCCTCGTCCCCGACCGTCGATCGTCCCATCGACGCGAGAGCCCAGCCGTGCGTCTTCCTCGCCCTCTCCTCGCCCCCCTCTCCCCTCAAGGCGCGTGACTGACCCACTCTGCACGTACACCAGTCGACCAGCTCGCCCCTGCACCCGTCAGCGCCACCTCGAGAGCCCGTCGCCATGAGCTACGACCCTCACCGCGCCCACCACGCCGACCAGCACGCCTACCCGCCCGCGGGCTCGTCGCCGTACAGCAGCGACCAGGACCAGGGCATGGCCGCCCCTCGCCCCTTCCGCCAGGGCTCGAGCGCCAACTCGAGCCAGCACTCGATCGAGGGCGCCACCGCCGACCCGTCGACCATGCCCTATGTCAACTACTCGGCGTCGGTGCCGTCGCTCCCGCGCTACCAGTCGCAGCCGGGCTCGGCCACCAACCTCGCCAACCCGTCGCCGCTCAACCCGGCCGCGACGCGCTCGAGCGCCGCCGGCTACTCGCCCAACCCGCCCAACCACCGCTACTCGTCGTACGGCCCGCAGCCGGGCCAGGGCGCCCACCCGCTGTCCAACGCCATGTACATGGAGTCGAGCCCGACCCTGGCCGGGTCCGAGGGCATGACGCCCGGCGCCGAGAAGGGCCAGGACGAGAAGATGCGCCTCGGCGGCGCCGACCAGCTCGGCGAGTACATCGCCCCCTCGACCTCGTCCGGCAGCGGCAACAGCGCGCCGTACCGTCGTGGGCCCAAGCCGACCGGCCTCAAGGCCCTGTACCGCGCGTGGGGCGGCGCCAACCTCGCCGACTCGGGCACGGACGAGCGCCATGTCAAGCTTCCTCGCCTCGGTTACCTCGACGGCCTCAAGTTCATCGCCGCGTGGGTCGTCCTCAACGGCACCTTCTTCTCGGCGACCATCTCGAACGACGACTACTCGGCGATCCAGCGCAACTCGCCCCTGTACATTGTTCGGTGCGTCTCGCTCCGTCCTCGTCACCCCACCTCCCCCGCACTCTCTCGTGCGTCCGCTCACGCCTCTCTCGCTCGCGCACCGCAGCTCGACCAACCTCGGCTGGGTCTTCCTCCTGATCCTCCTTGGCCGGTCGCTCGTCACGCCCCTGTGGGACGTCCCCTCGCCGGCCGCTGCGACGCAGCTCAACGGCGGCGTCAAGGCCAACACGGCCCTCATCTCGTGGGCCCGCCTCACGCGCGCCATGCTCGTCCGCCCCTTCCGGTTCATCCTCCCCGTCCTCGTCGTCGTCGGCCTCCAGTGGGGTCTCGCCAACAACGCCAACACGGCCAACTGCAACAACGTCGGCATGGACGAGCCGTACTGGGGCTTGATCACCAACTTTGCCGGCTACGCCACCCTCGTGTTCGACCTCGTGCGTCCCCCTTCTCTCTTTATCTCTCTCGTCCTCTCGAGGTCGCCTTCTCTCGAAGCAGAGCCCTGACCCTCACCGCCGATCCGCCCTGCCAGTTCACGACGTACGAGACGACGACCATCGCCGGCCAGACGTTCGCGGGCAACCTGTGGACCAACCCGTGGTTCTTCCAGGCGTCGTACGCCGTGTACGTGACGCACCTCATGCTCGGCAACCTGTCGTCGAACCGGTACTGGGTGTACGGCATCATCGCCTTCTTCTCGTGGACGACGTACAACTACATGTTTGTCGCCGTCCTCGGACTCGTCATCGCCGACATGCACGCGCACGGCCACCTGCACCGCATCCGCACCAAGTGGGCCACCTGGAAGCGCCTCACGCTCCACGCCGTCCTCATCGCCGTCGCGCTCGTCACCCAGTGGGTCCCCGTCCTGCGCGACAACATCAACAGCGGCCTGCACACGATCAACGTCACCGACCACCCCGAGATCACGTTCTGCGACGCCCTGTTCGCGGCGTGCTGGCTCCTGTGCATCGAGACGTCGGGCGTCGCGCAGACCGTGTTCGGCAACGTCGTCATGCGGTCGCTCGGCAAGCTCGCGCCGGGCATGGTCCTCCTCGCGCCGGCCATCACGTTCACGATCGTGCCCGACATTGCCCTGAGCATGTCGAACAACGGCTCGTCGGCGTCGGCCATCCTCGGCACCACCTGGGTCGCCCTGTTCGGCATCGTGTTCGCGCTCTCGATCGCGTTCCACTTTGTCGTCGAGCTGCCGAGCAAGATGATCGGCGAGGTCTTCGTCGAGGCGCTCGAGAACTGGGACGGCGAGGGCTGGTTCGGCCGTCGTCGGGCGGCCAAGGCGGGCGCCAAGCTCACCAAGTCGAAGAAGTAAGGCCCTGTCTCGACGACGAGCACGCTTGTCGTTCTCTCGCTCCCTCCCCACCCCTCCTCGACATCAACAGACACTAGCACGCCCCCTCCCGATCACGACCCACTCCTCGCCTTTCTCCTGTTCACTCTCTCGCCTCGTTTTGCCTCCCTTGCACCTTCTCTTCCACCTCTCTCCCTCCCTCCCACACTCGAGTATACCCTGTTACCGCACTTCTCACGGCACTTCACTAGACGATCCTTCGTGCGGCTGGCTCGAGAGACGAGAGGAGAGCTGGGTGAACGAGCGCTCGAGCCCTCGCGTGGACGAGCTCTCGCTTCGGCCGTCGGTGCACGGCGTCGACCGACTTGCAGTAGAGCTGGCTCTCAGCGACGCCAGAGCAGTGCGCTTCGAGCTGCGAGAGCTTGGAGAGCGAGTGTTGCCGTCGGCCCGCTCCCCGCACTCGCCGCGGCTGCTGTCCTCGCTCGAGACGGCCACGCACCGCAGCTGCGACCTCGACGACTCGCCCAATCGCTCCCTGTGAGCTCATGCTAGCCAGCCTCGCGCGCACTACCCTCCGCCAGTCCTGCGCCGCCCTCTCGACTTCATCACCGTCTCGCTCCCTCTCGTCCTACGCACCCTCTGCGGCCATGTCGACCTGGTCCCGCCTCATCCGCTTCGTCCCAGCATCCGGCTCGACCCCCGTCATCGGCGAGCCGTGCGACCCGGCACAAGACGTCGGCCTCGCCTCGTTCGCGGGCGACCCGATCGAGGTCGACACGTTCACTGGCAGCTCGATCCTCGACCCGGGCGAGCGCACCGGCACCAAGGACAAGGTCAAGACGATCCTGTCGCCCCTCGCCCAGTCGGAAGTCGGCACCATCCGCTGTATCGGGCTCAACGTGCGCCCCCCTCTTCCTCTCTCCTCCTCTCGTCGCCATAATCGCACTGACCCTCCCCGCCTGCCTGCAGTACCTTCGCCATGCCGAGGAGGTCAAGATGGCGCTGCCCGAGGTCCCCGTCCTGTTCATGAAGCCGTCCACCAGCCTCGCCGACCCGTACCCGGCGCCGACCGTGATCCCCAAGGCGTTCGTCCAGGACCAGGCCGCCGACTACGAGTCTGAGCTTGTCATCGTCATCGGCAAGGCGGCCAAGAACGTGTCGGAGCAGGACGCGCTTGATTACGTCCTCGGGTCCGTCCACCTTTCCCTCTCACGCTCTCTTTCTCGCTGCGCCCGAACCGTCACTGACAGCTCTCGCTTCGCAGGTACACGGCCGCCAACGATGTCTCGTCTCGTCGGGCTCAGTTCGCTCAGTCGCAGTGGTGCTACTCCAAGTCGTTTGACGGCGCATGTCCTGTCGGGCCCGCCGTCGTCAACAAGGAGCAGGTCAAGAGCATCGCCGAGCTCAAGATCCGAGGGACGCTCAACGGCAAGACGGTTCAGGAGAGCGGTCTAGAGTGCGTCGCCGGTTCTCCTCTCGGGCTCGCCCTCGTGTCATGTCGACTTATAGCGACTTTCCCTCGTCCGCAGCGACCTCATCTTCTCGGCCCCAAAAATCGTCTCGTTCCTGTCGCAGGGCACGACGCTCCCTCCCGGTACCATCATCCTCACTGGGTGCGTCCCCGCTCGCCTGTTCAAGCGCCCGACGTACATCAACGGCAACTGACCTCTCGGTCGGTCTTCCCTTTCCTCTTCTCGCAGGACCCCTGCTGGCGTCGGCTGGTCGAGCGAGCCGCAAACGCTTCTCAAGGACGGCGACGACTTCCGTGTCTTTGTGTCGCACGGCGTCGGCACGCTCATCAACCAGGTCGTCGAGGAAAAATAGAGATCGAAGCGCTCGTTCGCAATGCAGTTTTCTCGTCGAGCGCACAATGCCTCACTTCCCGGTCCGATCTAGCGAGACGCGCTCTCGAGCACGAGAGCCTGCGACTGGGTCACGGCGTGCTGGCTCGTGTGCAGCGAGTCGGGCGTCGCGCAGACCGTCCTTCTCCTGCCCAGTCTCGTTTCTTTTCACCTGGCGAGCACTTTCGTCGCAGCCGGTGCAGCCCTGTCGATGCTCGCAGGGACCATGCACCGCGACACAGGCAGCGGGAGCCCGAAAGTTCGAGAGGTAGACGCGAGCGAGCGAGAGAGCGACAGAGGCCTGAGCGCTTCCAGGAGCGCGAGAGCGGCGATTGCCGGCTCGACGGACCGCCCGCAAGGTCTCGACCTGGTGCCGTTTCCGAGAGGCTTGCGGCTGCTCGTCGAGAGCGCCAGAGAGATGCGCCGCTTGCGGGGAGAAGAGAGCAGACGAGCGAGGTGCGGGACCTTCGCAAGTTGGACTTGTGGGCCTGAGCGCGAGAACTCGCTGCCTCTCTCTCGGTCGAGCGCAACAGGACGAGCAAAGCGGGCTACGGGTTACAGCGTGGGCACAGATGAACGACAAAGCGTGCGACGGCGACAACAAGCGACTCAAAGCATGCATGCGATCCTCCTCCTCCTCCTCGTCCTTCTTCTCCTCCTCGCCACCTCCTCTTGCCGGCGCCGGCGCCGACACTCAGATCCGGTCGCCGCGCGCGTTCAGGCCGAAGAGGCCGGCGAGGTCGGCGACGGTGAGCTTGCCCATCTCTGCGAGCAAGGACAAAAGGTTCCAGGTCAGGGTCGGCGGCAGAGAAGGTCGACGAGGGAGAGAAAGAGGACGCACTGAGCGCCGAGCCCTCGCCCATCGACGCGTCGGCGAGGCCCTGCTTCCTCTTCTGCATGTCGAGGATGCGCTGCTCAACTGTGGCGGCGCAGGGAGGGAAGAGTCAGAAGATTCGGGATGGAGCTCGTCGGCGAGGCAGGACGCACCGCTGTTGGCGATCGTCAGGCGGTTGACGTGGACCTCGCGCCCCTGCCCGATGCGGTGAACGCGGTCGAACGCCTGGCTCTCGACGGCGGAGCTCCATGCGAGGTCTGCGAGAGCGGGAACGAGGATGGTGAGTTTGCGGTACGACGACTCAGACGCTCCTGGCGGGTCACGACAAAGGACCTGGGAGAGACTCACCGAGAGAGATGACGCGGTTCGCCCTCGTGAGCGTGCTGCGGCGCGAGGAGGAGGATCGAGTCAATACACGGCGCGAGAGGACGATGGCGAGGACTAGCTGGACTCACAGGCCGACGCCGCCGCACTTGAGCGAGACTGCGGGACCGAGAAGGCATGTCAGTGTCGGTGTGTCGACACGAGAGGCGAGAGCGAGATAGGGAAAGGCTCACGGAGGAGAACCTGCAGATGGGAAGGCTCGAAGGTCAGTCGTCGAAGGAGGTGCAGGGGCGAGACAGTGACGACGCACCTTGCGCTTCTTCGACTTGCGGAACGTGCGGAGCGTCTCGTCGCGGTCGCTGATCGTCATGTCGCCCTGGTAGCGCAGCGTGCGGACGCCTTGCGAGCCGAGGTACGTGTCGAGGATGTCGAGGCCGGCGACGAACGACGAGATGACGATGACCTTCTCTGCACGTGTGACGCTGATTCAGTCCCTGTGCGGCGAGGGAAGGAAAGAGAGACGAGGGGCGTACCGTCCGGGTTCTCCTTGTACATGCGCTCGAGCTCGGTCATGGTCCACAACATCTTGGTCGACGGCTCCTGCTCGCGGACCCACTGGATCTGCTCGGCCGTCTTGACCTTCTTCTTGCCCTTGGCGTTGGCCGACTTGGGCGCCGGCTCCTCCTCGGCCTCGCTCTGCTGCGCCGTATCGCCGTCCTCGTCGTCCGAGTCTTGGACGATGGCGCGGTTGGGCTGTTTGGGCTTGCGCTTCTGGACGGCCTTGCCGAACTCGTCGTCGCCCTCGTCACCGTCGGGCACGATGAAGCCGCCGAGCGTCTCGTCGATGTCGTCGTCCTCGTCCATGACGAGGTCCTGGCCCGTCGCCGAGCAGATCTCCTCGTCGGTCGGCTCGAACGCCGCGAGGTCGAACAGCTGCGAGTCGGCGAAGGAGGAGGCACAGAGGAGGGGGGAGGAGGGAGAAGACGTAAGTCACGGCGGGGCGCAGGGGAAGGAGAGGTGGGCTCGACGCACGTCCTTGAGGCCGACAGGGCCGCGGCAGCTGCTCGACGAGGGGAGATTAGTCGACGAACGGCGAGGAGAAGAGAGAGAGAGAGAGAGAGAGAGAGAGAGAGAGAGGCGTACATCGGGCATGGGCGTTGGTCGGGCTTGCAGCGCTTGGCGGGACCCTCGTCGTCCTGGTCGTCGATGACGGGCTCGTCGATGACGGCCGTGATGCAGAGCGTGCAGAAGCTGTGCCCGCAGCGGCTGATGCTCGCGCCGTTCTCGCTCGCGAGAATGTCCTCTGTGGCAGCGGCGACGAGTCAGTCGAGAGGCTGAGGAGGAAGGTGGACAAGGATGGCGAGGAAGAGGACGCACCGAGGCACAGCGGGCAGTCGTCGTTGTTGGCCGACTCGGCGCCTGTGCCCTCGCTCTCGGTCTTGACGCGGTCGACGGCGGCCTCGAGGCGCGAGCGGCGGATCTTGGACACGAACGGGGCGCCGAGCTCCTGCTTGGCGCGCACGAGCTCGTCCTTGACCTTCTGCTTGGCCGCCTCCTTGCTCGCGAGCGTCTGCTCGGCGTCGGCGATGAGCGCTGGGTGGAAGCAGACCTGGCGGAGGCGGAGGAGGAGGAGGAGGACGTTGGCGTAGCTGCGGAACGGGCACGAGGGTCAGTGCGCTCGTCGGCCGTCACGATCGCGGGGAGCGGGACGCACTTCTTCATGACGGTGCCGGCCTTGAGGAACTTGTTGAACTTCTCCTGGGCGCGCGTCTCGACCATCTCGTAGATCTCGCGCTCCTCGGGCGAGAACTCGAGCTCGTGCAGGTGGATGTGCTTCTCCTTGAGCGAGATGAGCTCCTTGCCGTCGAGCTTCGAGTCCTTCTTGCGGCGTAGCATGCACTGCGGGCGCGAGAGGAGGAGAGTCAGGGACGATACGCCGGCGAGGATGGAGAAAAGGGAGGAGCGCGGCGACGCACGGTGCGGAGGATGGTCTGAGCCTTGCGGCCCGCAGCGTCCGGCTTCTTCTTCTCCCAGCTGACGACTGTGGGACGAACGAGGAAGAGAGGGAGGGAGGCAGAGCGGGAGGGTCAGACGGTAGGTCGGGAAGGCGAGGGACGACGAGGACAGGGAGAGGGGGACGCACCGCTGTCCGAGTAGTACTTCCACTCGTACCACGGCTTGAGCTGCAGGAACCGGAACAGCGGGAACAGGTCGGCGAGCGAGTTGGTGACCGGCGTGCCCGTGAGGGCCCACCGGAACAGGGCGTCGAGGCGGGTGACGGCGCGCGAGACCTTGGTCCCGCGGTTGCGGATCTGCTGCGCCTCGTCGAGGATGATGCGGTAGAACGACAGCTCGAACATGGGGCCGGTGCCCTTGGACGCCTTGAGGTAGCCCTCCCACGCGTTCGGCTCGCCGGCCTTCTTGGCCTCGCGCTTGGCCGCCTTCTCGAGCGCCTCGTCGTCCTCGTAGTCGGCGACGAGCGTGCCGTACGTCGTGAGCACAAAGTCGCTGCAAGGCGTCGAGGATAGGGAGGTGTCAGGAATTGGCTGCTCGGACGGGAGGGGCGGGCTCGGGGCGAGGAGGAGAGGACGACGACGACGCACTAGCGCAGGATCTCCTTCTTGCGGAGCTTCTTGCGGTCGGCGCCGTGGTAGGTGAGGATGCTGAGGTAGCCCGGCTCGACCTTCTCCTCGAGCTCGGCGCGCCACTGGGCGAGGAGGGCGAGCGGCGCGACGACGAGCGTCGTCTTCTCCTTCGGGTCGCGCGACTCGTTGAGCAGGCACGTCGCGATGGCCTCGATCGTCTTGCCCAGGCCCATCTCGTCGCCCAAGATGCCGCCGTACGTCTTGCTGCGCTCCTTGTCGATGGTCCACGCGCAGGCGATGATCTGGTGCGGGAGGAGCGTGCACGTCATGTGCGGCACCATCTCGTTCATGTGGGCGATGCCGATCGACTCGCACGCCTTCTGGACGTTGGCGTTGCCCTCGAAGCCCTCGCCCTCGAGGGCCGCCTTGATGAAGCGGTCGAAGTCGGCGATGCCCTTGACGGGCGCGAGCTGGCCCCACATGCGCTCCTCGTCGCTGTCGGCGCCGCCGTCGTCGGCCGCGCCGATGCGCCCGCCCGAGGGACCTGCGACAGGACCCGACACCGGCTTGACCCACTCGGGGTGCATCGCGCAGGCGTACTCGGGGCGCTCGAGGAACAGGTTGCGGACGTCGTCGGGCGCGCCGGCCGTGCACGAGTAGCCGCGCAGGACGAGGTCGGCCTGCTTGCGCGCCTGGAGGGCGTCGACGAGCGCAGCGGCCTTGACGGCGGCCGCAGCGGCGGCGACGCGGGCCTCGTAGGCGCGGACCTTGGTGCGGAGCGGCGCGAGCTCGTTCTCGGCCTCGAGCATCTCCTCGCGCCACGCAGCGCCGTGCGACGCCTCGGGCTCGGCGCGGAGCGACTTGATCGTCGTCTCCCAGCGCTCGACGGCGCGCTTGGTCTTGGCGAGGTCGTGCTGCTCGGCCGGGTTGAGGGCCTGGCCGGCAGCGGCACCGGCGGCGGCGGCGGTCGGCGACGCCTGGTTCTTGCGGTCGGCGAGGACGATCGACTCGATGGGCTTGGCGTTGGCCTTGGGGAGGCGAGCAGCGTCGCCGAGCTTGGGCTTCTTGTCGACGAAGAAGTCGCCGGCCGACGAGCGAGGCTTGAGCTCGTGCGACTTGCGCTTCTTGCGGATCGCGCTCGACGACAGGCCCATCTGGAGGTCCGAGCTTGACGAGAGCTGGTACTGGCGGTCCTTGTCGTGCGAGCGGGAGCCCTCGGCGTCGCTCGACGGCTGCGAGCTCGCGATCTTGACCTTGGGCGTCTGCGAGGAACGTCTCGGCGTCAGTGACCGAGGAAAGGCGGACAGGGAGAGGAGCGCCACGTACCCACGACTTGGGCGGCGCCTCCGACTTGACGATCTGGGAGGGCGGGCGCGAATGCGTGAGCGAGGCGCGGTGTGAGGGCAGGAAGGGCGAGGACGGACCGCCTCTTTGGCGACGCGGATGTCGCGAGCCTTCTTGTGGCCGTCGTGCTTGTTGATGTGGTCCTGCAGATCGTCGAACACGTCAGGAATGCGCGCTTGCGCGTCCAGGAGGAGACGAGGGACGCACCGAGTAGGCGACGAGGCAGCCGAAGCCCCTGTCGATGCCGCCGCGGGGCTCGGTCGGGTGCACCGAGAGCGGGATCTCGGTGAAGCAGGAATCCTCCATGCAGATGACGAAGCTGCAGGCGAGAGACGGCGAGGCAAGAGTCAGGTCGGGGTGTCGGCGGCGCGCGAGCGAAGGGGACGCACCCATAGCCTTCACCGGGCTTGCTGAGCGTGGCGACGAAGTTGATGTCTTGCGGGTGCTGCTTGAGGTGGCGGTCGAACTCGGCCTCGCACGAGAGGACGTTGGCCAACTGACGCACGATGAGGGACGAGGCGATGAAGGGAGAGGGCAACAGAGTCAGCTATTGAGGGTGGGACGCGCGGTGGAGGGACAGCTGGACGCACAGGGTCGTTGGTGAACGCCTTGGCGAGCAGCTCACGGCCCGTCATGGTCATGGTCGACTCGAGGCGATGAGGGGCGACGGTTGGCGGGCTGGAGGGCTGTCGGCGGCGGGCGCGGCTCGAGAGGGTTGATGGAGGGTGTTGTGGCGCGTCGAAGAGCACTTCGAACACCCCTGTGCGGCGTCGGAAGCCTGCACGGCGAGCGAGCGAGTGGCAGAGGTGCGAGCCTGTCAACATCCAGCGCGTCGGGTCGTGTCGCGCAACCTCTCAAGGTCAATCTCGCCCGGCAGCCTCTCGTGGCGGCTCTGTACCGTGCGACTGCCCCTCCCAAGTCACCTGCGAGCCGCCGCGAAACGTGCGCCGGACAGCCGGGGCAAGGCCGCCTCTCTCGAGCTCTCGCGACGGTCGACTCGTCGCTCGCCGTCGCTGGACGTGACATGCGCGTCGCTCGATTGCATCAACAGAGTCGTCATGGTGTATGGGTCCTGTCTAAGAGAAAGAGGGCGAATGCTCCCGCCCTGCTGCTGCGTCGCCCGGCTCGGCTCGACCGCTCCGCTCCGCCGACGCTCACCGCCCGAGCGCCGACCGCACCTGCAGCATGAGCTTGTCGGTCGTCTCCTGCGGCAACTTGAACCACATGAGGCCCGCGAGCGCGATCGAGTAACCCGCCATCTGCGTGAGGGTCACGGTCGACCCCATGAGGACGACCGAGCCGAGGACGAGGAGGATGTCCTTGATGACGCCCGACAGGGTGAGGACGAGCGAGCTCGCGCAGCCGATGAGGAAGACGACGGCGACGTTGAGGAGGAAGGCGGTCGAGGCGTTGCCGATGAGGATGGGGAGGCCGACCACGTCGAGCGCGTCCTGGAACGGCGCCGAGCCCTCGAAGAACGGGATCAGGAACAGGTTGAGGGCGGCACACACGGGCGCAAACTGCGTGCGGGACATTCAGTCAGTCTCGGAGAAGGAGAGAGAGGGCGACCAGGTGCGGCTCGGCGAGAGAGGACGAGGACGCACGTAGTAGAGCGAGACGAGCTGCAGGTACGACGACGGGGGAACGCGGTCAAGACGGTGTCCGCAGGACTCGAAATCGCTCCAAACGAGAGAAGGGGACGCACAGGTCCCATCTTGAGGCCCGTCAGGAGCTTCTGGATCGAGACGAGGCGGCACGCTTCGAACGCGATGCCGGTCGCCTGACAGACAAAGCCCGTCATGTCAAAGTTGATCTCGCCGTACGAGGCGAGTGCGACTGTGTGCCACGACCCGGTCGTCAGTGAGGGAACGAGCGCGCGGCAGAGCGGGCGAGACGAGGGAGAAGGGACGCACCGCCGCACGAGATGGCGATGACGATGACGAACTTGCGGGGCTGCATCTGCTCGAGGCCAAAGAGGACCGACATGCCGAGGACAGCGACCTGAGGAAAGTGGGGCTACGTCAGAGGCGCGCAAGGACGAGGCGGGTAAGATGAGGACGCACCGAGGTGAACGCCTTGAGCCTGCGAGGTCAACCGCACAAGGTCAGTCGTGCACGCGCATCGAGACAGGGAGAATGAAGACGCACATCTGGATGAACGAGACCGAGAGGGTGAGGTAGGCGAAGTTGTTGAAGATGAGGGAACCAGAGAACAAGGCGCCGATGGGGACGATCTGCGGTCGCGAGGGCGCACGAGCGTGAGTTGCCGCTCACTTCTCGTCAATCGTCGATGACTGGAGGAGCTCGACGCACGTTCTTGAACCACCGGTCCCAGCTCATCTGGACGTTCTGAACGTCGTCGAGCATGTGCGTGAACTTGCGGAGCAGGCGGGTGCCGACCGTCGCGTAAACGAGATGCCTGGAGGTGCCGCACAGCGTCAGTTCGACGCTTCGAGACCGGTCTGTGCGGGTCAAGGCAGAGGAAGGAGGGGACGAACCAGGTCGTGAGGGCTATCGGGTAGTTGAACCTCATCGTGCGCAGGATGTAGGCGTTCTGCAGGATGACGCTCGACGAGAGGGCGATCCAGATCATGATGATGTAGCCTGTTGCGACGAGGATCACGGCAGGCGGGCAGCAGGAAGTCAGTGGTCGGCTCGAGAGCTGGGTGCGAGTTGCGAGAAGAACGCCATCGGCCGCCGGCTCCAACGAGCAGCCCTGCACCCTGCCCCATCTGCCCGTCGAGACCCACCGTGCCAGCCGTCACACCAGAGCTGCCGCCGCCGCGACCAACTCGAGGCGGCGGGCTAAGGTCGGCGGCGGCGAGGCGCGACGAGACGGACAACGGCACGCGCATGCCGCACGGGCGGCACCACGCCGTCGCTGAGCCGCTCGTCGCTGTCCTGCGCGTGTCGCCCTGCCAGCACGAGGCGCGGCTGCAGCCGTCACGGATCCCACCCCTGCTCGCCCAACTCTCGCGCCGTGATCTCGCGCCGCACGCAACTGAGAGAACTGAGCGCACCTGGCCAGATCTTCTTGACCGCATCGCTCGAGAACCCGCCCGAGCTGGGCTTGGCCGACGTCGCGGTGCTCGAGGTCGGGAGGTCGCGGTCGCTGCCGTTGAGGAGCGTCTTGGAGGAGAGCGGGTCGCTGTTGCCCGGGTACATGGCGAGCTTGACGTCCTTGTCGTGCGACATGCTGGGCGGTCGGTCCAAAGGTGCGGACACAGGTGGTGGAGCGAGGGCGAGAGCTGGCGAAGAAGAGGAATGCGGGGTTGGTCGACTTGGAGCTGGTGTGCGCTGCAACGGCTCGCAGCGCAACAGTCGGACGCACTGTGGAAAGCGAGAGGTAGGGAAGCAAGCGCACAGAGCGTCAGGCTGTCGTCTCGGCCGCTCGCGGGTCACTCTCCTGCTCTCGTTCCCTCCTGGCCGGAACTGGGAAGGTCGAACGAACCGTGGTCTCGCCCTGCGTGGCTTGCAGGTCCAGTCTCGCTCAACTTGCAGGTTCACTCACGCCTCCTGAGAGAAAGCCCCGCTGAAGACGCGCCGGACGGCCGAGGGACCGTGCGCACGGTCCGAGGAAGGGAGGACGCCGCAGTGGTATTTCACGCCCGCCGCCGTCCTCGTTCTCGCCCGCCGAGCCCTACTCCTCCTTCAACGACGGTCGACGAGTCGCGTCGTCAGGCGGGGTACGTGTCGGTGATGGGGAAGAGGAGGCGCTGCGGTCAAGGCAAGGTGCGCGGTCAGTGACGGCGTGCGACCGACCTCCTCTCGCTCGACGGTGCTCGACAGGACGGGGGAGAGGACATAGACGCACCCAGATGTCGTCGTCTGCGGCGGGAAAGAGCATGTCGTCCTGCGACATCGGCGCCGAGCCCGGCTCGAAGAAAGCGTCCTGCGCACCGACCCCGTTGTCGAACGGCGGACCGCCGCCGAGCCCTTGCCCGCTCGTGCCCGTCGACGCCGCACCGTGCAGGTGCGGAGCGTACAGGTTCTCTTGGATGATCTGCTGCGTGGCGAGCGACCAAGGGAAAGCGGCGCAGGACGATGTGTCGGCGTCGGCGAGTCGGTCGAGGTGGAGGTAGTGCGCGCTGTGCGGCGTCGGCTCTGGTGCAGCTGCCGAGTGATCGTACTGGGTCGAGGTCGAAGACTGTACATGTGCGCAAGCGGCTTGTCGCTCGAGTGCGGCCGTCGCGGCGCGAGGAGGGTCGGAGGAAGCCGAGGCGGACGGCGGCTCGAGACGATCTTGGGGCGACGGCACGGCGGCGAGCGACGACAGCTGCCACGCAGGAGAGACCGTGCTGAGGAGGTGGGAGATGAGGCGGTGCGTGTGTCGTCCGACGTACGCGAGGCGTCCTCGGTCGACGAGCGGACCTCGTTGAGCGTGCGGATGACGCGGTCGCGGTCACTCGACGACATGGCGACGATGTTCTGCGTCGCGAGGAGGCGGTGTCAGTCCGGGTGAGGGCGAGAGGTACGGACAGGGCGAGAGGAGTACGCACCTTGACGAGCCAGACGCTCACGACGGCGAGGGCGACGTACGACAGGTTGAAGCAGAACGACAAGTAGCCCGGAACGACAAAGTCGTTCTGGAAGACCGCCGCGAGAGCGAGTGAGGCGTCGACGCACTCGCAGAAGGTGCTCGACAGCTCGCTCGGCTCGTCGACGTGGAGGACGCGGTCCTTCGAGTACCGGGCGACCCACAGGAGCTTCCACTCGGCGATGTGAAAGCGGAAGAAGGCGTCGCAGAGCCGGAGAGCCGAGATCTGCGGCGGGAGAAAGGCCAGACCGGCTGCGAGGGAGAAGGGTCAAGACGGGTTCGTGGGCGTACGGGCACGGGCAGAGAGCGAAAGGGATCGCGACGCACGCTTGACGCCGAGCCATCGAGACCGCCATCGTCGCCAATCGTTCTCGAGCCACTTGAGCGACCGCGTGTTGGCCGGATCGCCGGTCATGTCGGCGAGCGTGTCGGCGTACTGGCGGCACAGGCGAGAGAACGTTATCCACGGCGGCAACGTCGACTCGCCAGGACAGGGAAGCTTGTCGGCATGCTCGAGGACCCAGTCGGCCGGGTCGTCGACGTCCTCCTCCGAGATCATGCGCGGCAGTGAGTGGTGGATGGCGAGGTGGTAGTCGGCGACGACGAGGTCTGTCGGGCGCGCGCGAACCGAGGTGAGCTCGAGGCTCACAATACGTCGACGAGAAGATGAAGCGGGACGCACTGAGCCATGCTCGCTCCTTGTTGAGGACCTCGCGCGCCTGGTGCTCGTCCTCGGGAAGTGGCCTCGGCGCTCGAACGTGGAGCCGCAGCTCTTGCGCCATGCGGATGGCGTACCCGACCTTGCGCCAGCTCGACGAGTCGTTGGGTTGCTTCCAGTGCGTCAGGAGGAGGAGCGACTGGACGACCTCGATCGTCGAGAGGCCGAACTCGACGGCTTGGCCGACGAGCTTGTTCGACAGGAGGACGCAGGCGTGGTACGCCTTTGGGCGCTCGGCCTTGGCGGTGACGGTGATGACGGCGGTAAACAGGAGGGCCGACTTGTGCCGGACCCAGTCGGGCGAGTGGAGCGCCGGGTCGAGGACGGGCACGACGAGATTCATAGTCGAGAAGTACCTGCGCGACGCGGACCAGGCTGTGTCAGTGTGTCGTCGCGGGGCGTAGACGTAAGAGAGAGAGAGAGAGAGGTGACGCACGTCTTGAAGAGGTCGATGGCGTCCCGCTCGGTGAGGATGCCGGCGTGAACAGGGTCGGGGCAGTCGGTCGGGAGGAACGGCCCGGCGGCTGGCGGCGGCGCGGCGTTGAGCGCCCCAGCGACGAACGGCATCGAGTCGCCTGTCGGGACGACGTGCGAGAACTGGATGTCGACGCGTCGGCCGCCGAGCGGCGGCGGGACGGGCAACGTGTAGGACGCCGGCGCGACAGGTTGATCTTGCGACAACCCGGGAGGGGCTTGCGACCTGGCGCAGCCGACGGCGGGCCCATCGAGCGTGACAGCTGAGGTTGAGGCGATCGACGGGTAGAAGGGCGGAGCGGACGGGGCGAGGCGTGCCGACTGGACGGTCGACGGCCCGTTGAAGGTCGGCGCGGGCCACTGCGATGCGTCGGGCGCCTTCTTCTTGCGCCCACGACGATGCCGTTTGTACTCGCACGGGATCTTGTGCGTCGAGCACCGCTTGCAGATGGTGTCGGGGTCCACGGAGCTGCACTTGCGCTGGAGGGCGGGAGGTCAGCGAGGGCATGCTCGTCTCCTCGACATGGGGGGCGGGCTCACTTTGGCGGCACGGCACGCGAGGCACGAGATCTTGCTGCACGCAGGGATGGGGCGCCGGGGCAAAGGTTAGCTGGCTCGACACCTTGAACGCCGCACGGAGAGAGAGACGAGGACGCACGCTCCGAGCTTGCTGAACCCCTCGATCGGCCCAGACGCCGAGTCGAGCTGCGTGGAACCATCGAACGCGTCGGCTGAACGGGAGCTGCCCTCGCCTCGAGGCGTCGACATGGTCGAGCCGTCGTCGACTGATGAGGAGGTCTGGACGAGGACGAGGCCGCGAGGCGAGGTCGCAGGGTCGGGTCGGGTGCTGCTGTGTGGCGTGTGGATCTGTGCGCGGCAGTCGGCGTGTCGCGCAGGGCAAAGCGAGCTTGTGTCGACGAGAGCCGTCGCTGCCTCTCGCTCGCCTCCTCCCGTCCCCTCAAGCGTGGCTCTCTCCTCTCGTGGTCGCCCAGTCGCGGTACGAGACACGAGCTGCGGCGGAAAGCATGCGTTACTTTGCAGGACTACAAAGCGCGAGGAGGAGAACGAGCGCGAGAGGGGGGTACGACACGGGGCGATGCGAGAGATGCAGGCTCGACACAGGGGAAGGGGGGAGGGAGAGAGAGAGGCAAGACGCTCAAGCCGCAAGGGCCTCGACCTCGTCGACGAACTCGTGCGCGAGCTCGGTGAGCTCCTGCACGACCGCCGAGCGGTCCCACGCGCTCCTCGCGCGCCAGACGGCGTCGAAGCACGCCGCGCGCAGCTGCTCGAGCTGGTCGATGTTGAGCGCGTCGGTGCTGCTCGTCAGGAAGGACGAGAGCGCGTCGACCTCGGCGTCGGGGACGACGAAAGGCGGCGGCGGCGGAGGCGTCGCCTCCATCGGCGTCGGCGAGCGCTGCTGCTGCTCCTCGGGCTCGACGACAGCGGCGGCTCGGCCGTCCGGCGCGCCATCGTCGTCGGTACCTGCCGGCGCCGGGTCCGCCACGGCAGGCGTCGGGGTCGCGTCCCGCGAGGCGTCGTCGGCGGACCCTCCCGCCGCGCTCGTCCCGCTCGGGCCGCCGCTCTGGTACGACGCGACTGGAGCAGGTCCAGCGGCGGCGAAGGGGCCGGGAGCTGCTGCAGGAGGCGCGACGAGGCCGCTCAGGAAGGACGGCGCCGTGCCGCCAGTTTTGGCGGCCGCGCAGGGCAAAGCGAGCTTGTGTCGACGAGAGCCGTCGCTGCCTCTCGCTCGCCTCCTCCCGTCCCCTCAAGCGTGGCTCTCTGCCGTACGGGTTGAGCGGCTCGGGCGGCTGGCTGAACGGGTTGGCGAAGCCGGACAGGGAGGACGACGCCGTCGGGTTGAGCAGGTCGGCGAACGAGCCTGACGGCGTCGAGGCGGCGACGACGTGGCCGTTGACGCCGTTGGCAGCGCTCGTCGAGGCGACGGCCTGGCCGTTGACGAGCGTACTCGCGGCCGGCTCGTCGAGCTCGAAGCGGGCCCGCTTGGCCGGACCCTGCTCGCCGGCATCGCCCTCGACGCCCTCCATCGCCGCACGCTCGCCGACCTCGACCTCGCCATCGGTGCCCTCGCCGTCTCTCGCACGCTTGAGCGGGTTCTCGGACCCCTCGCCCTCGCCAAGCTCCTCGCCTTGCCCGGCCGCTGCCGCTCCTCCCTCCCCTTGCGCCTCGTCGGCGTCACTCCCGCTCGCGCGCGTGCCGTGCCGCGGACGATGCGCGCCGCCGGCGTCTGCCGCCTTCTCGGCTGCCGACACGAGCGCCTCCTCGCCCGGGATGTCGCCCTCGCGACCTTTGCGGCGCGCGCGCCGGCTCGGGTCGGCCTCGTCCCTCGCGCGCAGACGTGCGGCGAGCTTGTCGCACTCGGAGCGGAACAGCGCGTCGAACGTCTGGTCGAGCATGACCTTGACGTGGTTGACCATCTGGCCGGCGCGGATCGGCGCCTCGCCGTCGTTCTCCATGATCTTGTTGACCTCGGCGTTCGCCTGGATGCGCAGGATGTCGGCGACAAAGTCGTCGGGCGTGTAGTACAGGCCCTTGTACAGGTCGGACGCCATCGTGTCGAGGTCGACGTTGAAGTAGGGCTGCGTGCCGAGGCCCGTCACCGTCTCGTTGGCCCGGAGCTGCTCCTTGCGCCAGTCGAGGTCGTCGCGCTGCCAATCGCGGTACAACGAGCGCTGGAACCGCTTGTAGCGCTTCTTGAGCTCCGACAGGACCGGGCCGAGCTTCCACTTGAGGTACTCGAGCAGGCGCAGGTCGTTCTGCTGCTGCTGGGCGATCTCGGCGGCGGTCGGCTCGCGCGGCGGCGGCGGCGGCGCGATCGGGAGCTTCTCGAGCACGCGCTTGCGGCGAGGCATGCCGTCGGGGTACTCGGTCGGGCGGCGGTGGATCGCGGTGAAGACCTCGGCGAAGAACTCGTGGCGCTGGGCCTGCGAGAGGGGGTCGGGACGCAGAGTGTCAGGTCCCCGCGCACGGACAATCTCGCCGCACGGACGAGGGAGGGAGAGGAGGACGCACAGCACCGGGCTTGCCCATGACGACGCGGTTGCCCTTGACGAAGCCGAACCAGGAGCGCACGTCGGGCGGCACGTCCGAGAAGTGGCCGTCGACGACGGCAAGGAGCAGGATCGGGTCGTTCGGGTCGAGGCCGTCGAGGAGGCCCTTGATCGTCGCGCGTACCGTGTCGCCGACGCTGGCGCACCACGAGACGAGCGACGGGATGAACAGGATCGACGGCTTGTGGCGCTTGGCCTCGACAAAGAGCTGGACGCACGACGCCTCCATCGTGCGCGACGAGTCGGACACGAGCGTCGCGAGGTCGAGCGTCTGGACGTGAAAGCCCTCGAGGTGCTGCAGGACGGCGGCGCCGATGTACGACTGGCCCATGCCCGACTCGCCGCAGATGACGAGGCGAGGGCGGAACACGCGCAGCTGCTCGAACGCTGTGGGCACGAGAGAGACAGAGTCAGTATCTGCGGCGCGGGAGGGGGAAAGGAGAGAGAGAGAGAGGGAGAGAAGAGCGGACCCTGCATGAGCTTCTCCTTCTCGAACCCGCCGCCGTCGTCGACGTACTCGGCCTCCTCGAGCACGCTGATACGCTTGACCTCGGGCAGGACCTTGGCGAGCGCCGTCTTGGCGTGCTCGAACGACGTCGACAGGAGCGGGACGAGCTGTGGCGGGATCGGTGCTGCCGAGGACGAGGTCGAGCGGGCGGTCGAGGGGATGAGGTCTGTGCGGGGCCGAGATCAGGTTCAAGGCCTCGTCCTCGTCGACTGGCCCGAGAGAAACTGAGGACGTACTCTTCTGCGAGACGATAAAGTCGCGCGCCGTGACCTCGATCGACTCGGGCTTGATGACGAGGCGGTCGTTCGTCTTGTAGATCTGCGGGTAGGTGCGCTGGACCGCGTTGAGCGCCGCCTCGGTGCACAGGGCCTGCAGGAAGATGCGCGATCAGTAGAGGAACGAGGAAGAGAGGCAGGGAGCGAGAAGGAGAACGTACGCGCAGGTCGGCGCCACCGTACCCCTTGGTGAGCTTGGCGAGCTCGTCCTTGAACGGGTCGTCGAGCGGCGGGTTCCACCCGCTCGTGTGGATGTCGACGATCTTCCTCCTCGCCTCGAGGTTGGGCAGCGGGAAGTAGAACTCGCGGTCGAACCTGCCCGGGCGACGCAGGGCCGGGTCGATGGCGTCGGGGCGGTTGGTCGCGCCGATGACGATGACCTGGCCGCGCCCGTCCATGCCGTCCATGAGGGCGAGGAGCGTCGAGACGATCGAGGCGTGGATCTGCTCCTGCTTGCTGCTCCGGACGGGAGCGAGACCTGCATCGGGGCACGAGAAGGTCGATGTCAGGGACGGCGCACGAGCGGGCGCTGACAGAGGAGAGATAGAGAGAGACACGAGGACGCACCGTCGATCTCGTCGAAGAAGATGATGCTCGGCTGGCACGCCTTGGCCTCGTCAAAGAGGAGGCGCAGCTGGCGCTCGGCCTCGCCGACCCACTTGCTCAGGCAGTCGGCGCCCTTGCGCATGAAGAACGCTGTACGCTCGGGGCGACGTCAGGACCAGGACGAGGCGAGAAAGAGAAAGAGAGAGAGAGAGAGAGAGAGAGAGAGAGAGAGAGAGAGAGGGCCGGCGACGCACAGATTTTGCGGCCGTCGGTGCTGCAGCTGGCGGCGAGTGCGCGGGCGAGGAGCGTCTTTCCGGTGCCCGGCGGGCCGTGGAAGAGGACGCCCCGTGGCGGCGTCATGTTGAAGCGCTCGAACACCTCGGGGTACAGGAGCGGGAGCGACACCATCTCCTTGAGCTGCTGGATGTGCCCGCCGAGGCCGCCGACCGAGTCGAACGAGATGGACGACGGGACGCCGAGCGGGTCCGTGTCGGCGAGCGCGGCCGCGTTCTGCACCTTGCCGAGGTTGGACGGCGCGCCAAAGTCGAGCCCGCCGCCGGACAGCATGCCGCCCGTCATGCCCGTCGCGCCGGCGCCGGTAAAGACGGCGCCCTTGCGCGGACTGCCGCCAAAGTTGGGCGCGTCGTCGTCGGACGAGTCGGACGAAGGCTGACCGCCCTCGGGGTACAGGGCGGCCCACTGCGCGCCCGTCATGTTGGCGGGCAGGCCGGCGAACGGGTTGCCGTCCTCGTCGACGCGGCGCTGCTTGCCCTTGCCCTTGTCCTTGTTGGCGGGTGCGTCGAGCGACAGCGGGACGAAGTAGTTGACGCGAGGCTTGTTGCGCAGGCGGCGACTCGAGCCCTCCTTGTCCTGGCCGAGCGAGTCGTCCTCGTCCTCGAGGTCGAGCATCTCGTCGTCCTCGTCCGTGTCGACCTCGGTGTCGTCGTCGTGCTCGTACGACTGGTCGGCCTTGCGGCTGTTGCGCGTCTGGCGGGTGCGGGGCCGCGAGGGCTGCGTGAGGCCGCTGCGCTCGCGCTGCTGCCGCTGCGAGCGCTGCTTGTCGGCGACGCGGCGGCTCCTGCCGCGGCGCGGGTTGCCGTTGCCGCCGTACTCGTCGTCGTCGTCGGCCGCGGCCGTGTACTCGTCGTCCTGCTCGACGCCGGCGCCGTGGTACGCGTTGCCGCGACGCAGGCCGCGACTCGCGCCCTGCGGCTTGACCTCGTCCTCCTCGTCCGACTCGCCGTAGAACTGCGGGCGGCGGGTCGTGCGGCCCGACGAGGTCGTGATGGTCGTGACGAGGCGCTGCTGCGCGTGGTACGCCTCCTCGTCGTCGTCGTCCGTGTCGACGATGACGCGGCGAGGGCGAGGGCGCAAGCCGTGGCCGCCGACGGCGTCGCCCTCGTCCGGCTGCTGCCCGTTCTCCTGCGGCGCACCGTCCTCGGGCGCGTACTCGGGCTCTCCCGCGGCGTCGGCGTCGTCCTCGTCCTCGCCGGGCGCGTCGTCGTCGACCGCCGGCTGGCCGTCTTGGTGCGGGCCGACCTTGAGGCGGACCTTGAGCTCGCTCGCGTCGCCGTAGTGCTGCTCGTGCTCGTACTGCTGAGGGTCGTGCGGGTGGGCGTGGTACTGCTCGGGCTCGACGGGCGGCTCGAAGTGGGCGTGGTGGTGGTGGTGGTGGTCCTCGGCGGTGTCGCGCTCTGCGGCGCGGTACTCGTCGTCCGAGTCGTCCTGGACGGCGTAGCTGCGCCTGTTGGCAGCGGCAGCCCTCGTAGGACGCGTCGAAGGTTGCGGCGCGGGCGAGAAGTCGTTGTCGTCCTCGACCGTGTCGTCGTACGAGGCGGTGCGCCTGGACGAGGCGCGTCGCGGACGGGCCATGTCAACTTGAGGCGGGTCGGGTGGGGCGGTCCAGGCGGGGTGCGCTGCTGGCAAGGCCGGGAGGTTGTGGAGCGAGAGGAGGGGAGGGGCAGTCGGCGGGAGGGGCGGCCCACGGGTGTGCATGCAGCGGGGGGCGAGGTGCGCGTGTGCTCGGTGCTGGTCGCTCGTGCCGGTAACGAGTCTCTGGGTGGGGGAAGAAGTGAGGGCGCGCAGAGAGCGGCGCGTCGAGGAGACACAGTCGCTCGCCCGATGCTCGGCCCAGCTGTTGCTCTGCTGCTTCCTCTGGTCGCTCTCGACCTCAGCTGGTAGCAGCACGCACGCGGCAGCACGCCCGCGCTCCCTCGTCGAGCCTCGCTGGCTCGCCTCGAGCGTTCGAAGGCAACGCTGCGCCCACCCTCCCTCTGTGTAGCTCTCGCTTGCAAATCAACGCGAGTACCTTGAGCTGCCGTGCCCTCTGACTGTCCCCGTCACGCGAGAGATAGCCGAGACGAGGGTCGTCGACCTCCGTCGAGGAGGACGAGGTCCACCCCCACTTCGACCCGCCGCTCGCCCTCGACAGCTCAGAGCTCGCTGCTGCCTCGCTCAGCAGCTCCGCGAGACTACTTGCTCGACGACCGGCCGACAAGCGCGCGCGCCAGATCGAGGATGGCCGGCTGGGACGACTACGTCGACGACGGCCCGGCAACGCTCCGCATCCCGACCCAGGGCTGGGAGGACGGCGCAGTGTACGAGCCAGGGCACTCAGAGGTACGCACCCACTCGCTCCCACCTGTTGCGCGCACCCGCAGAGCCAAACTCACCTTCGCTCCCTCTTCCTCCCCTCTCGTCGCCCGCTCGCAGGAGCCCGACGCGCCCATCTTCAGCCTCGGCCAGGTCCAGTTCACCCTGCCGTCCGCGCTGCACTCGCTGTCGTGCACGAGCAACATCCTCCTCCTCGCCTGCACCGGCATCGGCCCCACCTCGTCGTCCTCGTCCGCCTCGCCGCCTCCCCTCCCTCAGCTCATCCGCATCGACCTCGACAAGCCGACCGAGGTCGACACGATCGACGTGCCCGTCGCTCCTCCCGCCCAGCACGGCCGCGGCGCACCTGCACCTCCCCCGCCGAGCCTGCACAAGGTCCACGTCGACCCCGCAGGCCGTCACGTCCTCGTCTCGACCTCGTCCGGCGACAACTTCTACGTCTTCATCGGCGCCCTCCCCGCCGGTGCACCCTCGTCGGCGGCGCCGTCGACCCGTCGCGCCAAGCCCCTCGCCCGGCTCAAGGGCGCCATCGTCGAGGCCGTCGCCTGGTCGCCTTCGTCGTCCTCGTCCACGTCCTTCTCAACCGGCGGCATCCTGCTCGGCACCACGACGGGGCAGCTCCTCGAGACGTGCCTCCTCGACCCGGCCCTCGACTCGTCGGCGGGCGCGTTCTCGCTCCCGGTGCCCGGCCGGTCCTCGATCGAGCGCTACGTCAAGCAGCTCTACACCCTGCCCGAGCGGCAGAGCGTCGTCGGCCTGCGGTACGAGGTGTGGGGCAAGCGTGTCGCGGTCGTCGCGGCGACGGCTACTCGCGTGCACCAGTTCGTCGGCGCAGCCGGCCCAAAGGTCAAGGACGAGGACGCGGCGGTCCTCGAGGCCGTCATGCAGCCCTACTCTTCCGGCGACGCACGACCAAGTGCGTCTCTCTCGCTTTCTCGTCCTCGAGATTGCGGCGTCCTGACCCTGTCCTCTCACAGAAACGCTCGAGCTTCCCGGCGAGCCACCCTCGTCCGAGTTGCACTTCTTCGCTCCGCCGTCATCCTCGGACAAGTCGCGCCCGCTCCCAAAGAGCATGGCGTGGCTCACCGGTGCGTCCCGCTGTACCTCTTCCATTCTCGAGCACGGTCCTGACTCGCTCCCGTCGCAGCCCCGGGCATCTACCGCGGCCAGCTCGTCTTCCCTTCCTCCTCTGCCGACCTGCAGCCGGGTGACGGCATCATCGACACGGCGTCGCTCATCCCGTTCCCGTCCGACCCTGCATCGTTCTTCCCGTCGGGCGAGCAGCAAGACCCGCCGATCAGCATGGCCCTCACCGAGTGGCACTTTGTCCTCCTGTACGACGACAAGATCTGCGCCGTCGACCTCCTCACCGACAAGGTCGTCTACCATGAGCACCTCAACCTTGTGCGTCCTGCTCTCTTACCTCGTCGAGCCTCGTCCGCACAGCCTAACTCGGTTCCTCGTCCCCCTCCAGCCCGACGGCGCCCGGCCGCTCCGCCTCGCGACCGACCCGGTGCGCAAGACGCTGTGGATGTACACCGACCAGGCGATCTACGAGCTCGTCGTGCGGGACGAGGACCGCAACGTGTCGAACGTCTACCTCGCTCGAGGGCAGTGGGACAACGCTCGCCGACTCGCCAAGGTGCGTCCCTCTTCCTCACTCGCGCGAGACACGCCTCGCACGAGACGATTACTGACTCCTGATCGCCCCTCGCAGACGCAGCGACAACGTGACGCCGTCCTCGCCGCCGAGGCCGACTCGCACTTTGCGGCGGGCAAATTCATCCAGGCGGCGCAGGCGTACGCCCAGTCGTCCAAGAGCTTCGAGGAGGTCGTCCTGCGGTTCGTCGAGCGAGACGAGCGAGACGCGCTGCGGTACTACCTCAGCGCCCGGCTCGAGCGGCTCAAGCGCACGGTGCGCCCCCCTCTCTCTCCCTCCCTACTCTGCGCAGCGGGCTCATTCGCTCCTTCTCCTCCCGCAGGACCTCACGCAGCGCATGATGCTCGCGACGTGGCTCGTCGAGATCTTCCTCGCCAAGATCAACGAGCTCGAGGACCTCGCTGCGGCTGAGCGTGCGAGCGGCGACGCCGACAACTTTCACGCCGAGCGGGCCATCGTCGAGGAGGACATGCAGCAGTTTCTCAAGACGTACAAGGTGCGTCTCTCTCTCTCTCCTCGTCCTGTTCGCGCCGTTCACTCATGCAGTCGACCCGCGCCAACAGGACAACCTCGACTCGCGCACGGTGTTCGACCTCATGGGCCGACACGGCCGCGACGAGCTCATGCTCTTCTATGCGTCGGTCATTGGCGATCACGAGCGCATCATCGAGTACCATATCGCGCACGAGGACTGGACCAAGGCGCTGCAGGCGCTCAGCAAGCAGGTGCGCCTCGACCACTTTCGACCTCTTCGCCGACGCGAGACTGACTCTCGCTCGCCCTGCAGGACTCGGTCGACTTCTACTACCGCTTCGCCGCCGTCCTTGTCCGACACGCGCCGAGGGAGGCCGTCGACACGTTCCTCCGTCAGCCCCAGCTCGACGTTCGCCGCCTCATTCCCGCCCTCACCTCGCCTCGCGTCCGCTCGCCCTCCTCCTCGTCCGAGACGACCGAGCACCTCATCCGCTACCTCGAGCACAGCGTCCTCATGGCCCACAACACCGACCCGGCCGTGCACAACACGCTCGTGACCCTGTACGCGACGTCGCCCTCGCCGGCGCACGAGGCCGCCTTCCTGCGGTTCCTCGACCTGGCGCCGACCGACCCGGGCACGGGCGACCCGCTGTACGACCTCGACTATGCGCTGCGCGTCTCGAGGGCGCACGGCCGGGTTCAGGCGTGCGTGCGCATCTACGCGCAGATGGGCATGCACGAGGCGAGCGTCGACTTGGCGCTCGAGGTCGACGACGTCGAGCTCGCCAAGCTCAGCGCCGAGGGCCCCGAGGACGACGACCTGCTGCGCAAGAAGCTGTGGCTCAAGATCGCCAAGCACGTCGTGGGCCAGAAGAACGACATCAAGAGGTCCGTGCATCTCTCTCTCTGTGTCTTTCTCTGTCCCTCTCGCGCACAAGGACGGCCTTCTGACTCTCGTCCCTCCTCCTTTTCATCCATGTACAGCGCCATGAACTTCCTCGAGTCGACGTCGTTGCTCAAGATCGAGGACATCCTGCCCTTCTTCCCGGACTTTGTCGTCATCGACGACTTCAAGGACGAGATCTGCTCGGCCCTCGAAGACTACTCGTCGCACATCGAGCGTCTTAAGGAGGACATGAACGAGGCGACTCGGAGCGCCGAGGCCATCAAGGCCGACATTGCCGACCTCGACAACCGGTTCGTCGTCGTCGACGCGGGCGAGAAGTGCGGCAGCTGCCGACAGCAGCTCCTCACTCGCCAGTTCTACGTCTTCCCGTGCCAACACTGCTTCCACGCCGACTGCCTCATCCAGGAGGTGCGTCGTGCCTCTCGCTCCTCTCCCTCTCCTCGACGACGGCCGTCCTGACCCTCTCTCTCTCTCGCCGGCTTTGCAGGTCACCAAGACGTTGTCGCCGTCCCAGCTACGACGCATGCTCGACCTCCAGGCCCAACTCGCGCCCTCGTCCTCGTCTGCCCGTGCCGCCGCCAACGCCGCACGCTCGCGCCGCACGCTCCTCGACGACACGTCGGCCCAAGGGCTCAAGCTCGCCGCCGCCTCGGTCCAGGCCGTCGACCAGCTCCGCAAGCTCGTCCTCCCCGACGCCCTCATCAGCGCCATCGGCGGCGCCATCCCGCTGCCCAACGCGCCTCGCGTCAAGGGCTTTTCGGCGCTCGGCGGGTTCGCGAGCGGCGGCGGTACGGGCGCGGCGACGAACGGCGCCGCGTCGGCCTCGATGGCGCGCTCTCGGCGCGGCGACGATGCGCACGACACGCAGAAGCCCGAGCGCGAGACGGCCGAGTCGCGCGAGAAGCAGGCGCTGCGCAAGCAGCTCGACGACCTCATCGCGAGCGCATGCGTCCTGTGCGAGGGAGCGATCGCGACGGTAGACCGAGACTTTGTAGAAGACGGCGAGGAGATGTGAAGCGCTCTCTTCTGCTCTCCTCTTCTCGCGCGAACCGAGAGAGAACGAGGGAAAGCCAGGAATTGAATTAGGCGCGAGCGGCGAGAAGGCTACGGCGAGGCAACTGGACTATGGACAAGGTGTGGGCTCGTGGTCTCGGTGTCGTGCTGCTCAGCGCGTGTAGCGGATGCGCTGTGGAGGAAAAGGAACGGTCAGCTCGACTGCTTCGCGGGTCGAGAGGGGGACGAGGAGGAAGGAGGGGACGCACGCCGCCCGGTCCGAACGAGAGGCTGAAGCGCTTGCCCGCACGGTGCAGGTAGACGACCTTGGGCACGAGGGTGTAACTGCAGGGGGCACGGCGAGTCAGGCGCTGCTCGAGGACGGGGGGGAAGGCGGACGACCGCCTCGACGACGCTGCGAGCGCTCGCCGCGATGGGACGACGAGAGAGACGCGACTTTCGTGTGCACATGGTGGGCGATCGAAAAGCCCATCGTCTCAAAGGAGCTGCTTGAGTGGTGGTGGATGTGGAAGAGGAGGGCGAGCGGAGTCCTGTTTCGATGACGCGGAGGCGACGAGTGAGCAACGGCTCGCGCGCGATCTGCGCGAGTGGCAGGGTGGACTGACGAGTAGTGTGGACGAGCTGTGGCTGGTAGAGAGCGCCTGTCGACGTGTGAGCGAGGAGGAGAAGGGAGGGGCGGCAGTCGAATGTCTCGGGCGGTGCATCAAGGCGGTGCTGCGGAAAACCGACACCGCTCGCTCGGAAACTTGTGACGAGCACTCTAAGCTTCTCCAGAATCTCGATCGTACGTACGACCCGCGCAACGTCGCGCTTCCTCCCCCTCGCACTTTCGCAGCCTGCGCTCTCGACCAGCTAGCTGCGCCTCAGCGTCTGCATCTCACGACGCACACCTTTGTGGACTCTGATCTCGTAGAGCCGAGCGCCGTCGCTAAGCCAAGCCAAAGACGAGCGGGCGATGAAGCACGGCCTTCTCAAGTGGCCAAGGACGATGCGCAGAACGAGTTACAGGGCCCGTCTAGAACGAGATAGAGAGATACGATGCACTGAGTAAGAGTGTCTACAAGAGAAAGGGAGAGGCGACCAGCACCCGCTCAGAGCCCACCACCTCCCATTCCTCTCCCTCCTCCGCCCTCGTACGCCGCCGGCCGCTTGTGCGCGTGCTGGTCAATGGGCGCGACACGCTGCGCTGCTTGCTCCTTGGCGCGCCGGATCTCGTCCTCGGAAGGCCGGACAAAGTTGCGCCCGGGAGCGGCGGCGGCGACGCTGCCCGGCTTGTCGAGGGCACGCCAGGCGTCGTTGGCGAGGGCGGCGGCCTGCGACGAGGAAGGCGAGTCGTCAGTAAGAGATGCGCCGACGTCGAGCTAGCGGAAAGGGACGAGAAAGAGAGAAGCGGGCGCACCTGCTGAACCCTCGCCCACTTTTGGACCCACGTGCCCTCGCCGAGCTGCGACGTGAACGACGCCTCACGCGTCTCGTCCGGCCCCGTCCAGAGCGGCTCAGGACGCGCAGGACCGCCAGGCTTGCGGATAAAGAACGGGTGCGCCTCGGTCGAGAAGACGTAGTCGTCGAGCGAGAGGAGGTCCCGAGGCGAGAACTGCAGGAGGTGCTCGTGTGAGCTTCGCATCCCTGCTGCGGTGCGACAGAGAGATAGAGAGAGAGCGACGCACAAGGAGGTACGCGTACTTGAGCGTCTCGGCCATGACGAACGACTCCTCGCTGTCGTCCCTGCCCTTGCCCTTCTCGGGGACCCGGTTGACGTCCGAGATGGTCGCGCTGCACGCCGGTCACTCTGTCAGTACCGTCCAAGGAGAAGGAGCGCGAGAAAGAGAGAGACAGGGACGCACAAGCCGGCCGGGGTGATCGCGTGCCGCACCCAGTTGACGAACATGGTCCAGCCGACGTCCTGCCACTTGCGGTCGCCCGTCAGGCGCCACATGTAAAAGACGCTCTCGATCGTCTCGGGACGGCCGATCTGGCGCCGGTCGGACGCGCGAACGCCGACGGGCGAGCCTCGCGGGGTGCGGCTGCAGGCGGACGAGGGGAGCGGCAGCGTCAGTACAGCACGAGGCATCGACAAGAGGTCGCCCTCGTGCGAGAGAGAGGAGAGAAAGAGAGAGGCGGGACGCACTATTTGCCCTTGCCGTCCGGGCGGTCGAGCACCATGAACCTCGACGAGCTGTCGTTCTCGTAAAAGACCGTCTGCTCGCCGCCGATGCCCGTCTTGGACGACTCGTACGTCCAGGCGCACGCGTTGGTGACGTTGACGGCCGTGTCGAGGTCGTGAGGGCGGTCGAGGAGCCGAGCGCCGAGGCCGAGCCTGCGCGCGAAGGGGGACGTGCGAGGCCATCAGGACGTGCTTCGACATGGAGAGGGTTCGGGTCGAAGGACAGAGAGGGAGGGAGAGGAGAGAGGGAGAGGGGGGGACGCACATTCCGCCGGCAAAGCAGGTCAAGTGCTGCAGGCTCGGCTGCCACTTGCCGAGCTGGACCGTGCCGATGAGCGTCAGGTCGTCTCGGCCAGGGACGACGTCGACGGGCCGAATCAGGTGCTCGTACGCCGAGTCGACGGCGTCGCGGTACATGCGCGGGTACTGGTCGAGCGCGAACGACGTGAGCTGCGCCTGCTTGATCTGCGGGTCCGAGACGCGATCGTCAGGCGTGCTCGAGCGTCTCGAGAGGAACCTGAAGAGAGGTTTGAACGCACGAGGTACTCGTAGTACGAGTCGGCGAGCCCGCCGAACGTGTACTCGCCCTGGAGCATCTTGGGCGCGGCAGCGTCGAGGTGCGCAGGCAGGAGCGCGCCGAGCCGGCCTCGCCAGTTGGGGCTCGCGAGCTCCTTCGGGTCGGTCGGCTTGGCGACGGCGTGCGCAAAGTGCGTGTCGAGCGTGTCCATGGCGCGTTGAGCCTGCGGAAGGGGACCGAGCGGGGAGGAGGGCCGAGGGGAGGACGACGGGAGGCAAGGCGAGTCAGTGACGCGCTCGCTCGTCACCTGTCGATAAGACTGAGAGAGAGAGAGAGAGAGAGAGAGAGAGAGAGAGAGAGAGAGAGAGAGAGAGGACGCACCGCCTCGAAGTAGATGTCGTCGCCGGTGAGTTGGCTCAACTTGGTGAACTCGAGCGAGAAGCTGCCGACCTCGGCGAGCGTGACCCTGCCAGCGGGCTTGCCGTCCGGGTTGTGCCTGAGCGCGTACCGGCCGAGGGGCAAGCCGTGGTCGGTCGCGAGCGCGGGCAGGAGCCAGTCGCCGAGCTCCCGCGCGCGGTCGAGCATGAGCGGGTCGCCGCCCGACAGCTCGTGCGCCGACAGGAGGCCACCGAGGTACCGGATCGTGACCTCGAACCAGGGGACCGTCGTCGGGCTGTGCGGGTCGCCCGCCTTGGCCTCGCGCGGGTCGACCCAGGGCTTTTTGGCGCGCGGGGGCCGCTCGGCGCTCGGCGGCGGCACGTCGAGGGCGGCGAGCGGCGGGAGCTTGGTCGAGAACGTCTTGGACCCGGACGGGACGAGGTAGGTAAAGTCGATGGCGGCGACGTGTTGGCGGGCGCGGTTGTACTCGCGCGAGAGGTTCATGACGAGGAGCGTGTCGAGCGAGTCGACGATGCTGGCGCCCCACCCGGCGTAGTTGTCGCTGAACCCGTTCGACACGGGCTGCACCTCGTCGTGGCCGTAGGCGTGCTCCGACAGGCCCGTCCACGCGTGCATGCAGGCGCGCTTGACCCAGTCACGCCGGTGCCGCTCCTCGACGACGCGCCGCTCCTCCTCGCCCTCGTCCTCGCTCCGCAGCGGCCCGTCGTGCTGCACGCGCGGGACGTCGCGCCGCTCGCCCACCGTCCCGGACCCGAGCTCGCTCGCCCTGAACCCGCTCGGCGGCTTCCACCCTCGCTCGCGCCCGAGCTTGAGCTCGTCGTGCGGGACGCGCCTCGGCCGCCCCGTGCGCTCGTCGAATGCCATGCCCGGCGCGAGGGGCCGGCGCGTGCCGTCGTGCGGGTTGCGGCCGGCGACGGCGGCCGAGTACTCGAGCGCCTTGAGGAGGTGGCGCGCCGGCGGCGGGTTGTGCTCGACCGGGTCGGCGAGGTCGCGCCAGCCCGTGTCCGAGCTGCCGAAGCGGTCGACGCCGAGCCATTTGCGGCCCTGCCACGAGCGCGACTCGTTGGCCCACGGGTCGGGCCACGAGGGCGGGACCGGGCGCCGAGGCTGGATAAAGTGGGCCATGTCGACGATGGGCGCGTCGTCCGTGGTGCCCGTCTCGACGGCGGACGAGTCGCTGACGACGCCGGGCGGCGCAGTGTGGTCGGGCGGAGGCGGTGGAGGAGGAGGAAAAGGGAAGCCCTCGTCGTCGAGAGGGGGGCGGCCGTGGTGGTGCGGGCCGCGGTGTCGAGGGCGCGACCAGGCGTCGAGACTGTGTCGTATAGAGACATAGAGAGTCAGTAGGCTGCGAACGAGGTCGACTCGCGAGCCCGACAGCAGGTCGTGGACCCGAGCTGCTGCGCACTCGACGAGGCAGAGGTTCGCGGGGGGACGACGTACAGGAGGTACAGGAGGGCGACTCCTGCGATACCGAGAGCTGCCGCCTTGATGGTCTTGGTGCGAGCATGTTTGTGGCGCGCGAGGCGGTGGTGCCAGGGCGAGGCAGAGGATGGTGGTGGAGGCGACGAGGAGCGGTCGCCCCAGTCGCTCTCGTCGTCCCAGTCGGGGGTGCGGCGAGACGGGTAGGCCGAGTAGGGCGAGTCGGCGGTCGGGACCGAGTGATACGAGCCGTGGTGGTGGTGCGAGAGGGGAGCTCGAGGAGGGAAGGCGGCGACGTGAGCTGGCGGGGAGCGACGTCGTGGGAGCGACCCGTCCTCGGTGAGGATGGTCATGGTCTCCGTGTGGACCGAGTGGCTGAGTCGTCTGGCCAGCTTGGGGCGATCTGCGAGAGAGAGGGCCCGTTTCAGATGAAGCGACGGCTCCGCTTCGGCTCCCCCTCACTCCTGCTCGCTCCTCTCGCTGTAGCCGCCTCGAGGGAGCGACATGAGCCTCGACAGCCTCCCACCAGAGGTACTCGCCGTCGTCGTCGCCCACCTCCCGCTCCGCGCCACCGCCGTGCGCCCCCACTCATCGCTCGTCTCGCTCGCGTCCACCTCGCGCCACCTGTACGCCGCACTCGAGCCCGTCATCAACCGCACCGTCGCACTCGACTCGCACAATCAGGCCCATGCACTCGCGCGAGACGCCCCTGCACGCCACCGCGCCCTCGTGAGGGCTCTTCACCTCCGCGCCCCGTTGTCGACCTCGGCAAGCACAACCTGGACCATCGACGACCTCGACCTCCTCGTCCACCGGCTCAACGCCCTCACCGACCTGCACTGCACCGCCCTCGCCGCCGACCCGTTCGACACCCTCGCCGTTCTCGCGCAAACCGGCACCGCGACTCGCCTCGACCACCTCGACCTCGACTTTGCCCCCTCCTCGGCCTCGCCGTGCCCCAGCTCGTCGTCCGGCGACGTCGATGCGGGCACGATGCCGCTCCCATCATGGCTGCGCGCGTGTCTCGCCGAGTGCCCCGAGCTGCGCTCCCTCGCCGTGCGCAACATGCCCGCCGTCGCGCCTCGCCCCGCCGCGCAGTCGGGCTCCGGCGAGACCGGCCGCCCTCAGACGAGGCTCGAGCGACTCGAGCTCGAGGCGACAGAGCTCGACGATGCGGCGCTCGACGAGGTGCTCGGGGCGGCGGGTGCCACGCTCGACACGCTGCGGCTGCGGCGGTGCGGCGGGTGGACGAGCGCAGGGCTCGTCAGGGCCGTTCGCGAGCACGGTGCGAGGCTTCGGCACCTCGAGATCGTCGTCGGCGAGGCGTCGTCCGGCGCGCCATCCTCGTCCTCGACACCGTCCTCCTCCCCTCCTCCTGCCGCGTCACCGCTCGCCCACGTCGTCGACGACCTCCTCCTGTACCTCCCCCACCTGACCACCCTCACTCTCTCCTCACCCGCAACCGTCCCTCGCGCCGCGCTCATCTCGCCTGCCGCGCTCGCCCTCCTCCCGACCCACACCCCGCACCTCGCCGCGCTGCACCTCGACGGCCCGCACATGGCGTCCGACGTCCTCCCGCTCGTGCGACCTGCGCCAGATGCCGCAACCCTGCGCCACCTGCGCGTCGTCTCGCTGCACCGCCCGGCGCCGCCGCTTGGCGGAGCGTGCGACGTTAGCGCCGCCGCGAGCGCGCCCCACGACGGCCGGACCGGCGAGACCGACGACGCGGCGGCGCAGGAGCTGTGGGCGGCGGCGCTGCAGCGCGAGGTGCGGCTCGAGGGCGCCCAGTTTGAGCGCGCGAGGACGAGGCTCGAGTGGGCGAAGGGCGCGGCGTGGGAGCTCGTGCGCGACGAGGCGGCGGCAGCAGGGGCGGTGGCGGGACCGGGCGCGAGCGCGAGGAGGAGGAAGCGGCCGAGCTTGCTGTAGATGTGCGCCCGCAACCACGAGTTCGAGCTGTACAGAGTGAGGCGGTGCAGAAGACTCTCGATCGCTCCCCTGTGCGGGGACTTGGCGGCCTCGCACGTCTCTCTCCCACACGCTCCTGCTCGCCCCGCCACCAGCTACGAGCACGCTACAGCCATGGAGCCCACTCGCACCCACCTCGTCCAGGTCCCCGGCGTCCACCTCGCGCACCTCGAGTCCAACTCTCCGTCATCGCCGCAGCTCGAGCTCGTCGGCACCCTCAACCTGTACCTGTGCCGCGCCCAGGGCAGCAGTGAGCGCTCGCCATCGCCTGCTCGCCGTGTCCCCCCTCCCCCGCCTGTCCGCCCAGCCGACAAGGCGCCTCTCTCGACAACGACTCTCGCACCTCCACCTCGCGCGACGTCAGCCTCGCCCTCGTCCTCGAGCCCGCCCGCCTACTCGAGCGCGAGCGCAGAGTGGCTCGTCGTCACCCTGACGCTGCCCGGTGACGCCGCGCCGTGCTTCGACATGCCCCTGTCGCTCGTCGACCCGGCGCGCGACATCGTCGCCGTCCCTCCCGCCGCGTACGACCTCCCCAACAACGTCGGCCAGGACCCGGCAGCAGTCTCGGCGTCGTCGAAGGGGCCGCAGCAGCACGGGCGCATCCGCCTCTCGCTCGCGCGCGACACGGACCCGTCGACCCGCGAGCAGTTCGAGGCGACCCTGTTCGGCCTGTACCGCGGCGCGTCGACGTCGGCTCCAGGGTCGGGCACCGTGACGCCCGTCCAGACCGAGCCCAACGCGCTGTACCTCGTCGACGAGTCGTCCGGGCGCGTCCTCGGGCAGCTCGACCCGGCGGCGGCGGGCGGGCTCGCGCTCGAGGAGGACGCGGCGCTCGCGCAGGGGCGCACCGACGACCGGCCCGGGTCGACGGCGAGCCAGGGCGCCAAGGTCAACGACGTCGGCGCCCACGAGGCCGTCGTCATCTCGCCGGCCGCGGCGGCGTCGGGTCCGGGCGGCGCCCTCGTCGGCTCGAGCCAGACGCTGTCGGTCAAGCCCGCGTCGGCCTACTTTGCGCCGGCGCACAACCCGAACGGGAGCAAGATCATCTCGGTCGCCAACACGGTCTCGCACGGCATCATCGTCGGGTCCAACCTCCTTTCGAAGCAGTTCGAGTCGTCGGCGGGCAAGTACGTCGCGAGCCGGCCGGCGACCGACAAGCCGCTCGTGTTCAAGCAGACGACCAAGGGCGCGTTCGAGCGCACGAGCGGCTGGACCGAGACGGCGAGCGTGTACAGCGGCAAGGCGGCGGGCGCGGTCGGCAAGGCGGCCGGGTTCCTCGGCGACAGGATCGGCAAGGCGGCGGGCCTCCAGCGTGCGTCCCGCTCGCTCTCTCGCCCGTCCTTCTACGCCCCCTCCATTTGCGGTACTGACCGCCTCGGGCCCTGCACGCAGAGGGAGGGACCGCATCCGGGTGGAAGGGCACGCTCGCGGCGACGCTCACGGCCGTCAACACGGTTGCCGACCACCTCGAAGCCGGGTGCGCCCACCTCTCCCTCTTCCTCGTCTCCCGAGACGCAGTTCCTGACGCTGTCCCTCTCGATCGTCGACCTCGCAGCGGCAAGACGCTCCTCGACTCGGGCTCAAAGTCGGCGAGCCAGGTCATCCACCACAAGTACGGCGCCGAGGCCCGCGGTGTCGCCGACGACGTCGGCTCGAGCGTCAAGCGTACGTCCCCTCCTCGCAGCCCCCCTCGCCCGTCTCGCTCGACCCGAACTGACCTTCTCAAACTCGACCTCCCCCTCGCCCTCGCCCGCCGCCCTCTCCCCTCCTCTCTGCAGACGTCGCCCTCGTGTACGTCGACGCACGCGGTGTGACGCGCAAAGCGCTCCTCAAGGGCATCGGCAAGGGCGCCATCAAGGCGCAGCTGTCGGACGGGAGCCAGGTGTACCTCTCGGGCGACGGCGACGAGCTCAAGCAGCTCGAGGCGGCAGCGGCTGAAGGACAGGGGCGGATCGAGGGCGCGGCAGGTGCAGGTGCGGCGCCGGGTGGGAGCAGGGTGGACGCGATCGAGCCGGCGCCGGCGTACGAGGCGCGATACGGCGACAAGCAGGTCCGAGGCGAGAAGCGGTAGAGCGGGCTCGCAGAACTGTAGCACTCTCGCGCTCACTGTATTACTCGATTCAGTCACGAGGAGAACGGCGTTCCGATGCGAGAGATTCTGCGAGAGGCAAGGCTACAAGTGGAGAGAGAGAGTGGGGTATCGAGAGGGCGCGAGAGGGGTATCCGAAGGAGGAGGGCCGTCCACTACCCTCCGACGAGCTCGAGGCCCGTCGCTGGGTCCCGCCGAGCGTCCGCTGCCTCGTCCCCCACCGCCGCCTTCTCGCTCGAGCGCTTCTCGTCGACCCTGGCCGCCTTGTGCTTCTCGTCGCGCGCACGCTCGCGCTCCTTCTCCTCCTCGTCGCCGCACCCACAGTCGTACACGTCGCGGAGGTTGGTCCCGCAGTCGTACTCGTCCTTTCCGAGGCGGGCGTTGACGAGGTTGTGCAGGTGGCACAGGTACAGCGACGCGGCGCCGCGCGACGATGTCTGCGGCGGGTGGTCGCGCAGGAGCTGCTGGAACTCGGCGGCGCACTGTGAGAGAGGGGCGAGGTCAATCGGGGCGTGCGAGAGGAATGAGAGGGAGAGAGGACGCACCTCGCCGCACGGGTACAGGCGCGAGAAGAGGAAGAGCCACGACTGGAAGGCGTCGCGCTGCTCTGCGGTCGGCTCTTCTGGGAAGCGCGCCGCCATGGTGTGGAGCAGTTTCCAGCTCGCGCGCCCTAGCTCGGCTCTGCAGGCGACGAGAGAGGTGGGTCAGTCGCGGGCGGTCGGTCGGGAAGGGGAGGAGGGCGAGGCGGGACGCACTTTGCGGTCGCGTTCGGGAGCTTGGGCATGATGATGTCGCCGTGCTGGAGCGCGCTGGCGACAGCATGGCCCGGTGCGAGGTCGTTGACGGCCGTCGCTCGTCCCGCGGTGGACGCCGAGTCGAGGCCGAGGCGGACTCGCTCCTTTGCGAGGAGTTGCTGGACGCGGGCCTCGACGAGCTGGTCCTGGTCCGAGTGGCCGACGCTGCCTGGAGCCCAGAGGGCGTTGTGGGCCGAGGGCGAGTCGAACGAGTCGCGCAGGAGGACGAAGGCGAGGGCGAGGAGGGAGGCGGCGGCGATGAGGAAGGACCACGGGAGGCGAGCCATGCCGGCCCTTGTGCGGTACTGGTTCAGAACGCGAGCGAGTAGATCTGTCGCTCGTGGCCCGTCGTCGGTCGTCGTCGTCGCCTCCGCCGAGGGAAGCCGTCGTCGTTGCTCTCCTCCTCTCACGCATCCGCTACCACCGCTGCTGCAGCGACACCGACCGCCGAGCATGGGCCTCGAATACTACGACGACTTTCTCGCCAAAGTCGCAGACCCGCCCCGCTGGCACGACGCCCAGGAGCAGGTCAGCCTCCCCACATCGCTCTCCTCGCTCGATCTCGCCCACTCACCCTCGCCCTGTGCCCTACCAGGTCCTCGTCGAGCCTTACGCCTACCTCGCGTCGATACCGGGCAAGGAGGTCCGCTCGGCCCTCATCGCCTCGTTCAACACGTGGATGCAGGTCCCCGAACCCGACCTCGACACGGTCAAGAAGGTCGTCGGCATGCTCCACACGGCCTCGCTCCTGTCCGTCCCACCCCTGTCCACCTCGTCGACCGACCCCGACTGACCGATCGACCGTGCGCCCGCAGCATGGACGACGTCGAGGACGACTCGCACCTGCGACGAGGCATGCCCGGTGCGCCCTCTCTCTCTCTCTCTCTCCCTTGACAGCCGAACACCTAGACCAACCCCTCGATGCACCCACACAGTCGCGCACAAGATCTACGGCATCCCGCAGACGATCAACTCGGCCAACTACGTCTACTTCCTCGCGTTCCAAGCCCTGCAGCGGATACGCCCGCGCCAGGGCGTCAAGGTCGAGGAGATGGTCACCGGTGCGTCCCATGCTCACACAGCCTCGACTCAGAGACGGTGAACTGACCCCCTCCCGCCCCGAACCCGCGCAGACGAGCTCCTCAACCTCCACCGCGGCCAGGGCATGGACCTCTTCTGGCGCGAGAACCTCATCTGTCCGACCGAGCCCGAATACATCGACATGGTCAACAACAGTGCGCCCCTCGTCTCCTCTCCTCGCACGCAGGCGGGTACGAGAGCTGCGCGAACTCACCCTGCCCGCCCGAGCAGAAACCGGCGGCCTGTTCCGCATCGCCATCAAGCTCATGATGGCCGCCTCGCCCGAATCTCCACCCAGGTGCGTCCTCGGACGAGTCTCTCGGCCCTCCCAGTCTCGGACGAGCGAAACTGACCCTCGCTCGCGCACCGTCCCTCCCTCCCCTCCCTTTGCGCCTCTTCCTCGACGCCCTCGCAGAGACTACGTCCCGCTCGCCAACCTTATCGGCATCATCTTCCAGATCCGCGACGACTACGTCAACCTGCAGAGCGCCGAGGTGCGTCTGGCTCGCTCGTGCACGTCGTCCGAAACCTCGACACTGACCCTCGTTAGTGGCCCGCAGTACACGGCCAACAAGGGTTACTGCGAGGACCTGTCCGAAGGCAAGTTCTCGTTCCCGATCGTGCACGCCATCCGCGCCGACACGACCAACCGCCAGCTGCTCAACATCCTGCGCGAGCGCCCCTCGTCGCCCGGCCCGAAAACCTACGCCGTCACCTACATGGAGACGCGCACGGGCTCGTTTGCGTACACGCGCGACGTCCTGCGACGCCTCATGGTGCAGGCGCGCGCCGAGGTGGCGCGCCTCGGCGGCAACGCGGGCGTCGAGCAGATCCTCGACAAGCTCGAGCTGGGCGAGTTCCGCAACGAGCAGCACGAGCAGGACGAGCGCGAGACGATGGAGCGCGTCCTCGAGCGCGTCGTGCGCAGCAGGCCCGTCAGCGAGGTCAACGGCGTCGGCGCGCTCGGCCTCGGCGGCCTCGGCGGCGGCGCGTCGACGTACGGGCTCGGACAGGGGCGCGGCGAGCGCCTGCGCGAGCACTCGGGCGCGTCGACGCCCGCCGGCAGCATCAGCAGCAGGAGGTCGTCGCGCCCGGCGTCGGTCGTCCAGCCGCCGCAACCGCAACCGCGCCCGCAGCAGCAGCAGGGGCAGCAGGAGGAGGACGACGAGCCGACGGCGAGGCACATCTTCGAGTCGATGGCGCCGCCGTCCTGAGGAGGCGCGTGCGTCGGTGCGTCGGTCGACGAGGAGCTTGAGCGGTCCAGGCGTCGGGCGAGGCGGGACGAGGTGGGACCGGGGAAACGAGGGTGAGCGAGGGGGGTCCGTGTCCGCTTGTTGTACAGTCCGAGGCGGTCTTTCTCCAAGGCCAAAGGGCGCAATCGAGCACCGCATGAGCAGTCTGTCGCAGCTGTCGAGCTCTCGAGAGGCGTGACCGGCCGGCGTCGTTGTCGCAGAGGGCGCTCGAGCCCTCTGTCGCCGCTCGCTCTTGGACATTCTCTCGTTCGTGGCCAGGCACCTCGCGTCTCGCTCTCTCTCTCGGTCTCTCTCGCGATACCGCTCTCGCTCTCACTGTTCTCTCACTCGAAGCCCACACGCAAATCGTCGCACGCTCTGTCGTTCCTCGCTCACTCGTAGTGCGGATGGCAAGGGTACGTCTTGCCGCCGTGCTCGAACGTGGCCGAGCGGTAGATCTCGTCGAGTTGTGCGCCGAGGCCCGGGTTGACGTCGACGCAGCCTGTGGCGGGAGGAGGAGAGGCGAGGGCAGGAGGAAGAGTGAGCTCGTAAGGAGAGAGAGAGAGGGGGAGCGAGAGAGGGGGACGCACCATCTGTCACGCGCTTGGCCCAGATAAAGTACTCCTGAGGACACATAGGAGAGCTGAGCGTCAGGAAGGAGGAGAGACGGAGGAAAGAGGGAGAGGAGGCGGGGCGCACCTGGATGCGCTTGACGCTCCACCCTGCTGGTCGGCCCTCGGGGCTCATGAGGTCGGTCAGGTTGGACAGCTTGTCGGCGAGTTTGACGTGCTCTGCGGGCGAGCGCGAGACGGTTCAGTACGTCGTGCGACGAGGGGCACGAGCCGAGGGGGAGGAGGAACAGGCGAGGTCGCACTGGCTTGGTCCGACTTGTGCGGCGCCGAGTCGATCTGGGCCTGCTTGCGCTGCTCCTTGTTGAGGTCCTTATCGTCCGAGCACTCGAGAACTGCGATGCGACGGTGAGGGAGGAGTCAGTGAGGGGAACGAGCGGCACAGGCGCCGGGGGAGAGAGGCACAAGGGGGGCGCACCTATCCGTGTGACGACGGGGCCGAAGCGTTCGAGCAAGTCTTGCTCGGTGACGTGGGTGTCCTCGACCGTGTCGTGGAGGATAGCGGCCTGGAGGACCTCGAGGGGCGGGTCCGGGTGGAGGGACGAGGCGGGTGCGGCGAGGAGGGAGGCGACGTGGAGCGGGTGCTGGATGTAGGCAGGCTGTGCGCCCGACTTGCGGCGCTGCTGGCTGTGGGCGAGGGCGGCCCAGTGGGCGGTCGCGAGGAGCTCGGAGACGTTGGTCGATGCCGGGGCCGACATGGAGAGCGGGCGGTGGCGAGGTCGGGTGGGGAGGAGGAGGTGGGACCGGAGGGTGTGCTGCTGCTGCACGGTGCGCAGCAAGTGCGGCTGAGCGAGACGAGGCGAGGCCAGTGCGGCGGCGAGAGGGGCGGCGAGCGGGGGAGGGGCGAACGACGAGTGCGGGGGATCGGGTAGTCGGGTCGAGTGCTGCTTGTTATAGGCTGCTGGTGCGAGTGTGCTTGCGCTCTGGCAATTTGGTGAAGGAGAGAGGAGCGAGGACCGAAGAGGAGGCGCGGCTTCATCAGTCGCCTCGTCTCTCTCACTCGACCACTGCCCGCGTGGCCCAAAGCTGGCCTTGCAGTCGCTCCTGCATCTACTCGAGCCTCCCTCAGCCAGCGTGCGCGGCCGTCGCCGTCACCCCCCTCGCTCCTCGCTCCTCGTCATCGCCCGCCGACCTCCGACACCACTCGCCTCGCCGTCACTGCATCCTGTGAGCACACTGTCCGCTCCCTCCACTCGTGTCGGGTCGGATGGGCCGTGTCGAGCGCAGCAGTCGCGTCGGGCATCGCCCTTGGCACCGCCCTCCTCCTCCCCTTCCTCGCGACCCCGTACACGGCCGCGCCAAGGCCGCCTACGCACTGCCACGGCTTTCCGGGCGCCGGCGAGCAGTACCACAAGTCTTGTCGAGCCCTCGTACTGACCCTCGACCTCGCGCTACACCACAGTCGTCCCCTCAACCGGCCTCGACTTCGTCAAGTCGTCGTCGGCACCCTCTCGATCGACCTAGACGACCGCGAGCTCAGGCGGCGGGCCCAACATGGACCCGTTCTCGAGTCCTGAAGACGACGCCAACGCAGGGTCCGTCCCCCCTCGCTCTCTCGTGCCGTCTCGAGCCCCGCATTGACGACCTCCCTCGCCTTGTTCCCCTTCTGCCTTCCCTCGCTCGCCCTCGACCCGCCGCACCCTTGCGCCACGTCCACCTCACCTGCAGCAACATCTGGTTCGGTCCTCCAGATGGCTACGTCGAGCCGTCGTGGCCCGGGTTGTACGTCCTCGGCGTCGAACCCGCCCAGTACCTGTACAGCCCCGAGCAGATCTGGCGCTTCACCCTGTACGACACGCTCGTCCTCTTCGGCACCGTCTACTTCCTCGCCGGGTGCCTGTGCGGCGCCAACTTTAGCCGGCGCCACCCTCGCCTCGCCCTCGTCGCGCCCGCCGCCTTCAGCCTCGTCGGCATGACGCTCGGCTTCGTGTCGGCCACCATCGTCGGGTACGCGCTCGCGGCGCTGTACAACGCGGCGTTCCTGCGCATGAGCTGCTTGATCCCGGCCGTCTGGAGCCTCGTGCAGCTCTTCGTCCTCATCCTCGCGAGCATCACCATCCAGTCGGGCACGTTCATGGGCTGAGAGGGTCGACGTCGGGCGCACGGTGCGTCCCCTCTCTCCTTCATTCCCGATGGTCGTCGAAACGATCTCGAGCCGCACTCGAGCCAAGTTGGCTGAGCCCTCGGTGTATGCAGGCGCGCCCCCCTCCCCGCGCGACAGGCGCGACCGACCCTCTCCCTCCTTCCCTCACAGGCCTCACCTCGCTCGCTCTCCACCGGCCGTTGCCTCGCGCACCTGCGCCCGCCTCGACGCCTCTCGATTCGACTCGACCTCGCCCCAGTTGCGCCAACGCGCCCCGTCGCCGTTCGACCGGCCCCGAACCTTTTCCTCGAGCTTGTGAGCACCTCTCCCCCTCTTCTCTCAGCAGCAGCACCCTCGTCGCGCCGGTCGGTCGAGCACGACCCGCCGCATGAAGATAAAGATTTCTGCCATTATGTTTTACCTCCGACCAGGCCGGACGTCAGAAACCCGTGCCGCTCACCATGAGGAGACTCGAATTCCATACGTCAACACCACTCGGACGGCAACGCGTTTGCGCTCGACACGACGACCGACGACGACGAGGAGGGAGGGTGCCGCAGCTGCTGCTACTGCACGAGCAAGGAGGAGCCTCGAGCAGTCGAGCACGTCGCTGACCTCGCTCTCCCCCCTTCCCTCCCCCTCCCCTCCTCGCCTTCCAGCACGTCTTTCTGTTGCAGGTTTCTCGGCCATTCTCGCCGTCGTTGGTCGCTGCAGCCCGAGTCGGTCCCGCTTGGATCGAGCGCGCGGTGGACGCCAGACGAGGCAAGTCGGCCGCTTGGCGCTCGAAGCGGAACGGCTGGTCGCTCGAGCTTTGTGTATCTCTCTCCTCTCGCGTGTTGTTGCAAACCATCCTTGTCTACTCTCTGCTTGCGAGACCCGCGGTGTGCGCGAGAGAGCCGGAAGTCCGCGCCGAGAGAAGAGAGGGACAGACACGAGGCGCGAGGCGCAGTTACTTTCGCGTGAGTACGGGGCGGCAACGCCGAGCCAGACACGGTCGCGGAAAGAGTGCGAGGTCTCGATCGTACTTGCCCTGAGGAGGAGGGTCGAGCAGTGTCGAGAGCCGTCTCTGCCCTCTTCGCGCTCGTCCTCGTCCTCGTCGTCCAGCGCGCCTAGAGGGCCGCACGGCGCGTCCACCCTCGAGCACACCTGCACCCGGGCCCACCTGCACCGCGCACGCCCACCCTCGGCACCCCTCTCGTGCCCCCGTCACCACACCACCCTCGTCGACATCAGCACGCGACCTCGCTCTCACGCCCCGGAGCCAGCCTGCGATGCCGACCCCGCCGTGCCCGATCCCGCCACCGCTGCCGCCAGCAGGGGCGAGGGCACCCGCGCCGTCGCACGCCGCCGCGGGCCACTCGTACTCGGCGTCGCTCCCGCCCACCTACCGCCTCTCGGCCTTCCCCGTCTCGCCCTCGGCCACCAACGACGACCAGGGCTCCTTCTCGACCCTCGCACCAGGACTCGGCCTCGAGCAACGCAGCTCTGACAGCGACGCCGACGCCGACGACGACGACACCGGCCACCGTCGACCGCCCAGCCCTCCCTCTCCCTCGACCCCCTTGTCGCCCTCCTCGCACCGCCCGACACGCACCACTCGCGGCTTTGACTGCCCCAGCACCGCACCCGCGTCGGCGCCAGCCGCAGCCGCAGCATCGAGCGGCATCGACCTCCGCAGCACGAGCGCGAGCAGCGCGCGCTCGTCCTCGTCGTGCACCGACACGAGCGCGTCTACGTCGACCACCACGACCGAGGACGACGTCGACGAGTGCGCGACGCCCCTCTCGAGCCTCGCCGGCTCGACCGCCTCGATGACGGCCTCCGAGTCGTGCCGAGCGACCGCCGCGCCCGGGCACGCGCCCACGACGAGCTCGTCCGCCGCCGCTCCGCGCCCGCCCTTGACGAGCGGTGGCAGCGGCAGCGACCTCGCGGCGCGCCTCGAGTGGGGCATGCAGGGCCTCGTCGTCGCGCCCCAGGTGCCCAAGGACGACGCGGCAAAGCGCGAGCGCGAGGCGCGCGCCGTACGCGGCGGGTGGGAGGACCCGGCGCTCGCCGCCGCGAGGAGGGCGCTGTGGGACGACGTCGTCGCCGTCGACGAGGACGAGGACGCGCAGCCCGGCGAGGTCGGGCGCGTGCGGGGCGAGGAGGGGACGGCCGAGCGGCGGCCGGGCCAGGACGACGGCGAGGCGGGCGTGTCGGTGCGGCGCGACGACAATGACGACGATGTCGCACGTGACGGCGACGAGGAGGAGGACCGAGGAGACGACGACGAGGGCCTGCCGCGCCCACGACGACCGTGCCACACGACGCTCGCGCCGCGCTTCTCGTGCCTGCGCCACTCGCCCTCGGCGCGAGCGTCCCTCTCGCTCCCCTCGTCCTCGTGCCCGTCGTCATCCGACGACGGCCCTCTCCCGCCCTCAACCTCGACCTCGACCTCGCCCCTCCCGACGAGCGGCCGCCTCTCGCCCTCGGCCGCGTCGACCTCGTCGACGTCGGAAGGCGCGCCCGCGTCCGTCACCTTTTCGTGCGCGCCGCCCGAAACGTGCCCGACGTGGTCGGCCGAGGCCTACTCGCGCCGCGGCGACGCGCCCGTCGAGAAGCTCTCGATCCGCGAGTGGATCGAGCTCCAGGGCGTGCGCGAGGCCGTCGGCGTGTGGAGCGGCAAGATTGCCAAGTGGGACGAGGCCCAGGTGCTTGCCGAGGCGAGCGCCGGCGCGGGCGGCGACGGGCAGCTCAGCACGCCGACGAGGGGCCGCCCGCCAGGAGGGCTCGCCGCCGTCGTCGGCGTCGTCCACATTTCGCGCAGCACGCCGACGTCGCCCGTCGACCCGAACCGCATGCCGTTCCCCTAGTCGTCGCCCCGTCCCTCTCTCCTCGACCGTCGTGCCCTCTCGCAACCCGCCGACCTGCATTGTCTTTACTCTCCCCTCTCCTCGTTCTACCCCCTCTTCTCTCTTACTCTCTCTCTCTCTCGTCGTCGTCTCGCACTCTGCCTTTCGTCCCTGCTGTTGGTACCACCACGAGCGTGCGCGCTCTTCTCTCTCCCCCTTGCCGCCCCAGGATCTCCTCTCGTCTCTGTAGGACGTTCTTCTGCCGTTCGCGCAACACCTCGTTCGTCTCGGCCCTCTCCTCTCTTTTGTCTCTCGTCGCACGTACTCGCAGAAAGAAAGAACGAGAGAGAGAGAGGGAGACAGAAAACGAGAGCGAGTTGCAGCCCCAGCTCGCGCCTCCTCAGTCGCGAACAGCGTACACCTCCTTGCTGACGCGGTCCCAGTTGTCCCGGTCGACGGCCCACCTGCGCGCAAAGTCGCGCTCGAGCGCGTGGAACGTCCTCCCGACGATGACGAACGAGTGCAGCGGGCCGCCGAACGCGTCCTCGTCGAGCGCGGCGAGCTCCGACAGGGTGCCGCTGACGAACGTCTGCGACGGGTGGCCGACGCGCGACGCGCTGATGGCGAGCGTCGTCGACGGGTCGAGCGCGTCGGCTGCCGGGGCGACGCCGGATGCGGGGGCGGCGTCGTCGGAGGAGGAGGAGGAGGCAGAGGGCGAGGGAGGGAGGAGCGACAGGAGCTGCGAGATGGCGCACGGGACCGACATGTACCGAGGCGGCTCGTAGATCTTGCGCCCGCTGTAGGGGAAGACGGCGAAAGCCGAGCGTCAGGGATTGTACGGCTTGCTGAGAAGGTCGCGAATGAGAGAGAGAGAGAAACGTAGCGACGCACCGAGCGAGGTTCTCCTCACTCTGCTCCTTGACCTTGATGTCGAGCAAGCACAGCGTGTGCAGGCCGAGGCGAGCGTTCTCGCGCACGCGCTCGAGCCAGCTGTCGGGCCGCCACGAGTCGGTGAAGAACGGGATCGAGACCGTCTGGCCGTAGTTGTACAGGGCGAGGCCGAGCGCGCCGACGGCGTTCATGACGGACGCGTTGTGGATGACGACGTAGGGGACCTCGAGGTCGTCGGCACGCAGGAGAAGGTCGGCGTGGGTGGTTGCGCTGCGAGAGGACGAAGGAGGAGAGGGTTCGAGGTGAGCGCTCGTCGCTCGGCGGAACGCAGTCCTTCTCTCCTCGGCTTGAAAAGGGGACGCACCCAAAGGGATCGCCAACGACGAGGAAAGCGACGTCGACCTTGTCTGCGTCCTTGAGGATGGCGTCCGAGTCGGTCTCGACCATGTCGCGGTCGGCGACGATGATGTCCTTGCCGTAGAAAGACTCCTGCGCGCTCGCCCACCTCGTCAGTTCTGTTCGAGGGGACAGTGGAGGGCAGTGAGAGAGGAACGGACCAGGCGCTCCTTGCCAATGCCGAGGATGGAGGTGTACGCCTCGAGGTAGACGCGCTCGCTGCCCTTGATGGCCTCGAGGCCGCGGATCGTGACGTCCTTCTCGTCGTGCAGGCCGAGACCGATCAAGTACAGGACCATGGCGGTACTGGTTCGAGGTGTGGGGGAGAGGGGAGAGGTGGGAGACGAGACGAGCTGATGAGAAGCGGGAGGGCTCTGGCGGGCTGGTCGAGGCGTGTGTGCTTGCTGCCGGGGTGCGTAGAGGTCGCTGCGAGCCGCTGTCGGACCTGGCGAGCGAGTTGAGCGTGAGAAGCGAGAACTAACCGCCGCGATTAGGTCGAGCTCGTCTTGCTCGCGCTCGCTAAGTCGATCAAGGCTGCTCTCGCTCGTGCAGGACACAGTTGGCAAGGCAAAGGACAAAGTTACAGTACTGCGTCTCTTACAAGGGGTAAACAGGCAGGTGGGGGGCATCTGTGAGGGGCATCTGGTGCGAGAGACTGGGGACAACGACGGAGGGAGGAGGTGGTTGTCGGCGCCAACGGCGACGACGACGAGTCTATGATGCGGCGGCGAGAGAGAAAAGGAGGAAGGGCTCCCCAGTACAGGAGAGAGGGGCATGACGCGCCGCGTCGAAAGCCCTGCTGGTGGTACAGGGCGAAAGAGGGTGAGGGAGGGAGGGGGAAGGAGGGGGAAAATCGTCCGTGTTCTCGAGGTGATGCTGATGATGCTGGCTGACTGCTGATGGGTGTAGATGCGCGGTACTGACGAGAGAAAGAGAGGCCGGGGAAAGTCGAGTCGAGGCGAGGCGAGGAAGGGCAAATCGAGAAGCGAGAGGGAAGGAGGAGGAGGACCGGGCTAGCCGTCGACGACGTCGACGACGAGCCTAGTACCACGCCGACGAGCCGCCGCCGTACGACGCGCCGCCGGCCGGGGCGCCGCCGTACCCGCCGTAGCTGCCGCCGCCGGTGCGAGGGGGGCCAAAGCCGCCCGCACTGCCGGCCGCACCGCCCGCCGGGCCCCAGCCACCGGCGCCGCCGCCCGACGAGAAGCCGCCGCCGCCCATGCGCGACGAGGCACCGCCGCCGAACCCGCCCGAGCGGACGTCGCGCGAGGGACCGCGACCGCGACCGCCACGGCCGCCGCCGCCGCCGCGACCGCCGAACCCGCCCGACTCGGACGAGACCGACTCGAGCCAGGCCGGGACGTCCTGCTTGGCCTCGCGCAGGAGCTCGATGAGCTCGCGCACAATGTTGCGGTTGCCGCGGTTGAAGAAGGCCGTGGCGGCACCCGTGTTGCCGGCGCGACCGGTGCGACCGATGCGGTGGACGTAGTCGTCGATGTCGGACGGCAGGTCGTAGTTGACGACGTGCGTGACGTTGGGGATGTCGAGACCGCGAGCGGCGACGGCCGTCGCGACCATGACCGGGGTGCGGCCCGAGCGGAACGTCTCGAGGGCGTACTCGCGCTCGCGCTGCGTGCGGTCGCCGTGGATCGACGTCGCCTGGAAGTTGTTCTGGGCGAGGAAGCCCTCGAGCATGTCGGCCATGCGCTTGGTCTCGACAAAGACGAGCGTGAGGCCGCCGGGCGGGAGGGCGAACAGGATGTCGAGCAGGACCGAGCGCTTGTCCTCGTCCTCGACGTACTCGATCTTCTGCGTGATGTTCTCCGACGTCGAACCAACGCGGCCGACCGACAGGAAGATGTAGTCCTTGAGGAAGTCGCGCGCGAGCATCTGGATCTCGCGCGGGAACGTCGCCGAGAACATGAGCGTCTGGCGATCCATGACGTCGGGCATGTCGGCCTGCTGCACGATGCGGCGGATCTGGGGCTCGAAACCCATGTCGAGCATGCGGTCGGCCTCGTCGAGGACGAGGTAGCGCACGTTGGCCATCGAGATGCGGCCGCGCTCCATGAGGTCGACGAGGCGACCGGGCGTCGCCGACAGGAGGTCGCAGCCCATGTCGAGCTGGCGCAGCTGCGAGCCGATGTCGGCGCCGCCGTACACGACGGCCGGGTGGACCCACGAGCGGTACGCGAACTTGCGCGCCTCCTCGTGGATCTGCGACACGAGCTCGCGCGTCGGGGCGAGCACGAGCGCCGTCGGGTACGCCTTGCGGTTGCGGCCGTAGCCACGGCCGGCGTCCGCGGCCGGGTTGGCGCGCGGGCCGTACGTGAACAGGGCCGAGAGGATCGGGAACAGGAAGCCGCCCGTCTTGCCCGAGCCCGTCTGGGCACAGGCCATGAGGTCGCGGCCGCCGTTGACGATGGGCACCGAGTACTTCTGGACGGGCGTCGGCGTCTTGTAGTGCGCGAGCTTGATGTTCTCGAGGAGGTGGGCGTCGATGGGCGGCAGGAACTCGGTGACGGGCTCGGGGACGTCGGTGCCGGTCGCCTCGACGGGGATGTCGGCGTACGCGTCAAAGTTGATGCCCGTCTGCTGCTTGGTGACGTCGCCCAGGTCGCCGAAGAGCTCCTTCTCGAGGCGCTGGTTCGACGGGCCCGGCTGGTGCTTGCCGTCGCGCCACACGCCGTAGCCGTCGCGGCCGGCGAACGCGCTGCCGCCGCCGAAGCCGCCACCGCCGGTGCGGGCGGCGCCGCCGAAGCCACCGGCACCGCCGGCGGCAGGGCGCGCCGAGGGGGCGCTCCAGCCGTCAGTGCGCGGCACGAACGGCGCGGCGGCCGGGTTGCTGTTCCAGCCTGCGGCCTGCGCCGAGGGCGCACTGCGGGTGGGGGACGAGTTTGTCAGTACGATAGACACAGGGTGTGGGAGGGGAGAGAGCTGGAGAAGGGGACGCACGGGCCAGGAGGCGGGGCAGCGGGCGTGGCCGACATCGACTTGCGCATGTGCGGCGGGACGTAGGCCTGCTTGGGCGCGCCGCCGTTGACGTTGAGAGAGCCTGCAGGGTCGGGCGCGGTGCGGGAGGGAGGCGGCAAGGCGGGTGGCGGTGCGTTTCATGCGCAAGAGGAGGGGCGAGGGGCGAGCAGGAGGCGTGCGAGGGCGAGGGGAGGGAAGAGAGGTGGTGGAAGGCAACAGTCAGTGTCTGTGTACGGACTGGGGCGCGCAACGGCACCGCCCAGGCTCTGTGGAGAGCGAGAACGGGCCGGGGAAGAAAGGGAGATTGGGAGGCGAGAGGGACGCACTCAGCGAGCTCTCGAGACCGGTGTCATTGCTGGACATCTGGTGGTGGATGGTAGAGAGTGTGTAGGGGTGTAGGTCGGAGATAGGGGCAAGCACACGAGCTTGAGGGGGAGATGAGGGGAGAGGGAGGGGGGGAGGAGGAGTCGACACTCCGAGCTCTCTCCGTTGGCGCGCGCGCGCTTCGAGGCGCGCTTGCCTCGCCTGGCTCAGCTGCGTCGAAACTCGAGCTCGAGCCTCGCCGTCATTCGTTCGCCTCGACCACCTCTTCCGGAACTCGCTCTGCGCGGCTGCTCACTCGTCGCCGCTCGGTCCCGCGCAGCTGGCTCGCTGTCCCTGGTTCCTCGCTTTGCTGTGGCACACGCACGGGCCACCTCGCCTCGCCACCGACTCGGGTGCCGCGCTTGCTCTCACTCGTCGAGACCCGTGCACGCTCAAGTCGATGCTGCTCTCGACGCTGCTCGGCTCTCTCGCACAGAACCTCGTACGAAGAGACGCAGTATTGTACGCTGCAGGATGCGGCTACAAAAGGCGACGCTCGAGAGAGCTACGGCGGCGAGACGGCAGCAGAGGCTCGAGCGTGAGGGCCGCCAGCAAGCGCTCGTCGGCGGCGGGAGCACGAGAAGCGCGCAAGCCTCTAGGGCCTGCGTGCGGGAAAGCAGGAAAGAGAGAGGCCGGTCTCCCAACGACTCGTTCGACGACGGCGACGACGCACATGTCAGGCCTTTTGCTCCGCACCGCCCGACGCCGGCAGCCACGAGGACCACCGACGCCGGGACCTCGGATAATGTAGATAAGTATGTTGTGTAAAGGTTCATCATGTGTGCGTCGTCGTCGTCGTCGTCGTCGTCGTTGTCGTTCGCCGTGAGAGGACCGAAGGCGGGAGGAGGACGAGGCTCGCGCAAGCGCTCGGCCGGGTGCCGCACGGGGCTCGGGGCAGAAGCTAGAGTCCAGCAGGATAGGTGGCCTGCCCGCCTGGCCGACTGGGCGAGGGCGAGGGCGGGCAAAGTCGAGGAAAAGCTTCGAGTCTGGCGAGGCGTGTGGAGGAGCGAGGCGAGGTTGGAGGGTGATGCGGCGTGGTGGAGGGTCGAGAGTAGTCGGCGCGCTGTTGAACGGTGGGCTGAAAGGAGGCAAAGAGCGTGGTAGTGGGTGAAGGAGGAGAGGGAGAAGGGAGCTGGAGGGGCGAGCTGGGTCGAGCGCGAGCCCGCTCGCCTCGGTCGCCCTCTCCAGGTTCCCTCGTCCTCCACGGCAGCAGCTTCAGACGTGAGCCCTTGGTCGCCTGCCCTCCTGCGAGACGTGCCGCTCACCCTGTCCCTGCCTCCTCTCCCCCTCGCACCTCGCCACCTCGACCCCGGCCCGCGCCTCGACTTGGCGCCCTCGTCTTTTCCCCATCGCCTGCCCGCCGCACTCGCCCACGCCCGCACCCGTCCCTGCCACCTTTCGACACACCCGCAGAGGTACATCTGCCCCCTCTTTGAACCGCACACGCGGCCCCGAGCGCGACGAGGGCAACACGGCGAGGTCGGACTGCGCTCGAGCGGGCGCGCGAGCTGGGAGCTTTGCGCTCGAGGGGACCGCCGCAGCGCGCAGGGTGGGACGGGGCAGCAGGCGGTGGGAATGCCGTCAGGGAGGACTGCTGTGCGGGATCGGCGGCCGCTGGGGCGAGCACGCAGCGACGACGGGCACCACCACCCTCGTCCCTTGGACCCTCGAGCTGACCCTCTGTCCGTCGCACCCCGCGCAGCCACCATGTCGCTCGTCGTCCCCGAAGCTCACGTGCAGTTCCAGCACATCTTGCGTCTGCTGAACACCAACGTGGACGGCAAGCGCAAGATCATGGTCCGTCCCCTCTCCGCCCCTCCTCGCCTCGTGCGGTCGCGTGCGGTCGACAGGTCGGACCTGACTCTTCCTTCTGCGCCCGCCAACAGTACGCCCTGACCGAGATCAAGGGTGTCGGTCGTCGCTACGCCAACCTCGTCTGCAAGAAGGCCGACGTCGACCTGACCAAGCGGTGCGTCTCGACCGCTCGCTCTCTCGTCTCGCCAGCGCGAGGTGGGGCCCGCACCGCGTCGTACATCGAGACTGACCCTGTCGTCCACCTCTCCCTCTCTCCCGTCCGCCGCGCCCGACCACGCCCGCCGCGACTACCTGTCCTCCCCTCACCCCGTCCACCTCGACCGCGACCCGCCGGCCCGCCCGTCCGCTCCAACCCCGACAGCGCCGGTGAGCTCAACCCGGACGAGCTTGAGCGCATCGTCACCATCATGCAAAACCCGGGCCAGTTCAAGATCCCGAACTGGTTCGTCAACAGGCAGAAGGACATCGTCGACGGCAAGTACGGCCACCTCCTGTCCAACCAGCTTGACTCGAAGGTGCGCTCCCTCTCTCTCTTCGTCCTGGCTGTCGGCGTGGCGAGCGACGAGCGAGCCCGCTCGACGATGAGACGACACCGTCGTCGGGTCCGCTCGACCCGCCTCGAGTCCTTTTCACTGACTCGCTCTTCCCTACCACAGATGCGTGAGGACCTCGAGCGCCTCAAGAAGGTGCGCACCTCTCTCTCTCTGTGTCTGCATCTCGAAGAGGCGCTTAGCGCATGCGCCCCTCGCAACCCCGACGACTGACTCCTCCCTTCCCCTCTCACAGATCCGCAACCACCGCGGTCTTCGCACGTACTGGGGCCTCCGTGTCCGGTGCGTCCTATCTCTCTGCGTCGTGATCTGCTCGATGGGTCTCGAGAGGCGGACCCACGGACCTTCCCTGGCCTACGTCACTGACGCTCTCTCCCTCTCCCCCTCTCTCTCTTCCTCTCTCCCTCCTGCTCTCCCTTCTCCCGCACACAGTGGCCAGCACACGAAGACGACTGGTCGCCGCGGCAAGACGGTTGGTGTCAGGTGCGCCCGCCGTTCTCTCGTCGTCGCTCGAGGGCGTCAACCTGACCTCGTCCTCCCTCTCTCCCTCCTCGTCCCGCCCACAGCAAGAAGAAGTAATCGCCTCGACCTTGCTACACGCTGGCTCGACCCTGGGGAAGGCGGCTGGACGGCTGGGGACTCGGTCTGCAACGAACGCGCCGCAGCTTTTTGGACCCGAGTCGTGCGCCCATGTACCGAGAGGTGGCGTGAGAGCATAGGACGTGTGTGCGGGCGTGTGAGAGAGGTCCTGGCAGCCGTGCAACCCGCTGCAGGGCGCGAGCAACGTCGAGGTCGAGAGTGTCTGTTCGCTCGCTCTGGCTCCTCTGTCGCCTCGCCGCCGGTCGCCCCTGCTGCGCCTCGAGCCGCTCGAGAGCACCCCGACACTCTCTGCGCCGCCTCCAGCATGCGCCATCCCGCCCCAGCAGCCGTGCCCGCCTCGTGCGGCGCGTGTTGATCAACTCGCCTCATCGCCAACGTCGCCAGCTCGCGGCGGCGGCATCATGGGAGCAATTCAGTGCAGCGTGGTGGCTACAGAGAGGTGCAGGGTGGGCAGTGGCCCGGCGGCGGACCAGCGCGAGCGAGTGCGTCCTCTTCTCCTTCCCCTCTCCACCTCCTCGTCCTCCCCTCCCTCCTGCGTCTCTCCCCCGCAGCCGCCGGCCGGTCCCACCGCCCGCAGTACGCGTCGATGTACTGACTCGACCCTCTCACAGGTGGTACGGCTGCGGGAGACTCAGGAACGCGCGGCTGGGCGGCGGGCGGTGGGCTCTCGACCTCGAGCCGGTTCATCTAGATCCCTGTGCGTCCCTATCGCTCTCGTCCTTGCCTCCAGGACTCGCACACGGACCTTTACGCCTCTGTGAGCCGCGTTCTGACCCTCTCGTCCTCGCGCCGCAGCTTTGTCGAGCCCTCGATGGCACCCCTCCTTCTCGGACCCCGAAAGCTCCCCCTCGTACCCTTCCTGCTTCTCGCGACGGCCCCTGTCGATGCCGATACGCCCTCTGTAGGATATGGGCGGGCCCCGGCGGTCCAAGCTGCCCGCCCTGTGAAAGTTACTCGTCCCGGCGGCCGACCAAGCCGAGCCGTCGAGGACGGGTCTGACGAGGCCGCGCCCGCCCTCTTTGCCCTCGATAGGCAGCGGGCGCACCCCGGTGAGCCGATGCGCACGGCAGCGCCCCTCGGGGCCCGCCCGTGCGCCCGGCCACCTACTAAAGACAGGGGGATCCTGCGCACCCTCGCTCAAACGCTATCTCTTGATCTAGCAGGGTTATGGCCTTCTGCGCGCGCCAGAACGAACGAGGAGGTGTCTGCGGTGCAATCGAGCGCGTTTCCCGAGCCCTTTTATCGTATAGAGCGCGACTTGGCTCGCCTGCCTCCCCCTTTGCGAGTTCGAGTCCAGCGAGGTCGAGAGAGCTCTGGGCTCGCTTCTCCCGTTTCAAGCACCTTCGTTAGAGTGTCTTGACGGCTCCATCGAGAAACGCGAGACACAGAGCAGCACGCGAGCGAGTTCTCCTCGCCCGCCTTCCACTTGAGAAGGCTCGCTCGCGCCCCTTCCGCGCCGCCAGATCCTGCACCCTCGTCTCGCTTCTCGGCCCAAGCTGTCTAAGGACGCGCCCCGCTGATCGCGAGCGAGCGTGAAAGCACAACGAGAGGAAGACAGCGTGTGACAGCTGAGACGGTCGGACGCGCTCTGACCGTCGCTCAGCCTCTCAGCCACGCTTTTGTCGCCTCTCATGCTCGCTTGTACACGCAACTCTGCTGTGTTGACCGCTCGCTGTCAATGCTCGCGATATGCGCTCAGCTGCAGGCCCGTAAGATTGAGATCGACCTGCTCTCGAGAGACCCACCTTCTCAAATCGCGTCGTCTCGCAATCCTCGCTCCCTCGCCCAGATTGTCGCCTCTCGCGTCACCTCGTCAGCGTGGCCTGGGGACTTTCGGCGGGAAAGCTGGCGACCCTCTCTGAGCCGTCGCTGTTCGGCGGCACGTCGCTCAAGCTTACTGAGCGGAACGTGCACGAGTAGAGCGACGCACGCCCTGCTCTCGCGAGCGAGGTTGGCTTTCGACGAGAGGCGCGCTCTCGCGAGAGACGCGAGAAAGGCAGTGCCACACCGCGCCTGGGTGAGGCCGACGAGAGACCGCGGAAAAGTAGAGCCGACTGCGAGGCGGCAAGGTCGCTCTGACCTCGTCGTCAACGAGTAGCCGAGCCTCTCACGTCCAGACGGTCTCAACGTGCGACGCCCATGCTGCGACGCCAGTCCTGAGCCCAGACCGCCGAGCCAACTCGGCCTGCTGCTCCTCTCGCTCTCACTCTCGAGCCCATCTCGCGCGCGCCCGAGCCGACGAGAGAAACCAGCCTTTGACTTGGCAGGGGGGTAGAGCCGACGGAGAACGTGACGAAAGAACGACAGAAGTAGTGTGGGTGGGGGGTAAGGGCCGCAACCGCTCGAGGGGGCCGGGCGGGCGGGCGACGACAAAAGACGAAGGGGCAAACGGACGGGGAGGGGGACACGACGACGACGAGGTTGGACGAGTGCAGGTGAATAAGCTTACTCCTCGACGTACTGCGCGAGAGATGTAAGAGTCAGTGAGGGCTGCGTGGGCAAGGGAAAGCGCGAGGGAAGGAGAATGGGTGGGACGCACCTCCTCGCCGCCCTCCTCGACGTACTCCTCCTCGTCGTCGATGCCAGCCTCCTGGTACTGCTGGTACTCGGCGACAAGGTCCTGCATGTTGCTGCGCGCGAGAGAGAGATGTCAGTCGTCGAATCGGGCCAAGATCGACTCCTCGAAGGTCGCCCGCCGATGCCGGCGGTCTCGACGACGCTGACAGCGACACAGAGAGAGCGAGACGTACCTCTCTGCCTCGGTGAACTCCATCTCGTCCATGCCCTCGCCCGTGTACCAGTGCAAGAAGGCGCGGCGGCGGAACATGCTCGAGAACTGGGTGTTGATGCGCTGGAAGAGCGTCTGGATCGAGGTCGAGTTGCCGATGAACGTGACGGCCTGCAGGACAAGAACATCGAGAGCGTGTCAGTGAGGCTCACGCAGGAAAAAGAGGGGCCCGCGAGGGAGGGACGGCGGGCGAGGGGCGAGGAACGACGAGTGAAAGGTGGGACGCACCATCTTGAGGCCCTTGGGCGGGATCTCGCAGTGAGCGGTCTGGACGTTGTTCGGGATCCACTCGACGAAGTGGTCGGCGTTCTTCTGCTGGACGGCGAGCATCGTGTCGTCGATGTCGCGGAGCGAGACCTTGCCGCGCCACAGGGCGGCGACCGTCAGGTAGCGGCCCATCCTCGGGTCGCTCGCGGCCATCATGTTCTTGGCGTCGAACATCTGCTGCGCGAGCTCGGGGACCGTGACGGCGCGGAACGACTGCGAGCCCTTGGCCGTGAGGGGCGCAAAGCCGACCATGAAGAAGTGCAGGCGCGGGAACGGCACCATGTTGACGGCGAGCTTCCTCAGGTCCGAGTTGAGCTGGCCGGGGAACTGTCGCGAGGGAAGAGAAAAGGTCAGGTCCCTGTCGCGGCGACGACGACGAGCGACGACGACGACGACGAGGTGCAGAGAGGGGAGAGCGAGGGACGCACACGCAGCGAGGTCGTGATGCCGCTCATGACGACCGAGACGAGCTGGTTGAGGTCGCCGTGGGTGGGCGACGTGAGCTTGAGTGTCCGGAAGCAGATGTCGTCTGCGAGATGGGGCGGATCGAGCGAGTCAGTGACTGGGGCGAGGAAGAGGCGACGATGAGGCAACGAGGACACGGCGACGCACACAGGGCCTCGTTGTCGATGCAGAACGTCTCGTCCGAGTTCTCGACGAGCTGGTGGACCGACAGGGTGGCGTTGTACGGCTCGACGACCGTGTCCGACACCTTGGGCGACGGGACGACCGAGAACGTGGCCATCATGCGGTCGGGGAACTCCTCGCGGATCTTGGAGATGAGGAGGGTGCCCATGCCCGAACCCGTGCCGCCGCCGAGCGAGTGCGTGAGCTGGAAGCCCTGGAGGGCGTCGCACGCCTCGGCCTCCTTGCGGACGACGTCGAGGACCGAGTCGACGAGCTCGGCGCCCTCGGTGTAGTGGCCCTTGGCCCAGTTGTTGCCCGCGCCCGACTGACCAAAGACGATGTTGTCGGGACCTGCGAGGCGGGGCGAGGGACGCAAGTCAGTCCGGGCACTCGAACACGCTTTCCCAGCGTCGCGCACACGTCGAAAAGGGAGAGAGGGACGCACGGAAGAGGCTGCCGAGAGGTCCACCACGGATGACGTCCATCGTGCCCGGCTCGAGGTCGACGAGGACCGCGCGAGGGACGTACTTGCCGGAGCCGGCCCTGGAACGCACGCGAAGGGTCAGAACGAGTGGGGAGGAGCGGGAGGAAGAAGAAAGAGGGGGTACTCGTTGAAGTATACGTTGAGGCGCTCTTGCTGAAGGGGGTTGTCGCCAACGTACTGGCCCTCGCCATCAATGCCTGTTGCCGAGGGGGAAGAGAGAAGGGTCAGGAGAGGTCCTCGGGCGTGAACGGCGACGAACGGCCGCGGCGCATGCGGCTAGTCGACTCTGACGCGTGAAACGGCGGTGCGAGAGTGCGCAGAGGGTGATGGGCGAGCGCAGGGTGGAAAGGGAGTGTCGGGGAGGGAGGCAACGGGACTGGAGGGAGGCGACGAACCGTGCTCCTCGGTGATGGTCTCCCTGCAGGCGCGCGATGTGTCAGGGGTGTGCTGAGAGGCTCAAGGACGCGCAGAGCGACTCACCAGAACTTGGTGCCGATCTGTGAGCGAGAGAGAAAGGGGAGGAGGGAGGGTCAGTCCTCGTCGGCGCTACCGCCGTCTCGACCGCGCCCGCCATCTCTGGACGCCCTCAGACCGCCAAGCTCGCTCATGTGAGCGTGCCGGCCACCCAACCGCCGCGCTCGGCCGCCCGCTCGCCGGATGCAGCTGCTCCCCGCGCCGTCCTCTCTCCCTCGACGACGCTTGGTGACACGAGGGTGTAAGGCGCACCTGGTTGCCACACTGTGGTCATGGGAGTACATCGAGTCAGTTTGCGGTCTCAAGAATGCGCCAGGCGACGACGAGGGGGCATGAGGAACCCGTCGTCGTGTCCGCCAGGCGACGAGGAGAGGAATGGCGACAGGGGACAAACCTGGCCCGTCTGCAGATGTAAAATCTCGCTGCAGAGGGTGAAAGACGCGTCGTCGAGGGCGTGTCAGCCTGGCTCGAGGGTCGCGGAGCGAGTGTTTTGGCGGGGGAGGGCAGGGGCAGAGGTTGGAGGAGCGAGAGCGCACCGCATCGTGGCTTGCGGGAGTGGGTGGACGGGTCAGTCGGGGTCTAGCTTGGCGTAGAGCAGCCTCGAGTACTCACAAGAAGACTAGAGGGAGAGGGGCGAGGTGGAAGATGGGGCGAGGGGGGAGGAGGAGCGCCTCGCTCTCGTCGCGGCCAAGTCGAGAACCTCGACACCGGCGGCGCGTGTCGACCGTCTCTCTCTCGCTCTCGCTGGACGCACTCGAACTGCTGGATACGACGGGTATGTACAAGAAGAGAGCCGGACCAAGCTACGGAAACAAGACGAGCGAGGGAAAAGGGGGGGTATCGCGACCGGGGAATCTGCACGCCGCCTGCACCTCGACAACGACGACGACGACGACGGCTCAGATCAGGCTCAGCTCGAGCGTCCACACTCGCCGCGCCCAGATCTTGACCTCCTTGCCGTTCGCGAGCGTCTCGGTGCTGTGGTCCCACCACACCTTGCGCTGCAGGGCCCGTGCGACAGCCACAGTCAGTCACTGCGCTCGACACAGGGACCCGAGAGGAACGAGAGGGACGCACCGCAGGCTTGCGCCAGAAGAGAAGCAGCTTCTGCGCCGTCGCGAGCTGCTGAGTGTTGACCTGGACGCCGCCCGCCCCGCCGTCGTCGCCCTGCGCCGACGCCAAGCCGTCCTCGGGCGCCGTCGGGCTCGCCGGCGCCGACGCGCTGCCGCCGATCGGCGGGTGCACGATGCCCGTCTTGAGGAGGACGAGCGCGATCGACGCGATGCAGCACCGCGTCGGCTCGAGCGAGCGGTAGCCCCACACGTCGTCGCGCTCAAAGCCGCTCATGCAGAGCATGTCGATCAGGTGCTGCTCGGCGACGTTGTTGTCGCGGCTGACGTTGCGCTGCAGCGCCGTAAAGATGCTGCGGTGCTCGAGGAGGGCGTGGCCGCAGTCGACCTTGAGCTGCGACAGGGCCGCGTTGGGCTTGCCCGCGTCGTCCGACGCCGGGTGGTCGAGCGTGTGCGCGTCGGCGCCCGGCGCCGTCGTGCTCGCCTGGCCGGGCGGGATCGCAAAGTACTCGAGCTCCTCGCGGAGGACGATGACCGACTGCTTGAGGAAGAGCGGGTTCTGGCCGTTGTACTGGGCGATGGGCGACGTGAGCGACAGGTCACGGCGAGGACCGTCGGCAGGACCGTAGAAGGCGTCGCGGGCGGCGCCGAAGAAGTCGAGGACGAACTCGAGGCACCGTGCGTCGAACTGCGACGAGGAGAGGGGTCAGCCGCCAAGTCATGGTCGAGGACGGCGAGAGACAGGAGAGAGAAGGGGACGCACATCGACAAAGTAGACGTCCTCTTCTTCCTCGTCGTCGTCGTCGGTCGACTGGACCGAAGTGCGTGGCGGGCGTTGCGGGCTGAGGACGACGCCGTTCGGGAAGAGGCACAGGAGGACCGACTCGGGGAGCTCCATGAGGGCCTCGCGCTCGAGCGAGAGGCGGTGACCGCGCAGGTCGAGCGAGACCTTTGTCGAGTTGGCGAACGACATGGTGCACCGGGCTGGGCTGCTGCTGGTTCGAGGAGGGGAGGGCGAAGGGCGGCGGCGGTGGGGAGAGGGAGGTGGAGGAGGCGAGGCGGCGCAGGCAGGGGTGCAGCGAGCCTGGTCGGTGTGCTGTGCTGCTCTGGAGGGTAGCTGGACTGTCGAGAGGGTGCAGGTGGTGCTTGTCAGGCGAGAGTGAGGTGCCTCTCCTCCTCCCTCCTCCTCGCCCAACTCCGCGGCCACTGAGCGATCACGATCTCCCGCTCTCAGCGCTCGCCGGTGCAGGCCAGCTTGGTAGCCATGCAAATGTGTCGTACAGCGCCTCCCACCCTCAGTCACAAGCGCTCTGCGTGCCCGACTCGGCCTCTCGCGCGATCTCGACACCTCTCTCGCTCTTGCTCTCGACCACTCTCGCCCGCACCTGCTCGCGCGTCGCCTGCTCGTACCCGCCACCGACATCGAGCGCGAGCCAGAGCGCACACACCGCCTCACGCGAGGCGGGCTCGGCCCCGACCCCTTGGTCGTCCTCTCGTTCGTCGCCGAGCGGACGCTCGCATTCTCCGGCGCGCACCTTGCGCAAGCAGGTCCATCGTCTGCCGCCGCCGCTGCGCCTCTCTCCTCTCGCTCTACCATCGCACCTCCAGCCGACCCCGCCCTCGCCCGCTCAAGTGCGGAGCCTCCCCCAGCCTCGATAGCGATAGCAGCACGCGAGCTCACTCTTTCGTGTCGCCCTCGCAGCCCTCGCCACCACCGACACCCTCCGCCCGCCCGATGATCCACCACGTCGAGCCTAGCCCGGTCTGCGAGGACCTCGTCCTCGCCGTCCTCGCCAAGTTGCCTTCGCGCGAGCTCGTCCAGGCCCGCAACGTCTCGTGTGTCCCTGCTCTTCTTCCATCCTTAACGAACCACAACTGACAGTATCCCCTTCCGCAGGCGCGCGTTCCAGGTCCTCGCCGACGAGGTGTTGCGCAAGCGCTTTGTCGACATTGCCGAGAGCCGCTCGACCCAGCTCATCGTGCGTCCCTTCTCGTTCCTCCTCGCTCGTCCAGTAGCACACACTGACACGCTGCATTCTGCAGCTCGAGTCGTGTGCACCGTACGAGCAGCGAGCGCATCACCGCAAGCCTCTTTCCTTCTCGCACTTTGCGCCGTCGACCAGCGTCTTCTCCGGCAACGTCGCCCTGTTCGCCGTCGACTCGGCGGCGGGCGAGCCCGAGCCGCTCCACCTCGCGCTAGAGGACGGCGACGTCTTCCAGCAGAGCATCCTGTCGGTCCACCTGCGCGCCGCACCGCCGAAGCAGCCGGTTCCCGTCAGCTCGGCACCGACGGCGCACAACGTCGACGACATCGCTATGGTCGACGAGACCGACCAGCCTGTCGCAGCGCCACGCTTCATCGACTACGCCTGGACCCTCGACGTCGCCTCGTCGCTCGACCGGTTCTTCCGCTCGTGGTTCCTCGAGTCGGCCAGCGAGGCCTCGTCCGCCTCCTCGTCGCCGTCCACCTCGCGTGACACGTCGCGCGAGTCGTCGCCTCAGCCACCGTCGCCGTCGCGCGACACGCGCCGCCGCCAGCTCGGCTCGCCGGCGTACAACCCCACCGGGCGCTCGGCCCTCCTGTCGGCGTCCATCTCGTGCGTCCAGGTGCCGCTCGACAGCATCTCGCCCGAGGGCGACGAGGCCGACGTCCTGTGGGCGCTCGCGTCCCGCAACGGCGGCGCGTCGTCGTCGTCGTCGCCGTCGTCGTCGCCCGGCACTCGGTTCGGCTCGCCGGCGAGCTCGGCCTCGTCCTCGCGGTCGTACGAATACTTCTTCGACGAGGTCGCGCTCGACGTCGGCAAGGTGGTCGTCCTCGCCGAGGAGGGCCTGCCCGGGTTCGCGAGGGAGACGAGCGCAAGCGAGTTGGGCACTCGGGCGGGAGCGAGGGTCCTATCGCTCTGAGGCGTGGCCGCTCGATGGTGAAGCTCTTCTAGGTGCGTCCTCATCTCTCTCTCTCTTCTGTTCTGCGGGCACGAGCACGGCGGACTGACAAGCCCTCGCCCCGCCGCAGACTCCTTTCTCCCTTTCCTGCGAGTCTCGCGGTGCCCTCTCTCCCGATCCTCCTCGACCTCCTTCGTCCTCTCGTTCATAGACCTGTCCTTCTTGTACACGTTCTCCTTGTTCTGTCGTCTCTATTCTCCTGCAACTTCCGGTTCCTCATTCGACCTTCCTAACCTCGCCGGCGGACTTTCCGGCTCTCGAGAGACGACGAGAGGGGCACAGAGAGAGAGGGAAGCACTGCTTGGAATGTCATTCGCGAGAGCCCGACGCACAATACAAAGACCTGGAACCCGTCCTCCTGCCCGCCCTTTCCGTCGTCGCACAGACCCTCTCCTCGTCGCCCTCCCTCACTCGCTCCTGCTCAGCTCGTCGCCTCAGAGCTTGCTCTCGCGCTTGACCATGCTCGAGCCGGCGAGGAGGGCCTTCTCGGCGTCGCGCTCCATGCGGTCGAGGAGCTCGGCGCACGTCGGGACGTCGTCGATGAGGCCGCACACGCCCGAGGCCGACCACACGCCGGCGTCCGGGTCGCCAAAGTCGTACACGGACTTGCCGCGAGCGCCAGAGACGAGCTGAAGAGGGGCGGCGAGAGGGGAGAGGTGAGCGGACGAACGGGCGAGAGCGAGAAAGAGGAGAGGGGACACACGGGCTGGATCTCGGGGAACTCGACGCCGCCAGGTCGGCGCTCCTTGGCGACGACCTCCTCGGCAATCTTGTTCTTGAACACGCGAGCAGTGCTGCGGCAGGGACGCAGGAGAGCGTCAGTATCGGCTCGCCGAGGACGCTCCATAGCTGGACCGCCGTGCGGCGGGACGAGCACGAGGGGACGGCGCGAAAGAGTGCGACTCACTTCCTGAGCGTACGGAACAAGTGCGTCGTGCTGCGCTCGTCCGCCTTGACCATGGTCTGCTTGATGTTGTCGTGGACGTACGACTCCTGCGTCGCCATAAAGACGGTGCCGCAGTTGACGCCCTGGGCGCCGAGCGAGATGGCGGCTGCGAGTCCTCGACCGTCGCCGATGCCGCCCGAGGCGATGTAGGGCGTCTTGATCTTGCGCGCCGCGAGCGCGAGCTGTAGGCCGGTCGGGAACGAGGGTCAGTGCGACTCGACGATGACGAGGACCTCGAGGTCGGCTCGTGACCGCCTTCTCTCAGGGCCCGACAAGGAGTGAAAGAGAACTGTAGAGACGCACGAGGAGCAAGCCGCCGATGTCGTCCTCGCCCGGGTGACCTGCGCACTCGAAGCCGTCGATCGACAGGAAGTCGACGCCGACCTTCTCGGCGGCCTGGGCGTGGCGGATGCTCGTGCACTTGTGGATCACGGTGAGGCCGTTCTGCTTGAAGTACTTGATGACCGGGATCGCGGCGGGCCCGCCAGCCGTCTCGGCAATCTTGATGCCCTCCTCGACGATGACCTTGGCGTACACGTCGTACGGCGGCGGCGAGATGGACGGGAGGAACGTGAGGTTGACGCCGCTATATTCGAAGACACGATGGTCAGTGTCGTCGGCCCACAGCGTCGTCGGACAGACAGGAGGGAGGAGCGGGCGCACAAAGGCTTGTCGGTGAGCTTGCGGACCTCGCGGATCGAGTTGCGCAGGTTGTCGGGGCTGCCTGCCGTGAGGCCGGTCAACTGTGGGCGAGGCGCAGAAGGTCAGCTGTGCACGGCGGAGGGCGAGAGCTTGGCGAAGGCGGAGAGAGAGAGAGGGGGACGCACGAGACCCAGGCCTCCCGCGTTGGACACAGCGGCGACGAGCTTGGGCAGGCCGACCCACATCATGCCGCCCTGGACGATGGGCCGCTTGATGCCGAGCTTCTTGGTGAGTTCCGTCTCGATGGCCCTGCGGGAGATGAGGTGGGCGGGTCAGCTCTGATGCACGGGGGAAGCGCGTCCTCGCGCCAGGGGGACTGTCGAGAGCTGCGAGAGTGTGCGCACATTGCTGCAGAGGGTTCTTGAGGTGTGTGTGTGGTGCGAGAGGAGAGGGAGGCGAGCTGGCGCGGGGTGGGCGCGACCGGCGTCGGCAGCAACTCGACCGGCCCGCGCATGCGACCACACACTCTCTTTGCGCTTGTCTGAGCTGGAGCGGCGACGGGCCCGACGCCGAGGCTGATCTTGTAACCTCGGCCGCACACGCACGCCCTCGACGAAGAGCCTCGTCCTGCGACTCTCCAAGGCGAGGCCCGAGAGCGGTCGCGACAGCGTGCACCTCTCGTCTCGCCGGCGCCAGTCCATACTGCTCGAGACAGGGTCTTCTGATTGCACCTCGAGAGAGAGAGCGGACACGTATAGACAAAAGGAGAGAAGGAAGCGCTCAGGCCGCCGAGCCCGCCGCCGCCCCGAGACGACGACGTCGGCGGGACCGCACCTCCCTCTACTGGCTAAGCACCTTCTGCACGCCCTCGAGAAGCTTCCACACGCCCCACGCACCCGCATCCGGCACGGCCGCCTCCCTGATCTTCTCCTGGTCGACGTAGGCCGCCCGGCCCGCCTTGGCGTCGAGGTCGCGCGTCGCCTCGGCCGCCTCCTTGGCCGCCTTGAACGCCTGCGAGAGCGTCTTGGGGTCCGAGGGTGCCGACGAGAGGGTGAGGATGAAGGACGAGAGCGGGTCGACGAGCGTGCGCGAGGGAGGGCGCGCGCGCGTGTACTGGTACAGGGTGTTGAGGGCGAGCTGCGGGTGCAGGGCGACGTATTAGTGCGCGCTCGAGCTGCTGACAACCGAGGAAGGGAGGGCAGAAGGACGCACCTCGAGCCCGCGCGCCCAAACCTCCTGCGTCGCCTCCTTGGCATCCTGGTCCCTCGCCGCCTCGAGCAACCCCTTGCTCAGCGCGCTCAGCAGGATGGCGTACAGCCCGCCGCTCGTGCCGCCCATGTCCTTCTCGACGACGGCCGAGATGGCGACCATGGCGGCGACGACGTCCGTGTCCGACACGCGGTTGGCGCCGATGGCGTCCTGGATGCCCTCGGCGCCGGCCTTGAGCGTGAGCCCGGCGTCGCCGTCGCCCGCGATCGTGTCGTAGCGCGTAATCTCGGGCTCGGCGTGGATGACCGACTTGAGCGCCTCGGACAGCGCCGACATGAAGAGCTTCGAGTCGGTGGCTGCGCGGACGCGAGGGGGAAACTGAGTCAACTCTCGCTTCTCGAGCCGCATCGAGTCGCGAGACCGAGAGAAAGAGGGATATGGACGCACGCTTGGGGCCCTTGACCTCGTCGCCGCCGACGTCCTCCTTCTTGGCCGCCTTGCGCTCGTCCGCCTTCTCTACCTTCATGTTGGGCTCGCCCTTGAACGTCCACTTCCACGCCGGCGCGTCGGTCGGCGCGTCAAACAGGTCGACGAGGAGGTCGGACGTGACCGAGAGGGACGAGGTCGAGGACGAGGCCGAGGCGGGAGAGGGGATGCCCTCGCGGGGGAGGAGGAGGAGCGTGAGGGAGAAGCCCGGCAGGTTGAGCGACGTCATGAACGAGCCGGCGACGGCACTGTGATGGGGTTGACGATCAGTTGTCGTGCGTCAGAGCGGGAGGAACGGGAGAGCAAGAGGACGCACCGCTTGACCTTGATGTGCTTGTTGGCGAGCCACTCTGCCGCCTCCTTGACGACGACGCCGAGCTCGAGCTCGGGCAGGCCGCCGAGGTTGTTGACGACGAGGATGACCTCGTTGCCGTCCTTCTCGAACGGGAGGTACGAGCGCTCCTCGTCCGAGGTCGACGTGAGCGTCGTCAGGAACTCGTCGACGAGCTTGGCCGCCGACGGGATGGGCGACACCTTGCGAATGCCCGGCTCGTTGTGCTGCGAGAAGGACGAGTGAGTCAGGCCGGGACGAACAGATGGACAGGGAGAGAGAGAGGGAGCAGGGGAACGCACGATGCCCATGCCAATCTCGGCCTCGTCGTCCTTGAGGTACGCCTCTCCCTTCTCGGTCCCGGGCACGTGGCAGTGCTCGAGACCCATACCGATGGTCCCGCACCGCTCGCTGACGACCCTCGCGACGTGCTCGACGTCGTCGAGGCTCGCGCCCTGGGCCGCGAGCGCGCCGGCGAGCTTGTACACGAGGACGGTGCCCGTCAGGCCGCGCCGGCCGGTGAGCGCGCCCTGCGAGCGCGGGACCGACACGTCGTCGCCGACGACGATCATGCGCACCGAGTCCGAGTCGAGGTGGGTCGCCGAGTAACGCTCCTTGGCGAGGCCGAACTGGAGGACGTCGCCCGTGTAGTTCTGCGAGGGTGAAGCCGTCAGTCTTGCGTCGCACGACGACGATGAAGAGATAGAGAAGTGGGCGCACCTTGACGACGATGAGGGTGCCCTTTGCGAGCGAGAGGCGCGCGAGGGCTTTCTCGACCTGGCCAGCGTTGGGCGACGCAAACACCTGGCCGCTGACGGCGGCGCTCAGCATGCCGTCGCCGACGAAGGCGGCATGTGCGGGCTCGTGACCGCCGCCGCCGCCGCACAAGAGGTGGACGCGGTCCTTGGCCGGGGAGCGAAGGAGGAGGGTCGAGTCGTACAGCTCGGTGGTGGGGTTGAGGAAGGCGAGGCCCTTGAGCGAGTCGGAGATGGCCGTCTTGGGGTCGTTGAGGATGTGCTCTGTGCCGCGGCGAGGCAGAGGTGAGCGTCACAGTGCGGAGGCGGTGCAGGACGAGGAGAGGAGGGGGCGCACTGCCCATGGTCGAGGTCGGCGGCGGCAGTGACAGCAGTCGGTGTAGAGCAGAGGACAGGTGGTCGAGCAGAGGGCTCGACGAGGTGGTGGAGCGAGAGGGAGGAGCAGGAGGGAGACCGACCTCGAGCTCGTCGCGGCGGCTGCGGGGCAAGGAGCGGCCCCACCTTTGCGCCGCCAAGTTCGACGTCGGAAACCATATGCATCTGGCCCCTCCCCTGCGGAACCCGCTCCGAGTAAGTACTCTGCCCGCTCGCAGCAAGTCGACACTCGCTCACGCTGGCTCACTCCCACGACAGCAGCTTGACCTCAACCACAGCCTCGAGCCTCGCACTCTCGCAAGCGCAAAGCGGCCACAACTGCGCGCCCTCGCATCCTCGCACCACCCCGAGTCCTCGTCACCTTCCCGAACCTCGGCTCTCGCACCCTCAGCACCGCCTCGCTCCTCACCACCACTCGCCAGCACCACGCGCAGCATTACCAGCCCTGCACCAAGCACCTGTGCCCCGTCCTCAGCAGCCGCCGCCCCTCGAGTCGACACCGCCTCGTCCCTTTGATCGCCCGACCCGACTCGCACCTCGCACCCACCCGCTGTACCGTCCGTCGCCTCTTCCAGCCCTCTAGCAGCCATGTCTGGTATCCAGGGCATGGGCAAGACCGTGATGCGGTGCGCCCTCGTTCCCCTCTCGTCCCCCTCCAACCCGCCTCCCTCCGTCGCCCGACTGACCCCTCGTCTCGCGCGCGCAGGGTGGCCAAGAACTCGGTCAAGGGCTACTCTGATACCCAGGTCAAGATCCGCGACGCCACCTCGAACGATCCGTGGGGGCCGAGCGGGACTCAGTGCGCCTCTCGTCTCGCTCGTCCCAGTCCTCGCCAGGAGCGCACGCCCTGACCAGACACGCATGTGCACCCCTGCAGGATGGCCGAGATCGCCCAGATGACCTACAACCAGTGCGCCAGCCTCTCTCACCCTCCTCTACCTCGAGCCTCGGCTGACCCCTCGCCCCACCCGACCCTACCTTGTCCACGACGACTCTCTTGCGCCTCCTTCCCCTGCAGGACCGACTTTGTCGAGATCATCGAAATGCTCGACAAGCGCCTGAACGACAAGGGCAAGAACTGGCGCCACGTCTTCAAGTCGCTCACCGTCCTCGACTACATCCTCCACGCCGGCAGCGACAACGTCGTCCAGTACTTCCGGTGCGTTCCCCCTCTCTCTCTCCATTCGAGGTATCCCTGCGGCCGAAGCCGACGTCCTGACTTGTGACGCGTCGCCCGCAGCGAGAACATCTACATCGTCAAGACGCTCAAGGAGTTCCAGTACGTCGACGAGACGGGAAAGGACCAGGGCGCCAACGGTGCGTCTCGCCGCCGCACCTCCTACTCTTTCGAGCCGCACGGACATGGGCGAGGAACTGACCTCGCTGCCCGCCGACCCGCAGTTCGCCAAAAGGCCAAGGACATCACGAGCCTCCTCCTCGACGAGAAGCGCATGCGGTCGCAGCGCGCCTCGCGCAAGGACATGCGCGACCGTATGGCGGGTCAGAAGTCGGAGCGCGAGCGCGAGCGACCGTCTCGGGCGTCGCCGCCGCCGACCGGCAACGGCACCGACGCCGACCTGCAGGCGGCGATCGAGGCGAGCAAGCGGTCGGCCGAGGACGAGGCGCGCAGGGGCAAGGCCGACAACGAGCTCGAGGAGGCGATGCGGCTCAGTCGCGAGGAGGAGGAGCGCCGACAGCGCGCGTTGGCGGCCAACGCCGACGGCAACCTCTTTGACGAGCAGCAGCAGCGGTGCGTCCATCCTCTTCTCGCCCCGGCCTGCGTCTCCTCAGTACCTTGTCGCAAGACCCTGACATCCAGACCTCGTCTTCCTCGATGCGCAGGTCGAACGCCCTGATCGACATGGACGCGCCGACGCAGCAGCCGATGCAGACTGGGTGGATGAGCTTCAACCCGTACCAGGCCCAGCAGGAGCAGCAGATGCAGGAGTACATGCGGCAGCAGCAGCTCCTCGAGCTTCAACGTCAGGTGCGTCCCCTCCCTCCTCCCTCTCCCAGCCACCTACGAGGCTCGAGCGACCCGTTCTGACCCTCGCCCTCGCCCTCTTCCCTCGCCTACAGCAAGAGCAGCAGCAGCTCATGTACCAGCAGCAGCAGCAGGCGATGCAGGCGCAGTACCAGCAGCAGCAGGCGTACGACGACTACCTGCGGCAGCAGCAGATGATGTACGCCCAGCAGCAGGCCCAACAGCAGCAGCAGCAGCCGATCCAGGCCCAGCCGACGGGCTTTGGCGCCAACAACCCGTTTGCCGCCTTTGCCGCCCCGCCGCCGTCGTCGTCACCCGCACCGCCGCCTCCTCAGCAGCAGCAGCAGCAGACCGGCTTCGAGTCGTCGTTCCAGCCCGCACCCGCACCGGCTCCCGCACCCGAACCGCAGCAGCCGCAGCGTACCGGCGGCGGCACGCGGTACAAGGCGACGGGCGACGAGAAGCACGGCGAGCTCGCGCGCATGCTCGCCGGCGGGCGCGAGAGCGGCGTCGACACGTTCGGCAACGTCGGTTCGGCGCGTGTCCCCGTGTGGCAGCAAAAGACCGGGCAACAGGTGCAGCAGGGCCTCGGGCCGATGCAGCCGCAGCAGACCGGGCTCGCCAAGCCGCTCAACCCGTTCGGGAGCGTCACGGGCAACTACCAGGCGCCGACCCAGTTCAACCAGCCGACCGGTTACGGCCAGCAGCAGCAGCAGCAGCAGAAAAAGCAGGATGTGCGTCCCTCTGTCCCTCTCTCGACGTCGAGGAGGGTGTGCTCGAGGGCGGCCGACTGACCGAGCTTCCTCGTCGTCCGCAGAACGAGCAGCCCTTCTTCTCCGTCTGAGCTGCGCCTCGTCGCGCCTGCATCTCTCTCCCTCCTCCCGACGCACCAGCTGCGTCCTTGTACACCCCTTACCCGCTCTCTCGCCTCGTCCCGCCCTCTTCTTCTCGCCGTCGTAGTCTTGGATCCCCCTTCTCCTCCCCTCTGCAGTACCAGAACGCCTCGCAACTCTTGCTCTAGCCCGTCGTTGTGTCGGCTGTCTACGAGAGAGTCCTTAGGAAGCTCTGCCTGAGTCCCTCGCCATGCACGAGAAGCGCGAGGTGCTGACCCCACCTCGGCCGAGGGTCTGCTCTCCTCCACTCGACTCGTCTCGCTCGCTACAGGGCTCGAGATGCGTGGTCTTCAGCTAGACTCTGCCGCACAGCAGCTTGCGCCGCCTCAGTCCCTCTTCCGGCTGCGCCTCGACCGCGTGGTCGCCGTCCTCGTCCTCATCGGTCTCGCCATCATCAGCTCGACCCCGAGCCTGGGCGAGTGGGCCACGTCGCTCAAGCAGGCCATCAAGCCGCTCCCGAAGGACCCGCATGCTCGCGCACTCGCCCTCATGGAGCAGGCCCCGGTCATCGGTCCGTCCTCGTCCTCGTCCTCGCTCAACGGCTTCGTCGCCTCTCAGAGCACACGCTGATCTCGCCCTGCCACACAGATGGGCACATCGACCTCCCTATCCTCGCCCGGTGGTACTACGCCAACGATCTCGACGCGTTCGACCTCAACAAGGAGACGCGCGGCCAAGTCGACGTGCCGAGGCTCAGGCAGGGTCGGGTCGGCGGCTTGTGCGTCCGCTCTCCTCCCCTCCTCAGGTCCAGTTCGTCGAGACTGACCTCTTGAGCTTCACCCGCAGCTTCCACTCGGTCTTTGTGCCCTGCCCCGAGGACGTCGGCTACCCGGTCGACGCCGGCTCGAACTTTACGGCGCCGTCGCACCGCGTTCGCGACACGCTCGAGCAGATCGACACGGCCCGCCTCATCATCGACAAGTACTCGGCCGACCTCGAGTTCACCCCGACCGTGTCGTCGTGGCGGCGCGCCATGAAGCGCGGCAAGATCGGCGGCATGCTCGGCGTCGAAGGCGGGCACCAGCTCGGCGCGTCGCTGTCGACCCTGCGCACCTACTTCAGCCTCGGCGTGCGCTACGTGACGCTCACGCACACGTGCCACAGCGCCGTCGCCGACTCGTGCGGGTCGCAGAGCGCGCCGCTCGAGCCTCACTGGGGCGGCCTGTCGTCGTTCGGCCGGGCTTTCGTCCGCGAGGCCAACCGCCTCGGCATGGCCGTCGACCTGTCGCACACGCACCCCAAGACGGCCTCGGACGTCCTGTCGCTCTCGGCGGCGCCGCCCATCTTCTCGCACTCGAACGCGCGAGGCGTGCACGACGTGGTGCGCAACGTGCCCGACGCCGTCCTGCGGCGCATCGGCTCGATCGACCCGGCACGTCGAGGAAAGTTCAACTTGTCCATGGACGGCGAGCGAGGGCGAGGCTGGGGCGCCGACTCGGGCGAGGTCGACAAGGAGGTGCCGTCGGGCGACGCCATCGTCATGCTCAACTTCTCGCCGTCGTTCGTCAGCGAGTTCCCCGACGGCAAGGGCCGGCGCGCCGACGTCGAGGCGATGGCCGACCACGCCGACTACATCGGCAAGCTCGCCGGCAGGGAGCACGTCGGCATCGGGAGTGACTTTGACGGCATCGAGGCGGTTCCCGAGGGGCTCGAGGACACGGTGCGTCGCCTCTCTCGTCGCCTTTCGAGTCCTTCTCTTTTCCTGACACTCTCCTCTCGTCCGCAGAGCAAGTACCCGAACCTCGTCGCCGAGCTCATCAAGCGCGGCTGGAGCGACAAGGAGATCAAGGGCCTCACGAGCGGTGCGTCCTCTCTCTCTTCACCTCTGGTTTGTCTCGCGCACTGACCAGTTCTCTCTCTCTCGCCTACAGAGAACGTCTTGCGCGTGCTCGAGAAGGTCGAGAAGGTCGCGCACTCGCAGCGCCATCTTGCGCCGGCGCACGACGTCTTCGAGGGCCGCACGGACCTCGTCAAGCACGAGAAGGCGCCCGGACAATGAGGGAGACGGCTCGTCGTTGCAGTAGCTATAGACAGATACAGTGCACTACTTGTTGGTCGATCTCGAAAGCAGAATGAGGAGAGCTAGATCATTGCGAGAGCTTCTTGACGCGGTCGCGCAGAGCGACCTTCTGGACTGCGAGCGACGAGTGCTCGAGGTCAGTACTCGCGGGGAGCGAAACGTGGCATCGCGTCGATCGAAAGGCGAGAGGGGCAGAGAGAAAGGGAAGGGAAGAGGATGGCGTGCGAGAAAAGGCGGGAGCGAGAGGGACGTGAGGGTGGCGGCGAGGATAGGGCCGAGCGAGAGAGATGAGGACACACTCTTCCCGGTCGACGTCTTGGGCAGCTCCTCGGGCTTGACGACCTCGACCCACTCGGGGATGGCGAACGCGCTGATCTTGCCGCGCAGGGCGCCCTTGAGGTCCGCCTCGAACTCGGCATGCTTGCCGTGCCACTTTGAGCCGGGTTTGAGGACGACGACGGCGTGAGGTCGCTCGCCCCACTGTTTCAAGGCGCAAGAGAGTCAGTCGAGAAAGCTCGAGAGCGAGAGGAGCGACGACGAGGAGGAGGACGCGAGGACGGACCTTCTCATGCGCCCTGCCGACGACGGCGCACTCGAACACGTCATCGTGCGCAGCGACCGCGCTCTCGACCGCCAGCGACGAGATGTTCTCGCCGCCCGAGATGATAAAGTCTGCGCGCGTCGACGAGGTCAGGAACTTGCTCGGCGGACAGGCTCGGGGAAGGATAGGGAGGGTGGGGACGAACCCTTTGCGCGGTCGACGATGGCGAACGTGCCGTCCGGGTAACGTATGCCGAGGTCGCCAGTATGGTAGTGGCCGCCGGCGAACGCCTTCTTGGTCGCCTCCTCGTTCTTGAAATACCGCTTCATGGCGAGATTCCCGCGAAGAACGATCTCGCCGACCTCCTGGCCGTCGGGCGCCGTCTCGGTGAGGTCGGTCGTCGGCGGCTCGCCCTCGGGCGTGAGACGCACGATCCGGATGTCGTCGGCGGTGAGGAATGCGTGGCCCTGCTTGGCCATGTCGCGATAGTAGTGCGGCGAGGCCCGGTCGACGTAGTACTGCAGAGGACAGGAGGGTCAGGTACGGTCCACGAGTGATGCGAGATATGTGAGGGAGAAGGGAGAAGGGAGGAGCGAGAGTGAAGGGGCAGGAGGCGCGGGCGAGGGAGAAGAAGAAGGAGAAGGTCCCTTTGACGTACAGTTCTCGTCATCGGGCCGTACACCTCTGACGTGCCGTACACTGTATGCTCGAGAGATTGTCAGGTACGACTCGAAGAATCGAGAGAGGACGAAAGAGAGACGGACCGTGCACGACCGTGATGCCGAGCTTCTCGAGCTGCTGGATGAGGGTCGCCGTCGGTGCGGCGCCGGCAATCGTGGCCAACAGGGGCCTATCGAGCTTGCGCGCCTTCGGGTGACCGACAATGGCGATCTGGCTGCGGACGGGGAGCGGAAAGATGGTCAGGAAGGGGACCTTCTCAAACGGAGCGGGACGAGACTCGTCGCCGCTCCGAGGCAAGCGCCCGGGGCGAGGGTCGAGGGAGGGGCAAAAGAGCGAGAGAGAGGAGACGCACACGGTCGGCGCGGCGTTGTAGTGTGTGATGCCGTCGTTGAGGAACGCGTCCCAGATGACCGAGTAGTCCATCGCGCGCAGGCACACTTGCGTGCACATCGCCATCGTCGTGCTCCAGGGGAAGCACCAGCCCAGGACGTGGAATTTCGGCAATGTCCAGAGGTAGATAGAATTGTCGGTGAGGCGCGACTCGACGGCGTTGGCGATGGCGGCGAGGTAGCAGCCTCGGGCGGTGAGCTCGACGCCTTTGGGCCGAGAGGTAGTGCCGCTCGTGTCTGCGTGACAAGGCTCGGGTCAGGAAAGATCCTCACGAGAGCAAGATCTCGAAAGAAGAAGAACTAGAGGGAGGAAGAGAAGGAACCAGCGGGCGTACAGGTGATGGCGATGGTCGACTCCTCGTCGCGGTGAAACTCGAGCCCGGCCCACTCTTTGCCGCCGAGCTTCTGGTCGTACGCGGCGCCCTCGCGCAGGAACTGCTCGTACGGGTCGTCGGCCTTGCCCGTGTCGACGCACCGCACGACCTGCACCTTGCCGCCGCCGGCGACGACGTCCTCGGGCAAGAGGTGGACGAGCGATTCGTCGACGAGGATGAGCTTGGTGCCGCTGTCCTGGACGAGGAACTCGATCTCGGGCGCCGACAGGCGAGTGTTGACGACGACGAGGACCATCTTGGCGGCGGGGACGGCTTGGAGCGCGTCGGAGACGAACGGGACGTTGGGGCCGAGGACAAAGACGCGGTCGCCCTCCTCGAGACCGCGTGCACGTAGGGCGTAGGCGAGCTGGGCGACTCGCTCTGCCCACGCCGAGTAAGTCCACGAGACGCCGCCGCCGGCTCGACCCGGGTGGACGAGCGCAGGGTGGTCGGGGCGGATGAGGGCGGCCTTGAGGAGGAACGTGATCGGGTTCAGGGGCGTGTGCCAGACGGGTAGGTCGGCGGGGAGGGCAGGACGCCAGCGAAAGGCGGCGGGAGGACGAGTTGAAGGGCGAGGTGGGGGAGACGGCTGCAGGTGCTGCGACACTTGGTGCAGCCGCTCGGTGGGCTTGTTCGACTGGGCAGGCATGCTTGTGCGCGATGCTCGAGAGCTGGAGCGGTCTGGGTGGTGGAGCGAGGAGGTGTGGGTGGAGAGCGAGCTTCGCCGGCCGGCTCGCCGACGCAAAGGTGGGGGAGCCTCGCCTAGTCCGCGCACTTTCGAAAGACACCCGCGCTTCGCTCTCTCAAGGGCTCGCACTGGTACTCGGCACGAGACGAGACGAGAGGGACGAGTTGCACACCGCCGCACCCACTACCAGAGCGACGCTCCTGCTGCACTCTGTACCGACCCAAGACGCGAGAGGGACGAGGGAAGGGGAAATAGAAGGCCCGGGCGAGAGGCGAGTGGATGCAGAGACGGCGAGGTGAAAGAGTCGAGTGTCCACGGAGCGACGGCGAGTTTGCGAAGAGAGCGAGTGAGGGCGAGAGTCGAGGACGAGGGAGGGACGGCAAGGGCGACCGCGAGGGCGAAAGACGAAGGAAAGGGGGGGAAAGGCGAGGGGCGAAAGCCGACTAGTTGGTCGGGCGGACGGACACGGGCGAAAGGAGAGAGTTGCGAAGAAGGGGGAGGGCGTCGGCGGCTCGTTCAGGCCTGCGGCGACTGACCCGTCGCGGCGGCGGCCGCCTCCTCGTCGAGGACGAGCGCGCCGATCTCGGGCAGGTGCGGCGACGACGGCTCGCCTCCCTCGGCGAGATGCAGCTGGTCGGCCTGGAGCGGCGTCGTCGGGAACGAGAGCGGGTCCGTGAACGGCGAGCGCGGGAACCCGCCGCCGTTGACCGAGCCGTCCTGGCCCTGCTGCTGCTGGCCCTGCTGGTGGCCGCGCTGCTGGTTGCGCAGGTCGAAGCCCCGGAACTGGCGGGGCGCGCCGCCGCAGCGGTCCTTGCCGTACGAGATCTTGAGCTTGGCGTAGTCCGGGTGCTGCTTGATGCCCTCGATCGCCTTGATCTGCGACGGGGACGACGCATGTCAGTCGCGCTCGGGATGAGGACAGAGGACACGAGCGACGGACGGCGTTGGTGATGTTTGTAAAGTTGATGAAGCAGCACTGCTTCTCCTTGAGGAAGTTGACGAGCTCGATCTCGCCGTACTCGCCAAAGTCCTTGCGCAGCTTGTCCTCGTCGTACGTCTCAAAGTCCTCGATGTTGCCGACCTGCGTGTGGGCGTTGGCCGAGTCAGTCTTCTTGCTCGGTGGCACTCGGGCGAGGTGAGGGAGGGGACGCACGTAGACGTTGCGAGAGCCGCCGGCCTGGACGACCATGGCGATGCCGGGCGATGTCGGACCCGACTGCTTGCCCTGTGGTACACGAGAGCATGAGTCAGATACGACGAGGAACGAGGGGCTCGAGCGCGAGAGAGAGCTGGACGCACCCAGCCGACCTTGAGCCGCCGGTTGTGCAACGCGATGCCCTGGAACGACGCCGTCTGGTAGAAGGCGAGAGCGCAGTGCGGGTCGACGAACGTGACGAAGCACTGCGAGGGCAAAGAGGCGGCAGACTTAGCGAGACGTCATGCTGAGAGGGAGGGAGGGAGGAACGGAGGACGGACGATGTGCTTGTCGGGGATGTAGCGGATCTGCTGCAGGATGCCGCCGCGGATGATGTTGCAGATCTCCTCGGCCGTGACCTCGGGGTGGATGTTCTGCGGACGGGCCGAGCGTCAAACGGTGGACGAGGGAGAGGGTGGGTCGAGGAGAGGCCGACGCACGCCGAGGTAGATGGTGCGGTTGCCCGGCTGCGCGTTCGGGTCGACGGTCTGAGCGTAGCCTGTGTGCGTGTTCGACGTCAGTGAGGCGCCGAAGGAGGACGAGACTCGAAGGTGGGGCGAGGAGAGAGAGAGACGGACCCATGTTGGGGCTTCCGAAACCGAGCCCGCCGAAGCCGCCGTACGTCGCCGCCATGCTGCCCATTGCCGCCGCCGCCATGTTGTGCTGCTGCTGCTGGTGCTGGTTCTTGGGGACGTACGCCGTGCGGTCCTTGCCGTACGCGACCCGGCGACCGACCCAGCCGGGCTCCTGCGGCAGGTTTTGGACGACCTTGATGGCGGTCGCGATCGACAGGAAGTGGACGAAGCCGATGTTCTTGTCGCGCACGATCTTGACCTGGTCGATCGGGCCGAACCGCGACAGGTCGTCGCGCAGGGTCTGCTCCGTCACCTCCTCGTCGAGGTTGCCGAGGTAGACGTTGCGGGTCGCGCCCGACTGCTGGACGGCGGCGAGGACGTTGGCCGAGACGGCACTCGGTTTGCTGCAAGGAGGCTCGAGAGTCAGTAGCCGAGGAAGGAGGAAGGAGGGAGAGCGGACGGACCCCCAGCCGATCTTGAGGTCGTGGTCGTGGAGGCGGACCTTGCGCATGAGGGCGTCCGAGTGGAAGGCCGCCGCCGTGTTCGGGTCGAGGAACGAGATGAAGGCGCAGCTCTTCTCGGGCAGGATGCGGATGCTCTCGATCGGGCCGAAGCGGACCTGCGACAGGAGCTCGTCGACCGAGGCGTCCGACGGGAGGTTGCCGACGTAGACCGTACGAGTCTGCGCACGACGTTGACCGAGTCAGTGTACGGGCCACGAGCAGAGCAGAGGAAGGAGAGGACGGACCGAGGGCGTCTGGGTCGCGCTCATGCCGTTCATGGCCTGCGAGCCGCCGATCGGGTACGCCATGGGCGAGAACCCTGCGCCGCCCATCTGTGGGCTCCCCATGCCGCCGAGCATAGGGCTCATGCCCATGCCGAGGTACGGGCTGCCCATGCCGAGCCCGCCGAACGCGCCAGGCGAAGGCGAGCCGAACGGCGCGCCGCCGGGTGCAGGCGGGCCGCCGTACGGGTTGGGCGACGCCGGCGTCGGGTCGAACGCCGAGCCGGCGTAAGGCTGAGCGTGCGGGTGCGAGAGCGGGCCGGGCCCGCCGGCCATGCTCAGGCCCGCCGAGGGAGGAAGCGGCGAGCCGAACGGGAGGGGGACAGGCCCACCGTTGAGGCCGACGCCGTTCATGTGCGGCACGGCGTGCCCGAGGTACGGCGACGTCGCGTTCGAGAAGGCGCCCGCGTTGGGCGGCGGCATCGGCGGGGCGGCGCCGTTGCTCGTCGACGCCTGCTGCTGCTGGCCCGGGACGAAGGGGGGCGGCGGGTGGGCGCCGAACGGCGGGCCGTACATGCCGTTGGGCGTCATGCCCGCGGCGGCGTAGACGTCCTGGTAGGGCGCAGCCGGGTGCACGCCGGCGGGGCCTCCTGCACCGCCTCCAGGCGCGCCCGGTCCGCCGAGTGCGGGCGCGGCGCCGTTGCTCGAGGGGGCGCCGTCGGCGCCGGCGGGCGCGCGACCTGCGCCCTCGAACGAGCGCTTGATGGCCTCGAAGTCGGCCGTGCCGTTGGCGGGCGTGCCAAGATCGGCAGGCGCGACGGAGCTCCCGGCGGCAGCGCTCGGTGGAGGCGGGGCAGCTGCGCCGGCGGCGGCGGCGAACGAGGGAGGCGGGAAGGTGGCGTAGAGGGTGGTGTCGTCGCCCTGCATGGCGAGCTGGTGGGCTGGGTGCGGCGCGGGAGGAGCGAGTGGAAGGGTTGAGGGACGGGGGACGTGTGAATGGACGAGAGGTGCGCGTGGTCCGGGTTGGGGTCGGTCTGGCGCGGCTCGAGTCGAGCTGTCGAGTGCTGTAGAGCTTGGCGTGGTCGGCGCTAGGCGTCCAGGCGGAGGACGAGGCGAGGCGGACGCGACGAGTCGGTCTGGGGAAGCTCTCAATCGCCAAGTCAGGCTCGTGGGCTCTCGGCGTAGCACGCAGGGCAGGGGAAGGGGGCGCACCTTGATCAGACGCTGGTGCAGGTTGCTGCAGGGCGAGTCGGCGAGCGGCTCGAGTTGAGCGGCGTGAGCGCGACGAGCTGCGGGTGGCACGACGACGATCAAGGTTGCGCGGGAGGGAGGCAAGGGCGAAGGGTCAGTCTCGGTACAGGCACTGTGTGGGATCTCTGGAGGCGGTAGAGTGCGAGAATGAGGACGCACGAGGCTCTGGACGAGAGGGAAGGCTCGGAATCGAGCCGGTGGGTGAGGGACGACGAAGCGAGGTGCGTCGACTCGAGGTGGACGGCCTGGGCGCGAGGTGTCGGGTGAGAGGGCGGAGAGAGCGAGGCTGGCACTGGCGGCGAGTGCACTCGGTCTCTGGGAGCGAGGTCGGAGGAGGAGGAGCGGACGAGGGTGGCTCGCGGTGCCGACGAACCGAGTCTCGCGGAGGCAACCCGCCTGGCCCTCTTCGTGCTGCAGCGGTACGGCGTAGCTTGGTATGCGAGCTCTGGTTCACTCTCAGACTGGCGCACACAACGCTCGACGAGCGAGAGCTGCATGCCGACACCCGCTCGCACCTCGACTCGCCTCGACACCGACGCGCGGCTCAGCGGCGACAATCGAGTCGTGAAAGGGATGCGATTGCAGAAGAGATGCGTAAGGTCACAACAGGCCGTCTCGTCCAGTCCGTCTGAGTCTCCCTCCTCGCCGTCTAGAGCGCGAGCCGCGCCGAGGTGCTGTCGGTCGCCGTTGCCGCCGACGACGAGGCGAGCGCGGCAGCGTCGATCTCGGCGCGCCGTGCAGCACCATTGCGCACGTACTTCATGAGGCACGCGAGCGAGGCGGGCGTGACGCCCTCGAGGCGCTTGGCCTGGCCCTGTGTGCATGGCTCGAGCAAGGTAAGCCACGTACGCCGCGACGGCGCTGGATCCACGACCAAAAAGAGCGAGTGGGACGCACAAGGGTTGTCGGCCTTGCGTCCTTGAGCCGCTGTCGCACCTCGTGGCTCATGCCCGGCATCGCGTCGTAGTCGACGCTCGAGTCGATGACGAGGTTCTCGTCGCGCAGGAAGAGCGCGATGTCGTGCGTCTGGCGCAAGATGTGCTGCTTGTACCTGCGGGTACACGAGGAAGAATGGTCAGAAACGCGGCGAGGCAGAACCTGAGGGAGGAGGACGAGCGGCGACGCACTTGCCGGCGATGCCGATGCGCTCGAGCGTGCGAGGCAAGAGCGCGTCGAGCCCTGGAACGTGCGCGACGAGGCGGTCGATGTCGACGTCTTTGTAGTGCAGGAGGTCGAACGCGCTGCGAAAGAGGGAGTGTCAGTCTCGAGAAAGCGATCGGGCGGAGGGAAGAGAGAGAACCGCGCCGACGCACCTCCTCTTCTGCCCGTCCCTCCTCACCTCGAAGCCCTTGCGCACCCACCAGTCTGGCGGCATCTCCATCTTCTCCATGAGCTCGATCCCGTCCTCGATATCGCGCCGGGTCGACTCGAACGCGGCCCATCGAGCCGAGCCGACGACACCCACGTCCCGCCCTTTGGCCGTCAGGCGCAAGTCGGCGTTGTCGGCGCGCAGCGAGACGCGGTACTCGGACCGAGAGGTGAACATGCGGTCTGCGGGCGCGACATCGAAGGGTCAGGAATGCTCGCCGAGGCGAACGAGGAGAGGAAGAGGCGAGCCGAGACGCACAAGGCTCGTTAACGCCCTTGGTGACGAGGTCGTCGACGAGGACGCCGATGAAGCCGTCTGCACGGCTGAGGACGAGCTGCTCGTTGCCCTGCGCGGCGCATCCGGCGTTGATGCCGGCGAGGACACCCTGCGCCGCCGCCTCCTCGTACCCGGTCGTGCCGTTGATCTGCCCGGCGAGGAACAAGCCCGAGATGCGCTTCGTCTCGAGAGTGTCTGTGTAGGCAGACACGTCGAGTCAGTCATCGTCGGCGAGCCCGTGAGGAGGGGACGAGAGGGAGGGGGACGCACGCTTGAGCTCGCGAGGGTCGATGTGGTCGTACTCGACCCCATAGCCCGGCTGGACCATGTCGACGTTCTCGAGTCCAGAGATCGTGCGCAGCAGCTCGAGCTGGTTCTCGGCCGGGAGCGTGATCGAGATCCCGTTCGGGTAGACGAGGTCTGCGCGGGCGTCGTCGTCGTCAGGTGGCTGCTCGTGCGGCGCAGCAGGGTGCCGAGTGAGAGAAGGGGACGCACCCGAGTCGTAGCCCTCGGGCTCGAGCCAGACGGTGTGGCCGAGCTTGTCGCCGAAGCGCAGCACCTTGGACTCGATCGACGGGCAGTAGCGAGGACCTGCAGGGAGAGACAGAGTCAGTGCCGTCCACCTTTCTGCTCGAGAGACACGGGGCGGTGCGCAAGAGAGAAGGAGACGGTGCTCACCCTTGATCGTCTCGCGCACGTGAACCGACTTGTGGATGTTGTCGCGCACGATCTTGTGCGACGCCTCGTTGGTCGCCGTCTGGAAGCACGACACCTGGTTGGCCTCGTTGGCGACGCGGTCGGTCAGGAACGAGAACGGCTTGGCGGGCAGGTCGCCCTTCTGCTCGCCGAGGCCGCCATAGTTGATGCTCGACTTGGCGAGCCGCGGCGGCGTGCCCGTCTTGAGGCGGCCGAGCTCGAAGCCGGCCTCGCGCAGCGAGTCGGACAGGGCGTGCGCCGACTGCTCGTTGATGCGACCCTTGAACGGAATGATGTCCTGGCCGATGTGCAGCTCGCCGCCGAGGAAGGTGCCGGTGCAGATGACGACCGACTTGCACGGGACGACCTCGCCCGTGTCGAGGCGCAGGCCGAGGACCTTTCGGCCCGAGTTGAGCAGGTCGCCGTCGACGGGCGGCGAGAGGACAATGTCCTGGACGGCGGCCTTGCGGATGTCGAGGTTCGGGTAGTTGCTCAGGACGGCCTGCATCTCGCGCTTGTAGATCTTGCGGTCCATTTGCGCGCGGTAACCCTGCATCGTGTGAGAGCGAGTGTTAGTAGGCTGCGCCGCCAGAGGGGTGTGCGAGGAAGAGAGGAGAGGGCGACGCACATGAACGGCCGGCCCTTTGCTCTTGTTGAGGACGTGGAACTGGATGCCCGCCTTGTCGCAGATCTTGCCGCACAGGCCGTCGAGCGCGTCGACCTCGCGCACGAGCGTGCCCTTGCCGATGCCTGCATGGCCCGAGGAAGGTCAACCTCGAGGAGAGCGGACGAGAGAGACGGGAGGGGACGCACCGCCGAAGCTCGGGTTGCAGCTCATCTCTGCGCGCAAGTATGCGAGTCAGTCGGTGCTCGGTCGGTCGCAGAAGAGGAGGAGGGAGAGAGCTCACCGCCGACCGTGTCGAGCGACTGGGTGATCAAGGCGGTCCTGGCGCCGCTGCGTGCGCTCGCTGCTGCCGCCTCGCAGCCGGCGTGGCCTGCACCGATGATGAGGGTGTCGTAGGGCTGGACATCGGGAGCTGCAGTGGCAAGGGCGCGTCGGAAAGTCGGGAGAGATGAAGACGGGGAGGAAGCCGAGGAGTGGCGGAGGACGCGGCAGCTGGTGGAGCCGGTGCGGGGCGGGATGCTGTACAGTGCAGCTCGGAGAGCAGCTCGGCGCAGCATGCTGGCTCGACTGGGCCGTGTCGAGGCGACGAGCCGAGGCTACCTTGACCTGGCGGCTGCTCTCGCCTCTTGCGCTCCTTCTCTTCACTTTCGTCGCCTCGCAACCCTCGAGGCATGTCGAGCTTGCTCCAGCACCTCGCAGCTGGACTTGCGCGCACCCTGCGCCCAGTCACCGACTCGCCCCGCCTCTCGTCGCGCTTCTCGCCGTCCTGCAAATTGTTCGCACCTTGAGGCGGCAGCTCGCCCGAGGGTCGGACGGCGAGGGCACCGCGAGCGTGTGCTGCACGAGCTTTGACATGCTCGGTGCAGCTCCCGGTGGCGGTCACAAGGTGCGCACCTCGCCTCTCCTCTCATCGTCCTCGTCCTCCTCCCGACCCGCGACCTGACTCGCATTGCCCCGCTCAGCTCGACCGCCCGCCCGACCATATCCTGCTGCGCCTCAGCTTCCGCCTGCTCGCTCGGCACGTTTCCGCACCGACCCCCTTCCCCCGTCCCCCCTCCCCTCCTCCCACCGTAGCCAGTCAGATGGTCGTCACCTCGTCGCCCTCGTGGCACAATGAGGAACCAAGCAGGACGGACAGCGTTACAGCTGCGGAAGATTCACCCTTTCGTCCCCCTTTCGCCCCTTTGCCCCTCAACTGTCGCTCGTCGCAAGGCGAGCGGCAGGAGGTTGTTGGCGCCGCACGTGCTCCTCAACTGTCGCTCTCTTGCCCCTCGGCTCGAGGGTGGCAGGAGGTTGATGTCGTCGGCTGCCGATGCAGCGCAGAGGGGATCCCGGGCGGACGAGCATCGTCTTCAGAGTGGTGGGCGAGCTGGCTCTCCTCGAGCCGGGTTCCACCTCGCGCACTTAGTTTATCTTGACGAGACACTTGCTCGCGTGCAATGCCTTTCCTCTCATTCTCCCTGTGTGGCCGTGCGACTGTTCGAGAGCAAGAGAGAGATCTGTCGGAGCGCGCGACGTGAGAAGTGGTCGTCCGCGACGAGAGTGAGAGGCCTGAGCGCTCTCCTCTCGGTCCTTTCGCGAGCACTCGAACCGTGTGTCGCTGTCGACGACGACGACGAGAGAGCGTGCGAGAGAGCGTGTTGTCGAACTGCGAGGCCCCTGCGCAAAGATGCGAAGGTCGCCTTTGCCCTGCGGGCCCGCAAGCGGTTCCGTCACCAGAGCACCGTCGACGACGTACGAGGTGGCCGAACCCGGGGCGGGCCTCGAAACGATGAACGGCGCGACGAAACTCGAAGTGCGTCAAGCTGAAGTTCGACCTTCCCAGATCGACTGTGCGCAAGGCGGACGCTCTACGGCGAGCTGCCCCTCTTTCGCCTCCTGCTCACTCGCTCTCTCGCGCTCTGCTACCTGCTCCCTCTACACCTACACACATCATCATGACGAGCGCCAACGACCTCGAGAAGGGCGACAAGGTCAGGTCCGTCGCCGTTCCTCGTCCTCCTCCTCCTCCCCACCTTCCGAAACCCCACCTCTCACGGCCCGATCTCGCATCGACGGCAGCTGCTGACAACCTCGCGCACCCACACAGCTGGAACTACGGCGGCGGGCAGCCGACCGGCACCGTCGAGGCCGTCGTCCCCGAGCACGACACGATCCAGACCAAGGGCGGCAAGGAGGTTTCTCGCAATGGCAGTGCGTCCCTCGCCCTCCCCTGCCTCGATCGGCCTGCACCGGCTCTCGCAGCGAGTACTGACGCCACCTCGTCCTCCCTGCAGCGGCCGAGGACCCGGCCGTCGAGCTCAAGGCCAGCTCCGGCGTGCGTCACCGACCCTTGCACTCGCCCGATCGTCCTCCACAGCGCCCAAGCTGACCTGCGCTCGCCTTCGTCTCGCCCTGCAGAACAAGGCGATCAAGCTCGCGCACGAGCTGAACGAGGTCGACGAGGGGGTGACCGGCGACAAGACGTCGTACGCCAAGGAGGCGGCCGGCGGCGACGCAAAGACGAACAAGGAGGCCGACGAGAAGACGGGCGGCGCCGAGGGCAAGGCCAAGAGCGAGGAGCGCAAGAAGGAGAGCCAGAAGCAGAGCGAGGAGAAGGCCGATGAGGAGGACGACAAGGAGGAGGAGACCAAGGTCCGTCCGCTCGGTCCTCTTCCTCTCCCTCTTTCCTCAGAACAGCAGAGCTGACTCGCGCCCCATGTTCAGCAGGCCAACGACGACGAGAAGGACGACGACAAGTCCGCCAAGCAGAAGCAGTCCGAGGGCGGCAAGAAGGGCGGCAAGGCGACGCAGAAGAAGGCCGGCACCGCCAAGAAGCAGGACGACGACGAGGAGGAGGAGGACGCCGAGATGAGCGAGCCTGCCGAGGAGGAGGAGCAGGAGCAGGAGGACAAGGGCGAGGAGAAGACGGCCAAGCAGAAGCAGTCGGAAGGCGGCAAGAAGGGCGCGGCCAAGGTGCGCCGCACGCTCTCCCTCTTCTTTTTCTCCCTCTGCGGGATGGGCGCACGCTCACCCTCGCGCTTTCCTCGTCTCGCAGACCAACGCCAACGCCGGCAACAAGAAGAGCGCCGACGACTCGTCCAAGAAGCGCTCGGCCCCCGAGCCGAGTCGCCGCCAGCCGACTCGCGGCGCTGCGGCCAAGAAGACGCTCGCCGAGGACGACGACGACGAGGAGTTCGAGGCCGACGACGTCGACGACGATGACGAGGACGCTGTCGAGGAGGACGAGGAGGACGAGCCGGAGAGCAAGAAGAAGCAGCGTGCGGGCGGACGGGTGCGCTCTCCTTTCTCTCGCTCTCTCCTCGTTATCGCGCGAGCGCCTACTCACAGCGATCGTTCTTCTCTCCTCTGCAGAAGGGCGGCAAGGCGACGGCGGCCAAGTCGAAGGCGCCGCCGGCAAAGAAGGCCAAGAAGGCCTGAGCGGCTCGTTCCGCGCGCTCGCGAACAAAACGAATCTTGCAGTATCAGCCCGTCATGATCACGACCCGAGAAGTCTGTACGCGAGAGAGCGAGAGCGCGAGAGAGAAAGAAAGCGGCGAGAGGATCCAGAAGAGGAGAGAGAGAGCGGCTCAAAGGAGAAGAGGGCCGCCACCTTTGCGCGCCGCGCATGGACCGGCGACGGTGCGCAGCGAGCTCGTCGACGTCGCCAGATACACTTGCGCGCCGCTTGCGGATCGTCGGCTCGTGCGCACTCGCGACAGTCGCTCAGCTCGAGGCCGACGCGGTACGAGAGAGGGAAACGAGAGATGCAGATTGCAAGAGCCGACGAAGGTATGCGCAAGGTAGACAGGGGTAAACGGTGTGTATGCGAGAGAGCGAGAGAGAAAGGGAGGGGGTATCAAGCTGCGAGGAAGATCACGCTCGCGACGGCGCGAGGCACAGGATGGTCGTCGACGGACCCACCGTCTGCGCAAAGAGGAGCTGCTGGCCCATGCGGTGCGTCGCGAGAAAGTTGACCTGCCCTCGCGCGTTCGGGCGAGTGACTGGGACCGCCGTCGAGAAGGGCGACACGCCGCCGTCGACCGAGATGGCCTTGACGTCGGTCGGCGAGAGCTTGACGACGACGGTGCGGGTCCCACCGACGACGAGCACCTCGAGCCGCTGCAGGCACTCGGCGTCGGGCGAGATGGGGCCTTGGTCGGTCGACCAGATGAGCGGGCGCTTGATGACTGCGACGAGAGGGCAAGGTCAGGTCGGTCCGCGGCACGCTCGGCAAGGGAGAGGGGACGCACTGCTCTTGCCGTCGGCTGTCACGATGCCGCTGATCGAGTGACCCTTGGACACGAAGAAGAGACCAGGAGGACCGTTGTGGCGGATCGCGGCGCCGCCGAGGAGCGAGACGGGCGACAAGAGCGGGATGTCGTGCCCGCCGTGCGGCGGCGGTGGTGGCGCGGCGCTCGCCTGCGAGCTCACTGCGCCGTCGACGCCGGTGACGCTCGTGACCATGATGGCGGGGCCGAGCAGGTCGTCGTCCTCGCTGCCCGAGGGCTGCGGCGGCGAGTCGCCGACGACGTCCGAGTAGGTCGGCGGGATGGTCCAGGCCGACGACAGGGTACTCGATGGGACAGGAGGAACGAAGGGGAGCTGCTGGAAGGTGCTGTAGGGGAGCTTGCCGCGAGAGGGAGGTGCGGTCGAGGAGGGCCGGGTGCCTTCGAACGGCGGCTCGTGCGCCGGGCTCGAGACGGACGACTGGGTGCGAGGTCGTGGCGGCAGGTCGTAGCCCGGAGGCGGTGTTGCAGGTGGGGCGACGTCGGGCCGAGGCGAGGGCGTTGGGGAAGGAGACCTGGACCGACGAGCCGGGTCGAGAGGGACGGCCACGTCATCGACCTCGGCGGCCGTCACGGGCGTGTCGGGCCGCGCCTGCTCTTGGCGGGCGTGGTCGGCGGGATGCAGGACCGACTCGAGGTCGGCCGACGGGGCCGCCTCGACGCCCTCGGCTGCGAGCGCTTCGCTCGGCGCCGTCGCGAGCGTGCGCAGCTGACGATCGCGCTCTCGACGAGCCCGGCGCTCGCCTCGCCCGACGCCGACCTCGCGCACACGCACCGTCGACGGCTCGAGGGCGAAGATCGACTCGGCGTAGACGAGGTAGATGTCCACGAGGTCGTCGCCCTGGAGCTGGAACTCGATGGACCGAGGCGTCTCGGGGAGGACGAACGTGCGGTTGAGCGAGAGAGAGATGCTGCGAGAGCCCTGTGTCCGATGCGAGGAGTCAGTGATGATGGTCTCTGAAGGAGAGGCTAGTAGGGGAGAACAGGCGACGCACCGTGAAGAGCTCGATGCGCTCGGCCTCGTCGCCCGAGAGCACGGCAAGGTAGGTGCGCTTCTTGGTCTCGACGGCTCGCAGCATTCTCGCGCCTTTGGTGCGCGCGAGCTTGACGTACTCGAGCGGCGACGAGCTGCTCGCCGGGTGGGCGTCGGGCGGCGCCTGGCTCGACGGGGCGATGCTCGGGGCGCTGTCGCGGTGGAGCGACGCCGTCGGACGACGCTTGCGGTCGCTCGTCGTCGGGCGGGATGCCGGCGGCGTCGGGAGGGCGAGAGCGGGTGCGGCGGCGAGCGCAGGAGGGGCAGGGGCCGGCAGCGACTGCGCGTCGGGCACCATCTCCCACTGCCCGGCCGTGCTGGACCAGTCGACCGAGGCACGCCGGCCTGGCGACGTCAACGACTCGGCGTCCTTGCGCGAGGCGTCCTCGGCGGCGGGAGCAGGGCGGCTGAGCAGCTTCGACCCGAGGGCGCTCATCGTCCACCGCTTGGTCGCCCTCGAGGCCGGCGAGCCGCCGACGCTCGACGCGTCAGGCGAGGACACGATGTCGTCGGCCGTGCGCGCCTCGAGGCGCTCGAGCGCCGCCTCCCTCGCCGCAGTTGCCGCCGCCGCCGCGCCCTCGCCGCCGCGCCGCTCGTCCGGCTCGTCCGGCTCTGTGTCGCGCAGGAGGGCTGCGAGCTCCATCGAGGGCGACGGTTGGCCGGCCTCGAGGCGAGGCGTCGTCGCGCCGCGCGCCTCGTGCTTGGGCGGCACCGGCGGCGGGACGAGCGTATCGTCGATGGCGCTCGGGCCCCGACCTTCAAGCTGCGCGTCGCAGAGCATCTCGACGACGTCGTCCTTGTCGCTCATCGTGTACAGGGCGAGACCGGCGAGCTGCGCCGCCGTCTGCGACTGGCTGAACGCGGACCGAGACGAGGTGCTCCCGGCCGGGAAGAGCTGCGCGCCGGGCGCCGTGTTGAGGACGTTCTCGGCGACCGACGAGCGCCGCCGCTCGCGGACCGATGCGAGGACGTTGTCCATCTCGGGCGAGAGCATCTCGGGCCCGCTGTCGCGCAGGAAGTCGGCGAGGTCGGACGTCGGCGAGCGCTCGTGCGGCGCCTGCTGGGCCTTGACGGGCGGCCGAGGCTGCATGCGCTTGGCGATGGACGGGAAGGCGGCGAGGCTGGACGGCACGTCGCCGCGGTGGTCGTCGAGCGACAGGGCCGCGCCGGGCAGGCGAGGGACGGCCGGGACAGAAGCCCTGCGCGAGCTCGTGGTGGTCCCGCCGGCGCCGCCGCCGACGCCCTCGCCCGACAGCCACGCGCTGTTCCTCCTCGAGACGCTCGAGTAGGCGCTCGTGCGACGGCTCTCGCCCGGCGTGTCGAGGTCGGCCCGGCTGCGCCGCCGCGGGATCGAGGCGGTCGAGCCCCTGCGCCCGGCGATGAACTCGCGCGACTTCTGGCTGCGCAGCGTCGGCGTGCTCGTCGGTCTTGGAGCCGACGACTGGGCCGAGTCCGACGGGCGTGGCGCCGGCGGGTTGGTCGGGACGGCGCGGACGATCGAGCCCGACGACAGCTGGCGCGAGATGCGGACCGACGACGTCGGGTTGGCGGCTTGGTGCCACGACGTGGGACGGCGACGAGCAGTTGCCGCAGGCGCGACTTGCTCGCGAGGGCGGGGCGCGCTCAGTTCGGCAGAGGCGGCGACGGCGGTCGTCCCGGTCGCGGCGGACGTCGTCGAGGTCGGCGGGAACTCGTAGCCGGCACGCGTCGGCTGCGCCGAGGCATGCGGTGGTGCTGAAGGAGGCGGTGAGAGCTTGTCGCTCGTCGTACGGGCGCGCTCCTTGCCCTTGACGCCGCCGCCGAGCTTGACCGACTTGGCGACGACGAGCGGATACCCATCTCGCGCGTCGACCTCCTGCATCTTCTTCTCGATCATGGCGCGGATACCGTCGAGCGCGTAGACTGTGGGACGAGAAGAGATGTCAGTGTTGGCTCGGCGGGCGAACCGGAAGACTGTGAAAGGCGGACGGACCGCGGATGTGGTCGTTGCGGCCGGCGATGGCGAGCAGGATGTTGCTCCTCTCGCTCAGGACGGCGAGCTCCTTGAACCGGGTGCGCTTGATGAGCGAGATGGGCTTGCGCGTGTCCTTGCGCTTCTTGCCGCCGCCGAGGTGCTGCATCGGCAAGCTGCCGGGGAGCGGCAGCGGCAGGAAGTCGAGGCCGATCGTGGTGCCGATGAGGAGGTACCGACCGTCGAGGACGGCGCCGCACAGGGGCTGGCCGCTGCGCGAGAGCGCGAGCGGCTGCGTGAGGGGCACGACGCTGAGCCCAATCGAGGCGAGCGACGGCGGGTCCGGCTCCGGCGCCGTCGGCGCCGCGGTCGCGGTCGACGCGAGCGGCGGCGTCGCAAAGTCGAAGGTCGGGACGGGCGACGCCGCAGCAGAGGGAGGCGCCGCCGCCATGCCGCCGCCGCCGCCGCCGCCCGAGCGAGGCGAGCCCGCCGGTCCTCGGAGCGACGACGACCGGGTCAAGCCCGCGAACGTGGCCGCCGCGATCGATCGAGGCGTCCTGCGCACCGGCTGCGCCGTCGACGCGCCCTGTCCGTGCGACGTAGGGCGGTACAGGTCGCTCGAGTCGCGAGGGACCGGGTCGCCGTTCGACAGGAGGGGCATGCTCGTCGAGCGCGAGTGGATGGCGTCGTTGGACTGGAGGGACGCGACAGAAGGATGCTGCCAGCCGTGCGGGGCCGAGGGCGAGCGAGGGAAGCCCGGGTTGGGCGAGCTGTCGGAGGATGTGCTCGGCGAGCCAAGACGAGGCGACGGGTGCTGGCGTGGCGAGCGGTGGAGGAGGTTCGAGAAGAAGGACCGAGCGCCGCCTCCTGGCGAAGGCTGTGGCGGGGAAGAGTAGGTCAGGACGTGGATGCAACGGCTGATGAGGAGGAAGTGGGACGCACTTGAGCCCTCGGTTGCGCCGGTCCATGTCCTGCGGCGAGCGACGCCATCGGCCCATTTGCGACCGACTCGTACGGGCCGAGTGTGCGGTTGGGGAGCACGAGGTCGACGGGCGGCGTCCTGGGCACGCTCACCGTCGACGAGACGGACGAGTCGTTCGAGCCGGCAGTCGAGCGCGAGGCGTGCGACTGGACCGGCGGCCGAGAGGGAAGGTCGGCCGACATGGCCGTGTCGTACGACGGCACGTCGGGAGGAACGGGCGCGAACGCGCGGGAAGGGAACGGGAGGCTGCCGCGACGCTGCGGCGGATCCGCCTCGTCGCTCCCGGACGAGGCGTGCGCTCGTGCCTTGAGCGCGACGCTCGAGGCGCGCTGCTCGTGCGGCGGCGGGACCGTCGGCTCGGCATGCCAGGTCGACGGCGTAGACGCGCCGGCGATGCCCAGGCCCAGGCCGACGCCGTGGTCGTCGAGCGCTCCGCCGCCGACGAGCCAGTCGTCGGGCGCGTCGTGAAAGTCGTCCTGCCCGCCCTCGCCGTCCTCGTCGCTCTGCATGACGGCGGCGTGTCGAGGCGATCGCGGGAGGGTGACGGGCGTGCGAGGCGGGGCCTCCTCCTCGTCTCGCTCGCGGTCGGCGGGAGAGGTGGATGAGCGAGTCGGCTCGATCGCGCGGCCGCCGCCACCAGCAAGGCCGTACTCGCTGCTGCTCCTCGGCGAGCTGCGGCCGTCGCCCGACTCGTCGCCCGCCGTGGCTCGCGCCTTGCCCTTGTCCGCCGCCGACGAGCGGGGCGGGAGGAAGCGCTCGTTGGGCGGCACGTTGATGCGCAGGCGGGTCGAGGCGGGCGAGAGGCGGCCGTTGGTGGAGCTGCTGCTGCCGGCGCTGGCCGTGCTCTGGGTGCTCTGGGTCGAGAGGCGGTGCGGATTGAGCGACGAGGCGGGAGCGGGTGGGGGAGGGTGACGAGGGCGAGGGGCAAGGGCGGCCGGCTGCATGGCCACCGAGGGCTGGCAGTGCGAGAGGCGGGTGGGCTGCACTCTCGCCTGCTGGAGGTGGTTGGTGGTCGAGGGGCAAGAGGGCGCCGAGGCGGACGCGGGGGAGCTCGAGAGGGAGCGAGCGGGTCCGGAGGGCTCGAGAGCGTCGCCGTCGACAAGGGCACCGCGCTCGAGTCTCTCGTCGAGCACTGCGACTGCCGCTCGTACAGCTGCAGCAAAGCAAGAGCACGCCCACCACCTTGCACCGGCCTCTCTCGCCTCGATCGCCTCTGCACCGCTCCTTCCTCGTTCAAAAGAGGTCGACGCTGCCACGTGCTGGGCGATAATTGCACCTGGAGACCTCTCTACTCGCTGCAGACGACCACAAGCTCATCCCTTGAGCGCCGCCTTCAGAGTCTGCGCGCGAGGGAGGCGAGGGTGAGCAGGGAGGGACAAAGGGAAGGGCGAGGCCCGAGAGCGAGAGAAGGGACGCACCGCCTCCATCTGCTCAAAGTCTGCCGTGTCGACGCGCACGATGGGCTTGCCGAGCGCCTTGCGGATCGCCTCCATGTGCTCGAACGAGCGCCGGTCGTGCACGAAGTTGATCGAGACGCCCTGCCGTCCAAACCGGCCCGTTCGCCCTGCGCGTGCAACCCGTCGTCAGTGAGGGCGCCTCGACGAGCAAGAGAGAGAGAGAGAGAGAGAGAGAGAGAGGACGCACCGATGCGGTGCAGGTACGTCTCGGGGTCGGGTCGCCCTTGAGCGTCGAGCGGCAGGTCGTAGTTGACGACCATGTTGACCTGCGAGATGTCGATGCCGCGAGCGATGACGTTGGTCGTGATCAACACCTTGGTCTTGCCGTCGCGGAACGACTCCATGATGGCGTCGCGCTCGGTCGTCTCGAGCTTGCCGTGCAGCGACGTGACCTGGTGGCCCTCGGCCGTCATCCGTCGCGCGATCTCGTCGGCCGTGTCGCGGCGCTGCGGGCGCGACAGAGTACAGGGTCAGGATCGGTCTGCCTCGGAGGAGAGGGAGGCGGGCGCACCTTGACAAAGATGATCGACTGGCCGATCGTGAGGAGGTTGTACAGCTCGACGAGGACCTCGTACTTGTGCTCCTCGTTGTCGCAATCTGTGCGGGCGAGGTGTCAGAACGGACGACGACGCCGTGACGAGAAGACGAGGGACGAGGGACGCACCCATGAAGAACTGCTTGATGGCGTCGAGCGAGAGCTCCTCCTGCTTGAGCCGGATCTCGTTCGCTTGCGGCGCAAAGCGCACGGCGAACGTGCGGACGACGTCGGCAAACGTTGCCGAGAAGAGGACAATCTGCGGGTTCTTGGCCATCTTGGTGATGAGGCTGCGGGTCCGACAAGGGTGGTCAGTCCCGCTCGAGGAGGAGAGGGTCGAGGAACGAGGCGCGCACTTCTTGAGCGAGATGCTCTGGTCGCCCATCGAGCCCGACTCGAGCATGTTGTCGGCCTCGTCGAGGACGAACACCTTGACCTCTCGCAGGTCGAGAACGCGCGCCTTGGTCACCATCTGCGGGCGAAGAGCCTGGTTAGCCTCGTTCCCCTCCTTCCGGCCACCGACGCGAGGGAAACAGAAGACGCACGTCGATCATCGTTCCAGGCGTGCCGACGACGATCTGCTGCGTGAGCTTGGGCATGCCCTTCTGGACCGAGTCCTTGCCGGCGAAGAAGCACTCGACGGGCGTGTACTGGCCCATCTTTTGCACGACTTGGAGGATCTGGATCGCGAGCTCGCGCGAGGGGGCGATGCAGATGGCCTGCCGAGGGACGAGAGTCAGTGCGGAATGATGAGAGGCGGCGAGAGTGAGCGTACCTGGGGCGCCTTGAGGTCAAAGTCGACCCGCGAGAGCATGGTGAGCGCGAACGCCGCCGTCTTACCCGTGCCCGACTGCGACTGGCCGATCATGTTCCGCGCGCTGTGTGTGTGTGAGTCAGATCCAGACGGCGAGGGAGCACACCGAGCCGAGAGAGAAAGAGAGAGAGGGAGCGCACGGGTTCTGCAAGAGGAGCGGGAGGGCCTTCTCCTGGATCTTGGAAGGCTTGTGGAAGCCCATCTTGTAGACGCCCTTGAGGAGGTTGGGATGCAGGTTGAGGTCCTCGAACGACTTGGCCGAGAACAGGGGCGAGTTGGGGTCGGCTTGCTGGTCGGCGAGCGTGACCTGCGGCGAGCGGGGCGAGGGTGAGCTGCGACGTGCGCGAGACGATGCGGCGAGGTGGCGGACGCACCTGGACCTCGTTGGACAGGTTCTCGAGGAGCGCGGATGCTGTGCGGGGCGGGAGCGTCATTGAGTGGGCGGTGCAGGAGAGGGGAGAGAGGTGGGCGCACCTTGCGGCGCATCCTCCGATGGAGGCTCGTCTGCTTGTGGCTGCTGGTCATCTTGAGGTGGCTGTTGAGGCTCTGGCTGTGCCGAAGTCGAGGCTTGAGGCTCTGGGGTGCCCTGGTCGTTGGTGTCGACGGCTCCGAGCCTCGAGGCGAGCGACTGGACTGCGTCTGCGGGCGGGACTTGGGGGGTGAGCTAGGGCGCGAGGGCTAGAGTGAGGCAGCAGGCCGCACCTGAGGCCATGCTGGTCAGAGCGAGGTGCCGAGGTAGGTGAGAGCCGAACCCGAATCCTCATCTCCCTCCTCCTCATTTCAACCACCGCCTCGAGCCCTATCACCTCGTCCCGACCGATCAGCCCGCTCAACCGGGCCACGGCACTGGCTGCTCATGGTCAGGCCTGCTCGCCCGCCAGAACGAGGCCTCGCCGCCGCCTGGCCCTCTCGCTCTCTCGCTTCCGCCCGAGAGTGGATCCGCACCCGCTCCCACGAGCGCCTCCTCTTGGTCGGCACCCTCAAGGCCACCATCGCACTGTGCCTCCTCTGCATCCTCGCCTTCTCGACCAGGTCCGTCCTCCCCTCCCTCTCCTACCCGCCTCGAGCCGCGCTCACCTTGCCTCCTCGGTTTGCGCACCTCGGCCTCGTCTTCAAACAGGTCCGCCCTACCTCGATCCCCCTCGACTCAGAGCGTTCCAGGGCTGACACACACGGCCCGCCCGCAGCTTCGCCCGCCTCAACCCGTACCCTGTCACGCTCAACGGCGCCTTCCTCGTCGTCGTCGGCGGCTATCCTGGCGGCACCACCGGTCGATGCTTCCAGGCCTTGCTCCTCGGTACGGCCGGTCTCGGCGTCGGGTGCCTCGTGTACGCGATCCTCGGCGAGCTCGGTGCGTCCCTCTCTCCCCGACACCCTCTTCCCGCTTTGGCCGCACCTGACGTCCCTTCTCGCTCGTCGCAGCCGACTCGCCGACCGGTCAAGGGTTCGTCTTTGCGATCTGGGTCTATCTTGCGGCACTCGTCCGCTTCGGCGGGCCCAAGTACATCTCGTTCTACCTCGTGAGCCTCTCTCGACTCGCCTCGCCCGGACCTGGACCTCGTGCACTGACGCACTCGCTCGCCCACAGTACGGCGTTCTCTTCTCGTTCAACGGCATCTACGGCACGGTCGAGCAGGGCTATTTCGACCGCCGCTTCTTCCTCGCCAACTTCGAGGCGTACGCGTGGGGCATCGCCATTGCACTCGGCGTCAACGTCCTCGTGTGGCCCATGACGTCCGAGTCGGAGCTGCGCCGCCTCCTGGTCACGTCGCTCCAGCACGTCGCGACCCTCGCCCACCTGACCTGCAAGACGTACGCCCGCGAGCTCGACCGCGACGAGCTCGACGTGCGCCAGGTCCTCGTCAAGGAGCTGCGCAGCGACTACCTCGCCCTGTCGGCTCGCCTCGAGGAGACGTCGTACGAGGTCGTCCTGTCGAGCTGGAGCCTCCATGGTTACGCCCAAATGATCCGCGCCGTCCAAGGGCTTCAGCAGGCGCTCATCACGGCGTCGTCTGCCATGGACCTCATCTCTCAACTCGACCCCGAGGGCGTCAACAGCCGCCACCTCCTCGCCGAGGCCGAGACGACCCGCACCTTTGCCGACTTTCGCCACGGCATCGACCTCGTCATCGCCGAGATCGTCGACGAGCTCGTCGGCGCCAAGGGCGTCCCTGTCGAGCACGACCCGGCCCTCGACCAGGACTCGGCCGAGGCGCCGTCTGACCGTCAAGGCGGCAGCGTCGGCGAGCCCCAGGGCCCAACGCCCGCCGCCGACGCCGACGAGCGCCTCGGGCACGCGCTCCACACGACGCCGACGCCGTCGGCCGCGCAGGAGAAGGTCCTCACGGTCGCCGCACGGCTCAAGCGCGAGGTGCAGGAGTCCGAGGAGCGGCAGCGCCGCCTGCGAGGGCGCAACAGCAGCTCGCGCTCGGCGAGCGCGTCGCGCCCGGGCACGCCCAGGTCGACGCCGGCATCGGGCACGGCGACGCCGACTGGGTGGGCAGGAGCGAGCGTCGAGGAGCTCGAGGCGCACCTGTCGCGAGCGCGCAAGTCGTCGTCGTCGAGGACCCGCACCGAGGCCGAGCAACCCCTTCCCGGCGAGGAGGCGGTCCCGGAGAAGAACCCGGCGCGCACGACCGACCCGGAAAAGGCGACCGCGCCGGCCGACCGCCAAGGTGCCGTACCAGCTCGAGCCGGCGTCGTCGACATCTTCCGCAAGGCGTGGGACGCGTTCGCGCGAGCGCAGCAGACGGCGCTCGTGTCGCTCATCAAGGACGGCGCGCTCGAGGTCGACGACGTCCTGCGCATCGAGAGCGGCATGCCGAGCATCAAGGAGCAGTACGCGCACCGCCTCCCCAAGGCGTGGACGTCGTCGCTCATCGCCCAGACGCCGCTCGCCCGCCTGCGATCGCGCGGCGACACCCTGTCCAACGTCGGCGCTGGCGGTGCCGGCGACGACGACAACGACGACGACGACGACGATGCGGCCGACGAGGTGCCCTGCTCCGAGGCCCTCACGAAGAGCTACTCGCTCCTCTTTGGCCTCGGGCAGCTCACCGAGGAGCTCGCGACGCTGCACGACATCGTCGTCGCGCGCCAGCCGCACCGCCGCGTGCGCTTCTTCATCGTCCAGATGGTCGTCGACTCGGTCCGCCAGCTGTTCCGCCCGCGTGACGGCATGAAGCTCCAGGAGGCGCTCGCCGTCCTGCACGGCAAGGAGTACAAGCCCGAGGAGAAGTCGCGCCTTTCCTACCTCGTCCGGGCCGAGCGGTGGTTCTGGGGCCAGCGGTCGCTGTACGCCCTCAAGGTGGCCATGGGCGCGACCATCTACACCTTGTTCGCCCTCGCGCCGACGCTCCAGACGCACGTCTTTCTCCCGTTCGGCCAGGTGTCGGCCCTCATCACCGTCATCGTCGCCATCGCGCCGACGCTCGGCGGCACCCTGTCGACCTGGCTCCTCCAGATCTCGGGCACGGGCGCAGGCGCCCTCGTCGGGCTCGTCGTTCTCGAGATCTTCCGCAACGTCGGCGGCTACGACTACAACCCGTACGTCCTACTCTCGTCCCCTTTCCCGTGCGAGTGCCCGAGCGAGCGAGACCCTGACATTTGCCCTCTCGCAGGTTCGGCATCGTCGCGCTTGGGTCGCTCTGGTTCGCCTTCTCTTCGTACAAGTTCCTGCGGTACCCGGCCAAGTACACGCAGTCGCTCCTGTACGTGACCGGCTTTGGCGGCATCTGCCTCCAGGAGTTTGTCTACAACGACACCCCGGGCGAGACGCGCCGCTTCGACAGCCCGGGCCTGCGCTTCGGTGCGTCACCCTTCCCTCCTCTCTCCTTTCCTCAATCCCTGACAACGTCCTCTACACGCAGGCTACACGATCGCGTCGCTCGCCATCTCGATGGGCATCTCGGCGGCGTTCCAGCTCCTCATCTTTCGCCAGCCCGCCCGTCACCGCCTGCGCATCCAGCTCGCCGAGGTCATGTTCGCCCTGTCGGCGTACAACTCGCTCCTCCAGGCCTACGTCAACCTCGTCGCACCGGCCGACGAGGCGCCCGTGCCGCCGCAAGACGCTCTCGCCCAGGTGCAGCGCGACCTCATCAAGCGCGAGGGCAAGGTCCAGAGCATGATCCTCGCGCTCGCGCCCACCTTCGAGTTTGCCAAGGTCGAGCCTAAATGGTGGGCTCCTTTCCAGGGCGAGCGTGCGTCCACATCTCCCTCGTCCTCCTCTTTCTCGTCGAGCCGGTCCTGATTCTCTCCTCTCCTCCTCTCGGTCTCCTTCCTTCCTCCCCGCCCTCGCTCTCGATCCTTCTCGGACCCCCTGCAGTCCTCCTTCGCATCATCCGCAGCCAGCAAATCATCCTCGACCGTTTGCGCGAGGCGAGAACGGCGGTCGGCTTGCGCGGCTTCAACGAGACGGTCCACCGAGATTTCGCCAACGTGCTGTTCCCGTACGTCCCGCATGCTCTCTCTCTTCAGGAGGCCGAGAGCCGCAGCCGAGCCCGCCCTGACCCGCGTCGTCCGTGCGCAGGTACCGCCTCCACTCGCAGCGCCTCGCTCGCACCCTCTTCTACCTCGGCGCGACCTCGTTACTCGCCAAAACGCAGCTCGCCCGCGACGTCCCGTCGTCCAAGCCTACGTGGGCCTCGTTCGAGCGCGACGCGCTCGTCCTGAGCCGGAGAATGAGCAAGCTTCCTCGCGGCGAGGAGGAGCTCAAGCGGCCCGGCTTCTTGCGCTACTGGTTCTACCTCGTCAGCCTCGGCTCAGTCAGCAGCGAGCTCGAGGAGCTCGAGAAGCACCTCGGCGACGTGAGTCGGCATCTCTCTCCCCCTCCCTCCTCATCGTCGTCGCCCTCGCCCCGACTCCTCCTGACCTCCTTCCCCCTGCCTCTGCCACAGCTGTTCGGCGACCCCGACGTGTCCAACCCGTACATATCATAGACTTGTCGCCTCTGCGGCCCCTCTCGTCTCGCCGTCTACCGTGCCGCGTCGACGTCGTCGGTGCCCTCGCGCGCTCGAACCCTTGTTGTCCTCCCTCCTCTTTGCGCATCTTTTCCACCTTCTGTAGATCTGTTTAGACGTCGTTGACAAGCACATGAGCCTCGTATCGCACCCTACGCCGCTCTCGATAATTCCCCCACCTCGAGAGAGAGAGCACGGACGAGACTTCGGCTCATCAGCTCCCTGCTCCTCCTCCATCGCTGCACCCACTGCCCCGCTCTGCACCATGGGCCGCACCAAGCAGCGCAGCAAGAAGGCCTCCAAGGCTGAGCTGCACGCCACCACGCCCGCCCCCTCGACGTCGGCGCAACCACCGGCCAGCGTCACGGTCGAGGACCTGCTCGTTCAGAGCTCAGAGCTCATCGCCTCGCTCCAGTACGAGTCGGCCAAGCAGCACTGCCTCAGCGCCATCGAGCTCGCCACTCGCGAGGCCCAGGAGCGGCCGAGCGAGACCGACCCGCGCATGCTCCGCGACGCCCTCGAGATCCTCGGCACCATCGAGCTGGAGCTGGGAGAGGTCGACGAGGCTCGCGAGGTGCGTCCCAGGATCCTCTTCATCCTCTCTCACCTCGAGCGCATGTCCTGACCGCCTCGCCCAACTGCAGCACTTCAACCTCAGCATCCAGCTCGCCTCTTCCCTCCCCGATCCTTCCCCCGCACCGCACCTGTACCTCGCCCAGCTCGCCCAGTCTCCTCAAGAGTCGCTCACCTACTTCGGCAGCGCGCTCGCCATCTTCCAGGCCAAGCTCGCGGCGCTCGAGCAGGCCAAGCTGGGCGGCGACGGTGGGGCGGGCACGGTCGACGACGCCGAGGACGAGGGCGAGATCAGGAGGAGCGCAAGTCGGGCCCTCGTCGGTATGACGGAGCTGTACCTGACGGACCTCTGGTGCGTCGAGCCTCTTCCTCTCCCTGCCTGTCTCTTCGTCGTGCCCTGCACGGCCTCTCACTGACTGCTTCTACTCACGGCGACCACAGCTTCGAGCCCGAGGCAGAGCAGAGTTGCGAGACGTTCTTGGCGCAGGCCGCCGAGATGGACCCGACCGATCCCGAGGTGTATCAGGTGCGCCCGCCGCCGTTTCGCTCCTCCTCGAGGAGGCATGCTCACAGCCTTCCTTTTCTGCAGACGCTGGCGTCGGTGCGCCTTAGTCAGCAGCGCGAGGAGGACGCCAAGACAGCTCTGACGCAGGGCTGGGAGCTGTGGAGGAACTTGGAGCCTGGTGCGTCGCGCTGTCCCCCGCCTCCTCCCGCCTCTTCCCCCACCTGACCTCTTTCGCGCCCGCAGAATCGCCCACATTCCCTCCCGCCGCCTCTCGTCTCACCTGCGCCAAGCTGTTCCTCGAGCTCGGCGTGCACGTCAGCGCTCTCGAGGTCCTGCACCAGCTCGAGGGCGAGGACGACGAGAACCCCGAGGTGTGGTACTTGAGCGGGTGGGCCTGGTGGCTGCTCGGCGAGTCGCGAGGGGACAAGGCGGCTGTCGGCGAGGACGAGGAGAGCCAGGCCGAGTGCTGGGGCGAGGCCAAGCTGTGCCTGCAGAACTACCTGACGGTTCGTCCTGCGTTTTCTCCTCCTCTTCCTCCTCTCTCTCGGGCGCTTTCGCGTCTGACACTCTCCCTCTCCTTTACAGCTGGAAGAGCGCGACCCGAGCGGCACCGACGCCGACCAGATGGCGCACGTCAAGGAGCTTCTCGGCAAGCTCGATGCGGCGGGCGTCGTCGCGAGCGCAGGAGCAGCCGAGGGCGACGCAGAGTGGGAGGACGCGAGCGAGGACGAGGCGATGGAGGAGTGACTTGGAATGACACGCCGCTCCTCTCTCTCGCTCTCGGAACGATGCTGGCGCGTGCTCGAGGCTCAGAAAGCTCGAGAGCCTGTGAGCTGTTAGGCGCAACCTTCTCTCGGTGCAGCCCTCTCTCGATACCGAGGCGTACACACCGTGCGGAAAGAAACATTCGGAGGCGTCTGAGAGGTCGGCGCGAGGTGCACGAGGCGAGAGCGAGGCGAAGAGAGCTTTCCACGACTTGAGAAGGTTGCTCGCGAACCGGTAAATGCACGTCTAGACATGGCACGACAAGAGGAGAGGGGGAACAGGACGAGGAACGACTAGATTGATGTCACGGACAACAACACGTAGAGAGGACAAGAGTATAAGAGAGGAGGGAGTGAAAGAAGAGGGCGAGAAAGGGCCTCGACGCGGCCGACAGACGAACGAAAGAGGAACGCCCAGCCGCCCGACGAGAGAATCCTGCACGACCGGTACCACCTGGCTCTTTTCTACCCGCTGCGTGCGCAGGCGGGCCGGTTTTAGGCACCTCGTCGTCGGACTTGGTGGACGACGAGCGAGGTGCCCCGGAGAGGCATCAGGTTCACGGTCACCTCGACTCTGCCGGTCTCCCTCAGTGGGCAGACCGCCGCACACGGCCGGAATGGTCATCGGTGATCGTGTGCGCGACGAGTCGAGGTGCGGTAGCGCAGAACCGCTCGGCTCGGCGGCGGGCGAGCTCTGTCGCTGTCGATCGACGTTGGCGAGTCCAGTTCTGCGAGGAGGGGAGCACGATGGCGCGTAGGAAGACAGGTAAAGGGTGAAGGAGAGGGAAGAGAGCTGTGTGGAGGAAGAGGAGACCGGGAAGGGTCAGATCGAGTGCTCGAGGACCGAGCGCGAGGACGACGAGCGCCGCGAGAGGGAGAGAGAGAGAGAGAGGCGACGCACCACTATGTAAAAGATAAAGAGGCTGCTAAAGGTCGACGGGTATCTGTGAGGGAGAAGGAAGAGAGAGTCAGTACGACGCGAAGCGCAAAAGGGAGGAGGACAAGGGGGAGAGGGACAGCGCGACGCACATACTGATGGTCGAGAGCTCCTTTTCGACGTGGCGAGGTAGAAGACGACGCTCTAGAGCTCGTCGGACTTGTCCTCGACCATGTTGACGAGCTTGAGCGACGAGAGGCAGTCGGTGACCTGTGAGAGGTACGGGGGTCAGTCGGCGGGCGAGGCGCAGAGCGAGAGAGAGAGAGAGAGAGAGAGAGAGAGAGAGAGAGAGAGAGAGAGGTGGACGTACGTGCATGAGGTAGCTCACCGGCGCCGAGCCCTCGAAGGCCGTGAAGCGGGCCCAGTCGCGGCCCCGGAGCGAGAGCTTGGACAGCGCGACGTTGTTGATGATGCGGGGGTAGTCGCCGGAGCGGACGACTGCAGGCAATCAAGAGTTTCTGTCAGTGTGGCGTCGAGGACAAGGGGCGGGCGAAGAAGGAGGAAGAGGAGGAAGGGAGGACGCACCGAGCCTCGCGACCATGGCCTCGTTGAGCTGGCAGTCGCCCTTGCCCTGGTAGACCCAGGCACCGTCGACGAGCTTGTACAGCTTCGAGCACGAGAAGAGGTCGAAGTACTTGTCGTCCTCGGCGTGCGGCGGCGTGACCGGGACGACGACGGGCTCGAGCGGCGGGGCGACCTCGGCCGGCTGGGCGTCCTCGACGGCGGCGACGATCTCGCGCGGGGCGAGCGTGAGGAAGGTCGACGGCGACGTCGGGCTGAGCTTGACGAGGCCCGAGGCCTCGAAGTAGGCCGCGAACGAGGTCGGCTCGACCGTGAGGCTGCGCTGCGTCGAGAACGCGGGCCCGACGGCGGCGGCGGCGGCAAACGGCGTCGACGAGCCGTAGATGGTGTCCGACGAGGTCGCGGCGAACGCCTTGCCCGCGAACAACGACTTGACGCGCGGCTTGGGCGTGTCGCGGTCCTGGTCGACGACCTTGGGCGACGCCGACGAGCGCTCGCTCGCGTCCTCGAGGCCCGCGATCGTCGTCTTGGCGCTGTCGGTCCACCACGAGACGACGAACTTGTTGCCGAGGACGGGCGTCGGGCCGGCGCGGTCGGGGAGGGCGAGGAGGGTCGCCGTGAGGGCCGTCTCGACCGCGGCGTTCATGATGGCCGTGAGGACCTTCTCGAGCACGCCGTTGACGCTGACGCCGGTGTGGGTGACCGTTCTGCTGGTCGTAGCGGCGGCGAGGCTCTTGCGCAGCCGGACAACCTTGCGCTGGCCGAGGACGACGGCCTTGTCGTCGGTCGCGGCGGTCGAGGCGAGTGCGGCGAGCACGTTCGAGCTGATCATGCTCGCGCGCTCGTCGAGGTTGAGGGCCATCTTGCGCATCGAGATGCTGCAGGGGTGGACGAGGGGAGGTGGGGTTTGGGTCAGTTTCGGGGCGATTTCGGGAGCGCAGAAGGAGGATGAGGAAGCGCGTGAAAAGAGGACGCACGTCTGGCGCTTCTTGAACGTCGACGCGACGTCGTTGGCGATGTTGGCGATGCGGTTGTCGTCGTCGTCGTCGTCGGCGGCCGTGCGCTTGCGGACGAGCGGCGTCGGCGAGGGCGAGGCGGCGGCCGACTCGCGACGGGCGAGGGCGACCTTCTTGGCGAGCTCCTTCTTGCCGGCCTTGACGAGCGCCTTCTTGATGCGCGCGTCGAGGAGGCGCTCGGCCTTGGCGAGCTTGTGGGCCTTGCGAGCGAGGCGGATGGCGAGGCGGCGCTCGCGGCGCCTCGGGTACGGCTCGCCGGAGAGGTCGATGGGGAGGCGGCGAGAGACCATCTCGGTCGACTGGTGGGTGCGAGCGAAGAGTGTGTGTGTGTGAGGAAGAGAGAGAGCGTAGGGTCCGCGAAGGAGGGAGGGAGGAGGAGGGAGGCGTGAAGAGAGAGAGAAAGAGAGAGGGCGGACGGCGGAGCAAGCTTTTATAGAGCAGCGCGCAGCCTCGTAGTGGGCAAATGTGACGGTGGACGCGTCGCTGCAGGCTCCCGCCACACGGGAGTGCGCCCGTCCCGCGTACGCGTCGACGGCTCGCTCGTGAAAGCGCGCACGAGCGGTGACCGTCCCGCCACCTCGTTCTCGGACGCGCCGAGCAGAGCCACGTCACGCTCGCGTCGCTCAGGGACGCCGACGAGTGTCACACGACGCGAAGCTGGGTCGCAGCTGCCGTGGGAGGTCGACGAGACGAGGGGGAAATGGCGGGCGGGCGGGAGCGGGCGATGTGACGGCGGTACTGCGATCCAGCTCGAGTACTTCGAGTTTTGTGACGAGAGCTTTCGATCGCTGTCGCCATCTGGACCGACCGGCGTACGGCGGCATCGAGGTGCCGACCGTGTTGAGGACGAGGATCACGGGCGAGCGTGGTCGACCTGGGGGAGGGCGGCGAGCAGGCAGGACCAGCCGTGGCCCTGCGAGAGCTGTCGTGCGAGCGGGCACGGTCAAGTGCACGGGACGGAGCCGAGAGCGGGGGAGGTGAAGAGCCGAGCCGAAGGTGGGAGGACGACGCGACGACGACGACGATGGCGACGGTCGAGCAACACCGACCTCGCCTCGTCGCACCGTGGAGCCAGGGCACGCTCTGTGCCGTGCAGCACCACCACCAGCACCACGCTCACCGCCCTCGTGCTCGCCTCGTCGCCCTTCCCCTCTCTCCCTTGTCCTCATCGCCTCCGCCTCCCCGCTCACCCCTCCCGGCCCGCCTCGCCAACGCCAGACCTCGAGCACCGCACCCGACGCGCCATGAGCCTGTTCAAGAAGAAGGGCACCGCCCGCAAGCTCAGCTTCAGCCCCGATCCCTCGTCGTCGTCCCCCTCCTCCTCCGCCGCCCTTGATGCGGCTGGCCCACACCTCGCCTCGCCGCCTCCCTCGCCCTACGAGCCGTCCCTCCACATCGACGACTTTGGTCGGCCCGTCACCCAGCCCGCGTTCGCCGCCGCCGCCGCAGGAGGAGGCGCCAGCCCGCGATTCGGCGACGGCTACGGCGTCGGCGACGACCTCGACACGGCCCAGCCCGCCGAGATGCAGCTCTTGTACGGCTACACGCCCATCGCCACCACGCTCGAGCTCTCCATCGTCAAGGTCGACAAGGTCGTCGCCGCGTGCGCCGACGAGATCCGCCGCCGTGAGTGCATCCCGCATGTGGGGGACGAGGCCTCTTTCCGCTCGTGCAGCTCGCTCACATCTTTGTCTCCCGCCTGCAGGAGGACTCGACACGCCCCTCATCATGTCGAGCATGGCCCTCGACATCTCGCTCGACGGCGTCTGCTCCCTCATCCGCTCGTACCTCGACGACTCGGTCGACTGGGCTCGAGGTGCGTCCTCCTTCCCGTGCCCACGTCTGTCCCAGGGTCGAGACTGACTCTCATGACACGCAGATCTTGGCTTGGCGCACCCGCTCTCGGTCGGCGCCTTCATGAAGTGGGCCTTGGCCCGACTCGTCAACGAGCGCGGTCGGCGAGGGTTCCTGTCGGCGGCCGCGTACGAGGCGTTCCGATCCGCAGAACGAGGTGCGCACCCTCCTCCTCTCTCTCCTCCTGTATCAGAGCCCTGACTGTGCGACTGTGTCCAGCCAGCAACTATTCGCCGACGTCGTGCACGCGGCACCTCATCTCGTCCCTGCCCCCGTCCAACGGTCGGCTCCTGTGCGTCCCACTTTCTCTGCCTCTCTCGTCGCGAGTACTCCTTCCACAGCTCCGACCGACACTCTCACACCGACAGCACCAACCTCCTGTCGCTCTTCTCGAGCATCGCCGCGCACAGCGCCGCCAACGGCATGCCCCCGAGGAAACTCGCCTCGCTCTTCTCGCCCTACGTGTTCGGCCTCGCCGACGACCGCAGCTTTGACGAGACGTACCGCGAGTGGCAGCGCGCGACCGACGCCCTCGAGCACATCCTCCTCGCCTTCATCCGCGACCAGCAGGCCCAGGGCCAGCTCCCGACCTTCCTCGAGCGCTACGTCGCCGGCTACCCGGACATGCTCAACGTGTCGTACTCGGGCGCGCCGCCAAAGGTCCCGGCGGGCGCGAGGATCGAGGAGGTGACGCGGGTCAAGCGCGTGACGAGATTCCACACGGTCAACCTCATCAAGCAGGGCGCGAGGTGCGTCGCCTCCCTCTCTCTCTCCTCCCTGCCCGACCCCGATATTGACTCGGTCATCTCTGCAGCTGGGACGTCCCGCACTCGAACGACTGGCAGCTCTTCTTCTCGCCGGGCGCGTCGCTGTCCGCCTCGACCTCGTCGACCGCATCCACCTCGGCCTCGTCCCCCGACCGACCCGTCTACACGCCGTCGTACCGCCACCTCCTCAACATTCGCTCGTCGGCGGCGCACGGCCTGGTCGACGACGACGACGAGGGCGAGCTGCAGCGGCATAAGACGGCCGTCGAGAAGGACTGGGCCAAGTTCGGCGAGATCGGCTTCTCGGACGTCGACGAGAAGAAGCTCGAGTTCGACTTGACCGAGGGCGAGCGCGAGGCGTTCAAGCGCAAGCGGGACACGATGGACTGGGTGCGTCTCGACTGTTCTCCCTGCCCCTCACCTTCTCTCTTTCGGGGACCCCAGCTCACTCACCCTCTCTCGTTCTCGCTCGCAGAGCACCTTCGAGTCGGCGGGCTTCCAGCACGAGATGTTCGCGCCGGGCCACCTCGTCTTCCACCACACGCTCAAGCACCAGCTCGCGACGTGGCCCTCGTCGGCCAAGGTCCTCGACCAACGCCTGCGTCAAGCCGAGCAGGCCCTGCCGGCCTTCCCGTACGACACGACGCCTCGAGAAGAGGGCCGCATCACGGTCGACGCGGGCTTTTTCGAGGCGTGGGCCGACGTGCTCGTCGGCGGCGGGTGGGCCAAGGACGAGCTCAAGGAGAGCAGCTGGGCGCTCGTCCAGTGGAAGGCGCGGCCTCGGGACGGTACGGTGCCGGTGAGGGCGGGTGCAGGAGCAGGAGGGGACCCGAGGATCGAGGAGAGGTGGGTGCTCGTCGAGGAGTTTGTGCCGCGCGAGTATCGGGACGCCCTTCTCGCCGACCCCAAGGTGCGCCCGGCTGTCCTCGCGGTCTGTCTCCTTCCAGAAAGAGCGACACACTGACAGTCGGGTGAGCTCGTGCAGGTCAAGCTCAAGGAGAGCCGGCGCATCTCGTTCATGCGCGCCGTCCGCCGGCGCGGCTCGTTCGTCAAGGACCCTTCCTCGACCTCGTCGCCTACCCCTGACGCCAAACCCGTCTCGTCCTCGTCCCACTTCCTCGCTGCGCCTCTCTCGTCCTCGCAGTCGCGGCGAGAACCGACCCTGCGCCCCATCGACGAGGCCATCTTCGACCCGAAGAACGACGTCGAGACGAAGCTCATGTCGCTGTCGGACGTGCACCTCGCGCCGCGGGCGACCGGCGCGACGTCTCGCTATGCCCCGTCGACGTCGTACGCGCCTTCGGTCGTCTCGACCGCTCGAGCCGCAGACGGGCACTCGTCGACCATCTTCGGCCGCGACGGCGCGTCGGTCGAGCAGCCGCACCAGTCGACCCGTGCGTCTCCTGTACCGCACAGCGGCGAGCACGACGATCTCGGCGCGCGACTCGGTCCGCGACTCGGCTCGCCGAGCGCGAGCGCGAGCCCGTACGGCGCTCGAGTGGCCCCGCAGCAGGCGCCAGCGCCGACGGGCAGCGCGAGCCCGTTCGCCGCCGCACCAGTCGGGTACAGCAAGCCGGACAAGAAGGAGAAGGGCGGGTTCCTCAAGCGCATGAACACCAAGAAGGTCGCCGAGGGCATGAACCGCCTCTGGCGCGGGCCCAACGGCACAGCGGCGCCGAGCGACCGGTCGCCGCCAGCAGCTGCGCCAGTTCTCGCGTCGAGCGCGCCTTACCCGACATACGGTGGCGCCGGGGCGATCGGCGCCGCCTCTTCTGCCTCGCCCGTTCCTGCGCTCGCACCTCCTGCACCTCCAGCAGCGCCGCAGCCGGCCGCGCCGCAGCTCGAGCACGGCCACTCGTACTCGGTCCCGCTACCCGGAGCTCCACTCGCCCTCGCCCCTGTCGCCGCTCGCCCGTCCGGTTCGTCGCCGCTCGCGACGGCCGGCGACGACGCCTCGCCCTACCTGTCGCCGTCAGCCGGCGCCACTTCGTCGCCGTTCGACAACGGCTACCGCCAGTCGATCCAGTCGACGGCCTCGGGCAACCCGTACGACGGCCTTGACGACACGGACGCGAGCGTCGGCGGGACCGAGACCGAGGCCGACGTCGACGGCGCCGAGGTCGGCGAGGTCCTCTTTCGTGGGTCGAGGTCGTTCCCAGACGGGCTCGACGACGTCGCCGAGGGCCGCAGACCGAGTGTGACGAGCGTCGACACGGTGCAGCATGCGCAACCGCAGCCGCAAACCCGCACGCTGTCCACCAGTGCTCGACTCGCGCCCGCCGCCCAGTTCGCGAGCCCGCCGCGGCACGCCTCGCTCCCCGACTCGCCCAAGCCTGATGCAGACGCTCCTGTGCGTCCCCCTCGTCCTCTCGTTCCTATGTCTCTCTCGCAGTTGCCGACCTGCTCGTTCGCCCGCAGTACGACCCGCACGACTCGCGCTTCCCCTCGGCGCGCTACGCGTCGGGCACGTCGCAGCTCACGCAGCGCGTTGCGGGCATCGTCGGCCTGTACGAGCAGCGTGACCGCGAGGCTGTCGCGCACGGCTCGCCGCCTCAAGGAGGGGAGGACGTGCGCCTGACCCAGTTCGGGTTCGGCGAGGGGGCAGCGCCGACGCGGGCGTAGTCGCTGGAGACCCCCCGAGCTTTATAGACCCTCTCTCTATCCTCTGAACACCTTTTTTGGCGCTGCTGCGGTGCCTCCTCGTCGTCTCGCGAGTCGCGCTCGAGCCGTCGTCTCGAGCCAGAAAGGCGGGTCTCTCTCGCTCAAGCGCCTCTCGGGTCAGAGTGCAAAGTTGCACAGCTGCGAGGAAAGTACAGGCACAGACCGCTACGAGCTCGGCGAGAACCAGACTCGGCGAGCCAAAGCCGGCACCTCGTCGCGTCGTCGTCTCGCTCAGCTCTGCCCGCCTCGTCGACCAGCTCGTCAAAGCCCCAGCTGCTCGGCCCTGCCAACTCAGGAGACCTCTCTCTGCCCCGACAAGCCCGTGCTACAACCGGTACGCGTCGCCCGTTTCTCCAGACGAGTCGTCTCGAAGGTGTGCGAGATGAGGTTGGAGGACGGCTTCTCTCCCCCGATGGCGGCCCAGGAAGGTCGGGAAGGAGCAGGGCCGGAACTTGGGTGGTTCAGGAGCATGTTCTGGGTCCCTACGATACCGCCAGCTGACCCCTCGCCGCCCAGCAGCCATGGCTCCCTTTGAACCTGCCGCCGCGCCCACGACCAGGCTGTGCGTCCCTCCTGATCCTCTACTACTAAGTGGTACTGATATTTGTGCTCACCTGTGCAGCTACGACCCGACGAGCGCGTGGAACGGGTGGGTCAGCGTCGACGACCAGCCAGTCGAGATCTACCGCGTCGAGCACAAGGACCGCAAGAGCACGTGCTACATCGAGGCGCGCGACGGCAAGGAGTTTGTCGTGAACTTTGGGCCCCGCTTGGCCGGCGGGACCGATCTCGCCGTGTACGCCGTCATCGACGGCTCGCGGTGCGTCCTACTCTCTCCTCCTCGTCGTTCCGAGTTCCGGTCACCAGAGGTCGAGCATGCGCCTCGGCCGACTCACGGCAGCGACAACTAGACTGAACTGCGTCCTGTGCCCGCAGCGTCGAAGGCCTCTCGCTGACGAGGGCGCGCGGCACCCTCCCGCACAAGTTCATCGGCGCGCGCATCTCGAGCACGACGATCCGCCCTTTCCAGTTTGCGCACATTGCGCTCACGGACGACGCCGACGAGGCGTGCCAGACCGAGTCGGTCGTCAAGAACCTCGGCACGATCCAGCTCGAGGTCTACCGCACGCGCATCCTCGGCAAGGTGCCGAACCACGAGCAGTACGACAGCTTCGAGCAGCCGGTGCGTCGGCCTACCTCTCCGACACTCTCTATCACCGAGCCTGACTGACTTTGTCCCTCCCGTGCGTCTTGCAGGTCGTCGACGAGAAGTCGAAGAAGGCGACCATGTCGCACTCGACGGCGTGCGTCCCAGCCCCCTCACCCTCTCTTCGACCAATCTTGTCGCAGAACTGACGTTCACATTCTGGTGCAGGTACGGCGCAGCCAAGACGAGCGTCTCCTCTGGCCAGGCCGACTCGGTCGACTGGATCGACCGGCTCGGCTCGCCGTTCTGGACGCTCGAGTTCAAGTACCGGTCGCGCGCTCTGCTCGAGCTCGAGGACATCGTCAAGCGTGCGTCCCCTCTCTCTCTCCAGCCGTGTCCCGACGACGGACGTGCCGACTCGTCTCGTCCCCCTCGCAGCCGTCGTCGAACCCTCGCCTCCTCCCGCCAACGCTCGCGCCACGTCCGCCTCGACCTCGGCGTCCGGCTCCGGCTCGCCCGTCGTCAGGGACAAGATGCGCAAGGCGACGGCCATCTCGATCTCGGACAGCGACGGCGACGACGACCTGCGCGCCAAGGTCGCCCGCCTCGAGGCCGAGGTCGGGCAGCTGAGAGGAGGAGGAGGGGCGGGCGGCGTTAAGCGCGAGAAGGAGGACGTCAAGCCCGAGGTCGAGGGCGAGCGCATCGGCAAGACGAGCGAGGACGAGAAGGGCAGGACGGTCATCGACCTGCTCGACGAGGACGACGACTGAGGGAGGCGGTCCTCGCGGTGTGCGCTTCTGTCTGTGGTGCGCCTCGCTCTCTCTCTCTCACCTCCTCCCCTTCTTTCCTTCTGAGTTCCCTGATACTGACCGGCGCGTTCCACCCTGGCAGGTCTTTCGGGTTCTCTTTCCGCCTCGCTCCTCGTCGTCGTTCCCTTGTTGTTCCCTCTTCGCCTTTCGCCCTCCCTCCCTCCCTCGCTCTTTTGCTCAGCGTACTCCCTCGCAAACCATTCGCAATGTTTACCTTTCTGCAGTACCTCGAGAGACCGAGCATGCCGTGCGCAGGATCCCGCTCCGCACAGACCCTCGCGAGGCTGCGCCCTCGAACGACCTCTCTCGGCGCCACGGCGAGCTGCGAGAGAGTTCGATTGCCCGCGTACGTTCTTCCGGTGCGTCCGCGGGTCCGTCGTCGCCGCGGAACGTCCGTTCGGCGGTGCGCTCCTCACGCGTTGCCGGCCTTCGCTCCTCCAGCTTCTCCTCACCTCGACATGCCTTCCTCGTCTCGACGACGGCGAGAGGGTGCACTTGTCGCCTCGTCTCGGTCCCTGCGCAAGGCGCGCTACCTCCCCGCCGTCTCGTCGTCCTCCTCCACCGACGACGACCATGGCGACGACGACGCTCTCGACCTCGACCCGTCCGCTGTCCCGCCTGAGGACCCGATCGACCCGTTGCGCAGGGTCAACGTCATGCTGCAGTTCCTCGGCGCAGGGGCTCTCGCGGTCGGCTGTGCGTCCCCTTCCACTGGTCGCTGCGCCGCCCGACTCGCCTCTGACCCGTCGCACTCGCAGCCGCGCTCCTCATATCGCTCTACGTGACGGGCCCGCCACGCCTCAACGATATGGCGACGAGCAGCACGGCTGTGCTGTTCATGACGCTCTTCATCGGCTGCCTCGCCGTCGTCCCGAGCTGGTGCCTCCGCTTCTCTCGAACGAGCCTTCCTCAGGCGCCCAGGTTGCTCACCTACGACCGCCTACAGGTCCGCCGCACTGCTCATCCTTTTCCAGAAGAAGCCGGCCGAGGGCATGCCGCCGCACAACCCGCGATGGCTGCGCACGGCTGCCCTGCTCGCGTTTGTGCGTCGTCGTGCCGCCCTTTCGCCGTCTCTCGTCGCGCACTCACTCGTCTGTTGCTCTCCCTGCAGCTCATAGCCATGCTCTACGTCCTCGCCGGCATCATCCTCTTCGTCGTGCTCGAGCAAGAGTCGTCGTTCGTGTCGTTCTGGTGCGTCGAGACCGCTCGCTCGGGCCCGTCCTCTCGCCGTCGCACGCGCTCACCTCGCCCCTACAGCCTGCAGAATATCCCGTCGACAACGAAGGACAATTGCGAGGAGCGCTACAACCGCGCGTGGTTGATCCTGCTCGCCGTCGGGTGCGTCGCTCTTTTGCCACTTTTCGCCCCTCGTTCGCTACTGACTGTCTGCACCTCGCAGGCTCGTCTTCTTTGTCCACATCGCCCTGGGCTTCCCGGTCTACCGTTACACTCGTGCGTGGCCCTCGTCTCCTGTCTCGCCGAGGGCGACCTTCCTAACCTCGAGCTCGCCTGCAGGAGGACCCGCTTACGGTGTGCAGCTCGAGGAAGGCTTCCTCCTCGAGCCGGGGACCACGAGCCATCGTCCACCACTCGAAGAGCGTCACCGTCGTCGACGTCGCACGTCGCCCGACTCGTGTTCGGCGCCGCCGGCGGGCGAAGCGCAGGTCGTCCAGCACGGCGGCGCGAGGGCAGCTCGTTCATGGTCGGCCAGAGCAGAAGCGCAGACGACTGAGCGCGGAATGCGGGCGTCGAGGAGACGCGGTGGACGGTCGCCGCCGTCGTCGAGCGAGGGGGAGGGGTCCGAGAGCGTGGAGGAGGACGAGCGGGCAAAAGGGCGACGTCCGCGCCCCTTATCTGTACGATACTGACGGTGTATACAAGAGCGTGCAGCCTCCGTTTTGCCTGCGAGAGTCAGCCTTGCGAGCGAGAGAGAACTCAGAGACGCGGCTCGACGCGCGAGGAGCTCCTCGTCGAGCGAAGAGACCTTGCTCTCTGTCCACCCCTCGCCGCCGCCACGGCACCTGCTACTGCCTGTGTACCTCTAAGACGCTCCTGCTCAGCACCGCTGTAGCCTCGCCCACGCCTCGCGCCCTTGCCTGTACAACTTTCGGTGCGCCCCGCGCCTCTCGTCCTCCCCCGCCCTCGCGACCGACCTAGCGGCAGTGGCTCACCCGCTGGTCCTGCAGGCCGCAGCGTGTCCGACTCGCAGCAACCATGAGCCTGCCCGTGCACACTGGGCCGGCCCAGGGTGCGCGCCTGCGCCGCGCGTCGTCGCACCGCCCGCCAGCGCTCCCTCTCGCCAACACCTCGCCTCGCCTCGACATCACCAGCCCGAGCGGCTCCACCTCGCCCCACTCGCCAGCCTCCTACTCGCCCAACCCGCACCTCGGCGCACCGCTCTCGCCTGTCGCCGGCGCCCCCAACTACTTCTCGACGCTCCCGCCCTCGCCGCCGCTCGTCAGCAGCGAGTTCGCGCCCGCCCCGTCGCTCAAGCGCTCCGGCAGCGCAGGAGCGTACCCGACACCGCCCACGACCGCCCCGAACAGCGCACGGCCTCGCGGCGGCTTCGACCTCTGTACGTCCCTTGCTCTCTGTTCCCCTGCCCTCCTAAACGAGGCGTGCGCAGTAGCTGACAGGCTCGACGCCCGCAGCAGTCCACGTCGGCGGCGCTCCACTCGCGGCCCCGATGCAGCGGCAAGCGTCGAGCGGGTCGTCGATCCTCCTCGGCGAGGACCTGCACCCAGGCGCCGACTCGACGGCCAAGCGTCGCCCGTCCCTCATCCTCACGTCGGCCACCGAGGAGCCGCACGGCCTCGCCATCGGCATCGACACGGGCGACGGCAGGCTCCCGTCGCCCCTCCTCGGCAACTCGTTCTCGACCTCGCCGCTCAACTCGCCCGCCCAGCCGTACTTTTCGACGAGCCCGGTCAACTCGCCTACCCTCGGCGGCTTTCCGAGCCCGTATCTCGCGGCGAGCCCGACGTTCGGCACCGCCTCGACCTCGATGGAGCGCGCGCCGTCCTCGCCTCGACTTTCCTCCTTCACCGACCCGCTCGGCCGCCTCGCGACGGGCCTCGTCCGCCGCACCTCGTCCAACTCGCTCAACACGGACCTCCCGACGTCGGTCAAGCCCCCGCCTTCGCCAACCCTGTCCGCGCCGTCCCTCAGCCCTTCCTTCGGCACGAGCGCGGGCGGGCCCATCCGCCGCACCAGTTTCGCCTCGGCGGCGCGCGAGAAGGAGAAGGAGATCCAGCAGGCCGAGGTCAAGAAGCGCACCGACAAGTTCAAGCACTCGCGCATGTTCAGCTGGGCGGCGAGGCCCAGCGACCCCAAGTCGGCGTCGAGGGCCGCGCAGCGCAAGCCGCAGACGGGCGCGAGCAACGGCTGGCGCAAGCGCACGCTCGCGCTCTTTGCGCTCGTCGTCGTCGGCATCCTCTACCTCGCGCTCGGCCGTCGGTCCACCTCGTCGCCGCCGCCGGTCGGTCGCCGAACGAGGGCGGCGGTCGGACGGGTCCCGGTCGGCGGTCGGCTCCTTCGTCGACCCGAGACGGGCCGTCAGTTCATCCACCCGGCCGTCACCAACCGCGACGGCAAGAAGGCGTCGGCTTCGTCCGGCAGCTGGGTCGCGGCGCCGGTCCGTGCGGCGCAGCGCCTGTTCGGCGGCGGCGGGTCGGACAACACGGCGGCCGTCGCTCGCGCCCGGTCGGGCGAGATGCGCCAGAACGGGCGTGCGCAGGAGCGCTCGACGGCGGCGCCGGCGGCCGCCACCGACAAGGACGTCAAGCGCCGCAACGTCTTTGTCGCTCGCCCGCACGTCGAGTTCATCGACCACGAAGCGCTCCCGCCACCGATCGAGCACAACGACCGCCCCGAGCGCGACACGCTCGTCCTGTACCGCATCCTCGGCAACGACCTCCCTCCCCGACACTCGCCCGGCCAGACGCTGCGCAACCTGCGCTTCCTCCTCCAGCACGAGTCCGACTTTTCGGTCCTGCCGCCTCTCGGCCCGCACGGGCTCCACCACTCGCACCTGTACGGCTCGGGCAACAAGGCCAAGGAGGCGCACACGCAGATGGGCGGCCTGCGCGTTGACAAGTACTTCGTCCTCAACCGCATCGCCGACCCCGAGATGGTGAGCGCCATCATCGGCCTCCTGCACCTGTACTCGGTCCCGGACTCGCGCATCCTCGTCGTCCCGTTCGATTGGAGCGAGTACCAGCGCCGCGAGTTCCGGTGGGACGGCGGCGTCGACATGGCGCGAGGGTGGGGCCTCGGCGACGGCTCGGGCGACACGAGCGGGCTCCCGCAGAAGCTGTACCGCGCCGACCCGGAGGAGCTCGCAGCGCTCCTCGAGGAGGCCGACGGCGACGAGGCCCGTGCGCGCGAGGCGCTCCAGCTCCGTCGCCGCAAGGCCGAGACGCTCGGTCGCCTGCGGGCGCTCGACTTTGTCTACCACGAGAAGAACCTGTACGCGATGAACAACGTGCGTCGACTCTCTCTCTCTTTCCTCTCTCTCCCTCCCTCGCCCTCCCACCGTGCGGCCTCCTGACGGTCCTCGTCCTCGTCAACAGAACGGCGGCCGCAACTTTGCGCTCCAGCACGGTCGCTCGCTCCCGAACGCGCGGTGGATCCTCCCGCTCGACGGCAACTCGTTCTTCACGCCCGCCGCCATGTACTCGATCGTCCGCACCCTGTCCATCGCCGGCGAGGGTCCGGCGGCGTCTCGCTACGTCATCATCCCCATGGCCCGCCTCCTCGACAACGAGGACGTGCGCAAGAACAACACGGTCGCACTCGTGCCGCTCGGCGTCGAGGAGTCGGCGTCCGCCATCGCCGACGCCGAGGTCCACCACCGCCCGGCGGCGGCGCCCATCACGCCCGAGGAGCCGCAGGTCGGCTTCCGGTACGACTCGACCGAGTCGTTCCAGGAGGCGATGCGCTACGGGCGCCGCAGCAAGCTCGAGCTCCTGTGGCGCCTCGGCGCCATCCCGTACTCGCGCGGGCTCGACCGCCGCACGCTCCCGTGGGAGGTGACGGACCGCGCCCACATCACGCCCAAGACGTGGGGCTCGATCCCGGGCGTCGAGGGCGCCGCGACCCGCGACTCGGTCATCCACGCGCCGCACGGCGAGGTCGACCCGTGGGGCGAGCCCAACCCGGAACGCGGCGACCTCGCGTACGTCAAGGCCGGGTGGGTCTACCGCCTGTTCGCCGGGTACAAGATGCAGGAGGAGCACAGCACCGAGGCGGCGACGCTGCGCAACACGAACCGCATCCGCGGCATCGTCGCCTTCCTCGAGCACCTCGACGAGCTCGTCGCCCGAGGCGAGCACGGCTGCTTCGGCGAGGAGAACCCGTTCCACTGCGGCTTCCACGTCGACCGCCTGTGGAACTGGGACATGTTCGACGTCGACCGCCTGCGCCAGAAGTACCGCCTGCACCGCCGCGACGCGCTCGAGAAGGTCGACCGGTACGAGGCGCTCATCCAGCCGACGCTGCGCGACGTCGCACACGCGCTCAAGGACCCGCAGGCGATGCGCGACCTGCACGCGCAGAAGGCGGCGACGGCGTCGATGCTGCTCGCCATGGCGGGCTACCTCACGGGCAACTCGACCTACTCGAACGCGGCGAGCGACTTCCTGAGCGAGCGGTTCGTGCGCCGCACGCCCCACTTCTACCTGCGCGTCGACCAGCACGAGCAGTTCCTGCGGCAGCAAGACGACGAGGGCGCCAACCTGGCCGACAGCGAGCGCGACATCATCGGCTACGCCTTCCCGCCGTTCCCCAAGGACCAGGCGGCGACGTGGAGCGCGAGCCTCGCCGGCAAACTGTCCGAGCCCGGCGCTCCTCCTTTGCCGTTTGACGCCCTCAAGTTTGACGTGCGTCCCGGCCTTTCTCTCTCCGTCTCGGAGTGTCGCAGCATCAGTTCCCTGACCTGACGCTTGGACCCTTCCTTACCCCTCGCCCCCTCTTTTTCGCCTCCCGCAGCCGCTCGTCCTCCTCGACGCCGTCCGCCTCCTGTCGCACCCGAGCGGCCCCAAGCTCGCCAACCCGGCGCAAGTGTCGCGCAAGGCGTTCCAGCCGCTCGTCAACTCGCACCTGTCGTACCTCCTCTTTGCGCCGTCGGCGCTCGCCCTGTCGGCCGACCCGCCCGACGCCGAGACGGGCGCGATGTACGACGCGCGCGTCGCGGCGCTCGCCGCCTTCCTCGACGACGTGCAGCTCGTCGGGCGCGTCGCGAACCGGGCCCGGCTGCGGCTCCCGAGGGGCATGCGCGCCGAGGGCCTCATGGACAACGACCGCACCGTCCAGGAGACGCACTGGAGGCTGCTGCAGGGCCTGCGCAACCTCAAGATGCGGCCATGGAGCTTGGCGGGCAAGGTCGAGGACGAGGAGGCGCTGTGGGCCATGCATCACGGTGGCGGCGAGACGCCGCTCGCCGTGCTCGGGCTCTAGTTGCCTCGAGCGAGAGCGCAGCGAGGGTCAGGGGGTGGTCGGCGCCGGCATCGATTCGAGTCGGCCGTCTCGAGGGAGGAGGAGGAGGAGGGTTCACGCATCTTGACGTTCTCACGCTTAGCATTCTCAGCATTCCTCTCACGCCCAGCATCTTTCCCTCTCTCTCTCCCATTATCAGTCTGTCATTCGAGCACGTTGTTCTCCTCTCTGCGCATCATCGTGAGCGAGCTCGAGAGCGAAAGACTCTCTAACCGAGGCCCGAGGTCGAGAGCAGGTGACGGGACGAGGTCGAGCCAAAGGGCGACGCCTGCATTGCTAGAGAACACGCCGAGCTACTGCAAAAGGGCGAGAGAGTATACAGACAGACGGACGAGGAGGACGGAGGAGGGCGAGGGCGACAGGGAGACAGCCATAGGGAGGAAACGCCGCCGCGAGCGCTCAGGCCCCTGCCGTGCTCGACTCATTCTCTCGCGAACGCGGAATCTCCGACGTACGCCGTCGCACTCGTCGCACCCTCGATGATGGCGCGATAAAGGCCCGTCTTGAGGTAGCCGTTGTCGGGCAGGTTGGTGCTCGAGCGCGAGTAGGTGAGGAGGCGGGCGTTGCTGCGCAGGTCACGGATCGAATCTGCGGGAGAGAGGCACGAGTGGGTCAGTAGATGCTCCAGTGAGAGCGACATCGGCGAGATTGAGGAGAGGGGTATGCGCATGGAGGAGGGCCGGGAAGGGAGAGAGAAAGTGAGAGGGGGAGAGCCACTGGCCGACGCACAGTCGAAGAAGCCCTGGTTGCCTCACCTGACCCTCATGACGTGCCTTGTCGTCCTCCCGACAAAGCGCGAGAGCGGCAAGCTCGGGCAGTCGCCCCTCGCCGTCGCGCACCTCGCCTGGTCGCTGTCGACGATGCGCACGACGGGCCCGGCTCCGTCGCCGAGGTCGAGTGCGTCGAGCGCGAACAGGAAGCCGTTCGTCGTTCGGCTGAAGAGCTGCACGAGATGGAAGAAGTGGTCCTGTTGGTGCGTGAGGGGAGAGAAAATGAGTGAGCCGACTTGAGAAGGCGGTCGAGGACGGCGAAATGGTGGACGCACAGAAGTACTGATACCGGGAGCGAGAAGGGAACGACCACGAGTAGGTCCAGGTCTCGCCAGCGCGCGAATTAGGGCGCGACAGAAACTCGATGCGCTGGCGAGGTGCGGCGCGAGCGACGAGCGAGCGGTTGCGCTCGTCGAAGCCAGGATCGGACCGACGGGCGAGCTGACCCGAAGGAGCGAGCGCGAGCGTGTGGCAGTCTGAGATGGCCGTGAAGATGCTGTCGCGAGGTTCGGGACATCGTCAGGACCGTGCGACATGACAGACGGAGAAAGAGAGAGACAGGGAGGGAAAGAGGGACGCACTCGCAGCCCTCGAGGAGGACGCCGCTCGCCTGCCAGTCGACCGAGTCAAAGAGGGTGCCCGACTGGAGCGACGTGCCGTCGGCGATGACCGTTGTGCGCCTGACGAGCTGGTGCGACGACGCCAGGTGGGACGAGTTGCCAAGTTCGAGAGGAAGGGCGCCGATAAAAGAGGCGGTGAAGCTCAGGCAGATAGATGAAGAGGTACATGATTGACATTCTGTACGAGAAGAGAGAGTGCGTCAGGAGCAGAACAGGGTGAAGGAGAGTAGCGCAGGTGGAGGAGGACAAGCGAGCGAGGACGCACCTGACCCTGCCGGCCCTTGCCGCCACCGAGCAGCAATCTCCTGTCTTGTACCACCATGCAGCCGATGACCGGCGAGCCACCGAGGATGAACTGTGGGGGATCAAGATGGTCAGTGCGCGCGCAAGGGAAGAGGAGGAGAGGCGAAGGAGGAGGACAGGGAGGGGCTCACCTGGGCAGCTTGGAGAAGGCCCGCTGTGTACAGACCGTATGCTGAAGTGCTGGGGCGAGCAAAGGCTAGCCCAGAAGCAGCGGACGCGGCTCAAAGCTCTCATCAGTGCCTCGAGAAGAGGCACACCGGCAAAGAGAACGAGGCCTTCGGGAGCCGTTCAGCATGGACGCAGCAGGTGCAGAGATGTTGCCACTCGATGCAGGCGAGCACCGCGTGCCCAGCTTGGCTGTAGCGGGCGTGTGCGAGGGCGGGAGGGATTGGGGCGGGGACGACGAGGAGAGCGAGTCGAGGTCGCGCTGTGGCGGGATCTCGCTCGGCCTGGCGCGGTGTAGAGGTGCCAGGTAGTGCAGATACGCCATCCCTGGCCTCGCTGAGCGGCTAGAGATTGTTGTGAGGGTCGCCTCGGTTCCCTCGTCTCGCCTGGCTCGTCGACGTCCCTCCCGGCCCTCACGCAGCTCGCCAGCCTTGTGCAGCGCACTCCAGAGCACCACAGCAGCTGTACAGCACACGTCTGCACTCGGCGCCAGCCCCCGTCTCGTCGCCCCGGCTCCCCACCACTCGACCTCAACGCGTCCAGCCAGCATGGCTCCCGCTCCTCCGCCGCCTCCTGCCGCGGCACCTCAGCAGCAGCATCCGCCGCAAGACCTCCACGACCTCCTCCGCGCTCGCCTCGTCGAGAGCGGCGAGTACTCGCGGTCCGTCCCCGACCTTTCCCCCTCCCTCCTCGTCCCACAACGCCCCAGCTTACCTGCCTGCACGCCGTCAACAGCATCATGGACGTGCTCAGGGCCAAGCTCGACGACGCAGGCTGGGAGGACTCGGTACGCGATGCCGCTCGTGGTGCGTCGGCCCTTTCCCTCTGTCCTGCACGCGCGGTCGAGGCGGCCTGCGTCGTCCGTGCTGCGTGAACGGCTTGGCCAGACTCACAAGCTTGCCCACGCCTGCAGAGAGAGCCCGTGTCCAAGACCCGCCGAGCCTGCAGGCCCTCGTCGCCGAACTCGAGCCGCAGGCGCTCGGTGCGTCCCCTCGTCCTCTTCTCTCCCTCCTCCCTCTGCTCGCGCACCTTCACCGACACGATGCCGCCGACGCACACAGGCATGATTCCCGCCGACGCTCGTGCCGAGGTCGAGGCCATGGTGCGCGCGTTTGTCGAAAAGACCGTCGAGTAGCCGGAAGGGAAATCTCCTTTCGTAGCTTTCCTCCCCTCTCGCCGTGGCCGCTCGTGTGCTTGTTGTACTCCTACGCACTCTTTCCTCTCGCGTCTCTCGGGCGAACGTGCGCGAGAGGAACGTCGTGATTTACAGTGAGCGAGAGAGACCTGCACGAAGAAAGCGCGCTCTCGAGCAGCCGGCGCCGTCTAGTAGTGCTCGTCCGAGTTGCCGTCTGCGCCAACAGACACGCAAGACCATGTCAGGATCGCGATGCGCGGCATCGATCAAAAACAGAGATGCGAGAGCGGGACGCACATCCTCGCAGGCCCTCGGCGAACCCCCACTCGGTCGGTGCCGCCTGCGGCTCGCCAATCTTGACCCCCTCGGCCGTCACGGTCGCGATTTGGAACTGGGTGAGACACCGAGCAGTTCGAGTCAGTTCCCGGCCTCTGGAGAGACTCGAACCGACACGTGGAGAGCAGTCGGGGCGCACCTTGTTCAGGCTCCTCGCGTCGCGGTAGAACAGGACACGCATGGCGTTCTCGAGGATCTTGCGCGCCTCGTCCTCCTCGAGCGTCTTCTCGCCGTCGACGCCGCGCTTGTCGAGCGCAGCGCGCAGGAGCGGCTGCGCGAGGTGCATGCCGAACCCGGTCGCGATCGAGGGCGACGTGTACGTGACGCCGAGGAGGTCGACGTGGGCGAGGAAGCTGTGGGCGTTGGGGTTCGGGTAAGCAGGTGGGTGGGAGAGAGAGAGAGAAAGGGAGGGGGCGAGGGAGGAACGAGGGACGTACGGCTCGCCCTTGTCGAGGCCGGCGACGAGGAGCGCGTTCCAGTACGGGTCAAACTTGCTCCTTCGGGCGTACATGACGTTGCTCAAGTACTCGTAGATCTGCGAGGTCGACAGCTCGTGGCCGTCCTCGAGGATGGCCTCGTCGGTCATGAGGCCCTCGAGCATGCGCTTGACCTGCTGGAAGTCGGCCATGTCGCCCGACGCGCCGACGATGGTCGAGTCCGAAATCTGGTGGATGCGGCGGATGTCCTTGAAGCGTGCGAGCGAGCCGTACGAGGCTGTGGCGGGTGGGCGAGAGAGTCAGGTCCGGGTCGACAGAGGAGAACGAGGGGGGCGCACCGAGGTTGTCGGCGGCGAGCATGACGCCGCCCTTGTACTTGAGCCCGAGGACCGAGGTACCGGTGACGATGGGCTGCCTGCGTGTGCGGGTTGAATGGGGGTCAGGCGAGGGTGTGGGACAGGGACGAGGACGAGGCCGCGCAACTGACTGAGTGTGCTGCACGGCCTGGGAGAAGCGGTCGGTGCCCGGTTTGGCGCCGCGGCCCTGGTGGATCGGGTAGGTGGCGTAAGGGTCGAGCTGGTCGTTCCTGGGCTTGCCCCTGTTTCGAGGGGGATTGAGACGAGTGAGTTGGGTGGGGGCTGATGAGGCGGCAAAGAGCGAGAGGGGGCGCACCACGAGGTTGAGGGGAAGTGCTGCATGGCCGAGTCGAGGAGTGAGAGGGTGCTGGTGTGGTCGGCGAGGCTCGTAGAGCGAGAGCTGGCTGTGGAAGAGAAGGAGCCGCCGCCGGTGACGAAGACCAGACGACGACGACGACCACTCGAGCTCTCTCCCTCTCTCCCTGCTAAGCTTGACTGCCCACGAGCCATGGTCCTGTTCCGCCAGGCCCTGCCGCGCTACTCGGGCCAGTACTCGGTGTCGACCCTCGACCTCGAACTCGCCGTCCCTCCTCCTCCTGCTGTCGGCCGCTCCTTCTCGCCCGCCACCCTCAAGGCCTCGGGCAAACCCGCACTCGAGCTCGACACGGTCCTCGCCACCGTCTTCTACCCGGCCAACCCGCACCCGACCTCGTCGTCGGCCCGCCAGCCCTGGCTCCAGCGTCCAGTCGGCCAGACTGGCGAGGGTTACGCCCGCTTCCTCAACTTCTCAAAACCCTGGGTCCTCAAGGCCCTCTTCTGGCTCGTCGGCGCACGCATTCGCCTCCCCGTCGCCCAAAACTCGCCCCTCGCCGACCACCTCGCCTCCTCGTCGTCCTCGGCTTCGGCCGACACGCTCGTCGACAGCCCCGACTCGGCCTCGTTCCCGCTCGTCGTCTTCTCGCACGGCCTCAGCGGCACCCGTACCACCTACAGGCGCGTCCCTGCCCTCTCTCATCCTCCCCCTTCCAGTTCTCCCCCAACTCACACGACCTTGCGCCGCCCGCAGTCACTGGTGCGGCGAGATCGCCTCGCGGGGCTACATCGTCGCCGCCATCGAGCACCGCGACGGCTCGGGCCCCGTCTCGGTCGTGCGCCTTGACGGCGGCGACGAGCGCGTTGTCGACTACCTGCGCCCGGAGGAGCACCTCAGGTGAGCCGGCTCGCTCTCGCACCTCCTCGAGCGTCGGCTGTGTGTGCCGCCGCCGCTCGCGTTGACTCGCGATGCAGCTGGACTCACACGCCGTCCTCTTTGTCTACAGCTGGCCCACGGGCACCCACCCGCAAACCTCGCTCGAGTTCCGCTCGTCGGCCCAGCTCCCGTTCCGCCTCGCCGAGGTCTCGGCCCTCGCGCACCACCTGCGGCGCCTCAACGCGGGCGAGGGCGCCGCCGTCGCGCGCGAGAACCGGCGCGTCGCCGACCGTGAGAAGGACGAGCTCGGGAAGAGGCTCGAGCGGTGGAAGGGCAGGGTCGGGCTCGACGGCGAGATGGTCATGGCCGGGCACAGCTTTGGCGGCGCGACAACTGTGCGTCTCTGCGTCTCCCTTGTCTGTGTGAACACGAACCTGACCCTCTCGCGGTCGCAGATTCAAGTCCTGCGCGCGGGCAACTCGGCCTTCCCGTTCGTGCGCGGCATCGCCCTCGACCCGTGGGCCGACCCGATCCCGCCCGCACCCTCGCCCTCACACCGCCGCCGCTCGTCGTCGACCTCGCTCGCGCAGCTCGTCGAGGCGGCCGAGTCGCCGTCGACCGCCGAGGCCGACCCGGACCCGGCTGCGACCGCGTCCTCACGCGACGGCGCCAAGGGCGGCAAGGTCCCGCTCGACATCAAGGTGCCGCTCCTCGTCATCAACAGCGAGAGCTTCACGCTGTGGAAGGCGCACTACAAGCTCGTGCGCGACATTGTCACCTCGGTCGGCGGCGGCGCAGAGCGGTACCTCCTCACGCTTGGTGCGTCTCTCTCTCTCACCCTCTCTCGTGTCGTACCTCGTCGCGAATACTGACTCACTCTGGCGCACCTCGTTCACGCAGTCGGCTCGATCCACACCTCGTTCTCCGACCTCCCGCTCCTCCTGTCCTCCCTCCCTCTCGTTCCCTCGTCCCTCGCACGCCGCACCGGCGCTCGCGTCGACCCGCTCGTCGGCCTCGGCGCCGTCGTCGACGCGTGCAGCGAGTTTCTCGGCGGCGAGGGCCGCACCGGCGCCGTGCTCGGGCGCGAGGTGGACCAGGGTGACGGCGAGGAGAAGGGCGAGGACGGCAAGACGAGGCTCGTCGGCGAGCCGGGGAGCTGGAGGGTGCACGTCGCGAGCGAGGGCAAGAAGAAGACGTTGTAGAAGGGCGGTAGACTCTGTCTCGGAGCGTAACTTTGTCGTTGTACTTGTCGAACGCGACCGGCCGGCTGCACCTCGAGAGCGCTCTCCGTTCTCTCTCTCTCTCTCGGCAGACGCCAACTCTGAGAGGAAGCGCAAAGGTTGCAGGCAAAGCGGAGGTAGGACACGCAACATCGGGTACGGAGAGACCGAGGACAAAGTACAAGAGGGCGATGGGGAACGGACTCTCCCTCGATGAAGCAGCTGCGCGACATGCGACGAGTCAGTGCCGGCTTTGGGAGAGGAGGAGAGAGAGAGAGAAGGGGAGAGTGGGGCGCACCACAGACAGAGGCGCACGCCGCCTCCCTCACTCGTCGTCCTCGTCGAGCAAGTCGATGACCGTCCTGCCCTTCTCGTCCTTGCTCGTCTTGCCGATGCGCTCGCCCTCGACCTCGGGCTTGACGTCCTCCTTCTCGCGCTTGACGCCGCCCGCTCCTCCTCCTCTCAGCTGCCCGACCTCGGCCTCGAGGCGGGCGACCTTGGCGCGCAGGTCGTCTTGGTCGTCGTAGTCGCTGTCCGAGAGGGAGATGATCGCCGCCTTGCGCTTCTGGCCCTTGCCCTTGAGCTCGGCGGCATTCGAGCCGGACGTCGAGGGCGAGGCGGACGTGGCGCGAGCGTTGGCGGGAGGAGGCGAGGGCTCGACGACGGCTGCGAGGGGGACGAGACGGGTTGGCGGGTCCGTCGTCGGGACACGGCTGGGGAGAGAGAGAGAGGACGCACGCTTGACGATGCCCTCGAGCTCGAGCAGAGCGCGCGACCGGTACTTGAACTCGAGCGTCCAGAACGGCGAGCCGAGGCCGTCGATCCAATCGACCAAGGTCGTCTGGCCGGAGGAGACGCTCGTCTTGGCTGCGCCGTACCTGCACCAGAAGGTGGACGTCAGTTCTGCGACAAGATTGGTCGAAGCGAGGGCGAGGGTGCTTGGACGCACGCCGTCGAGTGCGACATCGTCGCCTTCTTCGACTTCTCGTCGACGACCTGCGAGACGCACGGGAGGGACAAAGTCAGTCAGGCTCGGCGATAGAGAGTGTCGGAGAGGTAGGCCGACGCACCGGCTGCTTGACGCTGTCGTACCGCTCGCGGTTCGGCACGTTGCCGAGGATGCGCGTGCGGTAGACCTCGAGCTGGATCGTGCCGAGGTTCTTGACGACCGACTCGGTCTGGCACGCCTCGTCGGCGTCGTCCGTGAGCGCAATGTGCGCAAACTGGAAAGGACAAATCGCCGTGCTCGAGACGCGCGCGCCCTTGAACTTGTGCGGGAGGTTGCCGCGCGTCCTCGACAGCGAGACCCCTCCGACGCTGCGGGCACAGGACGCGGTTCAGTTCAGTTGTCGCTGCCGTGAGTCAGTTGAGGCGTATGCTCGAAATCTGCCGGCCGTGAGGCAGGCAGAACGTGGGACGAGGAGGAGAGAATAGGACGCACCTCGAGCCGTCGATGGCGGCGTACACGGCGAGATCGGTCCCGCCGGCGAAGCGGGGCCCAAAGTGCACGACAAACTCCTTGTCGTCGCGCGCCTCGATGTAGCAGGTGCTGTTGCGGTCCTTGTGCTCGACCTGGTAGATCTCGACCGGTTGGCCGTCGACGCTGACCCACCCGCTCCACGCGCTCGTCGGGTCGCAGCTGCGTGCGCAAGTCGGTCTCAGGACAGACGCACAGAGAGGGCTCGGGACAGAGGAAGGGCAGTGCGCACAGCTTGGTGACGAGGGGTGCGGCTCCGGGCGCGAGGAGAGCCATGGCTGAGGGGACGAGGGCGAGGTCAGCTTGCGCTCATGCGACCGGTCCACCCTGCTCATCAACCCCTCACACAGTCCCTGTCCTGCTCCCCCACCAGCTCCGTCGCTCGCGGACGAGTGAGGCGGCTCGCCAAGTTCATCGCCCCGCTGCCGTTCAGGGACGTCGTCGAGAAGGAGCAGGGACGCACCGGTGGCAAGAAGCTGGTCTAGCCGTCGGAGACCTTGTCGCTGTCGGTACGGGCGAGTGCGGCGAGCGCTGGCGAGGTGGGATACGAACGAGGAGCGAGAGTCGAGCGACCCCGAGTGCGGGGGAGAGGCGAGGCGAGGTGGCTCTCGAGACGGCGACGGCGACGCTCGCGAGAGGCACGGGATAAAAAGATATCGAATGCAGATCTACAGGGGAACGAGCAAGGTCGGGCGCGCCACGAGGAGAAGGTCAAACATGGAGAAGAGGGAAACGGTGCGAGTCCGACGAACGAGGGCGAGGGAGGGGAGAGGAACAACGAGGAACGACAAGTACGAGGACGACAGGGAGAGAGGGCATTCTTGGGTGTATCTGTGAGAGCGACGAGGGAAAGGAAAGTACAGGACGGGCGCGGGAGAGGGCGAGGAGGTGAGGGGCGAGTCCGGCTCGTCTAGGCGAAGAACGCCTTGCCCTGCTTCTTCTTCTTCTTCTTGCCGCCGTCGTCGGCGCAGCGCGAAGGAGGCGAGTAGTCCTCGGTGCGGGACCCGCCGCCCCAAGGGGTGCTGCCGACGACGCGCGACGCCGGACCGAGGCCGCGGCGAGCAAAGGCGTGCTGGATGATGCAGAAGTTCTTGCCGCCGGTGAGCGCCTCGTCGGCCGTGACGATGGCGTCGCGCGCGTTCTGGAACGACGGGCGGCACGGCTGGAGCTTCATGCCGTCGATGACGAGCTGGACCGCGAGCGTGTTGCCGTGCGCCGGCACCTTCTTGCCCTTCTTGGCGAGCACGTCGGCGTCGTAGTAGCCCGTGTGGTCGGTGCCGTTGACGGGAGGCGGGAACAGGGTCGGGTGGAAGCCGTACTCGTCGATAAGGCCCTCGGCCACCTCGAACAGCATCTCAGCCCAGACCTCGCCGATCGCGTGGACGCCTGCAGGTGCGCGAGCTGGGTCAGGGCCTGCCCGTGTGCGACGACCGGGCAAAGAGGGAGGAGAGAGGGACGCACCCCAGTAGCCGGGCTTGTCGAGGAACTTGTAGGTCGACGGGTTCTCGGTCAAGTTGCGCGAGTAGCGGTAGTTCCTGATGCCGTTGGCGCGACCCGAGGCCCACTCGCCCATCGAGTAGTCGGTCTGGTTGACGTCGTGCATGCGGATCATGGTCGCGAGGAAGTCGCCCCAGCCCTCGCCCATGCCGCCGGCCTCGCCCCACCCGAGGCAGCCGCTGTTGGCCGGACCGCCCGTGAGCCGGGTCGACAGGCCGTGCGAGTACTCGTGGATGACAATGCCCGCCTCAAAGTCGCCGTCGCGGTACGGCTGCTGCCCGTTCCACACTGTGAGAGCGAGGAGTCAGTTTGGGAAGGTCCAGGCCGAGGTCGAGGAGGGGGAGGGCGTCTCGACGCACCGTACATGCGCATGCGCGGTCGCTGACCGTCCGGCGGCGTGGCGAAGTTGGCGTTGTTCTGGTGGGTGGGAGGAGCGTCAAGACCGGCTCCCGCAAGGAGGAAGAGACGAGGAAAGGGGGACGCACGTAGCCCGAGCCGTCTTGAGCGTTGGCCTGGACCGCATCGCCGCCGTAGCCGCCGCGACCAAAGCTGTACGTTGACGAAGCAGGGGCAGAGACGAGACGAGGGAGCGCGAGGGTGCGGAGAGAGGGAGAGGGGGACGAGGAGATGTGGAGGAAGGGAAGGGGCAAGACGGCGACGGTCAGGGTCTGCGCCGACAATGCGCGAGGCGAGGAAGAGTGTGTGAGAGAGAGAGACGCACTTGGTGTCCTGGAAGTTGCCGGCCTCCTCGTCGAAGCCGTAGCGGTGGTACAGGTCGTGGATCTCGTTGTTGGTGTAGAAGAGCTCGGTCGTCGACGCCTCGATGTACGACGTCGGCTCGAGCGGGTGGCCCTCCTTGGGCATGTGGATGCCGAACTTGAAGTTCATGTCCTTGCCGCCGTTGGCGCGGAACCCGCTCGCCGAGTTGCCGCCCGACGGGTTGTCCTGTGCCATGACGTTGTTGCCGCGCGTCTCGTAGTAGAATGTGTCGGGCGTGACGCCGTCGCCGTACGGCCGCTTCTCGCCCGGGACCGTGTGCCACCCGGCGGGCGACGCCTCGGCGTCGAGCTCGACGAGCGTGCCCCGCAGGACGGCGCGCTTGCCCTCGTCGGGCGCGTTGACGCCCCACGGGAACACCTTGTACGCCGGCTTGACCTGGCGCATCGCGGCGACCTCCTTCTTGTCGGTCGTCGACGCGACGGGCGCCGAGGTGACGGCCGAGGCGCGCTCTTGGGCGAGCTCGCGCAGGGGGACGTCCGACACGCGCGAGTCGATGCCGAGCTCGCCGCCGGTCGGCGCAAAGTCGCGCACCCAGTCGACGACGAGGAGCGGCACCTCGTCGCCGGGAGCGACCGAGCCGTCGGCGGTGAGGTACGCCTCGTACATGTTGTCGGTCGACTTGACCTCGTACTTCCACGCGAGCTTGAGGTCGGCGCCGTCGTGGACGTACGTGAGCGTCGCCTTGACGGGCTCGTCGAGGTCGGCGACGTCAAGGGCGATCTCGAAGTCGTGCTTGTCGTCGGACGAGGCCTCGGCGACCGTCATCTCGTCGACGAGCTGGGCGCGAGGAGCCGACTCGAGACGGGTCGACAGCTGGACGTTGTTCGACTGGATGCCGAGGAACGTGAGGAGGCCCTGGCGCGGGTCGGCCGCCGAGGCGCGAGCGCCGGTACGGGTGCCCTGCGGGCCGGTGTCGGACGACGACGACGACGACGACGACGAGGGCGTGCCGAACACGACTTGGCCGGCGGCGTGCTCGATCGACTCGACGGCGTCGGTCGCCCAGCTCTGGACGCGCTGCTTCCACGCCGAGGCGCGGCGCGAGCGCGAGTAGGCGCCGGTGGCCGAGTCCTCAAGGGCCTTGACCGACCCGACAAAGCTCGAGTCGCCGTACGACAGGACCTTGCCCGACGCGAGGTCGACGTTGACGTTGAGGTTGGCGTTGGCGACGGGCACGCCGTCGATCTGCTGGACAAAGTGGGCGTGGACGACGCCCGAGTGCTGCGACAGGACCGTGTCGACGAGGCGGAAGTCGGCGTCCGGGTGGAGCTGCTCGACAAAGCTCGCCGCGAGCTGCTGACCGACGCAGCGAGCGACGGCGCGCGTGCCGTCGTCGACGAGGGCGTCACACTTGTCGCCGATGGCGTGCAGGGCGGCGAAGTGGTTGGCGTTCCACACGCTCAGGGCCGGCGACGGGTTGTGGGCTTGGTGGGTGGCGGCGTGGACCGAGGGGCCAAAGTTGATCGACTTGCGGACGCTGCTGCCCGTGTGCTGGGCCGTGCCGAGCGAGCCAGTGGCGGGGTGCGAGATAAGCGAGGTGGGGAGGACGAGGGCGTGGGCCGTGGTGAGGGCGAGCGACGCTGTGGTGAGGAGCGTGCGAGGGAGCGAGGGGAGGGTGCGTCGGTGGTGGTGCGTGTTCATCGAGTGTGTGTGAGGAGGGAGAGAGAGAGCGCGAGGGGCGGACGCGGCCACCGCGATGCGTCGCCCCCACTTGTTCGCCACGAGACCTGTCGACTCTCGCTCAACGCTCTGCAGCTTGTACGAGCCCGCAAGCTCGCTCTCGATACCTTTGCAAGAAAAGTGAAGCAGCTCGCGACCTTTCTCCCGGGCAAAGTCCGGCACAGTAACGCTCGGCCGGGGGAGACGGCGTGCGAGACGGTCGGGCAGCTCTGTGCGCCACTGCTTTGTCGACGCAGAGAGGTCCTCATGAGAAAGTGCTGTAGCTCTCGACACGAGCTCCCAGGCTCGAGAACAGCAGGCGCGCGAGTCGACCTTCCGAACTTTTTGGGAGAGCGCTGCAGGCCACGAAGCGCCGCACGAAGACTCGAGGAGCGTCGAGGACGTAGCTGTACTCGAAGGCGGAACGTTCGCCGAGCGAGCGGCGTCGCGCAGCCAGAAACACGCCCCGCAGCCAAGTGCAGGGAGAGGTGCCGGCCGCATTCCCGCTGTCCCTCGTCGGTGGACAGCGGCAAGCGTCGGCGGTGGCGCGAGAAGCAGTGCGAGCGAGGAACGGAGGTCGAACCCGACTCGAGACGTTACTGAGCGCGGCATGGCAGGCTCGAATAGCTCGAGCGAGGGCAGCGCTGATCGGGACGGCCGGCGCGGCGTACAGCCTCTTTGACGGCCTCGCCGACGCCGGGCAAGCAGCATCGGTATCGTGTGCACAGCACAAATGCCTTGAGAAGGCAGAGCAGCGGAACGCAGCGTCGTACGAGTCGGCGAGCCCGCGAGCTTGGCGGTCGAGCCGGCGCCGTTCGGGGTTGCGGGCGGCCTCGAGAGGGCTCGTCCTGCGTGCTGGAGGTCGGTGTCGAGAGGCGGATGCTGGTGAGGGTCGAGCGGAAGTCGAGCAGGCGGAAGAGGGCGTGGTCGAGGAGGCGAATCGACGGCGGGCGAGCGGGTCGAGGCGCGGGCGTGGTCGCCCGCGCGGGTTCGGGCCGAGTCGGTGGATGGGGTGGAAGGTGAAGTGGAGGGTGCGGCGGTGGAGGAGAGAGCCGGGTCGAGGCTGACGAGGGACGGCTGGGGTCGTCTGCGAGAACCAGCACGAGGTGAGCTCTCGGTGACCGACCGGGGAAGAGAGAGAGAGAGCGGTGGGCGCACCTCGTGCAAGTCGAGCACACGACCACTGTGGAAGAAGTGAAGCTGCCCCGAGTCGCTCTTGTGCCCGGTCGAGCGCGAGTCGGCAGTCGACCAGTCGCGCACCGCCTCGCCGACCTCGCTCGACGAGGTGCCGGCGGCGTCGCGCTCGTCGGGGGCTGGCGGAGAGCTGTAGCATGTGCTGGTGGACCTTGTGGAGCTCGTGCGGTATGTCGTGCGGCCCCAGAGGCTGTTGACGAGGGGGTGGACCGTCCGGGGTGGGCCGCGCTGATGAGGGCGCGGCGGGAAAGCGGGCGGCTGCCGGAGCGGGCCATGCGGCGGCGGGGGCGTGTGTTGACATCTCGGTAGCTCAAGGGCAGCAGCTAGGCTCGCCCAAGCTGAGAGCCGGTCGAGGTTTCGAGGGAGACGAGGACGAGGCTGGGGTCGACTCCTCCCTTCGGCTCGCGGTCGCCCTCGAGTGCGATGAGCGCCTTCTACTCGGTGCAGGACTTTATCGCAGACGCCCAGGTGCGCCCCTCGCCCCTCCTCACGCGGCCCCTCGTTGTCGCGAGCTCACCTCGTCCTCCCCCCGTCGCGTCCTCGTCGCGTGCCTGCAGAAGCTCCCCTGCAAGGTCGCGTTCGACGTGCCCAACACTGGCCACCTCGAGGGCAGTGCAGACAAGGACGTGCGTCCTCCCATTCCACTCTCCAGCCTCCCGCGTCGCCGTCGCACTCGCCCTGACCCTGGACCCCTCCTCTCCACGCAGCTCAAGGCCGGCTCGACCCTCGAGCTCCCCTTCTGGATGGCCGAGAAGCTCTACCTGCAGTGCGTCCCTACTCTCCGTCCCTCTACGCGCCGGCCCGACAGCTGACCTCGCCTCGCCATCGCACGCAGGGACACGGTCGACCTCAACCTCCCTCGACCTTACTCGCCCCAGGTCCGACACGCGCTCCAGGCTGCGCCAGAAGCAGTACACCTGCGCAACCTCGGCGGTGGCGGCGGCGGCTTCTATGCCGGTGGCGTGCGGCTCCTTCGACTGTGCGTCTCTCTCCCTCCTCCCCTTCTCGCGCATCTCTCTACACCTGGCTCACACCTGCACTCGTCCCCGACGCAGCATCGACGACTCCGAGCTTTCCCAGATCCTCGAGCACAGCTTCAGGACGCGCCTCGTCCAGGTCATGGACCAGAGCCAGCACTCGCTCGCCGACCACGGCGGCGAGGGTGCCGCATACGAGTTCTCCCAGGGGCTCGACAGCTGGGAGAAGGAGCGTGCGTTCTCTGTCTCTCTGTCTCTCTACCTCTCGCTCTGCGCCCGCTGACCCTCTCGAGTCCGCAGTCTTTACCGTGGGCGAGAACTCGGCGAAGCAGATGAAGGCGTGGTTCGACACCAAGGCCAAGAAGCGGTAGCCTGTCTCTCTCTATTGCCCCACCCTCCTCACCATGTGCTCCTCGCCGTCCCTCGTCCTTGCCGTAGTACCCACGCCCGCGCTGTTCTGTTGTAAAGCTAGAGCATCCCTCACTGCGAGCTCCTTTCGAGAGACGGCGAGAGACTGTGCGAGGGTATCGCTCTGCGTTGCGCAAGGGAAGGGGTATCGCTACATGTCGGGTGCGTGCGAGGAGTGTCGAGAGCTGCGGGTGAGGGTGCGGGACGGGACGGGGCGAGGTCAGCGAGAGAGGGTGGTCGAGGAGGCGCTGCGCGAGGGAGAGGGTCAGCTCCGGCAAGGCCAGGCCAGACGGCGAAAGATCACGAGGACGCACCAAAGAGGCCCTCGCACGAGCCCGCTCATTCCGTCTTGCCCTCTTTGCCGCCCACCGGTCTTGCCGCGTCTCCTCCCTGAGCAACCTCTGCCCGCTCCTTGGCCAGCCGCTCCTCGCGCTGCGCCGCTTCTGCGTCTGCGATCTGCGCGAGGAACCTGCGCGAGGAGTGGCATCCACCGAGTCAGCTGCGGCCGTGCGAGAGTGGCCTCCCCACTTGCGACGAGAGATGAGGAGGGAGGGGCGGAGGAGAGAGCGAGGACGGACCACTTGATGCTCGCCCACAGCGCGACGCTGAGCGTGAGCAGTGCGACGACGTGCCCGTTGCCCCTCGTGGCGACCAGGAGCGCTGCGAGCGTCGCAAAGAGGGCGTAGAACGACGCGTTCATCGCTCGCAGGAGGCCCTGGTTCGTGCCCGGCTCGAAAATGGAGGCGACGATGTCGCGCAGGGTGCTGGACATGGTGGCGGAGGTGGAACGCAGGCGCAGCGGTGCGCGTGGCGAGGAGGGACGGTGGTTGAGGAGAGAAAGCGAGAGCGGGGCGGTGCCGGCGGCTGGTCGACGACAAGGCTGCGAGCAGCTGTGCTTTCGCTCCTCTGAGCCAGCAGAAGCTCTCGCAGAGTACTCTCGAGGAGCGCAAGTGGAGCGACGTCAAGTCTAGACGAGGTCGCACACCCAGCTTGCGAGTTGCACGGCCCTCGCGCCCTCGTCTACCCGCTCAGCCTCCCCTCTAACCGCTGCACGAGCTCCTCGACGAGGAGTGGGTCGACCCTCGCGAGCCACGTCGCCGAAAAGGCCTCGGCGCCGCCGTTGAGCGCCTGCGCCTCGGACAGCTTGGCGCCGATGGTCGCCTTGAGAGGGTGCGTCCGGATCGGGTCGCGCGAGGCGAGCTGCGTGCGAGACCGAAGGGGTCAGTCGCGCTCTAGGAGAGAAGGAGGGAGGGAGAGGAGGGCAGGGACGCACGGCGGCTCGTCGGGCGGTCTCGAGCGTCTCGGTGTAGTCGACCTCGACGTCCGACTGGTAGTCGTCGGGCATGGCGTACCCTGCGTCGTCCGCCTCGCCGTTCTGGTACAGCTCCGCGCTGCGGGGACGAGGGCGAGTCAGTGTAACGCTCGAGGGAGGAGCTCGAAAGAGAGAGAGGGACGCACTCGCCGCCCTCGGACTCCTCGGTGAGCGCCAGGACGCTCGACCACAGCGAGACGAGGTCCGTCAGTCGCCCGAGGACGACCGCGCTCGTCGTCGGCGCGAGGTACGCGAGCGCGAGAGCGGCAAGCTTGCGCTGCCCGCCCTGGGACATGTTGTCGAGCTGCATCCGGGGCCCGGGTCGTCAGTACGTCGTTCTCGCCGTGCCCAGGCTCGACGAGGGAGAGGCGGGACGCACACGATCGACATATTGTGACACGAGCGCGTCGATGATGGCGTCGGGCGAGACACCGGTGCGGGCTGCGCTCGCGGCGACGAGGTGGTGGAACGCCTCGGGGCCGGCGAGGATGATGCGGGCGACGGCGCACAGGTCTGCGAGGCGTCGGCTATGAACAATGAGGAGACGAAGAACGAGATGAGGGAGAGGAGCACGCACACTTGGTCGTGATGAGGGCCGAGGTGTCCTGTCGTGCTCGAGCAGGATCAGGATATACGCTCTCGGGCGGACAAGAGAGAGAGAGAGGACGCACCTTGGCCGAGATGATCTTGACGGTGACGTCGAACCAGCCAGACGCGTCGAGGGCCGCCGCCCAGCATTGTGGCGGCGCCGACTGGAAGACCGTGTTGAGCGCGTGCAGGACCACCTTGAGCGACTCGAGCGCGAGGCCCTCGATGAATGTCCGAATCGCGGCAAAGAAGTCAGCGGCGCACAGCTGTAGGCGAGAGTTTGCCGTCAGGCCCGTCGAAACGACCGGGAGGAGGAGGAGAGGAGGCTCGTGCGCACCTCGAGGACCTTGGGCGCGTCGAGCAAGAGGTAGCTCTCGAAGATGGCGAGACACCGTGGCAGGGCGTCGGTACCGCTTGCGAGAAGGGCGACGAGTGCCGGCACGAGGCGCAGCATGTCGGACGAGAGGACCGACGACCGCCGGAGGAGGACCTGCCACAGCTCGAGGCCGTCTTCTTGCAGGTAGACGTGTGAGGGCTGCGGTGGGACGTAATAAGGGTCAGGGTCGCGACGCTCAAGAACGTCAAGAGGAGAGAGGGGCGCACCTGTTGAGGGTCGATGCTGAGCTGGATGATCGGGCAGGCCTGCGCATGAAGGCCCTGCGACTGCTCGCCGAGTGCCTGCGGGTGGAACGCGGGTCAGGGCACCGCTCGCCTGGACGCACACAGAGGGAGATGGAGCGCACCTCGGCAAGCTTGGTGAAGGTGACGAGAATCGACGTCTGGAAGTGGTTCTCCTGCGTGCTCGCCCACAGGGTCGCGAGAATGTCGGCGAGTTGCGGCGCGAACGGCGAGATCTGCGGGTCGACATGTGAGTCAGTCGCTGCGGGGCAAGAGAGAGAGAGAGAGAGAGAGCGGGCGTACATGCTGCCCGACCCGGTCGATGACGACGCCGAGCGTCTGGTTGAGCCGCATCCTCGAGTCGCTCAGCTCGACCTCGCCCAGCAGCTGCACGATCTCCTCGATGGCCCTCGGCAACAGCGGCACGAACGCGCCCTGGTCAAAGTCCCACGTGTCGCACCGCGCGAGGCTGCGCGCCGCCGTGAGCCGGATGGCCGGGTCGGTCGACGGGTTGCGCGACAAGAGGTGGACGAGGAGCTGGTAGATGAGCGAGCGCGACGACGCCGCGAGGTCCTCGCCGACCCAGTTGCCGAGGAGCCACGCGATGCGGCGACGAATGAGCCGGTACCTGCGCGACCGCGGTTTGGGAAGGTCAGGTCGGGCGCCGGGGTGACGAGAGCGAGCGAAAGGCGGACGCACGCCGAGTCCTCGCCTGCACACTCGGGCGCGAGCACGTTCTCGAGCCAGTCCTTGAAGTTGATCGACGCCTGGAGGTCGCTCGGGCTGCGGCCGATCGCCGTGTAGACGGCCTCCTTGAGGAGCAGGCCCGCCATGTCTTGCGGTGCTGCGGGTCGAGAGGCATGTCAGGAGGTGCTCCTCGACGCAGTAGAGTAGAGCAAAGAGGGGCGCACCCGACACTTGCTGTAGAAGGCCGGCTATGCTCGGGCCGAGCTCGTCTCGGAAGGCGCTCAGGAGCGCCCGCAGGACGTACTCTGCGCACGGCTGCGCGCACCCTCGACGCCGTCAGTGTCTCTCCAAGGCATGGAAGTTCGAGGAGGAGAGGACGAGCGTACGCACCCTGAGCTCAAACTCCCACCGCTCCGCCTCCTCCTCGTTCATCCACTCCTCGGGGTCGTCGCTCCACTTGTCGAGGTCGTCCTGGCCGAGCGGGAGCAGCCGCGTGATGAGGAGCTCGGCGAACTGCTGCACGAAGCCGGGCGGGATGGCGAGGCCCGACGAGCCGTCCCAGTCGCCGAGGAGCGACTTAAGGAGGAGGAGCGCCTGGACGACGAGTCGGGTCGGGTACGGCGCGAGGGGCGAGTCTGCCGAGGGAGAGACGACGTCAGAGACCGTCGGCGCGAAGCAGACGGGGAGAGGTGGGCGGACCTTGGACCTGGGCGACGACGTCCTGCGCCGCGTCGCGCACGACCTGGAAGTAGACCTCCTCGAGCTGAAGCGCGACGTCCATGGCGGCGAACTGGCCGGCGTTGTGCGCGTTGAGCGCGCGGTACATCTTGCCGTACAGGAGGACGTGCTTGGTGAGGTACTCGAGGCGTGGGGTCGAGTGAGTCGGAGGCGAGGTCGACAGGAGCTGCTGGCGGACGGCGAGTAGGGACGAAAGGGTGGTGACGCCCGACCGGAAGAAGTCCTGCAGGGTGTACAAGTCAGTGATGTAGACTGGGGGGCGAGGAGAGAAGGTGAAGGCGCACCTTGGGCTCGTCTCGCGCGCTCGGGTCGCCGTACCCGTACAGGAGGAGGTAGCGCAACGACTTGAACGCCAACAGGGCACACTCCATCTCGTCGATCTGCGGCACGCTGCTCTCACCCGTCGATGCCGGCGGCGTGAGGCCCTCGGCGTGTATCCGCTGCACCGCCTGCTGCAGGATCTCGGCGTGCAGTTGCCGCAGCGGCGCGAAGAGGATGTCGGCGAGGCGGAGCATGAGGGCGCGCCCTTTCGGCATGCGGTTTGACGAGAGCTGCTTGATGGCGGCGTGAAGGAAGAGGAGGGCGCGGTTAAGGATGAGGCGGCCGGTCGAGGGATCCGGGTGCGCGAAGCCGTCGCGGACCGAGGCGAGGAGGGTGTGCGGAAAGTCCCTGCGCGGGTCAGAGTAGTCAGTGTCGTTTATCCTGAGAGATGTCGACGTGGTGCCGCACCATTCGGTGCCGTAGTCGAGGCGGGCGACCTTGCCGACCGCGAGGGCGAGGTTCTTGGCGACCTGCGGGCAGCACCCAACGTCAGGTCGACGTCTGTCGGACAAAGGGCGAGGTCGAGACGCACCACTCGATCAGACTCGTCGACGAGGGCGATGAGGCGAGGGCGGATCTGGTCCTTTTCGGCGGGCGAGATGGCGCTGTGAGGCGGTGCACGAGGAGAGAGGTCAGCTCGCAGCTGAGCGCAAGGGCTCGCTTGGCTGGGACGAGGCTCGCCGCAGTTCTACGGCACCGAGGCAGGCCAGAGGAAGAGCGAGGGGACGCACTGGACTGCGCCTCGTCGCCAGTAGCGGTCGACACCGTTCTTGAGCTGGATGGCGGCCTGCTGGCGGATGTCGGGCGGGACGTGGTGTCGGGCCTCGACGGCCTGGACGAGGTGGTGGTAGTAGCCGGGCAAGATGGCCCAGCTCGCGAGTTGGTCGCCGGCAGCCTTGCGGAGGTTGGTGTCGGGCGAGAGGGCGTGAGCGAGCGCTTCGAGGACGGCGGTCGGGCTCGACGGCGGCGCGGCCATGGTTGTTGCGGAGCTCGGTAGCCGAGTAGCGAGCACACTCGAGCGCGGGAGTTGTGTGGGGGCGGCGAGAGAGCCAGAGACTTGGTCGTGGTGGTCTGCGATGAGGAGCGGAGCTCTCTCTCGCCCGTCACTGCGTCGACGCATGCTCAGAGGCCTCGCACCTGCCAGGACCGCCTTCTGCAACACCCTGCACCCCCGCGCTACCCTCCACCAGCCCCTCATCACCCGCCGCTCCTCCTCATCTCCATCTCCCGCCATGTCCGACACAATTACCCTCGCCGCCCCCTTTGACGCCCACGTTCACCTCCGCCAGGGCAACCTGATGCGCCTCGTCACGCCCCACGTCCACCAGGGCGGAATCCGCATGGCCTTCGTCATGGTCCGTCCCCCACCTCCCCCTTTCTTTCCCGCACGATCTAACCCTTGTTCGTACACACCCTGCAGCCCAACCTCGTTCCGCCTCTCACCCTCCCCGAGCACACAATCGCCTACGCCAAGGAGCTCCAGGCCCTCGCCCCCTCGCTCCACATCCTCCCCTCGCTCTACTTGACCGCCAACCTCACCCCAAGCCACATCCGCGAGGCCAAGCAGGGCGGCATCGTCGGCGTCAAGAGCTACCCGCGCGGTGTCACGACCAACTCGGAGGGCGGCGTCGGCATGGAGGGCTACGCCGTGTACGACGCCGTCTTTGCCGAGATGGAGCGCGTCGACATGGTCCTCAACCTGCACGGCGAGGTCCCGAGCGACATTGACGGCGACGTGAGCTCTCTCTCTTTCTTTTCCATGTTGTGCGCCCTTGGCAGCACACAGCGAGCTCACATTCCGCCATGCCCTCGACCGCAGGGCACGTGCGTCCTCAACGCCGAGGAGCGCTTCCTCCCGCACCTGCGCGAGATCAACCGCAAGTTCCCCAAGTTGCGCATCGTCCTCGAGCACTGCACGACCGCCGCCGCCGTCGAGGCTGTACGTCCCACACCCCCTCTCGTCTCCTCGACCATCGACAGTCGCTCACGTCCTTGCTCGCCCGCCCGCCAGGTCAAGTCGCTCCCGCCCAACGTCGTCGCGACCATCACGCCGCACCACCTGCACCTGACGATCGACGGCGCATGCTCGACGCCGCTCGGGTTCTGCAAGCCGCTCGCCAAGTTCCCCTCGGACCGCGCTGCCCTGCGCGCTGCCGTCGCGTCCGGCTCGCCCAAGTTCTTCCTCGGGTCCGACTCGGCGCCGCACCCTTCGCGGTCCAAGCTCCCGGCGCTCGGCGTCGCGCGCGTCGCTGCGAGCGCCGACGGCGGCGACGCGCGCGACGAGGTGACGCTCCCGAGCCCGTGCGCAGCGGGCATCTACACGGGCGCCAACCTCGTGCCGCTCACGGCTGAGATCTTTGAGCGGTCGGGCATCCCGGTCGACCGGCTCGAAGGGTTCGTCAGCACGCACGGGCGCCAGTTTTACGGCTTCCCGGCGCGCGACGGCGACGAGGTCGTGCTCCGGCGCGTCGAGGGCAGGACGGTCGACAAGGCGTACGGGTACAAGACGGACAAGGGCGAGGACGAGTGGGTCATTCCTTTCCTCGCCGGCGAGGAGATCCGGTGGGAGATTGCGGCTTGAGCGGGCGAGCGCGTGCGAGCGAGAGAGGATCGAGGAGCAGGCAAGGGCGTAGCCAAGTCGGTGTTGTAGTGCAGTAGCTGTCTGTGTCTCCCTCTTTCGTGCGTTGCGAGAGGCGCGAGCTGCACAGAGGACGCTGCTCTCGAGACGGCGACGAAGAGCCTCGCTCTCGCTCTCGACCTCTCGGCGACGCAGCTCTCGGATGACTGGCGGCGCTCGTCGAGATGCTCAGGGAAGCGTGATGTTACAGGGTGTAGTACGTGTGTGCGGGGCGGGTATGGCTGCCGGTCGTCGGGCCCTCTTCATCCTCGGGTCGCCATGAGCTCCATGCTTGTCACGCTGTTGCCGCGGATGACCTGCGGGAAGGGGTGTTCGCTCGTGAGTTCGAGACTCAGAGCAAGAGAGACTGAAAGGAAAAGAGAGAGACGCACGACGGTGCCGACGTCGGTCTTGTCTGCCGAGCCCTCCTCGCGCGCCTCCTCGAGGACGAGGTTGAGGAAGATGTCGAAACCGCGCAGGTAGCCCGAGACCTTGCGGTGACCCTGGAGGTTGACGAACAAGAGCTTGTCCATGTACTGCGCGGGTCGGGCGGGAGGGGAGAGTGGGCGGACAGCGGGTGGGAGATGAAGGCGAGGAGGGGAGGAGGGAGAGGGTCAGCGCGCGTCCTGGCGAGGGACGGTGACGGGTTGCCTGCAGACTGGGTGGACCGGAAGGCGCCAAGAGGGGGCTGATGTCGCTCGGGCGGGCCACGGTGACGACGAGGTGGCTCGCAGCTGATGGAGGTCGAGGCGACGAGGGACGGGAGAGGGAGAGAGCGGGGGCGAGGAAGGTGAGCGGGGCGCACCTTCTTGAGCTCTGGTGCCTGGACCTTGGACATGGTGGCGGGTGCTCTGGCTGGTGCGGGGTGGAGGACAGAGACGAGGCGAGCTGATGGCGAGGAGGAGGAGGACGAGCGACCAGCTGTGTCCCGCAACCACGGCCCACTCGCTGGGCTCGACTGTATTGCCATCCACCTGCCAGCTCCAATCAAGCCCCGTCTACCCAGCCACGACCGCCCTCACCCCGTCGAGGCGTCGTCCTGCACCTCGCCCCCACCCGGCCCCCTTCTCGACTTCCGCCCTGCGCTCAGCGCCCTCGGGACCAGCGCGCCGTCCAGTCAAGCACGGTCAACAGCCTCGCAACCGCCCATCCACCACCAGGTCCGTCCTCCCACCTTGCCGTCGTCGCCCTCGTCCTCGTCGCTCACCTGCCCCCGCCTTCCCTCCTCGCAGACCCTCCGCACGCCGACCGCACTCGTTCTAGTCGCGCCCCAACCAGCCCCAAGTACACCCAGCACCGACGTCCCACCCTTCGCCGACCCGCACCATGCCCTCGGCCGACACTGCACCCTCCCTCCTCTCGCGCCTCTCTCCCGCACCGCCTTACCCGGCCGTCTCGCGATCGTCCCCCGGTCGCGAGCTCCCTCCCCACCTCCAGCACGCCCTCGACAACGACGTCCGCCTCGGCCGCAGCCCGCCCGCCTCGTCGAGCTTGCCCGCCTCGCCGCCAAAGCCCTCGGCCATGTCGACGTCGCCCCCGAAACCCTCGACCTCGCCGCGCAAGGGCACCTCGGGCGCCCTGCGCTCGCCTCAGCCCGGGTCGCACCTCTCGTCGCTCCCGGACGACGTCCTGAGCAGGTCGGCGCAGCCCATCCCGGCCGCGCGCAGCACGCGCAGCTCGCGCTGGGCCGCGAGCCCGCCCACCTCGCCCGCGCTCGGCGGCGCGAGCAGCTCGCCTCAGGCCGTCTTTGGCTCGCCGTCGTCGTCGCGCTCGGCCAGCGCGGCGGCGGCGGCGGCGGCGGCGGGCACGACGCCCATCGCCATCAAGCTCGGCACGTCGCCCGCGAGGAGCAGCGGCCTTTCGCCGCCCAGGGCGTCGGCGTCCGGCGCGCTCAACCAGATCGAGTCGATGCTCGCCCAGCTCAGGGCGACGCCGACATCGTCGCCTCCCAAAGCGTCGACCTCGGTCCCCAAGGCGTCGTCGTCCCTTCCCCGGCACTCGCCTCTCGTCGTCGCGGCCTCGCCGCCGCCCAGCGTGCCCGCCGTCGTCCCTCCTCTTCCTGCGGCCGCGCCTCCACCTGCGGCCGTCGCGGCATCGACCTCGCCCAAGAAGAAGGTGCTCGGCGGGCGCTCCAAGTGGGCTCGAGCGGACGACGATGAGCCAGACGAGTTCGCGTCGGTCAAAGAGAAGGAGCAGCGGCAGCAGAGCGCCCCTGTCGGCGACGAGGCGACGGAAAAGGACGCGCCTGCACCTCGGCCACCACCTGTACCAGCAGTTGCACCCGCCGTGTCTACGGCACCCGCTCCCGAGCCGACGCCGGCTCCGGCGGCCCCTCCTCCTTCTGCGCCCGCAATTGCACCTGCACCCGCACCCGCATCTCCTCCCCTCGAGCACCGCCCCTCGTTCGCGCCGTCGGTCGCCACCATCCGCACCGAGACGGCCAACGCGCACCTGAGCTGGGCCGACGACGACGACGACGAGCTCCCCGACCTCGACGACTGGGGCATCCCTGCCTCGTCGCTCCCTCCTCCCTCCTTCGACGAGCTCGACGAGCCCGCGCCGCGCCAGCCTCCTTGGGCCGCCGCAGCTCCTCCGCCTCATCAGCAGCAGCAGCAGCAGCAGCCGACGCTCCCGCCGCTCGGCGCGCGCAGGCGCTCGCATAGCAACGCGAGCGGCGGCGGCGGCGGCGGCAGGCACGGTCACGGCCATGGCCACGGCCACGGTCACGGCTCGGGGCGTCAAGCCCGCAGCCCGCCGATCCAGCACGCCCAGCCGCCGCACCACGCCCTGCGCTCGCCGCCGACCTCGCCTCGCGTCGCCGCCGCCGCGACCCAGCCGCTCAAGCCCCCGAGCCGGCTCTTCGCGAGCGCAGCACGCGCCGCGACGGCCAGTGCCGGCGCCGCAGGAGCAGGCGCGAGGGAGCTCCCGCCGCACGTGATCCCGCACCCGGCCCAGGCGCCCTCGTCGTCCGCCGCCGCCCCCGCGCCGCCGTCCAAGCCGCGCGAGCGCATGGCGCCGTCGAGCACGCTCTTCTCGCGCCTGAGCGGTATCGGCCCGCCGAGCGCTGCTGGGCCCGGGTCCGGGTCCGCGTTGGGCGCAGGCGGCAACGCGGGCGCAAAGGGCGCCGCGCCCACGCCCGGACATGCAGCAGGGTCAGGCGCAGGCGCGGCGGCCGGCAGCAAGCGCCGCTTGAAGGCTGGCAAGCCGCGAGCGTCGGGCGCCGCTGCAGCCGCCGTGGGGGCGCCTGCGCCCTCGTCGCCCGCGCCGGCGCGCTTCGCGCCTGCGCCTGAGGGCGGGTCGTGGCGTGCGCGTGGGCCGGCCGAGGGTGGTGCGGCGGCGAGCCGGTGGGCCCAATCGTGAGCTAGTGCGGCCGAGTGGGCGAGCGAGGCGGGGGAACGAGCTATCTCTGCCGGCTCCTCGTCGTCGCCGGCTGCGTCGAGCCCGACTTATCTTTGTTACAGTACTCTCTCGTCGTCGAGCATCTGTAGGAACCGCAGCAGGGCTTGTATTATCAGCGCGAGCGTGTTGTCCTCGTCGCCGCGGCCCGAGCCGTTTGAGAGCGACTTTCCCGCTTCTGCTTCGCGCTAGCTCTGCCGTCGGCTGTGCTGTGCCGCCGTGCAGCTCCCTCGAGCTCGGCGAAAGCTCTCGTAGCTCGAAAGCGGCCCGCACGAGCCAAGTGCAGCGTGCCGAGAGTGGGGCACGGACCTCGGCACGGCGACGTTCGCATCTCTCGTCGCCTGGCGGCTCTCGAACGGGGGGGCGCTCTCGACGTACCTAGACCGTCGCCCACGTCGCCCACGCTCGTGGGGACAGTCTGGCTAGCGAGGGAGGGAGGGACGAGTCCGGACGAGGTTCGAGCGGCGCCCACGCTCGCTTCCTCCTGCCCTTGCCGAGCTTACGCTGCGGCTTGACTTTTGATTGTCTCGAGGGCTGTCACAGCTTATAAAGCTTCGTCGCTCGAGCTAGTACCGCAGCGTTCTCCGGCAACGACCTGGCCCGCGCCCCGCTCTCGAGCTGCAGGACACGGGCCTTCTCAGCCAGCTTGCATGACGAGCACGCGCTCTGTGCCGTCGAACTTTGCAGCAGAACGTCACAAAGGTGAACGTGAGCGCCCGGGCGAGCCCACAGGGAGGCTCAGCTGAGCACAGAGAGCCGGCGAAGGTTCGCAAGTGGAGAGCTCGCGAGAGGGCGAGGGCTCAAGTGGGGCCGGGCGCCTGCAAGGGCACGACACGCACTGAGCCTGACCGCAGTCTGAAGCTGTGGACGACTCGGCCGCGACGCCCCATCGATGCGCGCACTTGCGGCCGGGTCGCAGGGCGCGTCGTCGAGGAGGTTCGAGTGCCCTTATTCGCGAGGCGCAGCTCGCAGGCAGACTGCGCAGCCTGTCCGGGCCCACGAAAGAGCGGCGCATGCACGTGCGCCCTTGGTCCGACTGAGTTGCTCCTGGAGACGGCGCTAGCGGCGACGATCCAAGGGCTCAGCGTTCGAGGAGAGCGGCGGCGGCGGTCACTCGAGGGCGGTGTGCGCCGCCGCTTCGAGCAGCTGAGCCAGACGAGAGCAGTACTGTACATACTGGACGAGCGCGGCGGCGAGCTAGAAGGCGGCGTGCGGAACGTGCGTCACGGCGGCGGCGCAGGATCCGCTCGACGAACCGCACGCGATCCCCCGCCTGTGCGAGACGGTCTGTCTGCCGCGTACGGGTGCGCCGGCCGGGCAGCAGTGCTCGCGCACACCCGCAGCTTGCCGGCGGCGCGAGGAGGGAAGCGAGCTGAGCGCGAGGACATGGACTGAAGCAGCGGAAGCAGCGTGCGCACTGAGCGGCAGTTCGAGTGCGAGCATGGCTGCAGCGGTCGAGCTCGGAAGAGAGAGGGAGAGAGAGAGAGCGAGCCCAGCAGCGAGCGGGAGTTTCGCCGAGCGAAGGCGAGTTCAAGGCGACGAACCGTCTCAGCGCACACACTCGCCCTCGAGCTGGGCTCAGCAGGACCGCACTCGAGCAGCACCGGGGACCACACCGCACCCAGGCCCTGCACTGCGCGACCGCTCCCAGGCGACGCTCGCAGCCGTCTCGCTCCCCACCTGCCTTGTCGCGCGCCTCCTGCGGCGCCCTCATGGCCAGCAGCGTGCGTCTGGCCCGAATCACTCTCTATGTACCGTCCTCTGACCCCCCGTCTACCCGCCCTGACCGCAGGACCCGCCGCTGTCGCGCCGCACCTCGACGACCTCATCCTCCTCGACCTCGACCTCGTCTCCGCCCTCGCACGGCCGCCGCTCGGCGACAGGCTCGCCAGTGGCCGCCCATCCTCGCGCCACAGCACCCGCACAAGCCCTCGCCGTCTCGCCCAGTCGCCGCCTCGCGAGCGCGCTCCCGCTGTCGTCGTCGCCCTTGGGTTCGGCCAGCGCAGCCTCGCGCCGGCGCCGTCACGACTCGATCTCGTCGAGCGTCTCCAACACGACCGAGGCCACTTCTCTCGACGAGTCGGGAGAAGAGTGCATGGCGCCCGACACGGCCGACAAGCCCGAGCCGACTGCCTCGTCCGCGTCGCCGTCCAGTTCCTCGTCGAGCAGCACAAAGGACGCGACCTACACGGGCGGCTCGACCCTCACGCTCGGCAACGTCACGCCCGGTCGCCGACTCGCTGGGCCGAGCACGCTCAGCACCCAGGACCTCCTTCCCTCGTCGCCGTCTTCCTCATCGTCGTCGTCCGCGTCCGGGTTCGGCTCGCCCCATGCCCTCTCGGTCGCCATCCCGCCGCCTTCCTCGTTCCCCATTCCCATCGCGACCTCGATCCCGTCGTCGTCCGTCCGCCTGTCGACGACGCCGCTCTTCCCGTCCCCGCTCGCTCAGGCGTCCGGCCCGGAGGAGGACCCGACCCGCGGCGACGACGGCGACAGCGAGGGCGACGAGGACGACGAGATGGACGACGATGCGTGGGCCGACAAGGCCAAGGAGCGGCGGCACTCGTCGCTGCGTGGAGCGGCGCCATTCGGAGGTGCGCACCCTCCCCCTCTTCGACTCTTCTCCGCCGGCCCGCGATTGACCCTGCCCGACGACACAGATCTCGAGTTCTCGCCGCCAACTGGTATCGCCGAGCTGCCTGACACTGGCTCGCCCGTATCGGCAGAGCCGACGGTCACGCCTCGCGCTGCCGCTCGTCCGCGCACTCGTCACACGCCCGACGCGAGGGACAGCTCTCCCGAGCACGACCCGTCGCGCACGGCACGCGCATCTCGAGTGCGCACGTCGATCGGTCGAGCGAGCGGCCTCTCGGCCGTCCTGCACGCGTCGGGCGAGGAGAGCCCCGTCTCGAGGCGGCGCTCGCGCGAGATGAGCGGCCTGTCGGGCCTCGGCGTCGACATTCGCGGGTCGCCAAAGACGTCAACGTCGCGCAGCCCTGCCCTGTCGTCGGGCTTTGCGGCCACGGTGGGCTCGCCGCCGTCGCCGTCGATCAGCATGTCGGGCTCGCCCGTGTCCCGCCGGTCGTCGATCAGCGTCGCCTCTCCACCGCGGCACCTCGTCTCGGGCTCGCCTACGTCGCACCGCCTGTCGCGTGGGTCGTTCAGCGGCGTGTCGTCGGGCCTCCCTCTGCCCTTTCCCGCCGCACCGCCGCCGTCCGAGTCGATCAAGCTCCAGAAGGTGCCCGAGTCCGTCCGCACCGCCATCGACTTTCGCCAGCCCAACGCCCTCGCGGCGGCCTACTCGGGCGAGGCCATGAGCGCGCCGAGCGGCGGGCACGGGTTCAAGCCGTCGTCGTCCCCGGTCGAGTTCCGCCTGCCGGCGACGCCTGTCGCGACTCGCGCACCCTCGCCCGCATCGCCCGCATCGTCGCGCTCGTCGCAGTACGTGTCACCGACGACGTCTCGCCCGGCCTCGCGCCTGCCGTCGCGCCAGAGCAGCCGAGAAAAGCTCTCGACGACGAGCAGCTCGACCCTCCCGACCGAGCGCTCGGGCGCCTCGTCGGCGCACTCGGCGTTCGCCCCGCTCTTCAACGTCCCGGCCGCACCTCCTGCAACCCGCACCCGCGACCGCTCCCGCAGCATCAGCATCCAGTCGGCCCCGTCCCACGCCCCGACCCTCAGCGCGCACTCGACCGACCCGTTCCCCATGGCGGCCGCAGGGCCGTCCTCGGCCTCGTCGACCTCGTCACGCCCCTCGCGCAACTCGCCTCCCGTCTTCAACCTCTCGTCGTTCTCGGTCGGGCCACAACGCGCCGTGTCGGCGTCCGTCTCGCCGCCGACGCATCGTGCGACCGCCTCGTTCGCGAGCGTCGGCCCATCATCGGCGAGGAGGGACCCCGACGGCCCACCGCCCGTGTTCGGCTCGCTCGGCAGCAGCACGAGCGCCGCATTCGCGCCCTCGACGCCCATGCTCGGCGGCCGGCTGTCGTCGCACCGCATGAGCATCGCACCGGGCAGCGGCCTCGCCGGGTTCGGCGCCGCCGAGTCGACCGACGAGTACGCCCAGATCATCCTCTCGACGCGCAACGCCAAGGTGCGCAAGTGGAAGGCGAGCGGCGGCGGCGGCGGCGGCGGCGGCGGCGGCGGCGGCGCGAGCGTGTCGACGCTCGAGGCGGGCACGGCCGGGACGGGCAAGACGTGGGCCAACCTCGCCGAGGCGACCGAGAACGTGTCGGGCGAGGCCGACGGTGCGCGCCAGGGCGTCGCCGGCTACGAGGTGCAGCCCGGCACGCGCGAGATCGAGTGGGTCGACTGGCTCGACGAGTACCGCAAGATGAAGGAGGCCAAGCTCAAGCTCGACGAGGAGCATGACGGCAGCAGCAGCGCCGGCGGCGTTGTCGTCGAGGAGAGGGACGAGCGGGAGGAGAAGGAGCTCGGGCAGGACGGCGCGGCGGCGGCGGCGGCAGCAGCGGCGACAGCGGCGACGAGGGAGAAGAAGGCGGGCCAGGGCGACAAGGCGGCGTCGCAGGAGGGCAGGCCGTCGACGCCGAGCCCTCCTCGTCGCACCGAGCTCGCAGAGCCGGCGCTCACGATCGCGCAAAAGGGCAAGGCCCCGGCGACGAGTGCGTCCACCTTTCCCTTCCTCTCTCACGCCGCACTCGGACCTGACTCGAGCTCGTGCCCCTCTCGCAGCAACTCGGTACAACCCGTTCGAGGCGACGAGCGCGCCCGGGACGTCGGCCGTCGTCGGCGCCGGGTTCCTCACGCCGAGCCTGCCGCAGCACCACGACTACTTCCCGCTCACGGCCTCGTCACGGTCGGGCTCGTTCCAGCCGTTGGCGACCGCCTCGCCCCTCACCATCTCGGACCCGTTCGACTTTGCGCCGTTGCGCCCGACGCCGTCCAACGCGGGCAGCATGAGCAGCTACGTCGGCTCGCCCGGCAAGCGTCGGCGCAACTTTGCCAAGCTCGGCACCAAGATCGACGCGTGGTGGTCGGCCGTGCGCACGAGCTTCGCCGGCGCCGAGGAGGGCGGCAAAGGGCAGCGGCGCAAGCCGTCGTCCTCGTCGCACGAGCACTCGATGCTGTCGCAGATGCCGTCGATCGAGCCGCAGCCGAGTCGCACGTCGGGCCAGTTCGCCCGCCCGATGTCGCCGGGCACGCCCACGCTCCGCAACATCGCCTCGACGTCCGACCTGCTCCGCCCACCCGTCGCGCCCGTCCCGGCGTACAAGGGCGGTGTGCCCGGCGGCGCGCTCGCTCCCGCAGCCCGTGTCGACTCGCAACACCGGCCCAGGACGTCCGAGCTCGTCGTGCCCAAGGCCGTCTCGTCGGGCGAGGAGAGTGACGGCGCCGCGACGGCGGCGACGTCGAGGGCTCGCCGCAACCCGCACCTGTCGCTCAACCTCGACCCGGGCATGAACAACATGTCGTCGCAGCGCTCGCCGTCCGCCAGTCGTTCGCCCGCCCGGTCCTCGTCGCCCGCCGAGCTCTCGCTCGCCACGTCACCGCCGCGAGCGAGCCCGAGGACGGCGGCGCAGACGTCCCTCCCCGCAGCCGTCCCCGTCCCGTCCGTCTCACCCGACGAGTCGCGCCTCACGCCCGACCACTCGCCCATGTGGGACCGCACGCCGGGCCTCGTCCCGTCGCCGTCGACGCACTTCCCTGTGCGCGAGCGGCAGACGTCGAGCTTGAGCCAGACGCGTCCCAAGCCGACCAAGGAGGGCAGCAAGAGCTCGTCTTTCTCGATGCAGACGGTGCGGCAGCAGATCCGCCAGCGCCTCGCGAGCGCCAAGGAGAACTGCGACAAGGAGCTGCGCCGCATCGTCGCCGGCATCACGGCCTACGTCGAGACCGAGCTGCACCGCGACATCTCGACGCCGATGCCGCTCGGCGGACTTGGCGGCGGCCTCGGCGGCGGGAGCCGGTTCGGCGAGCTCGCGTTCGACGAGGGCTCGAACCGGGGCTACTCGTCCAACGCCGAGTACGACGAGTCGGGCGCCGAGGACGACGCCGTCGAGGAGCTCGTGTTCTCCGACTCGGACGGCGCGAGCACGAGCATCCCGCCGTCGCGCCTCAAGACCCAGACGAGCGCCTCGCCGCACGAGCCCGGCCGTCGACGGCCGTCGATGCGCGCCGAGTCGCCCCTGGCGGCGTCGCTCCAGGTGCGGCAGCGTCGCCTGACGAGCGTGCCTCGCGACTCGAGCCAGCCGGGCGAGCGTCGACCTCGCTCAGCCGGCAACGGTGCCTCGAACGCGAGCTCGCGGTCGACGTCGCGTTCACGGTCGGCGCTCCCGCACGGCCGGCGGCACGTGTCGGGCTCGCGCTCGCCAGCCCTGAGCGGCTTCGGCGCCCTCCCGCAGAGCAGCGCGACCGACCTCGCCCAGTCGGCCCTCATCGTCCTCCTCCAGGACATCATCACGATCGCGACCGAGGTCCTCGACACGCCCATCTCGAAGCTCACGAGCCGCTCGGGCCTGTGTGCCGAGTACATCCAGCGCGTGCAGCAGATCGGCGAGGCGTGGAGCGAGAACGCCGAACTGCCCTGCCGAGGGTGGTACGTCCAGCTCCTGCTCGCCGTCGCGGGCCTGAGCCGCGTCGTCGAGTGGTGGGAGGCCGAGAAGGGCTTCTGGTCGTTCGAGGCGGCGGCCGACGGCGACGGCGACCCGATCCTGTTCGTCGCCAAGCCCACCGTCGACGACTCGCCCGAGGTGCGTCCCCGAGGCGAGAGCGTGTCGTCGGTGCCCTCGACGGCGGCGATGGGCGGCGCGCCAGCGCCTCAGTGGTCGCCGCTTGGCATCGACCTCGGCGGCGACCGCAGCGAGGTCGCGCTCGGCGAGCGCGAGCCGCGCACTCGCGAGCCGACGCAGACGGCGCAGCAGGAGGAGGACGAGACGCACCAACGCGCCGACGACCTGCGCCAGGCGGTCGAGACGATCCGCTCGCAGACCCTGCTCATCGAGTTGAGCCTCGACGGCCAGCTGTTCCAGTACCTCAGCTCGGCTTGGCGCGACCTCGTCGGGTGCGTCCCCTTTCTCCCTCGCCCTTGTACTCGCAGGACGGCGACGACGACTGACTCTCTGCCCTTGATGCGCAGCATGGACCCGGACGAGTGCCTCGACCTGCCCATCTCCGACTTCCTGTACCCGGGCGACGCGTCCGTCTTTGCCGAGGCGACCCGCCAGCTCGAGTCGGACGACTCGCACACGGTCGAGGTCAACTTCCGCCTGCGCGTCGCGTCGGCGTCCGAGACGTCGCAGGACGACCAGGACCCCGAGGACCTGTACGAGGCGATGGAGGGCAAGGGCATGCTCATGCTCGACGGCCTGAGCGGCAGCGCGTCGCACACCATGTGGGTCGTGCGCCCGACGCCGTACACCGAGGCGGCCATCGAGGCCAACCACGCCCTGTCGAGGTACGGGCTCGACACGCTCCGGTGGCGCTCGTCGAGCGACCCGACGTCGTTCCTGTCGCCCGAGCGCATCGCCCTCGAGCCCATCCTGTGCCGCATCTGCGAGCGACCGACGCCCGCCTGGTTCTTCGAGAAGCACAACGAGACGTGCAACGAGGTCCACCACCTCGAGAGCGACATCTCCGAGTGCAACGACCGCCTCAAGGAGCTCTTGCGCACCGTCGACGAGCTCGTCGAGGGCCTCGACCACGCCGAGGGCGACGACTCGACGGTCCAGTACGAGGGCATCCCGCTCGACCTGTCGCCCGTCTCGACGCCGCCGTCCTACCTCGAGGGCCTGCGCCCGCCTCTCGCGCCCAAGGCGAGCCCGGGCCAGGGCCACCAAGTTCGCCGCACGCAGCAGCGCGTCTTCGAGCACGTCCGCGAGATCGTCCAGATCGCCATGGCCATCTCGACGCCGTCCGTGACCGACGAGACGGGCGAGATCCCGATCCAGGAACAGCGTCTCCTCAGCCCCAACGTGCGTCCCGCTCTTCCTCTTCCTCCTCCTCTCCTCCCTTCTCCTCTCGTCCTCTGCGCCCGCCGGCTTCGCGAGCCCTTGGACTGACCGGCTGCATCGTCCGCCTGCGCGCAGTCGGAGAACAACCTCGCCGCCGTCATGCGGTGGCAGCGACCGTCCACCGACGAGCCCGCCCTGTCGCGCCTCGTCAACGACACCGAGGACCACATCCGCTTCAAGCTCAACAGCGTCAACCGCCTGCGCAACACGATCCTGTACGCCGAGAAGGTGCGCCAAGAGTGGGAGGCCAAGGCGCAGGAGGCGATCGCGGCGATGCAGGACGCCGAGGACGAGCAGCAGCAGCAGCAGCAGCAGCCGATGCACGGCCGGGTCCCGTCGCCGTTCCCGTTCGACTCGCCGCAGCTGCAGCCGCTCCCGTCGGACGAGTCGCCGCGAGGCATGGAGGCGCTCGACCTTCCCCGGCCGACGCAGACGCTCCGGCGCCAGATCTCGCAGCCGATGAGCCTCCTGTCGCCCAACATGGCGCCGCAGGACGACGCCGCATCGGGCCTGTCGGCGAGCCCGAGCGCCAACCTGGCCCTGTCGCCGCGCATCCCGGCCGCCGTGCCCTCGTCGCGCACGAAGGTGTCGTCGATCAAGGACTTCAAGGTCATCAAGCCCATCTCCAAGGGCGCGTTCGGGTCGGTCTACCTCGCCAAGAAGATCACGACCGGCGACTACTACGCGATCAAGGTCCTCAAGAAGTCGGACATGGTCGCCAAGAACCAGGTCACCAACGTCAAGGCGGAGCGCATGATCCTCATGACGCAGACCGAGTCGGACTTTGTCGTCAAGCTGTACTACACGTTCCAGAGCAAGGACTACCTGTACCTCGTCATGGAGTACCTCAACGGCGGCGACTGTGCGGCGCTCGTCAAGAACCTCGGCGGCCTCCCCGAGGACTGGACGCGCCGGTACATCGCCGAGGTCGTCGTCGGCCTCGAGCACCTGCACCAGCACGGCATCGTCCACCGCGACCTCAAGCCCGACAACCTCCTCATCGACTCAAAGGGCCACCTCAAGTTGACCGACTTTGGCCTGAGCCGCATCGGCCTCCTCGGGCGCCAGACGCAGCTCCCGAGCCTGCGCGACCAGCGCCGCCCGTCCGTGTTCGGCCGCACCGGCTCGGGCGGCCTCTCGAACCGCTCGTCGCCCATGTCGACGCCCGCACTCGCGCCCCAGTCGTCGTCGTCGCAGGCCGGCTACTTCGGCAACGTGCCCATCACCGACGCCTTCTCGCTCGACACCCCGAGCGAGTCGAGCGGGTCGTCGAGTGCCCCGCCCTCGGCGCACGCCAAGTTTGCCTCGCCGTCGCCGCTCAGCCCGACGTCGATGGCGACGCGCCCGCTCGGCGTCGCCGGACCGCCAGGCGCCGCGCCCGAGACGCCCAACAAGCACTTTGTCGGCACGCCCGACTACCTCGCGCCTGAGAGCATCCTCGGCGTCGGCATGGACGCGTGCGTCGACTGGTGGGCGCTCGGCGTCATCTGCTACGAGTGCGTCTCTCTTTCTCCCTCTCTCTCTTCCGTCTGTCCCGAGCATCATTCTCACCTGCTCCTCTTCCTCGCAGGTTCCTGTTCGGCATCCCGCCCTTCCACGACGAGACGCCCGAGAAGGTCTTCGAGAACATCCTCTCGCGCCGGTTCGAGTGGCACGAGGACGTCATCGACATCTCGCCCGAGGCGCACGACTTCATCGACCGCCTCATGTGCACCGACACGCACCGTCGCCTCGGCAGCAAGGGCGCAGGCGAGGTCAAGGCGCACGCGTTCCTCGCCGACGTCGACTGGGACAACCTTCTCAAGCAGCCCGTCGACTTTGTCCCGACCGTCGCCGATCCCGAGTCGACCGACTACTTCGACCCTCGAGGTGCGACCGAGGGCGAGTTCAAGGAGGACGAGGCGGGCGAGCACGCCGCCGTGTCGAGCGACCCGGCCGTGTCGAGCGATCCCGCCATCGCGCAGATGCAGGGTCTGCCGACGCCGGGCAAGGAGGCGTCGACCGAGACGACGGCCACGTCCCGCGCACCTCGCGAGCGGTCCGAGACGGCCTCGAGCGCGCACGACGACTTTGGCACGTTCAACTTCCGCAACCTGACGGTCCTCAAGCAGGCCAACGACGACGTCATCCGCAAGCTCAAGGACGAGCAGCTGTTGCCGCCGTCGGGCGGCGTCCCGGTCCCGACGCACCGAGGCGTCAGCAGGAGTCGCGGCGGGACCAACGACGGGCGCATGGGCGCGCCGTCGTCGCCGTCGTCCGTCTCGAACAGCTCGAGCAGCTCGGTCGCTCAGCGCACGACGGCGCCCTCGTCGCTCTTCAGCGGCGCCGGCCACTCGCGTCAGGCGTCCGAGCAGCACGCCCCGGGCGAGCGCACCCGGTACCGCCAGCCGAGCGCGTCGTCGCCGATCCAGTCGGCCGTCCACCGCCGCCGCAACTCGCTCCCGTCGCGTCTGCGCAAGGTCTCGGTCTCGGACGGTCGCCCGCCCCTTCCCGACAGCTGGGAGGCGCCCGAGTCGCCAAGCGGGTCGCGACGAGTGTCGATCCAGCACCCACCGTCGAGCTCGACCATGTCGTCGCCCATGTCGGCCATGGCCGACCTCCCGCCGCTCCAGATCCCGGGCGCGCCCATCGCCGACGACGACTACAAGCCCCAGTCGGTCCCGACGAGCATGGCGCCCCTGGACACCGGCGTGCGTGCGTCCGCCTCGCCGGCGTCGGCCGGTCCCGCGTCGTCAAATCGCCTGTCGACCATCGACTGCCTCGTCGCCGGCCGCAACCCGATCGTGACCAAGGTCCTCGAGACGATGCTGCAACGCCTCGGCTGTCGAGTCGTCGTCGTGCCCAACGGCGCCGAGGCCATCCTCGCGGCGGGCGGCATCCCTTTCGACGTACTTTTCCTCGGTGCGTCCCGGGCCCTCTCTCGCCCCTACCCGCATTTTCTCGCGACCCTTGTCCTGACGTTGCCACTCGACGTGTTCGCAGATCTCGCCATGCCCGTCGTCGACGGCGAGAAGGCGGCCCGCATGATCAAGAGCACGGTCAACCCGTCGTCGAACGCGCCGATCGTCGCCGTTTGCTCCCAGTCGTCCGCTATCGACGACGCGACGGGCACGCTCTTCACGGCGACGCTGCCCAAGCCCATAGTGCGTCCCCTTTCTCCCTCTCTCGGTCCCGGCGTTCGAGGTGGACCGCGCACTGACCTCGAGGACGCTTCACACCTGCAGATGAAGGCCGACCTCCTCGGCGTCCTGTCGCACCTTGGCTTCCGCCTCGAGGTCAAGGCGTCCGAGAGTCGACGTGGCTCTGGCGACACCGGCCGGCCGGCGTCGCCTGCGCCCGCACAAGCCTCCGAGTCGCGGCGCGAGTCGGCGTGAAGCGCTTTCCCTTTCCCTCGGCGTACCGGGCCTCGCTCGCCCTGTCTTCCCTTTCTACCTATTCCCCCTCCCCACTGTACAGACTAGAGCCCCCTCACCTCGTGTTCTCGTCGCCCTCGCTCTTTCCCCCCGTCTCGTCATTCGTTGTTGCTCCTCTGCCTCCTAGCATTTCTCTTGTTCTCTCGTGCGATGTCATCAGTGTGTGTGCGTGTCGCTCTGTGCGCGCGTGTCGTCGTCCACGAGAGAGCACGAGAGGAGAGTCCAATCAGCTGCCGAGCAGAGAGAGCGAGCTGATTATGAGATGAGCCCGTCTACGCCTTTGCCGCCCTCTTACACCTCTCGCCTCGGCTCGTGCACCGCCACGATGGCCTCGATGACCCTGTTCGACGACGACCTCGACTTTGGTGGCCAAGGCGCACCCGCCGCTGCCCCCGTCGCCGCGCCACAGAACGACACCCTCGTCGTCGCCTCGCAGGTCGCCGCCCAGGACGGCTCGTACCAGGCGCTCGTGCAGGAGCTCGCGGGCAAGGGTGCCAAGGTCGAGATGCAGATGGTTGACCGCATCGTCGAGGGCGGTGCGTCCTGTTCTCTCTCCCTCTCCTCCCCTCTTCTCCGCACCCGGACTTGGGCCGTCACGGTCGCCCGAGCGTCCCGATAACGGACAGGCGCCGCGCAGAAGGTCCAGGAGCATGGCGGCGTGAGATTGAAGCAGGCCAGGGCCTACTGCGAGCAAGTACTGACCCTCGCGCCGTGCTTGATCAGCGACGACCCTCCCGCCCGCGACCTACAAGCACGCCGTCATCCTCCTGCCCGCCAACCTCGTCGCCGCCTCGCTCCTCGCCCTCATCGAGCCGGCCCTCGCGCCCGGCGGTGCCCTCGAGGTGCGCGGAGAGGCGGCCTCGAGCGACGACCTTCTCGGCGAGTTGACCTTGCTCGGGTTGTCGGGCGCCAACAAGACGGATGGCGCAGTGCGTCACCTACTCTCCCATCGTCTCCCGCGGACCGATCTACAGCAGCCAACTGACCTCGGTCCATCCCTCCTCGAGCAGATCCTCGCCGTCAAGCCGACCTCGAGCTCCGCCCCGCTTTCGCTCAAGCGCCCCGTCTCGGCGCTCGAGTCGAGCGCGACCGACCCGTCCTCATCCGCACCCGTTGGCGAGGGCGTCGCCGCCATGGCCCTCCCGACCCGCAAGTCGCGCGCCGCCAAGGCGTCCCTGTGGGCGTTCACGACTGCCGCCGCCTCGTCCGGCGCCGCGACGCCGACCATCGACGAGTCGACCCTGCTCACCGACGCCGACCTTGAGCGCCCGACGCTCGTCAAGCGCGAGGACTGCGACGTCAAGCGCACCCGCAAGGCGTGCAAGAACTGCACGTGCGGCCTGAGCGAGATCCTCCTCGACGAGAAGGAGGACGACGACCTCGTCCAGGCGGGCTTTGCGGCGCAGCCCAACGCGACGGTCGAGGGCGCCAGCACGGCGACCAAGCCCAAGGCGCGCAAGATCAAGAGCGGCGTCACGAGCTCGTGCGGCAACTGCTACCTCGGCGACGCCTTCCGATGCGGCAGCTGCCCTTACCTCGGTGCGTCCCGCTTGTTCCTCTCGGACGTCTCTCGAGGAGCATCTGGCCCTGACACTCTTCGCGTGCGCGCAGGCATGCCCGCGTTCGAGCCAGGTCAGAAGGTCACCATGGGCGGCTTCGACGACCTCTAGATCCCTCGCTTCCAGCCGTATCTCTCTCCCTCTCTCTCTCTCTTCCGCATGTACGCTATTCTCTTCGTCGTTCGGCCACCCTCCTCTGTAGCAACACCCTGAGCAACTTCGCCCTGGCTCGCCTGGGCACCACCATCTCGCGAGCGAGTGTTCCCTCGCCGCCGCCGAGAGCTCTCTTGCGGGTTTCCTCCCTCGCTCTGCGTGAAAGAGAGCACGCGGAGCGAGAACACCTGTTGATAAGTGCGCTGTTGCGAAATTCGAAGACTCGCTCGCCGGCTCGCTGGTTCGGCCTCGGAGAGGAAGGCCGCGCCGTCCCCGCATCGTCGAGTCTAAAACGCTCGATCGCGTCGATGGTCTTCGTCCCTGAGGCCTGACGTCGAACGCCTCAACTCCGAGCGGGAGCGAGCCGGACGACGACGACGACGACGAGGAGGAGGAGGAGCTCCTCCCTCTCGCTTCTTCTACCAACGCTGCTCAGCTCAGGTGAGCTGCAGGTCTTCTCTCTGAAGGGCCCGCTTCTCGCGCACGCACTGACCGCACTCGCCTCGCCTCCCGCAGCACCGCACCTCACCTCCACCCGCAACTACCGCACCCACCGCCTCTCGCCAAGATGAACGCTGCTGCCAACGCCATCGAGCGCACCATGGACGACCCCAAGACGTCCATCCACAACGAGATCGTCAACCCGAGCATCCAGACGGAGGGTGCCGACCCGAGCGGCGAGGAGATGATCGTGCGCTCGCCTTTCCTCCTCCTCTCGTCGCGTTCGTGGTGCAGGGTTGGTCCACAGACCTTCATTGACACCGTTTCGTCACACAGTCGCTCGTCTGGAACGGCAAGATGAAGGTCGCCGTCGAGAACGCGAGGAAGCCCAAGGTGGTCGACGACAAGGACATCGTTCTCAAGGTCACCGGCACGACCGTCTGCGGTTCCGACATGCACCTGCTCGCGTGCGTCCCTTGATCTCTCACTCGCGACGTGGCGGCGGGGCGTCTCTGCGGCGAGGACCTCCCGGCTGACCTTCTCGCACGACCTTCCCTTCCTCCCCCTCTCCCCCTCTCCCCCTCGCCTCCCTCTCTTGCCCCTCGATCCTCCTACCCTCGCCTCGATGCGACGCCTACTCGACTACGCCTCGCTTCCCCGGTTATAGCGGCGCCATCATCGAGCTCCAGAAGGGCGACATCCTCGGCCACGAGTGCATGGGCGTGATCGACCAGGTCGGGCCTGGCGTCAAGAACTTCAAGGTCGGCGACCGCGTCGTTGCCGGCTTCAACGTTGGGGTGAGTCCCGAGTGTCCACTACCGCCAGGGAGAGCAAGACTGACCGCCGACTGGCCCTCCCTCTCAGTGCGGCGAGTGCTACATGTGCGAGAAGAAGTTGTCGTCGCAGTGCATCAACACCAACAACTCGTCGCTCCAGAACGCCATGTACGGCAACCGGACGTGCGGCATGGTGCGTCGTCCGCTCCCTCGAGACGGCCTTCCCAAATGGCGCCGGCACTCACGCTTTGACCTCTGCAGCTCGGGTACTCGCACTTCACGGGCGGCTTTGCCGGCGGCCAGGCCGAGTACGTGCGCATCCCCTACGGCGAGGCCAACTGCATCAAGGTGCCCGAGGGCGTCTACGACGAGGACGCGCTGTACCTCTCCGACTCGCTGTACGTCCCCTCCTCCCTCCTCTTCCTGCCCTGCCCGCGTTCCTGCCTGACACCTTGTCGTCTGCAGCGTCACGTCGTTCCACCAGGTCGAGGACACGGGCATCGAGGAGGGCGACATTGTGGGCATCTGGGGCGTCGGCGTCATCGGCCTCCTCGCCGGCGTGTGGTCGGCCATGCGCGGCGCCAAGCACATCATCGCCATCGACAACGTCGACTGGCGTCTCGAGAACTTCCGCGAGAAGCTGTCGAAGGACTACCCGAACGTCAAGATCGACCTCGTCAACTTCAACAAGGACAAGAAGGTCGTCGCCCGCATCCAGGAGCTCACTGCGCCGGGCAAGGACGGTCGCCCTGCCACGCGCCCGCCCGGCCTCGACGTCGCCTTCGAGTGTGCCGCCGGTGAGTACGCCAAGTCGTGGCTCCACAAGCTCGAGATGCTCGCCGGCCTCGAGACCGACACGAGCGAGCTTCTCAACGAGATGATGTGCGTCCTCCTCTCCCTTTGTCCTCCCTCTTTCTCCCTCAGACCTCGTCAACTCTTCATCGCCTAGCGAGCCTCGAGCGGCGGATCTAACAGCCCTTGTTCGCGCCCGCAGCGAGTCGTGCATCGGCTTTGGTCGCATCGGCATCACGGGCGTCTACGCCGGCTACGCCAACCACGTCAACGTCGGCAGCCTCATGGAGCGCGGTATCCGGTGCGTCCCCTCTTGCCCGCCTCGAACGAGCCGACGAGGCCCGCCTCCTTGGGCAAGGTCCGCTCTCCCTTGTCCCCCTCCTGACGCACCTTTCCTTCTCGTCACAGTCTCATCGGCAACGGCCAGGCCCCGACGCACAAGTACGTTCGCCTTCCTGCTCCTTCTCGTCATTCGCCCGAGCCGACCTGACGCTCGTCTCGGCGCAGGTACATGCAGCGCCTCATGGACGACTACATCTCGAACGGCAAGGTCAAGCCTCGTGAGCTCTTTGTCACGCACCGCATCGCGCTCGACCAGATCGACAAGGTCTACTACTCGATGCGCGAGCACAACGAGAAGGACAAGATCATCAAGGTGCGTCTGCCTCGCGTCCAGCTTCCTCCTCGTCGCGCACGACCTGACTCTCTGGCCTTGTTGATACGCAGGCGTTCATCGCGACCAAGTTCAGTGGCCCGCCGGCGCCGGGCGCCCCTGGCCTGACGACGCTCTGAACGACCGCCTTGCTCGAGGGCAGCCTGATCCCGCCCGTGTCGCCTGTCTGCTCTAGTCCTTGTACATAGCCGAGCCTGAATGAGCCCGCAATGCAGTGCCTGTCTCTGTTCCTTCCCTCGTCGAGCCTGAGAGCTGTGTCGTCCGGGCGCCGGCCAGACTTGGACTTGGTGAGAGCGGAGCGTGCGCGCGGCGCAAGTTGGCCCTCGCTGCACCGCGAATGTCAGCGGCGTCGGCCAGGTTGGTGCCTCTTTGAAAGCTTCATAGAGTTTTCAGACAGGCCAGAACGGCACAAGAAGGCGACGAGCGTTGGCGGCATTGGCCAGTGCGGCGGTTGGCTCGCGTCCGCCCACAACCCGCCACACTCGCACAGGCGCTGCAGGTCAAGCGCAGGGGTGCGCCGAACAGTCCTCACAGCATCTAGAGCGTGTCACTGACTCTCCCATTGTCCGTTGCGCAGCTCTCCACCTCCCTCCCTCTTCCTTCGATCCGAGCAACGAGCAGTTCTCGTCAACTCGACGCACTCGTTCGAGCGACACGCACTGCGGCACCAGCCCTCAAGCACCCTTCTACACCGCCACTCGCCGAGTGCACCACCTCTATCAGCGGCGACGATGGTCGGCCCGCTCACCTCCTCCCCCGCGCCTGTCGCCTCGACCTCCCGCATCCCGTACGGCTCGCCAGCAGCAGCAGCAGCATCGGCACCGGGCAGCGCGACCCCACCCACTCGCACCTTCTTCACCTCGCGACCGTCGCCGTACCCGCGCGCCCATACGTCGCACCGCCGCGCCCACCTCATCCACCCTCTCGCCCGCCAGCGCCTCACCAACGTCGCCTTTGCGCTCGCGGGCGTCCTCAGCGTCGCCACCGTCTCGCTCGGCATGAGCGGCTCGCTCGGGAGCGCAGGCGTGCGGCCCGGGTGTCCGGCGAGGAAGGACGCGGCCGTGGCGCTCCAGGGGGAGCAACTCACGCGCGCGAGGGGCGACGCGCAACAGGCGAGGGGCAGCAGCTGGAAGGGCAAGGGCAGGTTCCTCGACGACCCGGTCGCGCCGATTCCGCCGCCGGCCGTGCGCTCGCGCGAGGCGGCCGCCAGCTCGCCGTTGCCCGTCGGGCGAATCGGCTCAGCGTCGCAGGGCGAGCAGCGCGCGAGTTCGGTCCGGGGCGACGGACCAGACGGGCGGATAGCGGAGGACGACTCGGCGCCGACGGGCAAGGGCGCGTGCGGCTGGCGAGGGTGGGTCGGTGCGAGCGAGCGGGTCGTCTAGCCTGTGTCGCGGCGGAGCGGCGCTAACGCAAGAGCGGTTGTACGGGCTCGGCATCTGCAGCATAGACGTTCTCTTTCTGTTCCTCTCACGAGACAGAATCCGAGAGCGAGCGAGGCTCTCGAGAACCGCGAGAAGAACGGCCTGCATTGTTCGACTGCACCGTCGCCCGTCTAGTAGTTGCCGCCGGCGCCCGGCACGCTGATGCCGAACGTCGGAATGATGCCCATGCTCTGCGGACGTGAAATAAGACGTCAGGACCGCTGTACTTCTAGCGAAGTGGCGCCGAGGGCCCGCACGAGCCAACGACGCGGGCACGACGAGCAAGGCGAAAGCTGGGGACGCACCCTGGCGCGGCGCACGGCCTTGCCGACCCTCCTCTGGCTCTTGCGCTGCAGGCCCGTCTTGCCCCGGCTCTTAATCTTGCCCATGCTCGTCACAAACTCGCTCAGGACGAACGGGTTGGTCGTCGCGTCGCGCAGCGGGTCGAGGCCGTACCGGACGAAGGGGTCGTGCGTCTCGGCGAACGAGGTTGGCGGGCCGAGCGGGTGCGCCTGGCTGAAGTTGGGGCGGGGCTGGTACGGGACGAGGAGGTGTCGAGGCGAGAGGTGCTGAGGCGAGATGACCTGGTTGCGCGACAGGTGGCGGAGGACAGACGTCTGGTCTGCTCGAGGCAAGGCGGTGGTAGTTGTGCGGAAGGGGACAGAGGGGCAGGAGGGTTGTGGTCAGCTCGACTCTGGAAGCGAGCGATGAAGACGAGAGAGGGGGAGAGAGGGGAGGTCGAGGACGCACTCTGTAGCTCCTGCGCGGCCGATGGGCTGCTGCTCTCGACGTCCTCGAGCAGCTCGACGAGGGCGTCGGTGCCCGGTGCGGCCGACGACGACGCCTTGGCTCCGGAGGAAGAAGCTCCTGGGGGAGGAGCAGCGCGCACGGCGGCGCACGAGAACGCGCGCCACGCAGAGCAGGCGGGCGTGGCCTGGGCGGTGCGGGCGGTGCTCTGCAGTGCTGATCGGAGCATGGTCGCGGTGTGTGGGACGTGGACTAACGAGCTGCCCTCCCTCGCCTCGTTCTCCTCGCCAAGTCGAAACCTCTCGTCGCTCAGACCACCGCGCCGGGTCTTCTGCTTGCGCTCAGTAGATCCGTGAAGCAGCTTGAATCCGGACTGCGACGGCGACAAAAATGCTCAGGCTCGACTTTCGACGCCGCCGCGTGCTCGCCTCCTCGCCGTCTCCTCGCTCAAGAAAGCTCGGGGCACGTCTGCCTTGCACACGCTCGATACAGCGCTACGTCGCCTTCCTCGCCGCTTCTCGCCAATGCGCCACCTCGGCCTGCGTCCTCGCGTGACTCGGCAATCCCGCCTGCGCGCACGAGCTCCCTCGTCGTCAGTATCGGAACTCTGTGCCGGCCGCGACAGATTTCGAGAGGGGGAGAGGGACGCACACTGAGGCCCTGGAGAAGCTCGTCACACTGAGCGCGGAGGAACGCCTGCGCCTTGACCGGGTCCGGGATCTTGCTCGCCTGGAACGCGATGAGCTTGTCGAGCTCTTGCCGCAGGCGGAGGTGAAACCTTAAAAGCTTTAAAAGCCTTATATATTCTTTTTTTTCTTATAAAACTTAAAACCTTAGAGGCTATTTAAGTTGCTGATTTATATTAATTTTATTGTTCAAACATGAGAGCTTAGTACGTGAAACATGAGAGCTTAGTACTCGAGCCCTCGCCGCACCGCCTCGCCCATCGGCACCCCGTCCTCGTCCTGCCCCTGCGCGAGGAGCGCCACCGCCGCGTTGAACAGCTCGCAGTACCGCCCGACGATGACGGCGACGACCGAGTCCTTGACGGCGCTCGGACCTGCTGCGCCCGTCGCGCGCGCGAGGAGGCCGCCCATGCCCGACGCGCTCGCCGGTGCGGGCGAGCCGTTGATGCGGCGGAGCGAGTCGACCTGGGCCGAGAGCGCGCGCGCGAAGGTCTGGAGGAGCGAAAGGCGAACCGCCGAGAGGTGCGTTTCGAGAGGCGGACAGGGCGGGAAGTTGGCGGTCGAGGAGAGCGGTGTAGCTGTGGGCGATGAAGAGCCGACGAGGATGGACGAGAGCGACTCGGTGAGGCGCAGCATCGACAGGAGGGCAATTGGCGCTGGCGGCGTCGGGTCGAGGAGGGCGTGGAGGAAATTCTGTCGACACGAGACGAGTCAGTCATGTTGTCGCCGAGAGAGAACGAGAGAGACGGGGAGAAGGGGACAGAGAAAGAGCACGCACCGTCGTGTACTCGATGGCCGGCTCGAGCACCGTCTTCCACAGCGCGTCGACGACCGCGCGCTGCATCCGCTCGTCGCGCTCGCCCCCAGTCGCCGTCCTCGCGCCGTCGCTCAAGCCCGCCGCACTGCGCAAGCTCCCGTTCGTCGCCGAGCGGTGCAGGCCCGGCGCTTGTCCTGCAGCGGCGGCGGAGGAGGAGGAGGTCGGTGCGGCGTCGAGCGAGAGCGACGAGTGGTGCCCGAAGAACGAGGCGAGGAAGGCGTGCTCGGTCGAGGCGTTGTCGGCGAGGACGAGCGACGCCGAGCGGAAGAGGGCCTCGGGCGGCGGGTGCTGCGGTGCGGAAAGGGCGAGCGCGAGGGAGAGAGGAAGGGTCAGTGCGAGGTCGAGTCGGGCTCAACGCCAGTCCCCCTTCCTCACGACCTGATCGAAAGGGAAAGAAGAGACGCACGAAGGAGCGGTCGTTGGCCGAGTGCGCGAGGATGATGCCGCCCGGCTTGCTCGAGCCGACCTGGGCGTTGTCGAGCGCGACCGAGGTGGGCGTCGGGCCCGCCATGGCGGCGCGCCCGGCGGGAGATGTCGTTTTGCGCTGCTGCAGGAGGGCTGTTGCGTTGCGCGCAGAGTACGACGAGTCAGTGAGAGGTAAAATGGGAGAGGAGGGACGAGGGGGAGGGGGGCGCACCGAGCGCATCTGCCACGCCGACGACACTCCCAATCGGCTCGACGGGCACCGCCGTGTGCGCCGTGCGGATCTTCTCGAGCGCCCGGATGTAGCGCCGGAAGCCCGTCTCGAGGTACCACCTCGCCGTCTGGGCGTACGCCTTCTGGAACTCGTGCGCCTGGCGCGCCGCGTGACGCCTCAAGAAGTCGAACAGGGGCTTGAGCGACGCGAGGTGGGTGTGAAGGGTCGACAGGGGGGACGACAGCGAGAGGGTGTAGGGCTTGAGGAGCGAGACGAGGTGCGACAGGATCTTGGACGAGGCCTGCAGGAGTAAGGTCGGTGAGCACTCTGGGCGTTGCAGCCGGCGAGTTCGAGCGTAAGGGACGCACAGCGACACGAAGAGCCTCTGCAGCCTCGTCGAGGTTGCGGCGGCTGTCGACCCGGGCGCCACCTCGAATGGCGCCGAGCTTGGCGTCGAGTTCTCGCACGGCCGGGATCCAGGCGTCGTTGACGTCCGTGTCGAGGATGGTCGAGATGAGCGATGGCGCGATGGTGATGGACGACAGGAACGGGTTGAGGGAGCGCTCGACGGCCTGCGGAGCGAATGAGGGGGAAGAGGTCAGTGCGGCGACGAGGGAGGGCGAGGGAGCGAGGGCGCACCTTGCGGGCTTTGAGGCGGGCCTCGATCGACTTGCTGCGGCCCTGGAGCTCGGAAATGTGGCCCGAGACGGCCGACAGGTCGGCTTGGAAGGTCGACAGGAACGAGGCGAGGTCGGACAAGAGCTGGGTGCTCGACTGCGGGCGACGCGAAAGAGGTCGTCAGGGCCGGCCGGGGTGACGAGGCATACGGAGCGAGACGGACGTCGACCTGGTCATGGAGCTCGACAAAGTCGGCTGCGCGTTCGAGGACTGTGGCAGGAGCGAGAGGGTCGGTCAGGGAGGCCGCCGAACGAGGGGAGGAAGGTGGAGCGCACAGGAGCGGTCGAGCTCTCGCTCGTGCTCGGTAGTGCGAGCGATTTCGACAGCGTGTGCGGTGCGTAGGTCGGTGCCGAGTTGGCGAACGGCAGGAGCCAAGGCCGGGTAGGCTGCGACGAAGTGTGGGGAGGACAAAGTGAGCGAGCGGGCGACGTGATGGCATGGCGGGTAGAGGGACGCACCGCCAGGGTCAAGACGGTCGAGTGGCGCGAGTGCGAGCTGCAGACCAGGGCGAGGTGCGAGAGTGAGCGAGGTGGACACGAGTGCCGTGGAGGAGGGGGAGGAGGGAAGGAGCGGGCCTCGGGGGAAGGGCGTTTCGGGTCCCAGCCGATGATGTGAGCTATGCTGGTCATGTTGACCGGCTCGCCTTGTCCAGCCTGAGGACGTGCGAGGCGTGGAGAGGGCGAGAGGGCCGATTCTGTCGCAACGCTCCCCTCGCTCTCACCACTCGAGCCAGTGCGGCTCACGACTGTCGCCAGTGCTCTCAGCTCCTCCCGAACATGGCCAGCCACACCCTCAGTGAGTCCCTCGCGTCGGTCGCGCCTCACGTCGCCTTGCGGTCCTCCTCCCGCCCCCACCTCGACCACCCCTCGCACTCGCCCTCCCTGCCCGTGGAGCGCACCCTGCACCGACTCGATGCTCTCGTACCCGTCCACCACGACTCGGAGACCCGTCACCCGCCCCTCTCGCCCTTTCCTCGTCGTGCACCGCCACCGTCTCTTCTTCATCTCCCCTGCTGACACACTCTCTCCCGCCGCCCGCAGGCGACTCGGACAGCACCGCGTCTGGTCCAGCAACCAAGCGCGCACGCCGAGCAGCGGCCACCGCCGCCCCCGTCGACCTCACCGGCGCCGCCTCGAGCGACTCGGACCAGTCGGACGACGGCAAGAACCCGGACCGCTCGTACAAGCTCACCCGCCAGGAGCGCGCCGCCGAGTACGAGTCCGACTACGACCTCGACGACGTCGACCACGACGCCGACGCCCAGCTCGACGACGATGCCGACGAGGACGAGGACGACTTTGTGCCCGACCGCTCGTCGGCCGCCGCCGCCGCCGCAAAGGGCAAGGGTAAGGCCAAGCCTAAGCCTAAGGCCAAGGCGGGCGCAAAAGGCGGCAAGGGCAAGGGCAAGGCGGCCGCCGCGAGCGCGTCGGGCTCGGGCACGACCCGCTTCAAGCTCAGCTCGGCGTCGGCGGCGGCGTACGGCGCCGACAGCGCAGCGTCGAGCTCGTCGTCGCGCCTCCCTATCCTCCAGTCGGCCGGTGTCTCGGCGCACGAGGCCGTCGGCGCGCTCCTCAACGCCAACATCCGCCAGGACCGCGATTACGGCTACTTGCCTCTGCGGCCCGACCAGGCGTCGCGCCCGTTCTACATCGTACCCTCGACGGGCCACATCATCCTCGAGAACTTTCACCCGCTCGCCAAGTACGCGACCGACTTCCTCGTCGCCATCGCCGAGCCCGTCTCGCGCCCGCGGTTCATCCACGAGTACAAGCTCACGCCGCACTCGCTGTACGCCGCCGTGTCGGTCGGCCTCGAGACCGAGAACATCATCGAGGTCCTGAACCGCATGTCCAAGGTGCCCGTCCCGGACGAGCTGTGCGACTTTATCCGCGACTGCACCCACTCGTACGGCAAGGTCAAGATGGTCCTCAAGAAGAACAAGCACTTTGTCGAGTCGAGCGACCCCGAGACGCTGCGCATCCTCCTCCGCGACGACGTCATCGCCAAGGCGCGCGTCCCGCCCGACGAGCAGCTCGCGCGAGACGGCGCCGCCGCCCAGGCCAACGGAACCGCGACGGCCACGTTCGGCCTCGAGAAGGACAAGGCGCCGTCGAGGGCGGGCCTCGTCATCCCGGGCACGTCCAAGGGCGACGGCGCAGGCGTGGCGGGCGCGGCAGCAGGGCAGGAGGCGGGCAAGGACGGTGCCGCCCAGATGTCGCGCGAGGAGGAGGACCTGTTCACGGCCGTTGTCGGGCTCGACAAGGGTGCGTCCTCTCCCTCTCTCTCTCTGTCCTGGACGGTCGTCTGCCCGAGCGAGACCTGACACGGTACATCCTTGCCCCCGCAGAGGACCAGATGGACGACGACGACGAGGTGCACTCGTTCGAGGTGCGCGAGGCCGAGATCGAGGCCGTCAAGCGCCGGTGCCTCGACCTCGACTACCGCATGATGGAGGAGTACGACTTTCGGCACGACGAGGTCAACCCGACGCTCGAGATCGACCTCAAGCCGACGGCCGCCCTGCGCCCGTACCAGGAGAAGTCGCTCGGCAAGATGTTCGGCAACGGCCGCGCGAGGTCGGGCATCATCGTGTTGCCGTGCGGGGCGGGCAAGACGCTCGTCGGCATCACGGCGGCGACGACGATCCGCAAGTCGTGCATCGTCCTGTGCACCTCGTCGGTCAGCGTCATGCAGTGGCGCCAGCAGTTCCTCCAGTGGTCCACCATCAAGGAGTCGGCCATCTCGGTCTTTACCGCCGACCAGAAGGAAAAGGTGCGCCCGCCGTCTCTCTCCGTCGTCGTCGTCGAGGTTCGAGGAGGTCGAGGAGCGTCACTGACCTTCCCTTCCTCCCCACCCTCTTTGCCCTCGCTCCCCTCGCAGTTCACGGGCGACGCCGGCATCGTCGTGTCGACCTACTCGATGGTCGCCAACCGCCAGAAGCGGTCGCACGACTCGCAAAAGATGATGGACTTTTTGACGTCGCGCGAGTGGGGCTTCATCCTGCTCGACGAGGTCCACGTCGTGCCCGCCGCCATGTTTCGCCGCGTCGTCACCAAGATCAAGGCGCACACCAAGCTCGGCCTCACGGCGACGCTCGTGCGCGAGGACGACAAGATCGACGACCTCAACTTCCTCATCGGCCCCAAGCTGTACGAGGCCAACTGGATGGACCTCGCCGAGAACGGCCACATCGCCAAGGTCCAGTGCGCCGAGGTGTGGTGCGACATGACGCCCGAGTTCTACCGCGAGTACCTGCGCGAGAACGTGCGCCGCAAAATGCTCCTCTACTGCATGAACCCGCGCAAGTTCCAGGCGTGCCAATTCCTCATCCAGTACCACGAGAACCGCGGCGACAAGATCATCGTCTTCTCGGACAACGTCTACGCCCTCGAGGTGCGTCCCCCTTTCTCTCGTCGTCGTCGTCGTCGTCGTCCGCGTCGACAAGTTGAGCCCGCACTGACCCTCCCTCGCGCACACAGGCCTACGCCAAGAAGCTCGGCAAGCTGTACATCCATGGCGGCACGCCGCAAGTCGAGCGCATGCGCATCCTCCAAAACTTCCAGCACAACCCGATCGTCAACACCATCTTCCTGAGCAAGGTCGGCGACACGTCGATCGACCTGCCCGAGGCGACGTGCCTCATCCAGATCTCGAGCCACTTTGGCTCGCGTCGCCAAGAGGCGCAGCGCCTCGGCCGCATCCTGCGGGCCAAGCGCAGGAACGACGAGGGCTTCAACGCGTTCTTCTACTCGCTCGTCTCGAAGGAGTGCGTCCTCCTCTCTCCTGTGCCCTCGCACTCGAGCCCGTACCCGACTGTCTCGCCTCTCTTCCCCGCAGCACGCAGGAGATGTTCTACTCGTCGAAGCGGCAGGGCTTCCTCGTCGAGTGCGCTCGCGCCCCCTCTCCTTCTCTCCCCTCTCCCGGACCTTGTTCCCTGACACTCTCGCCCGCCGCCTCGCAGCCAGGGCTACGCGTTCAAGGTCATCACGTCGCTCGACGGCCTCGAGCAGCTCGACAACCTCGTGTACCCGACCCGGGCAGAGCAGATCGAGCTCCTCCAGTCGGTCCTCCTCGCGAGCGAAACGGACGCCGACCGTGCGGCGGCCGCAGGCGAGGACGACGGCATGGGCGCCAAGGACGTCGGCGGGTTCGGTGGCACGCCGGCGCCGTTCGGGAGGAGGGACGGCGCGCCGCAGGCGACGCGCATTGCCGGCAACCTGCAGGCTCTCAGCGGGTCCGTCTCTCGCTCTCTCTTCTACCCTTCGTTTCTCTCCTCGTCCCTCTCCTCAACCTTTCTCGGACCCGTCCCTGACGCCTCGTCTCCTCCTTGCTCGCAGTGGCCAGTCGATGGCGTACTCGGAGCGGCAAAAGTCGGCCAACAAGCAGCTCGCCAAGGACTCCAAGTCGCAGCGCAACGCCCTCTTCCGCAAGCGCGACGAGGAAAAGAAGCGCAGGGCCAAGGAGAAGGCGGCGGGCTGAGCGCGAGGGCTGGATCGTGGCGCTTTGGGTCGGTCGAGGGGGGACGAGTTGCTGTACGCTTAGATGTTGTCACTCGAGTCGCTTCTTCAGCTTTGGCGTGCTGTCCTTCAGTGACAGCGAGAGAGAGGGCACGCTGCGAGACAGCTCCCGCGCGAGAGAGAGTACGAGGAGGCTTTCCTTCTCTCGGTCGAGCGGCGAGGAGAAGCGAACGAGGAGGGCACGACGAGTTGCACAACAGGGACGGACGTCTATGCACAGTGACCGACACGAGAGAGAGAGAGAGAGGACCGCTCAGAACCCGAGCCTGGCGAGCTCGTCGCCTATGCGCCGGTCGTCCTGGACGAGTTGCGCCCGCTTGCGCTCCTGCTTGTTGCGCTTCTCGCGCTCCTTGCGCTCCTGCTTCGTCTCGACCTTGTCCTCGACCTGACCGAACGACGACGCCGGTGTACGCGAGCCCTCCTCGCCGTCGTCGAGGACGACGAGATCCTCCTCGAGCGCGAGCGCACGAGCCTCCTTGCCGGCGACCGCGCTGTACGGCGGTGGCGGCGGCGACGACGACCTCGACGCCTCGTCTACCACCTGGTACGCGGTGTAGGTGCTCTTGGTCGAGCGCTCGATGGCGCAGTCGAGTTGCGGCGGCGAGCGCTTCTTGGTCGACGAGGAGGGGGAGGACGTCGACGATTTGTCGCGGCGGAGGAGGGCGAGGATGGTGCGCGCGGCCGTAGCCTGCTGCGAGGGAGGCTGACGGTGCATCGGGCCGAGAGGCGAGGCGAAGAGTGCAGAGGGGGAGGCCATAGTTGACGAAGTGGTGCGAGCGGAGGAGGTTCGAGAGCTGGAGGTGGATGGCGGTGCTGCTCTTTGAGGGCTCGGGGGCGGGCTCGAGTGTGCTGGGTGCGGTAGAGAGAAGAGAGAGCAAGCAAGGCCGAGCACAGCCATAGCTAGCTGAGCCGCGACGAGCGAGCGAGAGGTCGGACGAGAAGGCGACACGAAGCGCGAGGTGCGAGCGCGCGCCGTCGCCGACCGATTGACGGACGACTGGCGGCGGACGCTCCACACTTCCGAGCGTCCACCACGTCCGAGTCTGAGATTACAGCGTCGCCGACGTGATCGTGGCCGGCGAGAAGCAGCTTGATCGAGGGAGCGAGTCGGACTCGAGGAGCAAGCGGCGCCGATTCTTCTCGCACTGCCCTTTGCTTCTCTCGAGTTGGCCACACACAATACGAGGAGAGAAAGACACTGCATGCGACCTGCCGAGGCCGCCGAGGAGACGGCGACTCGAGAGGGGGAGGGGGTAGATCTACAACGAGGAGGAGAGGAAGGACGAGGCTCTAGACGACGAGGAAGGACAGGGAACGAACGATGGGGAGCCCACTAAGGGTGGCCACCGACCCACTCGCTCCAGGCCTTGACCTCGGACGGGATACGGCCCTCGACGTAGTTGGAAGCCTTCCCAACCTCGCCCTTGGCCATTTTACGTGCCAGGGACGACACGTACAGGGTGGCGAGGTTGGCGTTCACAATTAATGGGATGCCGAAATCTGCGTGGAGAGCGTGCAGGGAGGGAGGGGGAGCGGGAGAGGAAAAGGGGAGAAAGGGAGGGAGGAAGGGTTGGTCAGGGACGGCTCGACGCAAACGGACAACGGCGACGGCAACAACGGGCCCGCAGCTCGTCCGCTGCGTGCGCGTTGCACACGTCATGCGTGAGGGAGAGACAGGCGACGCACCGACAGCGTTGCGGCGGGCGACGTAGTCCTCGTCGACCGTGTCGCGACCGCGCGCCTTGGCGAGGTTGATGACGGACTGGATGTCGTACTCCTCGAACACCTCGCGGAGCTTGCGCTTGTCCTTGAGCGGGAAGAAGATCTTCTTGGCCTTGCCGAGGTACGGGAGCGAGTTGAGGAACTCCTCGACGACGGGCGACGAGCAGTAGAGCTTGAACCCGAGGTCCGACAGGCCCTGCGCGACGGTCGCCAGCTGCGGCGCGGCGATGTCGCCGCCGAGGAGGACGCCCGAGCCGGCCTGCGGCACGCGGAAGCCGTTGGTCGACGTGAGCGAGGCCCAGTACGCCTCGGCCAGGTCGGCGCCGAACGCGGCGACCTCGCCAGTCGACGCCATCTCGACGCCGAGGAAGCTGCGAGGGGGTTCCACACAGAGAAGAGTGTCAGAGGGGAAGGGCAAAGGGGAAAGAGAGAGAGGGAGAGGGAGCGTACGGGTCGGCGCCGGCGAGACGGGTCCACGAGAACTGCGGGACCTTGATGGCGACGTAGTCGCGCTGCTGCTCCATGACGTCGATCGGCGCCGGCACGTTCTCGCCGACGATGGCGGCGGTCGCGTAGTCGATAAAGTTGACGCCGAGGACCTTGGACACGAAGGGGAACGAGCGCGACGCGCGCAGGTTGCACTCGATGACCTTGAGCGTCGTCTCCTCGCCCGGGACGGCCTTGCGGATGATCTGCATGTTGTACGGGCCCGAGATGTCGAACGCCTTGGCGACCTTCTGGGCGATCTCCTTGAGGCGCGCCATGTCGGTCGGGTTGAGCGAGAACGGCGGGAGGACCATGGTCGCGTCGCCCGAGTGCACGCCGGCGTTCTCGATGTGCTCCGAGACGGCGTGAATGAGGAGCTCGCCCTTGTACGCGACGGCGTCGATGTCGATCTCCTGGGCGCCGTCGATGAACTTGGTGATGACGGTCGGGTACTCGGACGAGACCTCGGCGGCCGCCGTGAGCGAGTGCTCGAGCGTCGACTCGTCCCACACGACGTTCATGGCCGCACCCGACAGGACGTACGACGGGCGGACGAGGACCGGGTAGCCGACGCGGTTGGCAAAGTCCTTGGCCGACGCGACCGACGACGCCTCGACCCAGGCCGGCTGGTCGACGCCCGCCTTGTCGAGGATGGCCGAGAACTTGTGGCGGTCCTCGGCGTTGTCGATCGACTCGGGGTCGGTACCGAGCACCTTGACGCCAGTCTGCTTGAGGCGGAGCGCGATGTTCTGCGGCAGCTGGCCGCCGACCGACACGACGACGCCCTCGGAGCCCTCGAGCTCGTAGATGTCCATGACGCGCTCCCACCCGAGCTCCTCGAAGTAGAGGCGGTCGGCCTCGTCAAAGTCGGTCGAGACCGTCTCGGGGTTGTAGTTGATCATGACCGTCTTCTTGCCCATCTCGCGGACCTTGCGCGCGCACGACACGGCGCACCAGTCGAACTCGACCGACGAGCCGATGCGGTACACGCCCGAGCCGAGGACCATCGTGCCCTTGTCGTCAAAGTCGACGTCGTGGGTCGACGCGTTGTAGGTCGTGTACAGGTAGTTGGTGTGGGCCGGGTACTCGGCGGCGAGCGTGTCGATGCGCTTGACGAACGGCGTGACGCCGAGCGACTTGCGGTGGGCGCGCACGTCGTACTCGGACGTCTCGGCGCCGCCGTCCCGGGCGATGAGGTCGGCGATCTGCTTGTCGGCAAAGCCCATGCGCTTGGCCTTGCGCATCAGGTTCTCGTCGACGGCGGCGACCGACTCGGCCTTGCGGAACGCGCGGTGGACCTGGACGATGTTGTCGAGCTTGTACAGGAACCACTTGTCGATCTTGGTCAGGTCGTGGATGCGGTCGACCGAGTAGTCGAGGTTGAGCATGGCGTGCGCGATGGCGAACAGGCGGCGGTCGGTCGGAACCGTGAGCGCGTTGTCGAGGTCCTCGGGCTTCCAGTACGCCTCGAAGCCGGTCCACCTCGGGTCGACCTGGCGGATCGCCTTCTGGAGCGACTCCTCGAACGTGCGGCCGATGGCCATGACCTCGCCGACCGACTTCATCGACGAGCCGACGTCGCGCTGGACGTACTGGAACTTGGCGAGGTCCCACTTGGGGATCTTGGTGACGAGGTAGTCGAGCGCCGGCTCGAAGCACGCCGTCGTCGTCTTGGTGACGGCGTTGGGCAGCTCGGGGAGCGTGTGGCCGAGCGCGATCTTGGCCGCCGTGTAGGCGAGCGGGTAGCCCGTCGCCTTGGACGCGAGCGCCGACGAGCGCGACAGGCGCGCGTTCATCTCGATGACCATGTACTCGCGCTTGTTCGGGTTGAGCGCGTACTGGACGTTGCACTCGCCGACGACGCCGACGTGGCGGACGATCTTGATGGCGGCCGAGCGGAGCATGTGGTACTCGTCGTCCGAGAGCGTCTGCGACGGCGCGATGACGATCGAGTCGCCCGTGTGGATGCCGAGCGGGTCGAAGTTCTGCGAGACGTGCGACACGTAGTCAGTCTCTGCCCGACTCGTCCAGTCCTCAGGAGAGAGAGGGGGGGCGAGCTCACCTCCATGTTGCAGCAGATGATGACGTTGTCGGCCGCGTCGCGGACGACCTCGTACTCGAGCTCCTTCCAGCCCTTGAGCGACTTCTCGATGAGGACCTGGGGCGACAGCGACAGCGACTTGGCCGACAGGTCGCGCAGCTCCTCCTCGTTGTCGGCGAACCCAGACCCGAGGCCGCCGAGCGAGAACGCCGAGCGCAGGATGACCGGGTACCCGATCTTCTCGGCGGCCTCGAGGGCGTCCTTGACGGTCGAGACGGCCGTCGACGTCGCGGCGGGGATGCCGATCTCGTCGAGCGCCTTGACGAAGAGGTCACGGTCCTCGGACACCTCGAGGGTGCGGACCTGGGTGCCGAGGACCTTGACGCCGAGGCGCTCGAACACGCCCATCTTCTCGAGCTGGATGCCGACGTTGAGGGCCGACTGGCCGCCGAACGTGAGGAGGATGCCGTCGGGGCGCTCCTTCTCGAGCACGTACGCGACGTACTCGGGCGTGACGGGGAGGACTGTGCGCGAGGCAGGGGAGGAGGAAGACCGAGTCAGTGTCGTCGTCCACTCTTGCTCGATCTCGCGCTTCGAAGCAAGGGAGATCGGGACGCACAGTAGACCTCGGACGCCATCTGGTGCGACGTCTGGATCGTGGCGATGTTGGGGTTGAGGAGGATGCACTCGACGTTCGACTCCTTCATCGCCTTGATCGCCTGGGCGCCTGTTTCGCCGCACGAGGATCGTCAGTCGTCGCGCCTCTCGAGAAGAAGAAAGGAGAGGGAAATGGGACGCACCAGAGTAGTCAAACTCGCCGGCCTGACCGATGGAAAGACCGCCCGAGCCGACGATCATGACCTTCTTGACGTCGGGACGCTCAAGCTTGGGCAAGACGGCCTGCGACAGGCGACGGGCGAGGTCGGACGCCGCCGAGGTGCCGTCCTTGGTCTGGATGTGCTTGAACTGGGACGAGATGTCGACGAGGTCCTCGTCGGCGGTCGGGGCGACCTTGACCTGGTCGCGGCGGGTGAGGTCGACCACAAAGTTGCGGCGCGGCGACGTCGTGAAGGAGCGGAGGGCCGAGCGGCTGCCCGAAGGCGAGACCCGCAGGCGCGAGGAGAAGGTGCGGAGCATGGAGGTGCGAGGAAGAGAGGTGGGGAGGTGGTGCTGGCGAGGTGGATTCAGTGGCCGAGGGCCTTGAAGACGATTGAATCAAGGCTGCTCGGCGCGACGACAGGTGCAGGTGCGGGTGGGAGGAGGAGGAAGAGGTGCGGCGAGGCGAGATAAGGGTCGGGCGAGAGGGACGAGGAGGGGGAGGGGAAAAGTTGCGGGTCAGCAGCTGGCGCGCCTGCCGGGCGATAGGTGCGAGAGCAAGGCGCACTAGTCTTGACGAGTTTGGCAACCCTCGAAAAAGAGCCTGTGGGCGAAGGGAGGAGGACGACGTGAGCGACCGCTCGACCCAGAAAACGGTGCTGGCCCTGGACCGAGATGGGGGCGGCACGAGCGCCAGGAGGGGGACGAGGGACGCACATGAACTGGTATGGAGTTCCTGCTGCAGACAAGGGGCGAGCGAGAAGGACGCAGGCGGGCGCTTGAGCTGAGGCGGGAGCTGGTGGTGGTGGGTGTTGGTCGAGAGCCGAGAGAGGCGCGACGAGGCGGAGCGGCCGCGCTCGCGCACCTCGTTGACTCTGCGCTCTCTCTTCTGCTCTTCCGCTTGCCACCTTTGACCTAGCCACGACTGCTTCCACCAGCAGCACCATCTCTGCGGCTCGTTACCCTCCTCTCGCTCGACCACTCGCCGGCCCTCGTCCTCGCACACCTCCGCAGTCTCCGCGCTTGCTGCTGTCCGTCGGCAAGTGTCCGCGCGATCGCGACGGACAGGAGGCTGAGGAGTGCGAAGCGTCCGCCGCCAGTCGTCCGTCAATCGGTCGGCGACGGCGCGCGCTTGCACCTCGCGCTTCCTGTCGCCTTCTCATCCGACCTCTCGCTCGCTCGTCTCGGCTCAGCTAGCTATGGGTGTGCTCGGCCTTGCTGCTCTCTCTTCTCTCTACCGCGCCCAGCACACCCCCGAGCCCTCAAGAGCCGCACCAGCGTCCACCTCCAGCTCTCGAACCTCTCCGCTCGCACCACTTCCTCAAGGATGGCCTCCCCCTCTGCACTCTTTGCCTCGCCTCTCGGCCCAATGCACCACCAGCCTCCCTCGCAGCAGGCCACGGCCGCGCGCACCCTCCTCGCCTTCCTCCGCCGCGACAAATCGTCGACGTCCTCCCCCTCGTCCAAGCGCTCGCCGCCGCAACTCGAGTGCACGGTCGAGCGCTCGACCAAGAGCACCTACACCGCGTACCGGGTCGTCGACGAGGCGTCGAGGTCGTCGCCGCCGCCGCCGCCGTACACCGCGGTCGCCGTCGAGGAGGCTCGTGCGCTCGCGCTCGAGGAGGATCTCGTCGTCCTCGACGACGGCGAGGAGGGCCCGCGTTCGGCGTCGTCGTCGTTCGGTCCGGTCGAGGTCAAGGTCGAGACGAAGCAGGAGCGCAAGGAGCGCGAGAAGCGCGACAAGCAGGAGCGCAAGCGGGCTCAACTCGTCGAGGACGACCGACGCATCGGCGACGAGCTCGCGAGGCTCGGGTTCTGAGCGGTCCTCTCTCTCTCTCGTATCGGTCACTGTGCATAGACGTCCCTCCCTGTTGTGCAACTCGTCGTCGTGCCCTCGTCTACATCTCCTCGCCGCTCGACCGAGAGAAAGCGAGCACGTTCACTTCTGCTGCCCCCTCGCAAGCAGCTCGCGCGCGCTCTGTCGAACGTCTGTCGGGACCTCGAGGCCGGTGAACAGGTGGCACTGCGCTGGACAGCGAGAGAAGGAAGAGGGAAGAAAGAGTCAGGACTGCTCGCCTCGAGCTTGAGCAAGGGAAAGAGCCGACGCACCGAAGCAGTTCTCCTGCGCATACCGACGAGGGCGAGAGGTCAGGTCTCGTGTCACGCCTGCTCGTCGGCGATGCCGCAAAGAAAGAAGCGCGGACGTACAAGGACGACCTCTGTCCCGCACAGGCTCTTCCACCCGGCCTCCTCGGCCTTGACGCGCAGGTCGGTCATGAGCGGCTTGTAGGCCATGTCTGCGACGCGAAGAGTCGGTGAGTGCGCCCGAGAGGAAGGAGAGAGGAGAGAGGGACGCACCGACAAAGACGGGGCGATCCGGCAGCGCGAGCGAGCCCTCCTCGACGCTCGGACCTTCTCCGGCCCTGTACCTCCTCTCGAACACCATCGCCGCGACGTCGTACACCATCTTCTCGCCTTCCGTCGTCGGCTCGACGCACGGGATGGCCCCCACGCCGCACACGACCCGTCCTCCCTCGCTCTCGAGCCGATCCAGCTCCGCCCTCGCCTCGTCGACGCTCCTCAGCGGCCGCACGTCCCACCCGGCCGCCGCAAAGTGGCTCGTCATGCCCTCTGTCTCGCGTTCGTCGCGATTGACGATGTAGATCGGGCTGCACCCGAGCCCGTGCAGGGCGTGGATGGCCGCGCGCGTCGCTCCGCCGCCGCCGATGGCGAGCGCGGCGGCGCGGGTCGAGGGGGCGAAGCAGGTCGGCGCTGAAGGAGGGAAGGGAGAGGGGGACGAGAGAAGGTACGAGAGGAGGACGGCGCGGCACGCGGGCGAGTCCGTGTTGGTGCCGACCGTGACGGGCGGCGAGTTGGGGTCGAGCGGGTCGGACGGGCGGAAGAAGGTCGTGTTGATGCAGCCCGTCGCGAGGGCTTCGTCCGTGAGGACGTCGACGCGGTCGTAGGCTTGGAGCTGTGGCAGGTCTGAGCGTGAGCGGGCCGCTCGTGCGGGAGGGACGGGGGAGGCGCACCTTGAGCGGCATGGTGACGCAGGTACCGAGGCAGTCGGGCCGTCTGAGGGCGTCACTCCAAGGGTTGGGCTCGACCTCGAGCGACGGGCACTCGACCAGGTCGTAGTGGTGTCGAGGCAGGCCGCTGCAGAGAGGTTCGAGGGGAGAGGGGACGGTCAGCTCTCCAGCCCTGGTCGCTCGAGGAGAGAGAGAGATCGCGAGGACGCACAGCTTGTCGTAGATGCATCGAAAGATCTGTGGCGCAGGCGAACCGGCCACGTGCGAGCCGTACAGCGCGGACGAGTTGCGCTCGTCGTCGGGGCGGGCTCGTCGAGTCGGAGAGGCGAGGGAGGCGGCGAGCGACATGGCGTTTGGCGCAGGGGGTGCCGAGAGAGCTGAACAGGATGGCGAGGCCGCTGAACGCCCGACGTGCGGCCTAGTCGAGGCGGAAGAGGGCAAACGAGATGAGGAGGTGGGGCCTCCGAGCCGGCCGACGTGTGCATCCGCCGAGTGCGCGAGCGGTGTCGCCTGCACGCCGGTGTAGCCGCGACCGCTAGTTTCAGACGCGGAACAGCGAGCAGGAGCTCGAGCGAGCGAGCGGCGAGGGCGCAGGAGGAGCGAGCGCCAGGTTTGCCGACCGGCCGCGGCACGCTGGCTCACTTGCTCACCAGCGTCGCTTGCGCTCTCAGGGCGCGCGCACTCTCTCCCCGACTCGACTGAGAACACCTGCGAGGGCCGGTGACAAGTCTAAAGTTACAGGCGCGTCGTCGACCGCCCTTCCTCCTCATTGCTGGATCGACTTGTAGTAGTTGGCGAGCGAGGCGCGCTTGGCCTCTTCTGCCTGATCCTTGGTGAGGAGGACATAGTCCTTGTTGAGGTACGAGTAAGGCCCGTGCTTGAAGCCGAGCTGTCGTGCGCGCGCGTCGTCCGTCACGAGCTCGGTGTCGACGATGAGCGACGTCTTGACGCCAAAGACGGCGTCGCTGGGGACGAGAAGCGGGGACGCGTGGTCGAGAGCGATCGAGAGAGGCGACGACGAAAGGCAGGGCGAGGCGAGAGCAGGAAGGAGGAGGAAGACGAGGCAGGACGGTCAGTGACAGGTCGCCGACGAGGAAACGCGACGGCGGGAGGGAACGAGCGGCGCACCTGTTCAAGTACGGGTCGCCCTTGAAGTACAACGCCGTGATGAGCGTCTCGTAGCCATCGGCGATGAACATCCTGCGAGTGCGGGCGCAAAGAGGGTCAGGTTCGCGGCGAGGCGGGCGAGAAGGGCGAGCGGCGAGGACGCACATGTGCAGGTGTGCGGGACGGAAGACGTGGCGCCCGAGCGACTTGAGGAGCTTGCCGACGGGGCCATCAAAGCTGCACGGCGCGAGAGGGTGTCAGTAAGGGCGAGTGAGGATGAAAGATCGAGAGGGAACGAGCGCACGGGATCGGGTAAGGCGTCGGCTTGATGAGGCGGTACTGCGAGGTGCGTCGGCGCGAGTCAGTCACGACAGGTGGAAAGAGAGAGAGAGAGAGGGACGCACAGAGTAGTAGCCGTTCTCGTCCGTCTTGAACCTTCCTCGGCAGTCGGGCGCCTCGCGGCCCTCGTACTGCGTGTCGTACAGGCCATCGTCGTCCGTCTCCCACGTCTCGATCGTGCAGTTGGCGACGGGCTTGCCGTCGGTGCCGAGGACCCGGCCCTCGCAGTACATGTAGTCGCCCTTGCCCTCGGACGCGATCGAGTCGCCGTGCTGCAGCTGCGGTCGACGAGGGCGGGTCAGACTCGGCCCGTATTCGGTCGAGAGAGAGAGAAAGGGACCGACGCACGTCGGCTGCGTCCTCGGTGAAGAAGGGTCCGAGAACGGTCGCCTCGGTCGCGCCCGAGCCTTTGGGGACCGGGTGGTTCATTGAGTCGACGAGGGCCGACAGGCCCAGGGCGTCCGAGAGGAGGATGAACTCTTGACGCGTCTTGGAGCAGATCTGACCGACCTGGGTAAGGAACTGGATGGCGGTCCTGCGCGTGTTTGAGGGCGAGGGTCAGTGCACGCTCACTGGGTCGAAATGCGAAGGCGGGAGAGAGAGAGACGCACATCCACTCGTCGGTGGTGAGGCTGACGTCGCGCGCAAAGTCGTGCAGGTGGCTGACGAGCTTCTCAAAGACGAACTTTTGCCTGCGAGTGAGAGCGAGGGTCAGCAAGAACGACAAAAGTGGGGGGAGGGGAGGGGGAACAGAAGGAGCGGCGGGCGCACCTCGGGTTGTCGCACAACGAGTTGATGGCGTGCACGTTGTCGGTGATGGTCTCGGGCGACATGTCGGTGAGGTTGGGCAGCTTGGACTGTCGAGGCGGGGCAGGAGGGTGGGGCAAGGAGGAGAGGGTGAGCGAGGTGGTGTGTCGACGACGGTGGGCGAGTAGGGACGCACGAGGTCGATGTTCTGTGCACCTTGCTCGAGTGCGAGCTGCACTGCGCGGCCGACCTGGAGGGCAAGGGCTTCATCAGTTGGAGGTCGAAAGGGGAGACGAGGAAGGAGGTGACGACGGACTTTCGGTGCCGTCTCGGGGGTCGAGCTGTTGATGTGGTCGGCGGTGCTCATGGTGGCAGTGCGGTAGCAGGAACAGAGCTGGCTGAGGACGAGATGCGAGGCCAGAGATGGTCGGGCCGGACAATGGCCTTCCGCTCCCCCTTCGCCGCTTCGTGTCGCCCGCCCTCCGAGCACGCTCTGCCTAGCTGCTAAGAGCACCGTCAGCTACACCCGCACCCTCACCCGCACCCCGCAACCTCCCGAGCCACCTCCTCCCCCTCCTCCCCACACCGCCTCGCTCTCGCCCGCCCGCACCACTCGACTGCCGCCCAGCCCTCTCGAACCCGCGAGCCAGCCCGACATGCACCCGTTTACCTACAACGCCCTCCCCGCCCGCGTCCTCTTTGGCTGGGGCACCAGCTCCCAGGTCGCGAGCGAGGTCCAGCGCCTCGGCTGCTCGCGCGCCCTCGTCCTCACCACCCCGCAGCAGGTCGACGCCGGCAACAAGGTCAAGGCCGACCTCGGCGACCTCGCAGTCGGCATCTACTCGAACGCGACCATGCACACCCCGATGGACGTCACCCTCGACGCCCTCAAGCGCGCTCAGGACCTCGGCGCCGACTGCTGCGTGCGTCCCCCTCTCTCTGTCGTTCTCCTCGCGTCCGGGCACGCTTGACGAGGCGTGCTACAACGGCGGCCCAGAACTGACGAGCCCCGCACACCCAGGTCTCGGTCGGCGGCGGGTCGACTATCGGTCTCGGCAAGGCGCTCGCGCTGCACTCGCCCGACGACGCCAAGCTCAAGAACATCGTCATCCCTACCACCTGTACGTCGTTCAATTGCGTCTGCGGCATCGTCCAGTCCTTGCGAAACGCTCACGCTCTCGTTGCGGGCGGCCGCAGACGCTGGTTCCGAGGCGACGCCCATCATCGGCCAGACCGAGAACGACAAGGACGGCAAGCCGCTCAAGACGACGCAGAAGACGACAAAGGTGCGCTCACGCTCTCTCGACCCGATCTCTTGAGGCTCGAGGGACCGTACTGACCTGTCTGCCCTCCCCTCCCCTTCTCGCTCGACAGGTTCTTCCCGAGACGATCATCTACGACATCGACCTGACCCTCTCGCTTCCGCCACAAATGACGGTGCGTCGCTCTCCTTCTCGCCCTCGACGGTCCCGCGACTCGAGGTCGAGCCACTCACGCACGACCCCCTCCCTCGCGCAGGTGACGTCCGGCCTGAACGCTGTCGCCCATGCTGTCGAGGCGCTGTGGGCCGTCGAGGCCAACCCGATCATCTCGAACCTCGCGATTCAGGGCATCGAGGCGATCGGTCGCTCGCTGCCGCTCATCAAGCAGGACCCGCAGTCGCGCGACGGCCGGAGCGACGCCTTGTTCGGCGCGTGGGCCTGTGGAACTTGCCTCGGCGCCGTCGGAATGAGCCTGCACCACAAGCTCGTGCGTCTATACGTCCTCTCTCTCCCCCTCCTTGGCCGTCTGAGCCGTCAAGACCGCCGACTTGACTCTTCTTCGCCCGCCCGCGCGCAGTGCCACACCCTCGGCGGCTCGTTCGGCATGCCTCACGCCGAGACGCACACCGTCATCCTCCCGCATGCCGTCGCCTACAACGCGCCATACGCCGAGGACGCCGTCGCGCGCGTCGCGAAAGCGCTCGGCGTCTCGAACGCGGCGCAGGGCCTGTTCGACCTCGCCAAGGACAATGGCGCGCCCGTGTCGCTCAAGGAGCTCGGGTTCAAGGAGGAGGACATCGAGAAGGCGGCCGACATCGCGGTCAAGGCGCCCTAGTACGTCCATGCTCGTCCTCCATTCCCTCTTCCCCCTCGCTCGATCCTCCTTCCTCAATCGAGCTCTCCTCGCCCGCCTCGCCCCTCCGCCACCGACTCGCCACCTCTCACGTCCTCGCGTACACTTGCACGCGTTGTGCGACCGCTGCTCACCATGCCCCCTTGCCGCCAACAGCCCCAACCCTGCGCCGCTCGACAAGGCCAAGCTCCTCGAGCTGCTCACCAACGCGTTCAACGGCACCCGCCCTCAGTAGAGCCTGTCCGACCAGACGGTGCATCAAAGGTCCAATTCGTCATTGCGAGGCTGTCGTTGCCTGCATCTGGTTCGAGCAGCGAGCGCTCCTTTCTTCTTCTGCATCGCCAACTTTCCGGCGTTCTCTCGCCAATCCTTCTCTCGAGTTGTCGAGCGTGCAGAGCTCTCGCAGGCACGTCACTGACTTGCCTTCTCTCCAGCTCGCCTCGCCGCCGCACGCACCCGCTCGACGAGCCTTTGTCCTGCGCCGGGACCTCGTCCGCCTCCCCTCCTCGTCCACTCGATCGTCCCTCCCTTCCGTCGCTCCTCCCTCGGCCTTTCCACCGCTCATCCTCAGCAACGATGGCCTACTCGACGAGCGAGAATGGCCTGCTCTCGTATCCTTACACGTCCAGCACCTCTCGCCTCGCCTCGCCCTCCCTCGACCGACCTCTCACGCCAGAATGGCCAGCACCTCCCTCTTCGCCTCGCCTCTGGGCTCAAGTCACCTCGCGCACCCGTCGACCGCCTCGAGCCACACCCTCCTCGGCCTCTTCCGCCCGTCCTCATCGTCGTCGTCGTCGTCGCGCAAGGACCCGTCCTCCTCTCGGCCGGCCAAGCGCACCAAGGTCGCCTCTTCCTCGCTCAAGATCTCGTCGCCCGTCCTCCAGTCGACGACGAACCTGTCGGTGGTGGCGCCGACGTACATGGCGGCGTTCGAGGCGCCGCGCTCGGTCCGCCGCCGCGGCAGCGAGGCTTTTCCCTCGTCGGCGTCGCTCTCGGACGACGACGGCGACGACCGCGCCGCGTCGCCTCCTCCACCTTACCGCAACTCGGCACTCTCGGTCGACGGCGACGGCGACGACGACTCGGCGTGCTCCGCCGCCGTCGACATCCTCGAGGAGAAGGCGCTCGTCGACGAAGACCAGGTCGAGCGGCGCATGGCGAGGTGGGACGCCGAGCGGCGGCTGTGCAGGGCCGAGCAGGCGGTCGAGACGGACGTGCGGGTCGACGAGGAGCTGCGGCGGATGGGCTTGTAGCGTCTCTCGAGGAGCAAGTCGGCGCTCGGTCCTTTTCCGTCTCGAGCAGCGCGAGTTCCGAGAGTCGATGCGTGCTTCACGACTGCTTCCTGGTCCGAATGAGCGCACAGCCAAGCTCTGTCGGAGCGCTGCAGAGCAGGCGAGGTCGTAAATGGCGGCCGTCCGCGTAAATTGGTCGCGGGGGAGTTGGACGACTCGTCCACGTCCTCCTCCTCCTCCTCCTCTCGCCGCCCTCTCGCCTCTTGCGGGCTCGCTGCTGCCACAGAGCGCTCGAACGACCTCTCACGACCCCGGCCGACGCCCCATCACGCAGCCCCAGGGCCAGGTGCGTCCCCCATCTCTCGTCTTTCGCCCTCGGCCACGCTCCCATCTCCCCCCTCGTCCCCTCGCCCGACGCTCGCCCCGTGAGCGATGCTGACACCTCGCACGCACTCGCAGACCCCTTCTTGACGCCTCGAGCGACCGTCGTGGACCAACCCCCGCACAACGTGAGCCAGGATCGCGGGATCCGCGTGCCGGACCGTTGCTGACCCTCCCTCGGCGCGTTCCTCCGCAGAAACAAGTCGCCAGCCTCGCCTGCTGCGCACCCACACGTTCACGACCCGCACCACACCTTCACGCTCGTTCAGCCCAACTCGACCCACACTCGTTCAAACCCTCCCTCCTCCCCCTCTTGTTCCCCCTCCCCGGCGGCGAGCAGGCGCATGTCACACATCGACGCGCCGCTCCGCTCTCGCCGACACTCCGACCCGTCGCCCGCCAACAGCAACAAGGTCCGCCGACGCCAACCTGCGCCCCGCAGCGCCAACGACACGCACGACTACGCGCCCGACGCGCTCCTCTTCCCCGTCGCCGACCACGACGACGCGTCGCCGCCTCGTCGCCGGCGCGTCGCGCGTTCGCTGCACGCGCACCGCTCAAGACGCTCCTCCTCCCCGCCGAGCTCGAGCTGCGGCGCGTCGCCGCCCGCCCCGACTCGGTCCTCCTCCGCTCGGCGCGCCCAGCAGGGCCGCGGCACTACGCGACCGACTCGTCGTTCCGCCTGCACGCCCTCGTCGCGCGCCAGTCGTCGTCCTCGGGCGCACGGACGACGTACGCCGCCGCGCTCGATGACGCCCTCGAGGACGTCGACGCGTCCACCGACTGCGGCGCCGTCGCGGCGGCGTACCGTGGCAGCGCGTCGACACCCCAGGTCGTCGCCCTGTGCACGAGGCGGCGCAGAGCCGTCATCCGCGCGACGCAGGCCGAGGCGAGCGCGAGCAGCAGCCGGGCGGCGGCGAGTACGAGCCGGGCCGTCGCGAGCGCGAGCTCGAGGTCGAGCCGAGCAGCAGCCGCGAGCTCGAGCAGTCGAGCCGCCGCCGCTGCGGCAGCATCGTCGTCGTCGTCGTCCTCGGCGTCGTCGAGCAGGTCGGCGGCGGCCGCTGCCACTCGTACGCGCACGCGCCTGATCCAGCGCACGACCCGGCCGGCCAACACGCCTCGGATCGCCGCGCCCATCACGACGCCGCTCAACCCGTCGCAGGCCTCGGCGTCGCGCTTCTCGGAGCTCGAGTCGTTCGTGAGCTCGCAGTTCGACGACGCGGCGTCCGTCATCACGAGCCGGGCGGCAGCGGCGAGCTCGTCGAGGGAGGCGCTCCAGTCGTCGGTCGACTCGCTCTTCTCGAGCGCCCTCGTCGTCGTCTCGAGTCGGCGAGCAAGCGCAACGGCGTCGAGCACGGCACAAGTATCGGCTTCCTCTTCTGCCACCACGCCGACCTCGACCTCGACCTCCCTCCCTCCTTCTTCCTCCTCTTCTACGTCCGCCGACCCTTCTTCTACCTCGTCCGGCGCCGAGCCGAGCGCAACCGCCGCACCTGCATCAGGGTGCGTCCTCGTCGTCCTCGTCTCTGCCGAACTCGTGAACCTGACCTCCTCGTCCTCCTCAGCAACAGCAACCGGATAGCCAAGATCGTCGGCCCGTCGGTCGCCATCCCGCTCGGCCTCCTCCTCCTCGGCCTCCTCGCCTTCTGCCTGCTCCGGCGACGGCGACGACGCAGGAACGCGGCCGGGCCCCTCGGCGGTCGCTCGACGCCCGGTGGGCTCGGGCCCATCTCGAACCCGCAGCCGATGCAGGCCGCGCCGCAGCAGTACGGCGCCATGGCGCGCTTCGCGCCCGGCGCCGGCTCGGGCTCGGGCATGGGCGGCGTCGGCGTCGGTGCCGGTGTCGGCGCGGCGGCGGCGGCAGGAGCAGGAGGCGCGGCGGCGGTCGGCGCGGCGCGCGGCAACAACGACTCGCAGGAGAGCGTCGGCACGACGCCGTCGGCCATCGGCGTCGCCTTTAGCGAGCCCCGCACCAAGTGGGGCCGGCGCTCGCTGGTCGACGTGCTCGCCGGCGGCGTCCGCAGCGCCAACAGCGGGTCCAACTCGCCCTCGGGCAGCGGCGCCGGCACCGGCTTTGGCACGCCTGAGCGCCAGTTCCGCGGCGTGTCGGGCACGTCATCGTTCGGCGGGCGCCAGCCGTCCATCACGAGCCTCGCGTCCGGGTCGATCCCGAGCGAGTACCGCGGCGTCGGCGGGTACAACTCGTTCGGGTACCAGCCGGGCCAGATGCGGCCCGTCATGACGCCTCTCGGCGGGCACTACGACCCGTTCGCCCCGTCGCCGTCCATCGTGCCCGTGCCCGCCTCGGCGCAGCGCCACCCGTACCCCGTCCCGTCCGAGGAGGGCTCGATCAGCGGGTACGGCAGCGGCAGCGGCAGCCACAGCGGGAGCGGCAGCGGCGACGACCTCGCGCGGCAGTACGGCGGCGCAGCGCCGGCGGGCGAGCGGGCGACGTTCGGCGACGGCGCAGCAGCGCAGCCGGGCCTCCCGTACCTCGCGCCTTTGCGGCCCGACATGGGCCGCAGTCGCACGACGGGCACGACGACGACGGGCGAGGAGGGCTACTACACGGCCGACCCGGGCGCGAGCAGCCGCGATGAGCTCGAGAGCGAGACGCTCGAGGAGGTCGTTCTGCGCGACTTTGGCGTCGAGGATTACTCGCCCGAGGAGCGGTCGGTCAACTTTGGGAGCGGTTCGAGTGGGAGCGGAGGGAGCGGGAGCGCAGGGCGGCCGAGCTTTGTCGGGAGCGTCCGGCGGTCGTTCGAAGAGCCGGGTGCGACGCCGAGGGTCGGGAGCAGGACGTCGACGCCGCGTCTCGGGTCGGGCCACGGCAGCCTCGGCACCCGGCGCAACGACGGGACGGGCAGCTGGTGGAACTGAGCGAGAAGGCGAGCGAGGAGACCTTGTCGTAGCCATAATAATCTTTGAACGGTCGTGCAGCATCTCCTGTTCTCGTGGCGAGTTTGGAGGGAAGGCCCGCTCTCGACGCTCTCATGCTCTCGCCCACGTCGACGCTAGCTCTGAGAGTGTCTGTCGACGTTGCAGCAGGTAAAAGGACGGCTCAGGCCTCGTCGTCGCTGTCGTCGGCGTTGTTGGCCCTCCAGCCATGGACCCACTGCAGTATCCGCCCAACGTTCTCCTCCATCTCCTCTGGCGACTCGCTCCGCAGCTCGACGACGACCTCCTCAGCGTACGACTCGCGCGCGTCGGCAAGGACGACCTCCATGATCTCGGCCTCGTTGTTCTCCTCGATCTTGTTGAGCTTGTAGCCGCTGTCGCGAGGAGGCCAGGGTCAGTCCGGTCGTCGCTTCCACGAGAGTGAAAGGGATAGGGGACGCACCGCTTCTCTAACCGCTCCCACAGCTTGGCGTGGTCGCACCGCAGGACGACGACGAGGTCGATCCACCGCTCGGGGAAGATGTCGCACGTGTGCCAGTCGAGGACCTTGGCGCCTTGGCCCTGCACGAGCTCGAGCTCGTCCAACAGCTGTGCGCGTCGCTCGAAGTCAGCTGGACGCCTCGTCGCGAGAGCGGAGAGGGGAGGAGGGCGCACCTTGTCCTCGTCGACGTCCCAGCTCTGCCACTCGTCGTTCCAGCCCTGATGACAGCCCTTCTCTTTGACAAAATCGCCCACGTTGAGGTGCTGCCACGGTGCTGCGCTCGTCTCGGGAGCTTGCTGGAGCGCTTCGACGAGGAGGGCGGCGTGGGTCGTCTTGCCCGTGCCGGGAGTGCTGCAGTGCGCTCGGTGGGTCAGTGCGGCTCGAGAAAGTTCACCGAGAGCTGGACGGACCCGGTGATGAGGATGTTGGGCCACTCGCGGGCAGTCATGGCAACGTTCGACGAGAAGATGAGGAGGACGAGATGAAGATGAGAAGCTTTGGCTCGCTCTCGCTCTCGTGTCGCCGATGTGCGTGCCCGCTCATGCTGGAGCGCCTTCAGTGCATGTCCGGGGAGCTCCCGAGCGAGGCACAAGCACTCGAGAAGCGCTCGCTCTTGTCGTTCTCCTTGGCGCCGCCTCTTCTCGAGCCTCTGTGCGGCTGCTTCGGGCTTCCAGGAGTCTGCGATAGCGATGGGAGATACGCCGAGCAAGGCCGATCCCTGACGCCGCTGGCGAGAGCAAGAACTCGGAGCGAAAGCGAGAGGCGCGAGCGGCGAGTTCAAGTGCGAGCCACGGACCTTCTCGAGCCTCTCCTCTCGCGCCTGCTCGATACCGAGACTGCGAATGCTGTTGCAAGGAGCGAGTGGTGCGGTGGGGCGGGCATCTAGGCGTGTACAAGGCGGGATCTAAAGAGGAGGCCCGTCCAAAGAAAGGCTCTTGCGAGACGACGAGGTGGCAGGGGGAAGGGGCAGTAACGACAACGGGCGAAGAACGAGCAAGAGGGGCACAGCGAGAGGGGAGGAAGACTGAGAGGGAGAGGAAGGGGACGGGAAAAGAGCGGGAGAGAGGTGTCGGCGGCGCGACTACTTCTTGGCGGTGAAGCTCTTGTGCGCCTCCATCATCTCGCGCTGCACGTTGGGCATGACGGGAGCGTGCTGCCTATACGACATTGAGAACTCGCCCTTGCCCTGGGTCATGCCCCGGAGCTGAGAGGCGTCTGAGGGAGGAGAAAGAGGAGGAAGGAGGCGAGGCAGAAGATGTCGACGTGCAAGAGTCAGTGTCGGGTTCTGGCTGCCGCTCGTGCGTCTGCAGGGGGACGAGAGGACGTACAGCCAAACATGTCGTTGAGCGGGACCTCGGCGGTGACGAGACAGTCCTCATCGCGCGTCTCGGTGTCGATGATCGTGCCCTTGCGCTGGTTGATGCCGCCGATGACGTTGCCTGTGAGTAGAGAGAGTGTCAGTGCGTGAATGAGAGACTCGATGAGGAAGAAGAGAGGAAAGGGAAGAGGCTGTCGCAAGGACAAGGAGAGGAGGAACGAGCGACGCACCCTGGAACTCGACGGGCGCGACGATGTCGACCGTCATGATGGGCTCGAGCACGGTCGGCCTGCCAAGAGGGAACGCCTCGCGGAAGGCGCCTTGCGCTGCGAGTCGGAAAGCGAGCTCGGACGAGTCGACCTGGTGGGCGGCGCCGTCCTCGAGGATGAACTTGCAGCCCGAGACGGGGTTGCCCGTGAGGATGCCGCGCTGCAGCGCATCGCGGAAGCCCTGCGCGCACAGAGTGTCAGTCAGGCCGACTCATGGAGGAGGCAAGAAGAAGAAGGACCGAGAGAGAGTGGACGCACCTTCTCGACGGCGGGGATGTAGCCGGCCGGAATGTTGCCGCCGATGACGTTGCTCTCGAACGCGATGTCCTTGCCCGTGTCCGGGTCGATCTCCATCGGCTCGAGACGGCCGACGACCTTGCCGTACTGACCGGAGCCGCCCGACTGCTTCTTGTGCGTGTAGGTGAACGGGACGGCCTCCTGGATCGTCTCGCGGAACGCGACGCGAGGCTTGCCCGTCACGCACTCGACGTTGTACTCGCGACGCATGCGCTCGACGTAGATGTCGAGGTGAAGCTCGCCCATGCCCGAGATGATGGTCTGCGCGCGAGGGAGGGAAGGCTCGTCGGTCGTTCGCCTCTGTCTCGGGAGGGTGTGACGCAGGGAAAGAGACGACGCACCTCCTGCGACTCAGAGTCGACGTGGACACGGAAAGTCGGGTCCTCCTTCTGGAAGCGGTTGAGCGCGCGCGAGAAGTTGGGCGTCTCCTGGCCCTTGGGCCTGATCGCGAGCGAGATGACGGGCTCGGGGACGAACATCGAGGTCTGCGACGAGGTGAACGAGTCAGGCAATGACGCACGAGACGCTGAGAGAGAGAGAGAGAGAGGAGGACGCACCATGGTGTAGCCGCCGCCGCCCGACTGGTCCGAGAACGTGTCGCCCGACGAGCACTCGACGCCGAACATGGCGCAGATCTCGCCGGCGCCGATCGAGTCGACGTCCTCCATCTCGTCCGAGTGCATGCGCACGAGGCGAGGCACCTTGACGCGCTTGCCCGTGCGCACGTTGGTGATGGTCGCGCCCTTCTTGAGCGTGCCCTGGTACACCCGGATGTAGGTGAGCTGGCCGTACCGGCCCTCCTCGAGCTTGAACGCGAGCGACACGAGCGGCGCGTCGGCAGTCGGCGACAGGGTCTGGGGCGGGTCGGCGGGCGCCTCGACCGAGAGGGCATGGGCGGGCGCCTCCTCCGGCGTCGGGAGGTACAGGCAGACGCCGTCGAGGACCGGCTGCACCGACTTGTTGGCGAGGGCCGAGCCGGTGAAGACGGGCGTGAACTTGAGCGCGATGGTGGCGCGGCGAATGGCGGCCTGAGGAAGAGAGAGAAGGTCAGTCACGTTCGCGAGCGAGAGGAAGACCGACGAGGACGCACGCCGAGCTCGATCGGGGTGATCTCGCGCTCCTCGAGCCAGGCCTCGGTGAGCTCGTCGTCAACCTCGGCGAGGGCCTCGACAAGCTCGGCCCGCTTGGCCTGCGCGGCCTCGAGGTACTGCGCCGGGATCTCGTCGTTGCGGATGTCGATGCTGCAGGGCGACAAGGCGTCAGGAGCTGCGGCGAGGAGAGAAGGACAGGTGGACGCACCCCTTCTCGCCGTCGTTGTAGACGGCCTTCATCTTGACGAGGTCGACGACACTGCGGGCGGAAGAGACAGTCAGGCGAGGCTCGGCCGGACGAGGAGGACAGGGACGCACCCAGCAAAGTCGGCCTCGGCGCCCATGGGCATCGTGACGAACGCCGCGTTCATGCGAAGCTTCTGGCGGAGCTGACCGAGAACGCGCTCCGGGTTGGCGCCGGCGCTGTAGGTCAAAGCGCGGGTCAGGGCGGCTCGCTCGCTCGAGGACACAGAGGATGACGCACCGGTCCATCTTGTTGATGAAGGAGAGACGAGGCACGTTGTAGCGGCGCATCTGGCGGTCGACGGTGATGGTTTGCGACTGTGAGGAAGGACGGCCAGTCAGTGAGAGGGACGCTGGAAGGAGAGGGACGTGCGAGACGCACCTGAACGCCCGAGACTGCGCACAGGACGAGAATGGCGCCGTCAAGGACACGGAGAGCGCGCTCGACCTCGATCGTAAAGTCGACGTGACCTGCAAGGGCGAGGGGGAGAGCAAGGTCAGCCGCCATCCTCGGCGCGAGGGGGCAAGAGGGGGAGGCGAGAGGGAGCGCACCCGGCGTATCGATGATGTTGATGCTGTACTTGCCCTCGCGCTCCTTCTCGGCGGCGTCCTTGACCTGCCAGTCGGCGAACGTGGCGGCGCTCTGGATCGTGATGCCCTTCTCGCGCTCGAGCTCCATCGAGTCCATCTTGGCGCCGACGCCGTCCCGGCCGCGCACCTCGTGGATCGCGTTGACGCGGCCCGTGTAGAAGAGGATGCGCTCGGTCAAAGTCGTCTTGCCTGCGTACGCGAGGGAGAGGGAGGGAGGTCAGGCTCGACGCCCGAGTTGACATCGTGGCGCTCGCTCGAGAGGGAGAGTGGACGGACCCGAGTCGATGTGAGCGCTGATGCCGACGTTCCTCAGGCGGGTCAGGCGGCTCTTGTCGCCGTCCGAGAGCGGGTACTTGGCCGGCAGAGGTTGAGGCGGCGACGGCTTGGTCGACTCGTCGTCGCACCGCCACGCCGACGCGGCGAAAGCGCGGCGCTGCGGCAGCGCAACCCGGGGAAGGCGGCCTGCGACCTGGGCGGCGACAGGGCGGGCGATGGCGGTCGCGGCGAGCGAGCGGCGCAAGGGCTGGCGCACGGCGAGGGCGGCTTGACGGAGCATCGTGACGAGGCGGCGGGCTGGAGGGCTGGAGGGCTGCACTCGAGGCACAAGGACCAGGGACTACACGCGCAGCGAGCGGGCGAGGGACGACGGCAGCAGCAGAGCTCCCCTCTCCTCGTCTCTCCGGTCCGTCGCGAATTCAGCTTTCGACCGACTCGCAATTTCGCCGCCTCGGGCCCATCGCGCACATGGGAACACGTCTTGCAAGCTGCACACAAAAGCGGACGTCGTACTACTCGCCAAATCTAGCCGAGCAGCGAGCGGCCCCTCGCTCCTACTTGCGCTTTTTGCTCGCCGCCGCATCTGCGCGAGCACGAGAGGACACCGCCGTCGGTCAGTACGTCGACGAGCTGCAGAGACAAGGAGGCGAGAAGGAGAAAAAAGGACGACGCACCGTCACCGTCGGCCTTGCGCTTCTTGCCTGCCGACGCGTCGCCGCTCTCCTCCTTGCCGTCGGGCACGTCACACTCGGGGCAGAACCACTCGCCTGCGCACACAGAGAGAGCATCGGGTCAATCGAGGGACGGCGAGAGCGACGGCGAGAGGAGGAGGAAGGGAGGAAAGGTGGAAAGAGGACGCACCGTCCGGGATGCCCTTGATCGGCGGACTCAGGCAGCCGGCGTGGTACGCCGCCTCGCACTGCAGGCGAAGGAGCGACAAGTCAGTTTGCTGGACGAGGTGACGAGAGAGAAAGAGGGGCAGGAGGCAAAGTGCCGGCGACGCACCTTCTCGCACTCGAGGATGTCGCCCTTGACGTCGTCCGCCTCGAACCCGCCGCACACCTGGCAGTTGTCGGTCGCGTCGAGCACGGGCGGGAACCTCGCGAGCTCCTCCCACGCCTCCTGCCGCGTGCGGCTGATGCCGAGCGCGCGCCGCTTGGTGCTCGTCTCGCTCGAGGTGGTCGGCGCGGCGGTTGTCGGCGCAGGTGCGGCGGCGACAGGGGGACCAAACGAGAAGCCGAAGCCCGAGATGTCGTACGACGGCTGGACGGCGGGCACTCCTGGCGCTGCTGCGGCCGGAGCGGGCGTGGGAGCCGAGTCGGCGGCGGCGGCGGCGGGAGGAGGAGGCGTGGGCGCCTCAATGAGCGTCTTGGCCTCGTCCTTGGCGGCCTGTGTGGAAGGAGGACGCGCGATGAAGAAGGTCGACGCCTGGCCGGCGGCGATGTCGAGCATCTCGATGCCGTCGAGGTAGTCGATGCGGGCGGGCTTGGTCGCCGACTTGCTCTGCGGGCGCTCCAGCGGAGGTCAGTCACTTGCTCAGGCTCGATAAGGAGAAGAGAGAGGGACGTACGGCGCCTTGACCGAAAGCGAGCTCGCCGTAGTGCGCGTTCTGGCCCCACGAGACGGTAAAGTCGCCCTCCTTCGGGTCCTGGGCGTGGCAGAAGAGGGTGACGCCGCCGCCCGAGATGATCTCCCACTTGTAGCCCATGATGTCCTGCACCGCACGAGGCGTCATCCACGGCTGCAAGTCCGGCGAGGGAGGGAAAGAGTCAGTGAACGCGGAAGAGATTCGAGGTCCGAGCGCCTTCGAGGAGGGAGAGATGGGGCGCACCTGTCCCGCACTGCCGTCGCCGCTCGTCTTCCACTTGCCGCACAGGAGGACCATGCCCTGGTTGTCGATGAAGAGCGTGTTGGTGCTGCCGGCGGCGATCTTGCGGCAGCGCGTGAGCGGGTTGGTGCCGGCGAACGACGGGATCTGGACCGGCGTGAAGGCGTCGATCTGCGCGCCCATGCCGAGACGTCCGAGACCTGCAAGGAAGGAGCATGTCAGGCCTGCACGAGAGAGAAGGGGAGGCGGTCGAGGGCTCGAGCGCGGGAGGAAGGAAGAGAGAAAGGGCGGTGGACGCACCGCCGAAGCCCCACGCGTAGCAGTAGCCCTCGTCGTCGAGCGCGATGTTGTGCTGCTGCCCGCTCGTGATCTGGACGATGTTGCGGTCCTTGAGCGCGCCCTCGACGAGGAGCGGCTCGTACTGCGTGTCGAACAGGACGCGCGAGCCGGCAATGTGCTCGCCGCTCTGCGGGTGTCGATCGGGGAGCGAGTCAGTAAGAGTACGAGAGAGGAAGGGAGAGAGCGAGGGGGAGAGACAAGGACGGACCCTGCCGCTGCCGAGGACGCCCTTCTCGCCCGTGCCGACCGCGTACACCTTGCCCGTCTCGGTGAGGAGCAGCGAGTGGCTGATGCCGGCGCTCGCCTCGACGACGTGCTCGTCGTCGATGCCGCCGCCGCGGATGCGCTTGAAGGCGGCGACGTGCTCGGTGCCCTCGTCCTGCCCGCACTGGCCGCTGACGTTCCACCCGGCGCTCCACGCCTCGCCGGCGTCGGTGACGAGGACCGTGTGGCCCCTGCCGCACGCAGCGTGCACGATGCGCTGCGCCTTGAGCGCGGGCGCGACGTTGACGTCGGGCAGGGACGAGAGCGGGAAGGGCTCGGGCGCCATGGGCGTCGGCGAGGGGAGGCCGTCGAGCGCGAGGTGCGGCATGGTGAGGTGCGGCGGGAGCGGCCACGACAGCTGGTAGTGCTCGTTGCGGCCAAAGACGTACGCCTCGCCGTCGACTGCGCGCGAGAGCCCGAGTCAGTCTCGTTCTCGAAGACGTGGTCGGCTCGAGCGCGAGCTACGCAGACGCACGGCTCAGGGCGACGGCATGGCAGCCCGAGTGCGACGTGAAGACACGCTTGAACTTGACGTTGGCGACCGAGCGCACGAGGTGAGCGGCGCCGAGCTCAGGGCTGCAGGAGGTGCGAGCGAGGTCAGGATCCTCGTTCGAGCCGTGTTTTGCGCAAGGGGAACAGAGCGGGACGCACCGTAAAGGGTTGACGATGATCTTGCTGCTCTTGTCCTTGCGCCCAAGCGTCGCAAAGTCGGTCCTGCGAGCGGTCGAGGAGAGTGAGCGAGGTTGAGAGTGGGGTTCGTCGAGGAGGAACGGGAGGTCGACGCACCCGCCGGCGAGCAGAACTAGGAACGCGCGCGACGGACGGGTGTTGACGAGAGAAGGTCAGTGAGGGAACGGCACAGGCGAACGTTGTTGTTGTGTTCGAGAGGTGCGCGACGACCACACTCCGCTCGCGCGAGGCAACCGAGTGGGGGACGAGGCGGGTGCATGTGGGGGGACAAGGCGAGGTGGACGGGTTGGCAGTGCGGGCCCACGCTGGCGCGAGGGGGCAGCTGCCGATCTCGGGCGAGAGACGCGAGGGGAGAGGGGAGCGAGGCGAGGGAGAGCAGGGACGCACGACGACCCCAGGGCTGCTCGATGCTGGAAGGAGCGGGAGCGGACATTGTGCTCGTGGTGGTACGACGCTGGAAGAGCGGCAGCGCCAGGCGCCTTTGTGCGAGCGGCGCTGAATCGTTTCGGTCGCGCCCACCCAGCACAGCAACCGAGTTCGGCCCTTCCCTGTCCGCTTCTCGCACCACCAGCAGGCACACAGGGCCACTCAGCAGCTTCAGCAGCTAGCTCTTGCCCGCCTCGACACGCGACCAGGCCCGCCAGAGCCCGCATTCTCGCGCGATCTCACCTCGTCCTCTCGCCTCTCGCCTCGCCGTCACCCCGCAGCTCGTCGACGCCCGCCTCTCGTGCAGCGAGCGCACCAGCCCCCCTACCGCTCTCGCACACCGTCCAGCACACCCGCCACACCATGGACCGCTCGTTCGGCGCGTCCACCTCGGTCCTCCACACCCCGTCCCCCCTCGACCGCCGCTCCGGCTCGACCACCCTCCTGAGCCACGCCCAGCTCGCCCAGTCGATCTCACCCTCGGCCTTGTCCACAGCCGGCACCACCACCACCGTCCAGCCCCTGTCGTTCAACCCGGGCACCGTCCCCATCCGCTCGACCACGTCCACCTTGACCCCGTCGTCGCTCAAGACGGTCCGCTTCTCGCCCGCCGCCGCACACTCGTCAGCACCCGCGAGCCGCATCCAAGGGTTCGCCACCCCGCCGAGGACGTACAGCTCGCCGTCCCTCTTGCGCACCGCCGCCGCCAACAGCAGCGCCGCGTACGGCCTCGGCAGCAGCGCCGTCGCGACCCCGCCTCCCCAGACGGGCCAGGCCGACCAGCAGCAGCACCAGGGCCAGCAGGTGCAGCACCAGCAGTCGCCGCACTCGGCGTCCAAGCTCCGCCTGCCCCACCTCCCCGTCCAGGCCGCGCTCGCCAAGTCGTCCAGCGCCGTTCACGCCGTCCAGGACCAGCTCCACCACGCCGGCAACGTCGTGCACAGCGCCAAGCACAAGCTCGACGCGGTCCCGCTCGGGCGAGGCGAGACGGCGCGCCGGTTGAGGGTCAACGCCGTGCTCCTTGTCGCGTGGTGGGTGTCGAGCAGGACGACCGTCTACAGGTGCGTCTGCCCGTCCTCTTCTTCCTCCCCGTCGAGCACATACTGACTTGGCGCTCCCCTCGCAGGTTCGCGGCAGGCCACCTCGTCGCTGCGGCCCCACAGCTCGACACGCCCCTGCACGTCTGCGGTGCGCCTCCCTTCCTCTCTTCCTCTCTTCCACCTCTCGAGGAGCCCGACTGACTCTCGCCTCGCGCTCACAGAGACGCTCCTCCTCCTCCTCCTGTGCTACAACATCATCGACTCGCTGCGCACCCTCAACCAACTGTCGTCCCTCCCCTCGGCCTCGACCACGGTCGCGCCCATCCCTGGCGCCTCTCCCTCCCGCCCGACCGCCCTGCGCGCCGCGTCCTCCTCGTCGTCGTTCGGCACCCCGGTCCGCTCGTCGCCCAAGACGCGCGCGTCGCCCTCGCCGTTCAAGGCCGGCGCCGCCGGGTCCCCCTCGACCGCGACCGCGACGACGCCCGGCGGCTCTCGCCTGCGCGGCACGCCCCAGTCGCCCTTCCGCGCCTCGGCACTCGCGTCGCCCTCGCCCCCGACGCCCCAGACCCCGACGAGCGCGCTCCGCAGCGTCGGCGGCGGCGGCAAGGGCGCAGACGGCGAGACGGCGGCGGCGGCGGCGGCGGCGGCGCTGCGGCGCTCGCTCGGCCGGTCGGCGGGCGCGCAAGGTGCGGGCGCAGGGTCGCCGAGCGAGGGCGCGAGCGATGAGGTGAGCGTGGCGCTGCTCGCGTACGAGGCGAGGCACGCGGGCGACGTCTCGCTCGGCGGCGGTGGCGGTGGGGTCGACAGCCCGAGGTCGATCAAGGTCGAGAGCAGGGAGGACGTCGAGCGGCTGTTTGGGTCGTCGGAGCAGCAGTAGCGGTGGGCGCGGGCGCAGTCGCAGGGCTATTCATCGAGCCGAGTCTCTCTGAAAACGAGGCGTTCTGCTTCTCCTCGTGCGAGTCTCGTGAGTTCGAGAGAGACAGGAAAGAGAGAGTGTGATTGGCAACAACACAAACTGGCGCAACAATGCGAGACGATGAGAGAGAAAGGGGCGCCGAGCTACCACTGCGAGACGTCCTTGAGCCGCCACCGCCCGACGAGCCCTCGCGACCACCAGCCTCGCTGATCCTCCATGCCGCGCCCGGACCAGTCGTTGACGGCGGGCTCCTCGCCCGTCTCGAGCGGTACGGGCGCTGGCGCCGGCGGCGAGGCTGAGGATGACGACGCAGCGCGGGTCCGTGCGGCGCCGACAGGGGGAGGGTACGAGGTCGAGGCGGCTGCTGTGGGTGCTGCGGTAGGGGCAGTCGTGCGACGTGCGGCTCGAGGTTGGGGCGTCGTCGCGGTCGACGCGGTCGCCTCGTCGTCCGACGACGACGACGACGCGTCGTCCTCCCACTCCTCGCCGCCGAGCGCGCCGCCCTCCCTCGCCGCCCTCGCCCCGCTTGTCGCACCCTGTCCCTCGTCTTCCTCGTCGAGCCTCGCCCCGCCCTCGAGCTCGAACGCGGCCCTCCTCTCGCCCGGGTCCATCTCGGCTCCCTTCCGCACCCTCCCCTCGCGCGCCATGCGCCGCTCGCCGCGCTCCTTCTTGCCCCGCATCATGAGCGCCCGCATGCCCCACCCGCGCTGCACGTCCTCGGGCAGGCCGGGTGGCTTGGCCGCCTGCGCGACGGCGGCCGCGTCGTGCGCGAGCCGGAGCCGCTCGAGGAACGGCGAAAAGAGGTTGACGAGCGGCGTGTAGAAGTGGTGCGACGACGGGCGCGACGACGACATGTCGGACGAGTTCGAGTCGCTGCGAGAGGGGGCGCCGGCGGCGCTGCGGGTCGGTCGAGGCGGCGGCGTCGAGGACGAGGTTCCTGCGGCGGCGCCGGCGGAAGGTGGCGATGACAGGTCGCCATCGGCGGCGGGACGAGCCGACAGGTCGCGCAGCTCGATGGCCTCGGGCGCAGCGCTCGCCGTCGTCCCGATCGTGTCGGTGCGGCCGAACCTGCGCCGCAAGCTGCTGACGGTGCTCCTGCCAGCCGTCGTCTCGGCGCCCGTGGTCGAGCCCGCAGCGGCGGCCGCAGCGGCAGCCGCCTGCTCCTTGGCGGCCGCCTCGCGCTTGCGCTTGGCGCGGCGCTCCTCTTTGCGGCGCTCCTTGTCGCGGCGGCGCTCGACGTCCTCGGCCTCGCCGGTCCACATGCCGGCGCCGACCCACCACCAGAAGCCGACCCAGCTCTGCCACAGGAGGATGCACGTGACGACACCCGGGAGCCACCGCATGCGCTCCTCTTTGATCTCGACAAAGTTGACGGCCGTGCCGAGGACGCCGAGGACGAGGGCGAGGGCGCCGAACCCGGCCGTGCCGCCCTCAGCGCGCCAGGCGCGCGAGCGGTTGATGGTGAGCCCCCAGATGAAGAGGGCCATGGTGTACAGGAGGGTGAGGCTCGAGTTGGCCGTGTTGCGGATCGCGTCGCCGAGGTCGTTGACGGCGGCCGACGGCGACAGGGCGGTAAAGTACAGGCCGGCGACGGCGACGGCGAGCGGGCCGAGGAGGCCGAGGATGAGGCGCGCCTCGAGGGCCGAGGGGAAGAGCATGGTGAGGAACTGGATGTGGGTCGAGTGGGTCGCGAGGGCGCTCAGGCCCTGGAGGAGGCACCACGCGCCGCGCTCGGCCTGCGACCAGCTCTTCTTGGGAAACGATACCTCGACTGTGTGGGGCGCGTGCGGCTCGAGTCAGTCAAGGCTGGGAGCGCCTGAGAGGCGAGAGGGAGAGATAGAGAGAGGAGGACGGACTGTAGTCGAACATGAAGGGCCAGCTGCGACCGGTGCCGTACAGGTTGTTCATGACGATGTGGAGCTGTGCGGCGACGTTGGCGAGCGAGAGGCCGGTTGCCGACGTCTGGAGGGCGTAGTTGACGCGGTTGAGCGGGGCGTGGTACCGGATGGTGAACAGGAGGTGGACGAAGAGCATGCTGAGGAGGGTGATGGTGACGCCGAGGATGACGACCTGGACGGGCATGGCGTAGGTAAAGTCGGGCAGGGCCGCTGTGGGTGCGAGAGAGACGCGGTCAGGATGACTGTCGCGAGAGGAGGCGAGGGGGAGGAAGAGCGGCGGCGCACCGAGAAGAGGGTCGTCGAGGCCATCGGCTGCCTCGTCGTGGTTCTGTGCGACGAGCGACTGGACGGCACTGTTGCAGGGGGAACAAGGTGAGTGACCAAAGATAGGTGTGGGCGACGGCGGGGGGAGAGGACGCACGCCGTGAGGGAGGGGAGGAGGGACGAGGCGGTGGCATTGGGCGACTGCTCGACGAGCGAGGCGAGGAAGGCAGAGACGTGCGGGTCTGTCCAGTTGACGGTGGCACTCATGCCCCGTGCGGACGCCGCCCTCGTCGTGGTCGGGCGGGTGAGGCGACTCGCGGGGTTGATGAGGAAGGCGACGGCGTAAGGGGGCGGCGACGGCGGCGGGCGAAGTGGGACCGGCGTGTGGGTGTCCTGGGTGGACGTGCGAGTGCAGCAAGGGTCGCAAGGGACCGGCTCGAGGGGAGCGCGATGAGCGGGAGGAGCGCGAGCCGAACGAGGCCTCGCCCCCCGTTCTCCTCCCCGCCAACGCCTCTCTCTCCGCCTCGACAGCACCGCCGAGCACGCTTGCACTCGCTGCAGGTACACCGGCAAGCCACCGACAAGCACTGCGCCGCGACTCGCACCCCGCCACCCACTCTCGTCGCCCGTTCGTCAGCCGCCAGCACCGCCTCGCTCCAACTACCTCGGTCCCCGCCGACCCGCGAGCAGCCACGGGCCAGCGCACCATGGCCGACTCGAACCCGCCCCAGTACTCGGCAGCGGCCACGGCGACCGTTCCGCAGGTTCTCGTCAACCTCGCCCCGTCCACCGACTCGGACACCGCCTCGTTCCAGCTCGGCTTCCTCGGCCACGGCCCGGCCTACGTCGCCGGCGAGGTCCAGGTCAAGTACACGGGCATCGGAGACGTCGACGCGCGGCCGGCCTTCCGCCGCCTCGACGTGTGCTTGCGCGGCGTCGAACGAGGCGCCAACCCGCACGACGAGCCCATCGAGCTGTTCGACCAGCGCCAGGTCCTGTGGGGCGACGGCGCCGCGGGCACCAGCTCGGCAGGAGCTGCCACCACGAGCGGCGAGGCGTCGTTCCCGCCGAGCGTCAACTCGTTCAAGCTCGAATTGACCTCGGACCTCCCCGTCTGCGTCCACGCGCCGCCCTCGTCCTCGCTCGCCTACACCCTAACCGCCACCCTCTACCCTGCCGACCCCGACGCGCTCCCCCTCGTGCGCTGTCACCCCGTCCACCTCGTCCGCACCTCGCCCCCGGGCTCCCTCCCCGCCGGCACCTCTTCGCCCCGCACCGTCTCTGCGACCTCGCCCCTCGCCTTCAGCGTCCGCCTGCCGCGCACCTCGTTTCGCCGCAGCGAGCCCATCGAGCTCACGACCCGCATCGAGGTGCCCGACGCCAAGGCCGTCGGCGAGGGCCTGCGCCTGCGCACCGTGAGCGCCGAGCTCGTGCGCACCATCACGGGCATCGCCGTGTCGCCCTCGCGTGCGCCGAGCGCAGACGACGACGAGGGTCGGCTCGAGCTCGAGCCGCAGGTGCACCGCACGGTCCTCGCGCACTCGGGCAAGTCGGCGCGCTTTTCGCCCTCGCGGCCGATCATCATCCGCCTCGTGCTCCACCCGCCGACCGAGCCGTCGTGCGAGTCCATCACGCAGGTGCGCCTCTCTCTCTCTCTCTCTCCGTTCCCTTCTCTCGGTCGCGTTCCTCGCTCACTCTTGTCCGTCTCGCGCATGCAGTCGTCCATCCTGCACACCGTCTCGTTCGCCGTCGTCGTCACGATCGGCCTCGTCTCGGCGCGCCCCTCCTCGTCAACCCGAGCTGCATCGCCTCTTCCCGACGCCGTCCTCTCGCAAGACGTCGTCATCCTTCCCGACTCGCCGCCGGCCTCGCGCTCCGACAAGCAGAAGGAGGTCGACCGTGAGCAGTACACGGCAGCACCACCGCCGCCGGTCGACGCACCTTGGGCGTCGCAGGACGCACCCGTCCCGACGTACGTCGAGCGGTCCGAGCACGACCTCGGCGAGCCGCCTGCCTCGGGCTCGTCGACGTCGGCCTGGTCCTCGTCCTTGCACCACGACTTTGGCGCCTCGCCCTCGTCGTCGTCCTCGGCGGGCATCCTCGTCGACATGCCGTACGCGGTCGTGTACCCGACCGACGGCGACGAGGACGAGTACGACGGCTACGAGGAGCTTTCGCTCCCCGCGACGTTGTCGACGCGCCTTCCGCCGCCGGCCATCGACGAGGACGTGAGCCCACCCTCGGTCGGCGAGCCGTCGAGTGTCGCAGGACTCGCGCTCGCGGCGGCGATGGGCGGCTTGATCGACGAGCGGGACGAGGACGGTGCCGACGAGGGCGAGACGCCGCCGCCGGACGACTTTGCCGCCTATACAGCGAGCTCGTCACCGCCGCCGCCACTGTCGCCTCGCGCAGGCGAGCGCGAGGAGGGTGCGCCGCCGCCGTCGTTCGAGGCGCGCCCATCCCGCGAGCTTCCTCCACTACTCCCTCATCCTCATTCCGACCCGCCAACCGAGCCCGCCTCTCCTCCTCCTCACATCGACTTCCACCCTCTTCCGCCTCCTGTACCACTCCCACTCCCTGTCGGCGTACCATCCACCCCGCCAGAGCACCTCGCCGCCTCGACCACCGCCGAGGACGACCTTCCCCCACCTGTCTCGCCGGCAGGCCTCACGCGCCGAGGCCTGCCGCCCCCTTACTTTGGCGGCTCGCCACCGCCGCCGCACTCGGGACCGCTCACGCCGCCGCCGCCGCCGCCGCCCGGCGCGCTCGGCACCGTAGCACACGACGAGCCGCACCCGGCGGGGCGTGCGCTCGACAGCTCGGCGCCTGTGCGCGTGCGTGTACCGTCGTCGTCTGGCTCGGCGGGCTCGACTGTTGACGGAGCGGGAGTGAGTGCTGGAGCGGCGTTGCGGCACGAGCAGGGAGCGGTCGGCGAGCGGGACGGGCAGGTGGACGAGGGACTCGAGCTGGACGGGCGGCCGCCGCCGTACGAGCAGCGGGACGCGGCGCTCGCAGCGACGAGGGGGCGTGCGGGCGACGAGAGTGGGAGGATGGGCGAGCTGGTGCTGTAGCTTGAGCGGGGCGAGCGCAATCGAGCGTGCCCTCGAACGACCGTTTCTCTCACGTTGCACGCTCTCCCTCACTTTGTCTCTCGCCTGGATCGTCCCACGAGTAAAGAGCCTCGTCGCACGAGAGTAGACAACAGCTGCGTCGTTGCAAAGGGAAACTAGAACTCGCGGAAGTCGCGCGAGCGCTCGGAGCGCACCCTCCGTGCTGCGACGGCCGCTTCCCGCTCGAGCCTGGGTGCGAGAGAGGCGAGGGTCAGTGACGCGTTCGACGAGGTCGTCGAGAGAGGAGGCGAGAGTGGGCGCACCTGTCCTGCTTGGCCCGCAGGCCGTCCTTGCCCGCCATGCCGAGGACGCCAGCAATGAGCTCGACGGCCCTCGGGCTGTCGTCGTTGGCCGGGATGGCGTACGTGACGCTGCGCGGGTCGAGGTCGGTGTCGATGATGCCGATCGTCGGGATCTCGTTGGCCGTCGCCTCGCGAAGAGCGTGGCGGTTCAGGGTCGGGCTCAGGAGGACGAGGAGGTCGGGCTTGAACGCGAGCGGGCTCGTCGCGCGCTGCTGGTCCCGGTCGCCGCTCGACTGCTTCGAGGCCGGGATCTCGCACCAGCCAAACACCTCGCGCGCGTTCGAGATGGTGCCGGGGAGCCACTTTGTGACGCCGAAGCCGTTGTCGCCGAGGCGCTTGGCGTTGTCCCACACGGCGCGCTCGGCGCCCTTGAGGCTGCCGACAAACAGGACGCGGCCGTCGCGCTCGACGACGCCCTTGACGACCTGGGCGGCGCGGCGCAGGGCGGGGAGGGTCTGGCGCAGGTCGATGTACGAGACGCCGGTGCGGGTGCCGTACACGAGCGGGAGGGCGGCGCGGTGCGTGTTGGCCGGCGAGTGGCCGAGGTGGGCCCCGGCGGCGACGAGGTGCGAGGTGGTGACGGCGGGAGGCGCAGGAGGGCGGTGCAGCGAGTGGTGCGGCTGGAAGGTCGTGTCGCGGTTCTGCGTCGAGCCGAGCTTGGTGAAGACGTCGGCTGCGGTCATGGATCCAGAGTCAGAGTCGACACGGTGCTCGCACACGCTCCTCGGCTGCTCGCTGCAGAGCCGGGAAAAAGCGCCGGGAGGGAGAAGGGGACGAAGGAGGAGGAGAGGGACGGACCCGTGTGGCGCTCTGCCCTGCGCTGCTGGACCTTTTGGAGCATGGCGTTGTAGGCCTCATCTTGTGCGCGCTGCTTGGACGACGAGGCTTGCGGGAGGGGCGAGGCGGATGAGGACGAGGACGAGGTAGCTGCTGCCGAGTGGACAGCGCGACGGGGGGTGGCACGGGTGGCGGTGGAGCAAGCAGATGCTGCTGCGCGTGCTGCTGGTCCTCGTGCTGCGCTCATCGTGGGCGGTGCTGCGGTGTGGGAGTGGGAGCGACAGCTCGTCGCACGAAAGAGATGGGAGAAACGGGCTCTCATCGTGGAGCTGCACTCGCTGCGCCAGTAATTCTTTCACGCTACCGAACGTAGTTCAGCCTTTGTCACACTGCATTCAGAGGCCGAGACGACGAGGAGAAGTGCGGCTCGCTGAGGTCGAGGAGGAGGAGGAGGCGGCCACGGCCCTGCTGCTCCTCACCACGCCCGACTGGCACCAGTCGACACCAGCGACCTCACACCAGCACTCGCACACACCACCACCGCCACCAGCCTCAGCAGCAGCGTCCCTCGTCGCTTTGCTCGCCCTCCCACTTGCTCCCCCTCCTCCTCCTCCTCATCACTTCGCACTCGCCTCGTCCAGCGACTGTACCCCGCTTGCCAGTCCTCGCCCACCATGTCCAACTGGCAGGCAGATCCCCTCCACCCCATCGCCGTCCTCGGTGCGCTCGCCTCTCCCTCGCACCTCTCCACGAGCCAACACTGACGCTCTCCCTCGCCCCGCATGTCCTCTCCCTCACCAGTCGACGAGTTGAGGGCCGAGGACGTCACCCTCCGCCTCAACGCCATCCACCGCATCTCGACCATCTGCATCGCCCTCGGCCCGGAGCGCACCCGCGCCGAGCTCCTCCCCTTCCTCCAAGAGTCGCTCGACGACGACGACGAGATCCTCGTCGCCCTCGCAGAAGAGCTCGGCGCCCCCTTTGTCGAGTACGTCGGCGGACCCGACCACGCCCACACCATCCTCCCGCTCCTCGAGCACCTCGCCGGCGTCGAGGAGACGCTCGTGCGCGACAAGGCCGCCCAGTCGGCCAACGCCGTGTGCAACCTCCTGTCGCAGGACCAGGTCGACGAGTACTTTGTCCCGCTCGTCCGTCGCCTCGCGACCGGCGAGTGGTTCACGTCGCGCACCTCGGCCACGGCCCTCTTCGCCGCCGCGTACCCGAAGGCGACGAGCCCGGTCCAGGACGAGCTCATCAAGATGTTCTCCAAGCTGTGTGACGACGACACGCCCATGGTCCGGCGAGCGTCGGCAAAGGAGCTCGGCGCGTTCGCCAAGAAGCTCCCGCACGACCAGCTCATCCAGGACCTCCTCCCCGCCTTCCGCAAGCTCGCCGGCGACGACCAGGACTCGGTCCGCCTCTTGACCGTCGACGCCATGATCGCCATCGCCGAGCAGCTCAACGAGGTCGAGTGCAAGTCGCTCCTCGGCCAGTCGATGAAGAGCCTCGTCACGGACCGCAGCTGGCGCGTGCGGTACATGGTCGCCGACCACTTTATCCAGCTCGCAAAGGCGGCCGGCCAGGACATCGTGCGCGAGGACCTCGTCGCGGCGTTCGTCTCGCTCCTCAAGGACCAGGAGGCCGAGGTCCGCACGGCGGCGGCAGGCCAGATCCCCGGTACGCTCACTCTCCCTCGTTCCTCTCGCGCTCTCAGAAGGGCCTCGTCCACTGACTCTTTCGTACCTGCGCGCCTGCAGGGTTCGCCGAGCTCACCGACCGCGACACGATCCTCGCCCGCCTCCTCCCCTGCATCCGCGACCTGTCGACCGACCAGTCGCAGCACGTGCGTGCCGCCCTCGGGTCGCAGATCTCGGGCCTCGCGCCGCAGCTCGGCAAGGACGCGACGATCGAGCACCTCCTCCCCCTGTTCCTCCAGCTCCTCAAGGATGAGTTCCCCGAGGTCCGGCTCAACATCATCTCGAAGCTCGAGGTCGTCAACAACGTGATCGGCATCGAGCTCCTGTCCAAGGCGCTGTTGCCGGCCATTGTCCAGCTCGCCGAGGACAAGCAGTGGCGCGTGCGGCAGGCCATCATCGAGTACATCCCGCTCCTCGGCAAGCAGCTCGGCGTCGACTTTTTCGACGACCAGCTCGCCAACCTGTGCATGGGCTGGCTCGGCGACCCGGTCTTCTCGATCCGCGAGGCGGCAACCATCAACCTGCGCAAGCTCACCGAGGTGTTTGGCGTCGGCTGGGCCAAGGAGACCATCATCCCCAAGGTCGTCGAGATGGGCCAGAACGTCAACTACCTGTACCGCATGACGACCGTCTTTGCCATCACCGTGCGTCCCACCTCTCTCTTCGTCCTTGGTACCCTGCACGAGCGCCGTGACTAACTGGCTCTCGCCCTCGCCGCAGACGATGGCGCCCGCGCTCGACGTCGACTCGATTCGGACCTCGATCCTCCCCTCGGTCGAGACGCTTGCCGCCGACCGCATCCCCAACATCCGGTTCAACGTCGCCAAGGCGTTCGAGGTCCTGTCGGCGTCGCTCGCGTCGCAGCCCGGCGGGCCCGACCTCGTCAAGGAGTCGCTCCTGCCGAGCATCGAGAACCTGCTCGGCGACCCGGACGCCGACGTCAGGTTCTTTGCCGAGAAGGCGGCCGAGAAGGCGAGGGCCGTCGCCAACGGCGAGACGCAGGCCGTCAGCGAGGAGGTCGTCATGACCGATGCATGAGCGGGCGCGCGCTCTTTCCTCCCCTCTCCTCCTCTCCTCCTCGTGCACCCCGTCGTACCGTCCCTACCACATAGTCGATCACCCTCTCTCTCTCGCACGAGCTCCGCGCTCTCTCTCTCTCTTTGGCGTACCGCCCTCCCTCCTCGAGTCTTTAGTTCTTTCCTCCCCCTTGCGCTCTCCCTCGCGCCGTTCTCGATCCTCCCAAGACTGTGAATTACGATAAAAGCCATGTGCTGTACCCTCCCTTGCGCGTTGTCCTTCTGTGAGCGACGAGGAAGAGAATGCGAGGTCGAGCGAGAGGAAAGCCTCGCTGCGAGGAGCGGCGGCGGCCCGTGCGTCGCGGTGTCGTCGAGCGCAGGGCTTCCGAACGGCTCGCTTTTCTCTCTCTATGTGTACGGCCACGAGAACGGCGCTTCACGTGCGTTACGGCACGAGCTGCTCGCAGGACTGGCTCGAGGAGCAAGTCGCGGAGGAAGACGAGCTTTCCGCCGCACACACGCATCCGGTCGCTCCCTCTCGCTCAGGACGCACCCGCACACACCCAGGGAGAGCGCTCGTAAGGATGCGGGCCAGCAGGAAGAGCTACTCTCGGGTCGCTCCTCGTCCGAGTCGAAGGAGAAGGGCAGGAGGCCAACTTGCGCTCGACACGACAAAGCTCGGGAAACGCGCTCGATTGCACCGCAGACATGTCCTCGTTCGATCCGGCGCGAGCAGAAGGCCCCAACCCTGCTAGATCAAGAGATAGCGTTTGAGCGAGGGTGCGCAGGATCCCCCTGTCTTTAGTAGGTGGCCGGGCGTACGGGCGCTCCGCAGGGGTGCGCGCCGTGCGAGCGGCTCACCACAGTGCGCCCGCTGCCCTCAGGGGCACGTGAGGGCGGGCGCAGCCTCGTAAAGACCCGTCCGCGACGGCTCGACTCGCTGAGCCGCCGGGACGAGTGCGACGACGAACGAGAACTCTCAACGGTCCGGGAACGCTTGCGAGGGATGAGGAGAGCGTTCGGACAGGGAAGAGCGCCGTCGCGCGGCCCAGGAAGGGCGCGAGGGGAAGCTTTCGAGGCCGAGAAGGGGGAGGTGCCATCGAGGGCGCGATTAACCTGCGGCGCGAGGTCGAGAGGGTCAGTGCGCGGGTCGGCGAGGAGCACAGACCTACATGAAGGTCCTGCAAGGAAGAGAGAGTGCGCGCAGGACGTACAAAGGACAACATGAGCCGCCTCGAGGTTGAGAGCCCGCCTCGTGCCGCCCAGAAGACCGCCTTGCCCGCCTTGCGCGGGCGTTCCGCCTGTAAGGTGACCGAGTCAGTCCATCGAGACCTCTGCACCGCGTCGCGAGGTGGCAGAGGCGGCGAGGGGAGAGGGAGAGGGGTGCCGAACACCGAGAGGCGGGGAGGAGGTGGACGCACCAGTCGCCCACAGCCCGCACAGCGCGGTCGCCTGACCCAGTAGTCTCCTTGATGCTGCGATAGTCATCGGCGACTATGCCCACAGGCCCATGAACCGTTACCGCCAGTCGAGAGAGGTCGGACGACGCGAGTTCCTGATGAAGATGCGACGCGCCCTGCGCCGACGGCGAGCGCTCGCAGTGCTGCGCATGAAGCAGAAGAATGATGCCGAGATGTGCAGGTACCGACTCGGGCCAGTCTGAGCGAGCCCAGTCGTGAGGGCCGAAAGGTGGGAGCGGGAGGAGGGACGCGAGTGCCGAGCAGACCTTGAAATCAATCCTGCGCTGTCCACAGCAGTCGCCGCGCTTTCTCCTGCTTCGAGAGTGCTCTCAGTGCTGTACAGAGTGGCCTCGCCGACCGGCAGACCGACAGGAAGAACGCGCTCGGCCCGGACCTCGACCGACTCGAAGACCCAGCCGAGGAGGCCAGCTCGCGCTCTACACGACAAAATAACTCGGGAAACGCGCTCGATTGCACCGCAGACACCTCCTCGATCGATCTGGCGCAAGCAGAAGGCCGTAACCCCGCTAGATCAAGAGATGGCGTTTGAGCGAGGGTGCGCAGGATCCCCCTGTTTTTAGTAGGTGGCCGGGCGCACGGGCTGGCCGCGAGGGGCGCTGCCGTGCGCAACGGCTCACCGGGGTGCGCCCGCTGCCAACCGAGGGCAAAGAGGGCGGGCGCGGCCTCGTCAGACCCGTCCTCGACGGCTCGGCTTGGTCGGCCGCCGGGACGAGTAACTTTCACAGGGCGGGCAGCTTGGTCCTCCGGGGCCCGCCCATATCCTACATAAAGCTCCTTGCCGTCGACAGGAGCCATCGAGGGGCGCAGGAAGGGTACGGGGGAGAGCTTTCGGGGACGAGAAGGAGGGGATGCCATCAAGGGCTCGACAAAGCTGCAGCGCATGATCGAGAGGGTCAATGCGCGGCTCAAGGGACGGCGGTACGCCGTGTGTGGGTCCTCGGGCAAAGAATGAGAGCGAGAGGGACGTACAAGGATCTAGATGAACCGGCGCGAGGTCGAGAGCGAGTCGCCCGCCGCGAGAATCTCTGACTGCCCACCCTGCGCGGCCGCCCAGCCTGCAGAGGGACCATGTCAGCTTCCAGAACTGCCCTGTATGCGTCGCGAGGCGGCGGCGAGGGCGAGAGACGAGGGAGAGGGTGGCCAAACAGAGGGAGGCGGGGAGGACGAGGACGCACCTGCTGTCCAATGCCCGCAGAGCCCTGCCGACCTGCCCAAGCCGCTCCCTGCACCTCCTCAGTCCTCGACGAGCGCGCCCACGAGTCCACGAGTCGTTGTCGAGGGGCGAGAGTGGTCGACCGACGCAGCTGGCTGATGAAGGCGCGAGTCGCCCTGCGCGGTCGGCAAGCGCGAGCGAGGGTGCGAGCCTTGATGCAGGCGGTTGCCGAAGTATGTTGGAGCGCAGCTGTGCGTCCACAGGTCGCCCATGCTCAGCGAGGGGGAGCGGGTGAGGGGGAGTCGAGAGCTGGCTCGTCGTCGCCTCGTCTCCTGTGCTCAGATGCTCATGCTCGCTCAGCGCTCACAACCACGACCGCCATGACCTCGACACCCGCCGCCCTGTGCCTACCTGCTGCATCTGTCCTCGTCGACGACGTGGACGAGGAGGTGCGCTCCCCTTCCTCCTCTTCTCCCTCTCCCTCGTCGCCTCGCCTACAGAACTGAACGTGCGCCCTAATCGACACGCAGCTCTTCCTCGTATACACGCGCAAGATCCAACTGGCTTCGTCGAGCAACGACGAGTCGACGGCGGCCAACACGAGCGCTCTCGGCTACCTCGAGGGCAAGGACGGCGTCGTCCACGTCGCCCTCACGGTCAAGGCGCCTGCTGCGACCGAGGCGCAGACCTCGAGGACGGGCGCGCGCAGGAGAGCGATCAAGAGCAAGTCCAAGGAGAGCCAGGAGCTCGTCGTCGAGGTCGAGGTGCATCAGGCGTTGGACGCGCTGCGGCATCGCAAGGGCGACACGGGTCCGTCTCCCGCTCTCGACACATTCTCAGATTTCCATCTGACTCTGCTTGAGTGCGCAGGATCTGTGCTCTGGCGCTCGAGGTGCGTCTGCCCGTCTCGTCTCAACCCCACGAGCCGAGCCATCTTTCTGTCAAGCCTTGCAGCTCACTGACCCTTCCTGTACCCTCTCGCAAAAGCCTGCACCTCGCGGAATATCTTCTGCAGGCGCACCACTTCCCCTCGATGTCGAACCCGCCACTCTTCCCCTCCCTCGCCTCCTCGACCATCCTCGAACTCGGCGCCGGCACCGGCTTCCTCGGCCTCGCTCTGCGTTCCATCTGGGGCGACAGCGGTCGATGGGTCTTCAGTGACCTGCTCGACAACCTGCTGCTCGTCGTGCGCAACCTCAAGGCCAACGACGTGCTGCCCTCGAGCTCGAGCGGCTCGAGCGCGTCTTCCTTAGCCGGACCGCCCGGCCGCACCGCGTCAAGGCGGCCCGGCGCGCGGCCTGCAGGAGCCTCGAACCCGCGAGTCGACGTCGTCGAGCTCGACTGGCTCGTCGAGGCCGCAGCCTGGGACGCCCGCCCTGGCTCGCTCTTTCCCCCCTCCTCTCCCTCGTCCTCGATCGGCGCAACCGCCGCCGCATCGCCCTCGAGCCCCCTCGACCATCCTCCCGACCTCATCCTCGCCGCCGACTGCGTCTACAACCCCTGCCTCTCAGCGCCCTTCGCCAAGACGCTCCTGCGGCACGCCGGACCCGACACGGTCGTCCTCGTCGCGTGCGAGCTGCGCGACCAAGAGCCGATCGACGAGTTCTTGCGGGCGTGGGTCACGCTCGGGGAGAGGGACGGGTGGAGGGTTGCGAGGCTCGGGTGGAGCGAGGAGAAGGGGGACGGCGCGAGGGACGAGGTCGAGGGGATCAAGCGGGGCGAGTTTGCCGTGTGGGTCGGGTGGCGAGTGAGCGACGACGAGGATGCAACGTGATGGTCACTCGACCCCTCTTGAGAGCACGACGAGCTGCTCTCGTCCTCCTCAGCCGCGAGAGAAAGAGAGATCGTGCACAGCAAGTTTCGTCATTTCCAAGGTTCTTCTCCGACGAGCGCGGTCTATGTCTACAGCAGCGCCCATCTCTACGCTACGCAAACTGCTTCTCGATCTCGACGAGCGCGTCGACGGTCGAAAGGAGCGTCTCCTCCCAGCCGATGAACGAGTCGAACCCGAGGTTGGCCTTTGCGAGCGACGTGTCGAGCGTGGCGATGGGCTTGCCGGCGTCCTTGTACTGGTCGGGCGAGGCGGGAAGGGTCGGGAGGCGCGAGCGGAGAGCTGGGCGCTGCGAGGCGAGGTAGCTCGTGGCCTGCGCAAGGTAGAGAAACAGGGTGAGTTGGCGTGTCGACTACGGCGAGAGGGAGAGGGGCAGACGCACGTCCTCCCAGGTGAACGAGCCGCCGCAAATGAGGAACTGTGGGCGTGCGTCGAGGTGTGTGAGCGACTCGTCGTGAAGGAGAGAAAGGCGAGGTCCGAGCGCCGGAGCGAGAAAGAGGAGGACGCACCCGCTTGCCAGCCACCTTGTCGTCGTCGGCCTCGAGAGCGCGCACATGGGCCGTCGCGACGTCGGCGACGTGCGCAAACAGCGGCAGGCGGTTCCACGGTACGTCGCGGCCCTCGTCGCCGTTGATGAGGGCGTAGATGGCGGCCGACGACGTGTTGACCTCGTCGCGGCTCGCGATCTTCTGTAGCGGCGGGCCATAGATCATGGGCGGGTTGATCGAGCTCAGGACGAGGCCGTGTTGGGCGGCGAACTCGTGGGCGGCCTTCTCGGCGAGCTTCTTGGACAGCGAGTAGACGGCGGGAGGCGGCAGGTCGTGCACGTCGTCGAGCGTTGCCGGGTTCCAGTCGTCGGCCGTGTACGTGTAGTCGCGCCACTGCGGGCGTGAGCATGGGTCAGCATGTGCGCGGGCAGACGAGGCCCGCGCGAAAGAGACGACGGACCGGTCCGCCGTCGGGCAAGCTCGTCACGGCGGCGAACGACGACGTGATGACGACGTGCTTGATGCCCTCGTCCTGCGTACGTGGATGCGCGTGAGTGAGAAAGTATCGCGCGCTCGATGCGGACAGAGGGCGCACCTTTGCGGCCTTGAGAACCGAGAGCGTGCCCTTGACGGCCGGGTCGATGAGGTCCTTGATCGGGTCGGTGATGTTAAACGTGTACGGGCCTGTGCGAGGAGGAAGTCAGCTGTCGTGTCGAGGGCACAGGGAGCTGTGCAGGGACACGGTCGGGTCGAGAGAGCGAGAGGACGGGTGAGCCGACGCACTGGCGGTGTGGGCGACGGCGTCGCAGCCCTTTACGGCGTCTTCGAGGCCCTCGCCCGTGACGAGGTCGGGGACCTGGACAAAGGTGAGCTTATCGGCGTGGTCGGGGTAGCGCTCGATGAGGTGGTTGGCCTTGGCGAGCGAGCGGACGGTGCCCTTGACGGCCCACCCGGCGTTGAGGAAGGCGTCGATGACCTGTGTGTGGGGAGGGGTGTCAGGTGGTGGGCTCAAGGGCAGAGATCGCAGAGGACTGGGCGAGGCAGGGACGGACGTAGGAGGCGACGAAGCCGGAAGCACCTGGAGGTTGCGAGATGTCGGGTGAGTCGGAGACTGGGGGTGAAGGCAGACGCGCGAGGGGGTGGGGAGGGAGGTGGGAGGGACTTACCGGTGACGAGGACGGTCTTGGTGGGCATGGCGAGCTTGTAGAGGGGCAGCGAGAAGAGCGAGGGCGAGGAGAGCACACCAAGTGGGGAGAGCGCGGGCGGGCCGAGTCGCCTCCCCTCGAGCTCACCACCATCTCTCCGGACCTCTCGTCCAACCTCCTCCTGACGCCCACCATGTCGTCCGACCACGACCAGCCCGCCGCCAAGCGCATCCGCCTCGACGACCACCAGCCTCCCGCCGCCCCCGCAGCTCCACAGCCCGCCGCGGCCTCGACCCCCTCCTCCTCGTCGAGCAACCTCATCTCGTCCTTCTTCCACCAAGACGCACCGGGCCTCTTTGGCGTCCTCGCCAACTCGCTCGGCAAGCGCGCTGCCACCGAGGACGAGGTCGGCATCACCCGCTTCATCGCTCCCGAGGTCGAACCCTTCTCGGCCATCATCAAGCACCGGTTGAGCTCTCTTCCCTCGGCCCTTCGTTCTTCCTGATCCCAAGCTGACTCGTCCTCTCCCTCCCGCAGCTTCACCGACTTTCTCGTGTACGAGGTCGGCCTCGACGGCGAGGTCGTCCGCCTCAAGGACATCGACGGCCCGGGCAAGAAGCGCGACCAGCTCAACAAGGACGACGCCAAGCCCGACGCCGCCGCTTCTCCAGCTCCGGCCGATGCGCCAGCAGCGTCCGCGGCTCCCGGCGAGAACAACGAGCGCACGCCAGCAGACACGGCGCCGGCGGCGTCAGAGCCTCCCAAGGTCGTCGACAAGGTCCGTCCCTTGCTCTCCTTCTTCTCCTCGCCTTCCCTCCTCGCCATACGTGCACTGACCTCGGCCCCCTCGCAGCCTGTCGCACTGTGGAACGAGACGTCTGCCGCCGCTGTCGCCCCCCTGTTCGAGGCGTCGACGACCAAGCTCGACGAGTTCAAGGCGTTCATCGAGGCGGGCCCTGGATCCGCCAAGGACAAGCGTACCTTCGTCTCGGACGTACGTCCTCCTTTTTCTCTCTCCTCTCTCGGTCACACCGGGCGGGCGAGGCTCACCTACTCCTCGTCCTCGCGCAGCCCATCCCCGACAAGGCGCTTCGCGGCACGTTCCACAAGACGCTGCGCGAGGCCTTCTCGTCCAAGCTCGTATCGGCGCACAAGGAGAACGAGGGCGGCGAGCCGTCGATTGAGGTCGCGTGGGTCAAGGCCGGGACGGCGACTCGCGACAAGAAGCACAAGGGCGCAAAGGGCGAGCGTGGTGCGTCCTCCTCACCTTCTTGCCCCCCTGTCCCGTCACCCTACTGACGCCTCGTCCTTCCTCTCGCAGTCGAGCGTCCGGACCTGTCGACCCTGCCGCCGTACATCCACTTTACGCTCCTCAAGGCCAACAAGGAGTCGCACGACGCCCTGTCGACCCTGAGCCGCTACTTCAACCTCACGTCGACCCGCGACCTCGGCATGGCCGGTACCAAGGACAAGCGCGCCGTCACGGTGCAGCGCGTCAGCCTCAAGCGCTCGGGCCGCATGCAGACGGCCGACGACGTGTGGCGTGCGGCCCGCACCGGCGGCGGCGGCGGCGGTGGGCGCGGCGGACGAGGCGGGCGCGGTGGACGAGGTGGGAGGGGCGGCGGGTGGGGCGGCGGCGGCGGCTTCATCGACCGCAACATCCGCATCGGCGACGTCGGGTACGGCGACCGCGCGCTCGAGCTCGGCCAGCTCGCCGGCAACAAGTTCGTCGTCACGTTGCGCGACGTCAAGACGCCGTCGATCGCGACCCTGCACGCGTCGATGAGCGCCATCCGGGCGCACGGGTTCGTCAACTACTACGGCATGCAGCGTTTCGGGACGGCGCCCGTCCCGACGCACGCCGTCGGCCTCGCGCTCCTGCGCGGCGAGTGGGCGCTCGCCGCCGAGCTCATCCTGTCGGCTCGCGACGGCGAGCACGACGACATGCTGTACGCCCGCCACCTGTGGCGCGAGGGCAAGGTCGGCGAGGCGGCGAGGGCCATGCCGAGGAGGGCAGTCGCTGAGCGCTGCTGTGCGTCCCTCTCTCCCTCTTTCGCTCCCGAACCGCCGTACTCATCGTCCTCGTCGCACAGTGCTCGAGTCGTACCAGCGCAACGGCGTCTCGAACCACCTCGGCGCCATCTCGACCGTGCGCTCGAACCTCGCCCCCTCCTCTCACTCGACGAGTCACTCACGCTCGCCCGTCACCGCCCGCAGATCCCCAAGAACCTGCGCCTCATGTACGTTCACGCGTGGCAGTCGTACGTCTGGAACCGCGTCGTGAGCGAGCGCGTCAAGCTGTTCGGCGCCAAGCACCCGGTCGAGGGCGACCTCGTCTACGCCGACGGCGAGGGCGCCGAGGACGAGCCCGTCGCGGTCGACGAGGACGGCGTCGTTGCACCCGAGGCTGCAGACGGCGAGGCGCCGAGCGAGGAGGCCGCCGTCGAGGTCGAGCCGTCGGGCACGACCGCCGCCGCCGCCTCGAACCCGCAGCTCGCCCACTTCATCGCGACGTCCAAGGTCCGCAAGGTGCGCGCCCTGACGGCCGACGACATCGCGTCGGGCGCCTTTACGATCTACGACGTCGTCCTGCCCATGCCCGGGTTCGCCGTCAGCTACCCGGCGGGCGAGCTCGGCGACGTGTACAAGCGCGTCATCCGCGAGGACGGCATCGACCCGGACGACATGTGGCGCAAGCAGAAGGAGTACTCGCTCGTGCGTCCTGCTCCCGCCCTTTCTCCTTTCCTCTCTCGAGCCTCGAGCCAGAGCGTGACTGACAGTCCTCTCGCTCGCAGGGTGGCGCCTACCGCAAGATCGTGCACCTGCCCAAGGACGTCACGTACCGCCTCCTCGTCTCGACGTCGCCCAACGAGGACCTCGCCCAGTCGGACGAGGACGCGCTCCTCGGGCGCGCCAAGCCCGCCGCGCGCGAGTACCGCGAGGAGGACGGCCCGCTCGCCGAGGGCGAGAGCCTCGCCATGCAGGTCGAGCTCACGCTCGGCTCGTCCACCTGTGCGCCCCTGTCCTCTCACCCTCCCTCTCTCGTCCCTGGCTCTGCGCCGCAGCTCACGACCCGGACGAACGCCCGCAGATGCGACCATGGCGCTGCGCGAGGTCCTCAAGTCGCGCACGAGCGCCGCCAACCAAAAGTCGCTCACGCAGCAGATGGAGGCGCGCCTCGAGCAGCAGGGGCAGGCGCAGGAGCGGGCGCAAGCCGAGGCCGAGGAGGTCAAGGACGTCGAAATGGCGTAGCGCTCGCCCGACTTGCATGACAGCGTGACTCGCTCTCTACTCGAGAGACTCGAGAGTTCGTGAGCGCGACCGCAGCGACGTGCAAGCGGTCGCAGAAGTTGTGCGACGACGTGACCTTCTCAAGTTCGTAGTCACCCGGCCACGCTCTCGCCACCCTCGCGCTCGGCCGCTTCGAGAGCGAAACTCACGCTCGTTCGGCGAGCGAGTGCAGTCAATGGCTCGAGAGAAACGAGTGGAGCTAAGCTTGTGGCCGTCCCGGCGCTGCCGAGTTGCAGGAGACGCAAATTCAGCCCTCGGCCGGGAGCGCGTTACCGAAAAAAGGAGGCTCTCGCGGCAAGCGCAGGCGCTTGACGAATTGTCCGAGGAGCCGGTCGAACGGGCGGCGAGCGGAAGCGGAGAAGGTCGAAGGGTCCGAGCGACGCAGGGCTCGAGCGAAAACGACGGGCGAACTCGCCGCGACGAGCGACGACGCGCTGCCGAGGGGTTTCGGCCAGGGAGAACTTCGATTTGAGATGCGCACAGGACGAGCACTTAGCAGCGATCTGCGTCGCGCGACAGTGCAGGTCGGCCTTGCCTCGGCAACGAGCAGTCGTCGTCGTCGCCGCCGCCGCCGCTGCTTTTGTTCTCCACCGAGCGACAGAGCGTGCGTCGCAGCGGACGACAGCCAACCGCCGACCGAGCAAAGCGAGACGACTGGGGACCCAGGACGACCTCCGCTCTCTTCCCTCTCAAGATGCGGACGAGCTCTCGCACTGCGGCGGCGGCTTCCGCCTCGGCATCGCCTCCCTCGCCCGTCGACGGCAAGGCGACCGCCGAGTCGTTCTCGTACGTCGAGCCTCCGACGACCCGGTTCGTCGCAGAGCTGCCAGTCGCCCCAGTGTCGCCTCCACCTCTCGCCGACCCCACAGCGGTCGCCGACCGTGACCCGCTCTTCCTCGCACTCGACTCGGGCTCGACCACCCTCCCTGCACCTCGACCACCACCAGGACGAGCCATGCAGCCCAACGGTGCCCACGCCCACGCCGCTCCACCGCCAGGAGCCGCGCCAGGCCCGTCCCCCGTCCCGTCGTCGTCCATCGCCTCCGATCGCGGCCTTGCACCCACCACCGCCGACGGCGACACGCACGCGTCCAGCAAGAGCAGGCGCAGGCTCACCGCCAGCCTCGGCAGCCTCTTGCCCGGCACCAAGCGCGACAAGGCCCGCGCCGCCGACCCTGCGCCGCCAGCACCCACCTCGGCCTCGGCGGCAGGGTCGTCTGCCTTGGCGGCCCCGAGCGCCCCGGTGCAGCACGCAGGGCCGTTCGGGTTCGGCACTCGCACTCGAAGGAGCTCGAGCGCGTCCCGCCACCCGGTCCTCCTGTCCGGGTCCGCCGGCGCCGAATCCGCCTCGCCCTACTCGCTCTCCTCCTCGTCGCTCCACCCCTCGTCGACCCCGACCTCGTCCAAGCCGCCTGTCAGCCTCGCAAAGGTCTTTCGTCGCCGCAACTCGGGCAGCCACGGCTCGGACCTCGCCAGCTCGACCTCGACCTCGTCGTCGCTCACGCCCACCTCGGCCTCGTCCCCACCGCCGCCACCTCAAGGGCGGTCCTCGCTCGACCTCGGCGGCGACCTGCGCCGTCCGTCCCTCGACGAGCTCACGAGCCCGTTGCGGCTGAGCGACAGCAGCGAGGGCTCGGCCCTGACGGCGTCGGGATCGGCCGTCTCGACCGCGCCGACTTCGCCAGATGCGCCGGCGTGCGACGAGGAGGACAGCGGCACGGCGGCAGAGCGGCGGCGCAGGGGCTCGCTTGCCCTCGCCGAGCAGTTGAGTCGAGACGGGCGCGACGAGGAGGTCGAGGGTGCGTCTTCTTCTTCCTCCCTCGAGCGCCACCTTCCCGCGAGTCAGATACTGAATCTCCTTGCCCGTTGTCTGCAGACCTGCAGGACTTTGTCGTCGCGTCGGGTTCGCCAAAGCCGTCGAGTGCGTCCCTGCTTCCTCCAGGTCCACTCGGGCCCCTGACTGATTCGCGCTTTCTCCCCCCGTGCAGGCACGCCTTTCGCCCGCCGGCCATCGAGCACCCCCTCTTTCACCGCCTTTCCTCCCCCGTCCGACGTCGACCCGTCCCGCAACGTCAACACGTCGGGCGCCTCGTCGCCGCCGCTCCACCCTCGTCGCCTCACCCGCAACATCGAGGGCCTCTCGCTCAGCGACCTTCGCCGCTCGCCCTCCGAGACGCCGTCGCCCGCTCCCCTCCCGTCCCAGACCGCCGCACCTTTCGCCGTCACGTCGTCGTCGCCGCCAGAGAGCACCACCCCTGTCGCGCCCGCCCTTCGCGACCCGTCCCACCGCCTGCGCCTCGGCGCCCTGCCCCGCCTCCTCTCGACCCACGCCGTCGCGACTGCGGGCGCGACCGAGTCGGAGAGCGACACCGAGGGCGACTCGGGCTCGAGCGAGGAGGACGAGGACGAGGACGAGGGCGACCATTACGCGACGGGCGACGAGGGCCCGGTCACGACGCGCAGCCCGGTCGGTACGCCCGCCGCGCACACGCCTGCCGCGAGCGCGTACGGCACGCCGCGAGGGCAGACGCCCGGCGGCGCTCGTCCGCCGACGGCGCGCATGCCGAGCCTGTCGGCCGTCTCGACCTCGACGGCGACGGGCGTCATCGCGAGCGGCGGGCCCTCGAATTGGGTCTCGTTCGCGCACACGCCGACGCCCGCGATGCGCACCGCTCGACCGCAGAACGGCATCTCGTACTTCGACCTGCCGCGCCCGACCTCGTCGTCGTCGTCGGCGGCGGGAGGTGCGAGCGCGAGCGGCGCGCCGCCCAAGACGCCGCTCGCCTTCATGAGCATGTCGGACGTCGCGCGTGGCAAACGCCCGGCGCTGCAGGAGGACGTCGACGCGGCGGCGAGCGCGGCGGCGAGCCCGGCCCGCATCGTCACGGTCGAGCCGGCGGCGGCGGCAGCAGCAGCGGCCGCCGAGCGCACGGGCACGGCCCCGGCGTCGCCGACGACCGACGGCGCAGCTCGAGCCGGCCTGTACCGCTTGCGGAGCCAGAGCGTCGTCGCGCTCGCGAGCCCGCGCATGATGGACGAGGACGGCGAGCCGCTCGGGACGGCGGGCGTCACCGAGCTCGACCCGGTGTGGCAGCGCGGCGTGCCGGCGGCGCAGAAGACGCCTGGCTTCCTCAGCTTCGGCCTCGCGGCGCAGAAGCAGCACGAGCACGCAGCCGCCGCGGACGAGCCCCGGCGCACGGTCCCGCAGAGCCCGGCGTCGCCCATCAAGACGCCCGCCCCGCTCGACACGTCCGTCACCTCCTCGCCTTCCTCGACCCAGCCCTCCTCGCCGACGACCCTGCGCTCTCGCCCGACGACCGCCGGCGCCGGCAACCGCCTGCACCGCACGCGCTCGATGTACGAGCTGCGCGACGCTCCTCCCGCCTACACGTCGATGTACCGCCAGAGCGGCACGGGCGCGATGCAGGTCATCCTTCCTCGCGAGGAGGAGGGCCGCGAGGGCCTGCCCGGCTACTCCTGCGCCATCCACATCGAGGGCTACATGCCGCGCAAGCTCGAGTTTACTGCGCCGGGCGTTCAAGCTCGCGACCGCGCCTGGAAGCGCCAGTACTTCGTCCTGCACGGCACGTCGATCAAGATCTTCAAGTTCGACTTGCGCACGCACCCTCTCCCCGGCGAGGACGACTGGTCGGTCGTGCCGGCCGACATCGCCGGGAACGACGGCCCGCCGCCGCTCCACTTCCACGAGGGCGAGTACGGCGTCGAGCAGCCGGGTCAAGGGCACCGGTTCTCGATCGAGCTCGCCAAGGCCAAGGCCAAGGAGCGCATCATCGCGAGCGCGACGGCGTCGGCCGACAACGCCCTCGTGCGGCACTACTCGCTCCAGAACGCCGAGTCGGGCCTCGCCGCCGACTACCTCAAGCGCAAGCACGTCGTTCGCGTGCGGGCCGAGGGCGAGCAGTTTCTGATCCAGGCCAAGGACGACCGCGGCGTCATCGACCTCATCGAGGTGCGTCCCTCTCCTTCACTTTCTCCTCGTCAGTCCTCGTCCTGACCTTCTTCCCTTCCCTTCCCTCTTCCTTCTCCCTTCCTCTGCACAGGCTCTTCAAGCTGCGACAAACGTCGCTCTCGACCTCGACGCTCGGCCCCTTCCCAAGTTCATCACGCTCCCTCGCCGCCGTCGCCGTCGCCGCGCCGCTCGCCCTGCCGACGGTACCGCCGCCGCTGCAGCAGGCGCTACCGGCGCCACAGCGACCGACCTGACCGCCGCTGCGACCGCCGCTGCTGCGCCAGCTGCGCCGGACCGCATGGGCGACATGCTCGCCGAGGAGCAGGTCCGTCTCGCCGCCGCCCTCCCGCCTTTCTTTTCGTCCCACCCGACCCGACATTGACTCTCTCCTCTCGTGCAGAATGCCTACTCGCGGCGCAACAGCGCCACCGTCATGTAGAGCGCGCAACGAGCGCCTCTCCCGACCTTTCCTCTCTTCCCCCGACGCCTGTCCATGCCTGTATCACCGTCGCCTCGCCTAGGCCCTCCCGCTCTACATAGCTGTCGCAAAACCTTTGTTGCCAGACCGTGGATACGACCCAGCCGCCCTTGCCTATCCCTCCCTCGCCTTTGCGTTCCCCCTCACTCGCCCTTTGCAACGATTTATTTCCTCTCGCCTGTCGAGCCTCGGGTGCGAGCCCTCGAGAGCACCAAGAGCCTTGCTCGACCCTGTCTCTCGAGCTGCAGAGGGGACGAAGCGACGAGCTGTGCTGGAGGTAAGCGCAGGTGTGCGAGAGCAGCAGGTTCGAGCGCGCGTCGAACGAGTCGCGAGCGAGTGGCTGTCTTTTGCAGACCGTTCTCTCCAGGTACCTTCTGTTGTAGAGCGAGAATATAGTGCGTGCACGACGCGCTCGGCGCGCCGCATGTTGCTCAGCGAGCTCCTCGTGCACGCTCGCGCTTGACCTTCTCAAAACGAGAGCTCTCCTCTCACTTTGCCTGCAAGGACATGACTCTCGACGAGACGGCGAGAGTGCTTCGCCGGCGTGGTGGGACTGAGGGCAACAGAGAGAGAAAGAGAGGGAACGCGAAAGATACAGGGCCTGCTACGGGTACAAGGAGCGCGCCGAGAAGATCTAGAAAGACGCAGTGACAGTCCCGTCTGTAGTGAACGGTGAGTCTACCTGGTCGCCGAACAGCTCGCGCAAGTCGCTCTCCATGCCCTCGAGGATATACGACACGGACGCCATCGACGAGATGAAGAACCAGTACCGGAGGTAGACCGACGAGGCGAGGATGCGGCGACCCTCCTCTGCGCACGACGAGCGAGGGTCAGTGCGGGTCGAGGCGAGGCGAGGTGGAAGAGAGAGAGGAAGAGAATGGGGACGTACCAGTCCTCGTGAGCCTCCTGCTGAGCACCATCGCGTCGTGCTGCAACATCCTCGAGACGCCGATCATTGAGGGAAGGTCGGGAGGCAGCGGCTGCTTGGTCGAGAGCGAGGTGGCGACACTGAGGTTGGCGTCGACGTGACGGCGAGGAGGAGGACGTGCGAGAGAGGCGCAACCAAAAAGGGGAGGCCGGGGAGGAAGGTTGAAGGTGGGGAGGAGGACGAGGAGGAGAGGTCAGGCTCGAGTCGAGGGGCAAACATTGGACAAAGCGGACGCACAAGTACGAGAGGGCTCGCGTGACACGCTTGGCCTGCTTGCGGTACGGGACGAGGACGTCGGAAAAGTTCTTGCGAATCTCGGGCGAGAAGCCCTCCTCGCCGAGGGCCGTGCGCGCCTCGCGCAGGCGGTCGAGGATCAACTGGTGCGACCGGATGATGCGGGCGATAACAGGCGCCTTGAACGGCTGACCGAAAGTCGGCTCGACTGAGGCGAACCTGCGAGAGAAAAGACGGGTTGGCGTTCACGACTGACGGCGAGGCCGTGGGAAAGGTGGACGCACTTCATGATGGGCATGAGACCGAGTAGCTCGCCCTGGATCTCGACCTCGCGGCCGATGAGCTCCTTCTGCACGACTCTGACGACGTCCCAGTCCGGCGGCGCGCAGTCGGTCGAGTCCTGCCGAAAGTCACGCCGTCAGGACGGACACGTTCGAGCGTACAGAGGCTCGAGGGAGAGAGAAAGAGGACGCACCTGAACCATGGGCATGACGGCCTCGGTGAGGTACGACAGGAGGACGCCGAGGCCATTCAGCTGCCAGCTGATGCGGGCGAGCTTCTGACGCAGGGTCTGGCGCGCCGGCTGACGCAGGATGAGGATCTGGAAGACGGCGGCGATGGACAGGGCCATGCACATGGCGACGAATTGCTTCGCGCAGCGGTAGGCGGGCGAGTCGAAGCCGGGGCGGATCTGGCCAGGCACCTCGTTGTACGTCCACCTGCGGGGAGAGAAGGGTCAGGGCTCTGCGCCGAGACAATAGTCGACCATGCGGGAACGAGAGACAGGGCGGGAACGAGGAGAATCGGGAGAAGAGGTGCAGGGAAGAAAGAGCGGGGCTCACTCGGTGACGATCAGGACGCCGGCGCCGTTCAGCGCGAGGAGTGCACCGGCGAAGAACTGAGGCCGCGTGTAGATGATGGCCGATAGCGGGAACGAGGCTGTGCGGGAGAGAACGCTGAGCCTGGTAGGCCCTGTCGAGCGGCGAGAGGGGCAGAGAAACAGGACGCACCGACAGCGAGCAGACACACCATGCCGTACGGGTTGAACTTGTAGCCGCCGACGTCGAGGAAGATGCGCAAGATGAGGAGGCCGAGGAGAGAGCCAAAGCCGGTGCCGAGGATCTGCGAGGAAGGGAGAGTGAGCTCCTCTGTGCAAGCTCGGGAGGCGCCGTCGAGTACACGAGAGGGTGAGAGGGTGAGAGGGAGAGGGCGAGAGGGATTGGTGACGACAGGCAAGGCCGGAAGGAGGAGGGGGAGAGGGGCAAGATAAGGAGGAAGGGCAGGAAGAGAGCGAACCTGGATGACGAAGGTCAAAAGAGATTGGCCCAGGGTCGGCGCCAAGGCGACGACGATGGTGATGATGCCCGACGTCAAGCCGTAGTCGACAAAGTAGCTCTGTTGCCAGGGGACGAGAGAGTCAGGCGAGATGGGCGAGGAGGAGTCGAGCGGGGTGGACGCACCTGAAGCGACGGCGCGAGAAGGAAGACGGCGTAGACGGACACGGCCGCAGCTCTGCGAAGGAGATACCAGGTGAATTTGGGTGCCGAGAAAGAGGAATTGCGAAAGAGGAAAAGAGGGGGTCCGAGCGAGGGAGGGAAGAGGCTTGACTTACGTTTTAGCGGCATAGATCGAGTCGGGCGTACGGGCGAGACGCTCGAGCTCGGCAATGCGAGTCCAGATGCTCTTCTTGGGCGCCACAAAGTCGCGACCCGAAAGGCGAGCGAGCGCCTCGCGAACCGACATCTTGGACGACGCGTCCTTGGCCGGCTTGGGCGAGCGCTTCGACTCGAACAGGTGGAAGCGGATGGCCTTCTTGCGGGGCGTGGTACCAGGCTGAGGCACGATGTACTCGTAGCTGCGACAGGAAGCGAGTAAGTGACTCGGCTCGAGGAGGTCGAGGCGATCGAGGGGACGCACAGCGTGGCAAGTTCGCCGCCGACGGCGCCCATACCGGCGAGGAAGGCGAACGAGCGCATGACGGCCGAAGCACAGATCATCTCGGCGGTGCGGACCGTGTCGGTCGGGCGAGACGGGCTGGTGGACGACTCGGGCACCTTCTCATCCTCGCTCGATGAGTCGGTCCCCTTGGTTGGGCGCTTGGCGAGATCAGGCGTCGCCTGCGTGTGCGTCGCCGTCGACGTCGCCTGCGGCTTGAAGTTGATGCGCTGCGGCGGGTTGGCGTACTGCTCGGCCATCGACGGGCCGGGACGAGACAGGCGGAGCTCGTCCTCCTCGGGGACGCCCGTCGCGAGCATGCGCCCGATACCGGACAACTGCGAGTCCTCGAACGAACGCCATGCACCGCGCAGAAAGGCGACCTTGTCGACGACCTTGCCGTCCTTCTTGCCGTCCTTGTGCCCGGCGAGCGCAGCCGAAGCTGCCGAGGCGACGTCGCCCTCGACGAGCGTGTCCGGCGCCGTGCTCATGCTCGGCCTGCGGCTCGTCGTCGGCGTCGAGCCGGCCGTCATGACCTCCTTGCGCAGGCGGGCCGCGATGCGCTGCTGGAGCGCGTCCGACTCCTCCTTCGACGACGGGTTGGGGACTGACAACGAGAAGCGGCGCCCTCGGCCGGTGCCCGACTCGAGGTCAGGCGTCTCGGGCACCTCGTGGAAGTCCTCCCAGTGGCGCTCGCCGGGCGCGGGCGAGTGGTAGACGACCTTGCCGTCGGCCTTGCCCACGGCGAGTTCGCTGACGATGTCGGAGAAGGCCAGGTCGGCGCCTGCAAAGAAGCGCTCGTCAGTTCCGGCCCGGCACGCCCGAGCCATCGAGAAAGAGGGACGCACTGCGACGAAGCTTGGAGAAGGCCTTGGAGGCGTGTGTGTCCTGGAGCTCCTGCTTGACGATCTCGAGCGCGGCCGGGTCGAACTTCTCCATCGAGACGAGCGACGAGTAGGACGTGATGAGGCCGTGCTGCATGGCCCGAACCTGCGTGACATGTCGAGGCTGGTCAGTGCCTGCTCGCCGCCGGGTGGTGGACCGAGGTGACGAGGAAGGGAGGGGCGCACCTTGGCGACCATGAACCCGTAATCGTGCATCGTCCACCGCGTGTAGTTGATCTCGATGCCGGCCTGGGCGTAGCGCTGGCCGAGGACGCCCATGTCGGACCGGATGCTCTGGTTGAGCTCGTCTCGGGCGACGCGCTCCTCGTCGGTGAGCTCGACGAGGTACGTCTTGCCGATCAGGTGCGAGAAGGTCGAGATGTGCTCGAGCGAGATGACGAGGATCTCGCGAAGCTCCTTCTCGGCGGAATGAGGAAGAACGAGAAGCTGCGGGAGAAGGGAAAGGTCAATGCGGCGCTCGCAGAAGGTGAGGCTCATTCGAGATGGGACTCGCGTTGACGACGAGGACGATGGCGAAGCCCCAGCAGTAGGCGGCCAGGTATGCCTCGAGGTACTCGGGCACGAATCTGCCGCCCGAAAGAACCGAAGTGTAGGCGCCGCTGAACGCGAGAATGATGAAGAGGAGGCTCATGCCGAAGTAGCGCAGGCTCTGCGCCTTGACGAGGGCGGCGAGATAGACAAAGATGGCGAGCACAAAGCCTTGTGCAACTCTTGAGCCACCTGTGCACCGGAGTATGTCAGTCAGACGACGTGAGGAGAGCGCTCGTGGCGGACAAGGAGGGACAGGAGGTGGACGTACCGAGTTTGGCGAGGATGGCGAACGCTCCGCCGCCGAGACCGACACCGATGGCGGCGAACAAGGCCTGGTACCAGCATGCGCCGACCGCTAGACCCGGTTGCCCAGCAATGCAGATGAGGATAACGCCAGAGAGCGTGACCGGGTAGGGGTTGAGGCGCGAGAACGAGTGGATGAAGATGAGGATGAAGGCGAGAGTATAGGCGAGTGAGGCTGTCGACCGGCGAACGAGACAATGTCAGTGTCTGTGCGAGACTCGGGACGACCGAGTCGAGGAGGATGAGGAGGTCGAGGTGTGGGGAGGCCGAGGTGCAAGGACGCCCTCGCAGGCCGTGCCCAGCGGGCGCGATAGCGCTTTTGCAACTGTAGCTCGGCGTGGGCGGCGGCGCAGCTCCAGCAACCTGTCCCACCCGCTCCTGCCCACTCGCCCGCACCTGATCAGGTGCACGTTCGCGCCGTCCTCGTCCCACCCCTCGCGCACCGCCGAACGAGTGGAGGGGCTCACCTTTAGCTGTGGCAATGACCTGCCGGGTCGACATGAACTTGGGTGCCATGACGGCGGGGCGAACGAGGACGGCGTTTGCTGACGAGGGCGACAAGGTGGGGTTGAAGAGCTGGCGAGCTGAGGCGTGGGCGAGACGACAGGCGTGCGGCTCGAGGCCCTCAAAGCAGTCCAGGTGGATGGATCGAGTGGCTGAGCGCGTCGGTTGCACTCAGAGGTGAGGACGAGAGGTAGAACAACGACAGGTGGGCGAACCTCGCCCAGGAAGCTCTGCTCGGGCTCGCTCTCCCTGTCGCTGGGACAGCACGTTGCAGAGAACGAAAGATTGCACGATGCGAAGGAACGGCAGCAGTACACAAGAGAGCGGTAAGAGCGAGAGAAGGTGGGGGAGAGGGCTCAGTCGTTCTCCTCGAGCGGCGGCAGGTCGTCGACCTCGTCTGGAGGCGCCATGCCGCTCGACGTCGACGCCTCGACAGGTGCTCCAGGGCCCGGGTCCGTCGCCGACGATGCTGCCGAGGCGCCGCCGTGCGTCGCCTTGGTCGCGCGGTCCTTGGCCTTCTGCCGAACCTTGAGCACGTTGTGGCGCTTGCGCACGGCGCGGTACAGGAGCGGCTCCTCGCCGTAGAAGAGCTCGTACTCGCAGAACAGGCAGAGCCACTCGTCGGGCCCGCAAAAGTGGCCCGCGCCGCACGTGGACGCGTACGGGCCCGCCGACGCGAGCGCCTCGTCCGACGCCGGCCACGACGTGAGGTACGGCGTGCCGTTGGCGTCGTGCGCGACGCCGTTGGTGCTCGGCGTGTGCGAGGGGAGGCGCGAGGGGACGTAGTTGTCGCGGTGGTGGACGTTGAGGGCGTTGGCGTGCGCGGACCGCTTCTTGCGGCCCTTCTTCGCCGTCGGCTTGCGCGAAGGCGTCGGCGGGAGGGACGAGGCGGCAGGAGGAGAGGGAAGGGCGACGTCGGGAGGCGGGACGAGAGGCGTCGAGACGGCAGAAGAGGTGGAAGGAGCAGGGAGGGACGAGGTCGGTGCGGCGGGCGCAGGTGCAGGAGCTGACGCTGGCGCGTTGACGGGACGGGGCGCCGCTGTCGGTGTGCGCTTGGTTGAGTTTGGCGCAGGTGCAGGCGCAGGGACGGGCGGCGCGGGAGGAAGTGGCGCAGGCGGCGCCTCGACCGTGCCGGCGGCCTCGGCGCGCATCATCTTCTCCTCCTTGTCGTGCCGCCGCCTCTCCTCCTCCTCGCGAGCCCGCGCCGCACGCTCCTTGGCCGCCTTGAGCCGCTCCTTCTGGTCGTTGACAGCCGTCCACCGCAGCTCGACGACCGACGGCGGCCGCTCGACGAACGTGAACAGGTCGAGCGACTGCGGCTTGGCGTGCACGAGCGACGCCTCGCTCGGCTCGCTCTCGCCGCGGCGCCGGTCGAGGTCGGCCTTGATCGCGCGCGTGACGACGCTCGGTGGCGGGTTGGCCGTGCCGTGCGGGTCGAACAGGTTGGGGACGCGGACGTGCGCGAACAGGTTGCGCACGCGCTCCTTCTCCTTCTCGCGCTCCTTGGCCGCCTTCATCGCGAGCTTGATCGCCTTGCTGCCCTTGAGGCCCGACCCTGGCGGGAGCGGCGGCGGGCCCTCCTTGGGCATGGCGGGCGGGACGAAGGCGGGGACGGGAGGGAGCGCGAGAGGATGCTGCTTGGCGGCGGTCGCGCGCAGGCGTTTGCGGTGCGCTCGACGGGCCGAGATGCAGTTGTCGCAGAGCGAGATGTGAGGAGGGCGGATGCGGAGCTTGGCGAGGGCGGCCTCGGCGGTCGTGGGCGGGTTGACGGGTGCGAGCGGACCTGTGCGACGACGACCCGAGTTAGCTCGTGCTCGATGCGGCTCGACGGCGCAACGAGGAGAGAGTCACCATTGCTCGGCTTGAACTCGCCGGAAAAGGGCGCCGACGGCGACGACTGGACGGGCGCAGCGTCGTCGGCCGTGTCGCCGTCCCTCGCGGGCCCGCCCTGGGCGAGCCCCGGGATCTTGCGCTTCTTCTTGTTCGACTCGCCGAGGCCGAGCGCCGTCGCACTGACCTGGCTCGCCATGGTCGGCTCGACGGGCGGGCGCGTGCGGTCGACGACGCCGTACGAGTCCTCGTCGCCGTCCTCGTCGTCGTCAAAGTGGCGCTCGGCGACCGACGGCGCGAGCGACGGGTGGAGCGTCGCGAGGCCGAGCCCTCCAAACAGGCCGGCGGGCGAGAACGAGTTGGCGGTCGCGAGCGACTGGACGATGCGCTGGCCCTCGTTGCCGAACAGGATCGGCTTCTTGCCGTCCGACAGGGCGGGCGAGGTCGGCGGCGACTCGGACCCTGTCGAGCCCGGGTCGAGCGAGTTGGTCGTTTTGGTCGACTCGTCGGGCGCCTCGCCCGCGACACGATCCGGGTCGCGCGACGCCTCGAGCGGGTCGGCGCGTTTCGACAGCCACCGGTCCCACGCCTCCTCGTTGCGCTCGTCGCCGCCGCCGTGCTCGTGCCCGCCGCCGTCGTCCTCGTCGTCGTTCCGTCTCCCGCCGCCGCCGCCGCCTCTGTTGCCCGCCGCGAGCGCGCCTCGCTCGTGGGCCCGAGACGCGGCTCGAGCATCTCGGGCGGTGCGGTCGTCGTCACCCTCGCTGCCCGAGCTGGGCTCGCGCACGGCGGCGGGCGACGACAGGCGGAGGGCGGCGATGCCGCTCTGGAGCTCTGCGACCGAGGCGGACGACTCGGCGCTGAGGCGCTGGCGCTTGCGGAGGGGGAGGGGAGCGATGGGCCGGTTGGACAGGTCGACGCGGAGGGCCTCGTCGTCTTCTTCCTCGTCCCAGTCGTGGTGGTGGCCGCACTCGCACTCGCAGGCCATGTCGCGCGCGCTCCTAGTCGAGGGGTGCGGGAGAGGCTGGCGTGGAGAGGAGCGTGCCGAGAGGAGGGAGGAGGGAGGGCGAGGACGCGGGCGTGGTGGATCTCGGGCGGGTCGTGGGTGCTGCGAGAGCCTATAGGGCGGTGCTGAGCCTGGCAGAGCACTGGCTGGGCGAAGTGGTGGCGGTACAAAGGCGGGCTCGTCCTCTCGCCTCTCTCGCTCGTCGCCATTCCCCCCGCGCACGTCTCGTCCCTTTCTTCTCCCCCAAAGGCCCGGTTTCTTTCGAGAGGCTCTTTTCCTAGCGGAGACAGAGGGTGCCCACCCCCTTCCGAGCAGCCAGAGAGCGAGCTCGCTTCCTCTTCCTGCATGCGCTCGGGTTCGGCTCTTGGCTGCCGCTCGCTCGCTCGCACGGCGTCAAGTCGAGTTGGTCGAGCTGCGAGACCTGCCCAAGTCCGAAACGGAGCTCCCTGTCTAACCGCAGCTAGCGCTCGCCCTCGCTCTCACGCACCGTCCCGCTCGTCGCGCGCGAGTAGAGTACACTGAAGCGTCGGCGCTGCATGCTCAGGGCCGCTCCTGCACCTGTCCCTCCGACACCTCCATCTCGTCCTGCAGGCGCGAGCTGTGCGCCTACAAGCCCGGCCCGCCGCCGCCGCCGCCGCCACGACCGCCGCGTGCACCGCCTCGTCCTGGTCCACCGCCGCCCCGTCCGCCGCCGCGGGCACCGCGATCTGCGCCACGTCCTGTGGTCGTAGTGGGCGATATTTTGGAGGTGTGGGTCGAGTCGATAAGGGTGGACGGACAGATAAAGGGCGAGGGAAGGAGGGAGAGAAAGGCGAGGTCAGCGATCGAGCTGCGACAGTCCGTGGCGCCGCAGCGAGACGTCGGCGAGCCAGCCGTAGCGCAGCCTCCTCGCCGACAGTCCCCACGACAGTGTTGGAAAGCGAGAGGAGAGCGCAGGACGCACCTCGTCCACCCCCACCACCCCTCATGCCGCCGCCCATTCCGCCGCCACGACCACCCCGGCCACCGGGTCCACCGCGTCGCCGCTGCTCCTCCTCCTGCTCCTTGACCTGGTCGACGAGCTGTGGGTGTTCGAGGGCGCGGGGATGGGCGAGGATAAGTCAGTTGGTCAACTCGCGCGCGCGAGGGGGGACGAAGGCGAGGGCGAGGGACGCACGTTCTCTGCGACGCGGATGTACTTGATCTGTGAGGCGCAAGGGCAGTCGTCAGTGAGGCGTCGCAGTGTCAGGGAGTAGAGATGTGGACGGACGTTGTTGCCCCGAACGTATGCCTCCGGCAGCTTCCAGAACCGGTCGCCCTCCTGCGCGGCGGGTCCATGTGGCACGTCAGCTCTCTTGCAGCTCCATGCGCGCACACTCGGGCACGACCAGGGGCAGAGGGAGAGGGGTGGGGGACGCACCGCGCTCGTCTGGTAGACCTCCTTGAGCGTGAGGTTCATAAAGTTGTCGCAGGCGACCAGGTGCCCGTTGAACGTCTCGCCGTTCTTGAGCTCGACCAGCTGCGAGGGCAGTCACGGTCAGCTCGAGGCGCGACGAGGTGGAGCGGGGAGCGAGAGGGGGGCGCACCATGGGCTTGTTTTGCGCCGCGTGGAGGAGCGCTAGAGGCAGCTGCAAGGGTGCGAGGTGTCAGTAGAGGACTTGAGCCGAGGCATGGGCAGCTGGCTCACCATGGCGGGCTGAGGGCGAGGGGTTGACGGAAGGAGGTGGACGAGGAGATGATGAGGTTGGCTTCGAGTTGGCGGCATCGCTCCCTGCAGTACTGAGCGCTCGCGAGACTCTCGTGATGACAACACAAGCCATGCCTGACCGAGAAAACAACAAGGTATTGCTGACGACCCTCTCTCGCTCTGCCGCTGCCGCTCCTCGACTCGCGCACACGCTCACTGCATCTCGAGACTCATGCCGTCGTTGATCTGCAGAGAGAAGGACGAGCTGGGTCAGTACGACGAGCGCAAGAGAGACAGACGAGGGCATCGCGACCGCAAAGTAGCGCGCCGAGGACGGGCGACTCGCCTCGTAGTCTCGCAGGGTGATGCTGCACAGCGATGCAGACGAGTCAGTACGGGGCACGAGCTGCTGAAGAGGCAGAGAGAGGGACGCACTGGTCCTTGTAGATGGTGTACCTGCGGGCGAGCGGGCGAACACGCAGAAAGAGTCAGCGAGAAGGTCTTCGTCGGACGCCTGAACGCGCACGAAGGACGGGGAGGCTGCCGACTTGGACGTACCACTTCTTGAGCACGATCTTCTCGCTGTGGGCGACGGGCAAACAGTCAGCGAGTCTGCGTCGAGGCGAAGGCAGGGTCGAGGGACGACTGACGCCTTGGTGCCGGTCTGCGCGGCGATGAGCTTCTTGAGGTCGCCGACAGTGTCTTCAGAGCTGCGGGTACGGGCGACAAGAGGGTCAGCGCGGTGCTCTGTGGAGGGCAAGAGGGGCCGGCGAGTCGAGGACGGGGTCGAGCGACGCACTCGCACTTGACGCGGACTGCGAGAGGGGCCAGGGTCAGCTCGGGGCACGAGGGGGGGGGGGGAAGGTGGGGAGCGAGAGTGGGACGCACCCTTGTTGCCAAGGCGGTCGTTGGCGATGACTTCAATCAAGCCCCTGTGCGCGAGGAGAGTGAGTGAGCGGGCGACGCGAGGATGGCTTCGAGGAGGGGCTGGGTGGCCGAGATGAGGTGCAGCGACGCACATGGTGGCTACTCTGGAGCTGCAGTGAGGCTGAGTCGAGACGGTTGCTCGCGGACGACGACGACGAGGGGAAGGGACCGGCCGCCACTCGCTTGCTCGTCGCCCACAACCCGCCAGCTCGCGAGGACACAACCAGGCACTGCCTAGCCGCACCACAACACTTCCCTCGACCACCTGACAAGCACCCGCACCCGCTCGTGCCCTCCCCGCCGCCGCTCGTTTCGCCCGCCTTCTCCTCGCCTCGACCATGCCCGACATCCTCCCGAGCAGCCCACAGGGCCAGGCCCTGCAGGTGCGTCACCCTCTCATGCTCCCTCTGCGACCTCACTCACCCCTCTCCTGCCACCCCGCCCGCAGGCCGCCATCCAGACCAAGCTCGCCCAGCTCGGCTGGTGCGAGGAGGACGACTCGGTCATGGCGTGCGTCCTCGCCTTTCCCCCTATGTCCCGAGATCTGGTACTGACTCGCGTCCCGTTCGCAGCGAGTACTGCCTCGTCATGCTCGGCAACCGCAAGACGGCCGGTGCGCCCCCTCCTTCCTCCCTCCCACCGACCCCGCTCGCCCTCGCTGACCCACTCCTCCACCGCCAACAGACCAGATCTCTGCCGAGCTGTCCGACCTCATCGGCGGCGACTCGTTCGACCCGTCGTTCGTCACCTGGCTCTTTGACGAGGTCAAGAAGCACTACCCCGAGCCGGCCGCATCCGCACCCGCACCTTCTGCCGCCGCCTCGTCCGCCCCGACCGGCCCCGCCGCCTCGTCGTCCCGCGGTGGTCCCTCGAACGGCATTCCCGCGCGCCCGGCGGGCCCCATCGGCGGCGGCCGCAACGTGTTCGGCGCCGCCGTGTCGGGCGTCAAGCGCGGCGCGGCAGAGCTCGACGGCGGGGACCGCCAGGGCCAGCGTGCACGGTTCGATGCGCCGACGGGCCCGAGGGCAGGTGGCGGCAGCGGTGGCAAGGGCCTGTTCGAGCGCGTCGGCGGCAACAACCCGCAGTTCGCGCCCGGTCCTCGCGGCCCGATGAACACGACGGGCATGCCGCAGCCTGCATTCGACGCCGTGCGTCTATCTCTCCTCCCTTCACTGCCCTGGGCGCGTACTGACACGCACTTGCGCGCCGTCGACAGATCACGCAGGCCGTCACGGCCATCCAGAACGGCGCCCACCCGTCCATCCTCGCCCAGATCCCCTTCCCCGCCCTCGCCGCGCACCCGCTCGCCCAGCGCCTCCCGCCGCACATCATGGCCCAGGCGCAGGCCAACGCCGTGGCGCAGGCGCAGGCCATGGCGGCCATCCAGACCGTGTGGAACGCGCCGCCGGGCGCGTTCAACCCGAACGGCGGCGCCGGCCCCGGCCCCGCTCGCGGCGGCGCGCCCTTCAACCCGAACGCGCCCGCCTTCAACCCGGCGTTCGGCGGCGGTCCCGGCGGCCCTCCTCGCGGCGGTCCCGGTGCGGGTCCGAGCGGCGCCGGCGCGCCTCGGCCGAGTGGCCCGCCCGTCGTGCTGCCCAGCAAGCCGGCGCAGGAGCAGATCTGCAAGCACGGCGTCGAGTGCACGAGGCCGACGTGCCCGTACTCGCACCCGAGCCCGGTCGCGACCAAGGAGAGCGGGCTCGTCCTGAGCAGCGACCCGTGCGACAAGCAGCTCAAGTGCGAGGACCCTGTGCGTCCCTCTTTCTCTCTCTCTGCCTCGCCTCGAGTCACGTCCGACGTACTGACTCGTCACACACCTGCAGGACTGCCCCAAGTCGCACGTCTCGAAGGCGCAGAAGACGCACCCGCCCTCGTCCGCCGCGTCGTCCTCCCCTGCCCCTTCCCGTCCTCCTCCTGCCGCCGCCACCGCCCCGAACCCGTCGACCATCGCCGGCGCCGGTATCAAGCCGTGCAAGTTCGGCTCGGCGTGCACCCGCCCCGGCTGCGTCTTCCGCCACCCGTGGGACACGCCCGGGCCGGGCGGCGCAGGGCAGCAGACGTGCCGGTACGGCGCGGCGTGCACTCGGCCCGACTGCCACTTTGCGCACCCGACGCGTCGGCCGGCCGCCTACAGCCGCAACCAGTTCTCGGCCACGTTCGGCACGTCGTCGTCGTCGTCGCCCGCGTCGGCGGCGCCTGGCTCGTCGGCGCCCGGCGCCACGGCGGCCAAGGGCGAGGGCGCGATCGGCGCGTGGCCGAGCGAGAGCAAGGAGCACATCTCGGAGCGGCTCAAGCGGTTTGCGGGTGGCGACGCGGCCGGCGGCGACAAGGAGCGGATCGTGCCCGGCGGCGGCGAGGGCGAGAACGGCAAGGACGCCAACGGCGACGACAAGGTCGAGATCAACCTCGACGACGACGAGGAGCACCACAAGAAGGAGGGCAGCGCGGCCAAGGCGTGAGCTGGAGCGAGTCCGTCGTGCCGTAGAGCGAGTCGTTCCTCTCTCTCTTTCCTTGTCTCTTCCCCTCCCTCCCTCTTCGTCCTGTGCGCTCTATCGTGCCCTTTCGCCCTCGGTCAATCAAAACGATGTTTCTCTCCTCGTGCGGCGCCCGAGCACGGCGCCGCACGAGCCCTCCCTGTACCTCTCTTCTCGCCGCGCACCGAGAGACTCTGCGAGAGCGCGATCGATAGCAACGTCTAGTCAAAGTGGTCTACGAGCCAGGGCACGATCCTCTTAAGCCCCTCGTCCTTCTTGCGCGTCAGCTCCGGGTCGCTCGCGCCCGGGCTCGACGCCCACCCACCCTCCGTGTCGAACCCATGCCCGCCGCCCTCGACCTCCCACAAGACGCACTCGACGCCGACGCGCTCGAGCACGCGCGACAGGTGGCGCGACTCGGCGAGGGGGACGATCTCGTCGGCCGTGCCGTGCGCGAAAAAGGTCGGCGGGAAGGACGCCGTCACGCCGAGCTGCGGCAGCGTGCGCTTGCCGTGCGGGTTCTCGGCTGCGGCGTGTGCGCGAGCGTCGCCCTTCTCGGGGAGTGCGCGCAGGGCGGCCGAGGCGCCGCGCACGCCAGAGAGCGCGTCGACGAGGGTCGCGCTCTGGAGGAGCCAGACGAAGAGGAGGTGGCGGGACGACAGGGCCGGGTCGGTGCTGCCGGGTGGGACGCTGATCGTCGGCGGCGTCGAACGAGGATCTCGGTCGAGGATGGCGTCGAACGGGGCCGAGGAAGGGAGGAGAGACATGCCGGGAAAGAAGGGAGCTGCGGGCAGGTCCGAGCGGGTCAGGGGCTGTCGAGTACAGCTTCCAGGGGAGCTTCAGGACGTGCCCTTCTTCTCCTGGAGGTACCAGTCGGACAGGAGGTCGCCGCCGCCGCCATACATGGCGAGAACGGCCTTGAGCGGGTACGGCGAGTGAATGCCCTGCAGGCGTCGACGCGCCGATCAGTACCGCCCGTGCTCGAGGCACGATCCATCGAGAGGGCGAGATACGAGCGACGCACAGCGTAGTACGCCACGAGACCGCCTCCTGACGCTCCGGAGACTGCGACGTTCTTCGGGTCGACGCGCACGGTCGACTCGTGCTTGTCGAGCTTGTGATTGAGCTCGTCGCGGATGAAGATGAGGGCATCCTTGACGTCGTCGATGATGTGCTCGCCCGAGTGCGGGCCGAGGAGCGTGTAGTCGCACGAAATCTGGAGGAGAGGGCGTGAGCGGATCGAGGAGGAGAGGACGAGGCGAGAGCTGTGACGCACGACGGCGATTCCTGCTTCGACGGCGCCATCTGCAGGATGTTTGAGAGCAGGTGAGCTGGTGTGCGAGCGACAGGAACGAGAGAGGGACGCACAGAACATCCATTTGCCGACCCAGTCGTTCCAGCCTCGGTCGCCGACGCACAGTCCTCCACCTGCGGGCCCTCGAGGACGGGTCAGCGCCATGCCGTCACGTCTCCTGACTGGGCAGAGAGAGGACGAGACGCACCGTGGTAGTAGACGAGGACGGGCGCGCGTTTCCTCCCCGACTTGCGCAGCTGGTCCTCGGACGGGAGGTAGACGTCCATGTTGAAGTCGACGCCCTGGACCTCCTTGAACTTGAGCGTGGTCCACCGGGTGGTCGTCATGGGCGGTAGTGGGGCCGCTTGCGGTGGTACAGGGTCGAATGTGGGCGGACTCGGAGGCGGGTCGTGGTGGGGCGGCGGAGAGGGGCGAGGCGAGCGCAGGTCGAGGAGCGGGAGGAGCAAGACGAGGGTGAAGAGGAGCTGGTGCAGCGTGTGTGCGTGCTGCGCGGGCAGCTACCGGCGCAGGATTGGGCGAACGAGACCAAGCTGTTCCTCGTCCACCTCGGCTCGATTGGCTCTGCTCTGCAGCTCTCCCTCCTTCGCTCCACTCGCCGCTGCACCACTCGCTTGCGCTACGCTGCCCTCGCGCGTACCTCCTCGCGCCTGTCGACCTGCGCTGCACTCGCCGGCGCGATCAAGGCCGGGTCTCATCTGAACAGCTGCCCCGCTTGTCGTGAGCGCGAGCTGGAGGTCGGCCAACGTCGCTCTCGCTCGCTGTCCTCTGCGCGACTCTCTCGTCCTGCTTGCTCTCCTCGTCCACACCGACACCCTCGAGCGCCACCCCTCGACTCAGCGTCCAGCACCCGCCAAACCTCGCCAGCTCCTCGCCTGCACCGCCTCCCACCCTCGCCTATCCACCCTCAGCCTCGCACACGACCAACGCCGACATGTCGAACCCGAGTGTCGTCCAGGTCAAGCCCTTCCTCCAGCCCTTCCCGTACGGCCGCGAGGGCATGGACTCGTGGGCCGCCCAGTTCGCCCTCGCGACGCCGTCCCTCAAGCGCGGCATCGACCAGGACGGCGGCATCAAGCCCAACCAGCCGTACGGCGAGCTGTGGATCGGCGGCACCCACCAGAACGGCCCGTCGTACGTCGAGGGCACCGACGAGGAGCTCAAGTCGTTGATCCAGCGCGACCCGGCCTACTACCTCGGCAAGAAGCTCGTCGCCGACGACCAGATGTCGAGCCAGTACCCGTCCGACCTCCCGTTCCTGTTCAAGATCCTCTCGTTCGACAAGCCGCTCCCCCTCCAGTGCCACCCGGACAAGAGCCTCGGCAAAAGGGTGCGTCCGCTTCTTCAGTCATTATCTCAAGAGGACGCAAGCTCACTTGCCTCTCTCCTGCAGCTGTACGAGGAGGAGAAGCGTCGCGAGGGCGAGAACAGCAACTTTGTCGACACGAACGCCAAGCCCGAGGTCGGCGTCGCCCTTAGCCCGTTCACTGGTGCGTCCTCTCTCGCCTATCTGGTACTGGGTCAGGAACTGACCCGTCCCTCGATCTCGTTGCAGCCTTTGTCGGCTTCCGCCCTCTCGAGCAGCTCGCGGCCATCGTCAAGGGCGTCCCCGAGTTCCAGGAGCTGTTCACCGAGTCGACCCTCTCGTCCCTGTCCTCGTCCGCGTCGTCCTCCTCGTCCGACGCCGAGCCCAAGGCCGTCCTGCGCTCCCTCTTCTACGAGGCGATCAACGCCCAGCCGGCCAAGTTCAAGCCGCTCGTCAAGCGGCTCTCGGACCGCCTCGCAAGCGAGGGCGCCGACAGCGTCTTCTCGGCCGCCAACGCGTTCACGCCCAAGGGTCGGGCCAACGCGAGCGGCGAGAGCGAGGCTGCGGCCATGGCGCGCGTGTTTGACATCTCGGTCAAGACGTACGGCGAGGACGACGTCGGGTCGCTCGTCGCGGTCGTCCTCATGAACATCCTCCGCCTCGACAAGGGCGAGGGTGCCTGGATCCTCGCCGACGACTTGCACGCCTACGTCGAGGGCGACATCATCGAGTGCATGGCCAACTCGGACAACATGGTCGCGCACGGGCTCGGCGAGGCCGACATGGGCGGCCGCTCGACGTTCGTCGAGATGCTCAGCTACCGCCACCTGCCCGCCGAGGACCTCCTTCTCGAGTACGAGGACAAGTGGAGCGCCGGCCAGCAGGGCCTCACGCGCCGGTACAAGGTGCGCCGCCTCGTCTCGCTCTCTCTGTCCCTCCTTCCCGCACTGACCTCGTCCTCTCTCCCACCCTCTCCTCCAGGTCCCCATCGCCGAGTTCGACCTCCTCGCCACGACGCTCACGTCTGTTTCCCCGACCGAGACGCTCTCGCCGCTCGATGGGCCGCTCACGTTCGTCGTGACGAACGGCACGGTCAAGGTCACGGCCGGCGACGACTCGGTCGAGCTCTCCAAGGGCCAGGCGGGCTTTGTGCGCGCCGGTGTCGAGATCAAGCTCGAGGGCAACGGCGAGCTGTGGGGTGCCTTCTACCAGTAGATGGGCGAGGAGGAGGGAGGAGCCGCCGACCGTGTGCGGCGCGAGGAGGAGAAGTGTTGCTCGTCGCTCTGTTCCTCTCTTTCTCTCGGGCCCGTCCTGTCTGTCTGTACATAGTCCGCGAGTCTGCAAAGAGTCCAATCCCGCATCCGTATCGAGAGAGGAGCTGCCGCTCTTGAGAGGTTCCCGCTCGCGCGTGAGCGGCTTGGCCTCGTTCCCTCCACCTCGCTCGCCCGCGATGCCGCCTCGCAAGAGCACGAGTAAGCACAAGCTTGTCCGCAACAGCGACGACGATTACGAGCCGGCGCACGAGGGCCGCGAGGGCGAGGAGGAGGTCGGAGGAACCGCGTCCGGCGATGAGAACTCCCGTGACGGTCCGTCCTCGCCTCTCCTCTCTGGGTGCTGTGGAGATGGTCGTCAAGGGCTGCTGTACTGGTACGGGAGCCTCCGCGGCGCGCGGCGAGCTGTCTGGTGCCAGCGCCTGAGCCGGGGCCTCGCAGCGCCAGCGTCATTCAGCGGGGCGATGCACTGACTGACTCTCAGCGCCGCACACAGCTCCTGCGCGCGCCTCGACGAGCAAGCCGAAGAAGGGCAAGGTCAAAGCTCTCGTCGACAGCGAGGAGGAGGACTACAGTGCGTCGCGCCCGCTCCACCTTCGTCGCCTCGAGCCTGAAGACCCTGACCCGGCTCGTCTCCTCCACCCACAGCTCCGCCCAAGAAGAAGACGACGGCCAGCAAGACCAAGGGCAAGGGCAAGGCGGCCGCCAAGCCGAGGGGCAACCGCGGCAAGCTGTCGGCCTTCACCTCGATGCCGCTCGACGTTCTCGCGCTCGTGCGTCCCGCTCGCGCTCTCTCCTCGTCACCTTCCGCAAGCCCTGACCCTCTCGGCCCCGAGCAGATTGTGAGCCACCTCGACACCAAGACGGTCCTCGCCTGTTCGCGCACGTGCTCGTCGTTCCGCACGCTCCTGCACTCGTCGCAGGGCACGAGCTGCTGGAAGGCGGCGAGGTTCAACACGAGCCGCATCCCCGACCTCGAGGCGGGCGACCTCACCGAGTGGGACTACGCGTTGCTCCTGTTCGACGGCAACTGCCACGTGCGTCCTCGTCTCCCTCCCCTCGACCCGACCTGAGCCTCGTCCGGGTCGCTGACTTCCCCTCGCACCTGCAGGTCTGCCACAAGCCCAAGGCCAAGACGGTCGACTTTTACCTGCGCGTTCGCGCCTGTGCGGCGTGCATGCGCAGCAACTCGCTCCGCGCCGAGAAGATCCGCGGCAAGATCCACCCCAAGGCGTTCGAGTGCGCGCTCGAGTCGACCTGGTCGCCGTACTACGACGACTGGGGCCTCGGCGGCGAGCGCAAGGTCTACACGTTCTTCTGGGACCAGCACGTGCGCGCCGTCAGCCGCCGCCTGTACGAGCTCGACGGCAAGCCCGGGTTCGACGAGTACGTCAAGGAGCGCAAGCGCCTCAAGGTCGCCGCCAAGCAGGACGGCTCGAAGCTCAAGAACTGGGAGAACCGGTTCGCCATGGCCAAGGAGGACGACGCCTACAGCATCCTCAAGCGCCGTCAAGCCAAGTGCGTCCTCCTCCTCGCTCGGCCCTGTTTCCCTCTCGCGCCTCTTGAGACTGACCCTGTACCCCTTCCAGGATCGAGGCCAGCCTGATCGCCCTCGGTTATACGGCCGCCGAGGTCCGCGGCGACGCCGTTCGCTCGAACTCGCTGTACCAGGCCAAGGGCGAGCTCACCGACCGCGCGTGGAACATGGCCAAGCCCAAGCTCGTCGCCGCCCTCGACTAGGCTCGCGCCGAGCAGCGCAAGCGCGCCGCCGCCGCCGCCATGAGGGCTCGTGGGCTCGCGCTCAAGCCGTACTGGTCCGCGCTCCAGTCGTCGATCGTGTCGGGCGACGACCGCATGCTCTTCCCGCCGTTCGGGAACTTCCTCGTCCTCCCGTCGGTCAGCCCGCTCTACGTGCCCGAGGACGCCAAGCCGTCGCAGGAGGACCTCCAGGCCGCGCGCGGGGTCATCATGAGCGAGGCGCAGGCGTTCGCCGCCGAGATCCGCTCGGCGTTCGTCGCCAACCTTGTCGAGGCGCACAACGGCGCGCGCACGCTCGACTCGCCTCTCGAAGACGTCGACAAGCTCATGCGCCTCGTCACGTCGGCCGTGCCCTGCCCGTCCGGCGCGTACTGCTCGACGTCGGCGACGTTCCCGGCCATCCTCGACCACTTCAAGGTGTGCTCGTCGGCGGCCCTCACGGCGTCGTCGGTCTCGACGTCGCCCATGCGTGTCCTCGCCATTCAGCGTGTCCTCGCCGCCGTCAACGAGGTCGAGCCGGGCAAGGTCGACGCGGCCAAGACGTTGACGGCCGAGCTGTACGCTCTCGGCAACGAAGCGTTCCACTGCGAGGCGTGCCTGCCGCAGCAGGCGGCGGTCGGACCTGCCGCTTGGAGCAACGCGCACTCGACCAAGATGGGCTGGACAAAGATGGTGAGCCCGTGCTCGACGAGCTGCCTCGCTCACTCTTTTCGGACCGGCAACAGGTCCACCACCTCCTCGTGCGCCACACCATGCTCGGTCAGACGCTTCCTACAGTCATCTACACGCCGCTCAAGCCGCCGTCGGACAGTGGTGACGCTGCGGCCACTGCCGAGACCGCGTCGGGCGGCTTCGTCGTCGAGGACGCCGAGTCCTGATCCCTTTCTCTCCTCTCCTCCCCCTCCCCTCGACCCTCTTCCCCTCTCTGTCGCTTGCTGTCGTCTGCTTGTGAGTCCGCGCTTGTCTCGAGGGCGTGGGTCGTCTGCCGCCTTCCTCCCCGCCTCCCGTTTGTACCCCTCCCTCGCTTTCGCAATGCACTTTTTCTTCAGTGCCAGCCTCTCTCGGACAAGCCCTGACACGTCTCGAGAGCGAGAGCGAGGCAGGGCGGCGAGAAAGACTCTTTTGCGAGCGAAAGCCCGAGACCAGGCGGCTTGAGCGGCGCGTTCCACAGGCTCACTCTCTCGCCCGAGGGGCCGACCTGGCTCCTCAGGCTGCATGTGATGTACTCACCAGGCGAGCTATTCTGCTCCCAGCCACCCAGAGAGAGCAGACGGCGAGAACGAGAGCCCGCGCCTCCTCATCAGCGACGACGCGGCCGGGGCCTCCTCGCTCATCTCCCACCGCCTCAACTGCCCTGCTCGAGCTTTGCGACCGCTCTAGAGCCGTGCACACACGCCCCCGAGCTTCGCCAGCCTCGTCGCCATGTTCTACAACACCGAGACGCTCACCTCGCGCAAGGGAGGGTTCGCGGTCTTCTGGCTCGCCGCCACCATTGGGGCAAAGGGCACAACGGCCGTGCGCAAGCTCAGCAGGAAAGAGCTCCTCACGTGCAACATCGTCAAGGCGTGGTGCGTCCTCCTCTCTCTCTCTGGCGCGCTGCGCAGGACCGGGTGGCCGCGAGCTGACCTCCCTCGTCCTCCCCCGGCCTCGCCAACTGCAGCGAGAAGGTCATACAGCCCGACGAGCCGCTCGCTCTGCGCCTATCGGCCAACCTCCTTTTCGGCATCTCGAGGGTGTTCAGCCACAAGGTGCGCCTTGACCTTTCCCTCCTCGACCCCTCGACCGAGATCTGACTCTCGTCGCCCCGTTGCAGTACGCGCTCTACGCCGGCGACGTCCAGCAGGTCCAGCAGGCTCTGCGCAAGGTCATCGCCGATGCCGCCCTCACGATGTGCGCCCCACTCACCCTCTTGTACCCCTTGTCGCCAGTCAGCGCTGCTGACTTTTGCGTTCTCGCCCATGCAGGCCCGACATCACGCTCGGCCCCGAGCTGCCCCTCATCCCTGTCGACCAAGGCGCCGCGCAAGCTCCCTTTGCGGCCAAGGAGACGGGCATCGACCTGCACGTCAACCCGCACGCGGTCGTCGACATGCAGCTCGACTGGGAGCTCGGCCTCGACTGGCACCTGCCCGGCGGTGCACCGCCCGCAGCCGAGGACGACGGGTACGACGAGGAGATGTTCTTGAGCCCGGCCCAGAGCCTCGTCGCCCGTGCGTCCCCCCTCTCCCTCCCTCGATCTCATTCGACTCGCCCTGACGCACGCCGCTCTCGTCGCCGCAACAGCTTCTCCCGCCGGCCGAGCTCCGGCGGCGTACCAGGCGCGCCAGGCCGACATCACGCTCCAGGAGCCGCAGCTTCACGACTATCCGCTCGAGTTCGGCGCCATCGAGGGCTTTGAGGGCGAGCAGCTGCAGGGCGGGCCAGTTTTCGGCGAGGGCGAGGAGGTACGTCCTCTCACTTTCTTCCCTGCGCAAAGGCGGCCGGCCCGCCCGCAAGCGCCCGCTCAACCTCTCTCGTTGCGTCGCAGGGTCTGCTCGAGGGCATCTCTCCCGAGCTCGATCTCGCCGTCCGTGCCGCCTCGGGCGGCCGGGGCAGCGCAGCCTGTGCGTCTCGTCAGTACGGCGCCTCGTCATCAGCTGTCGGGCACGGCGCCGACCTCGGCGGCATGGACGACTTGTGCGTCTTCTTTTCCTTCGTTGCCCAGTCGAAGCCCAAGCCCGCTCACTCGCCCCATCCTGCGCCACAGCTTCATGCAGCCTTACATGCCCGAGGGGGGCGAGGGCGAGGGCGAGGAGACGTTTACTGAGCGGGTCAGGCGCGAGCAGGAGGAGGGCAGGGCGAGGCTGGAGGGGCTTCCGAGGGTGCGTCCCCTTCCGCCTCTCTCATTCGCCTCGGCGAGGCCACGAACAGCTACTGACTCGAGTCTTTGCATCTCCCACAGCGCTCGCCAACGCCGCTCGGCGAGGGCGACTACTCGCGCGACCTCCTCGAGGCGGAGGGGACGCCTTCGTCGACGACCCGCAAGCGTGTCTCGGACGCCATCGACCTCGCCCAGGCCAAGGCCAAGGAGCCTGTTCGAAAGGCCAAGAAGCTCAAAGTGCGTCCCGAGCTCGCTCTCTTTCGCCCCTTCGAGCGCGCCCTGACCTTTTCCTTCTCCCGCCGACCTTCAGCTCGTCCCGATCGACCGCAGCACCGAGCTCGAGGACGGCATCTTCAGGGAGATGCGCGAGAGCTACCCGGCGCGCATGCAGGCCGAGCGCGAGGCGGCCGAGCAGAAGCAGCGCGACAGCGAGGCGCACCAGCGTGCCATGGACCTCGTCTTTGGCGCTCCCGGCTTCCTCGCAGCACCTGAGCTCGCCGCGTTCTGGAAAAAGGAGGTCGCAGGGCAGATGCCGTCGTTCGAGGGTGGCAAGGCCGCAGGTGCGTCCCTCGTCCTCGTTCCCTCTTTCCCTCGCGAGTCGACCTTCCTAACTCACCCTCCTCCCCCTTGCCCCGCTCCTTTGCCCGCAGAGGAGAAGAAGCGCCTCGCCGCCGGGCTTTCGCCGCTTCAGCGTGGTCCGAGGCGCACGACCGAGGTCATGCGCGGCGCGGCGGGCGAGCGTCTGAGCGAGCAGCCGGCGGGAGCCCAGGTCGGCCCGCACGAGTTCGCCGAGGACGTCTTCTTGCCGGGCGACTTTGACGGCGGGCCAGAGCGCGGTACGTCTTCTTCGTTCTCTCTCTCTACGAGCGAGCCTGATCGTCTCGCGTTCGCACACAGGAATCGACCTCGGCGGGTTCGAGCAGTTCCACTTTGACGACGTCCGTCCCTTCTTCCTTCCCCTCATCCACCCAGCCGCACTGACCTTAGACACCTTCACAGGAGATCGAGCAAGGGCGTGCGGCAAGCGCGGCGGCCATGTCAGGCAGCCGTCGTGCCTCGGCGCTGCCGTGGGCGGCCGAGGTCCGGACGAGCGACGTTGGCGGTGCGTCCCCTTTCTCTTCTCTCGGCCGTCCACCCCGGCCTGACGCATCTCGTTCTGCAGCTCCTGGTCGTCTGGCGGGCCCGTCGAGCGCTGCGGGCGAGAGTCGCGTCTCGATGGAGGAGGCCCCGGGCGGGTGCGTCCTCGTCCTCCTTTGCGCTCTTCCTTCGTTTCCTGACCCACTCTCGCAACAGGATCCCTCGTCGCAGCCGCACACCCTCGCTCCTCCAGTCTCCCGGCCATGCGGGCTCGATCGGCGAGCTGCTCGGCGAGAAGGAAGGCGAACTCGTCGGGCTCGAGGGTACGTCGGTCTTCTCTCTACTCCTTTCCTCTCGTTCCCTTCCTGACGAATTTTCTCTCCCTTCCGTCGTCGATGCCCCCTTTGCAGAGCGCCGCTTCTCGCGTTCGCCATCGCCTCACGCGTCGGGCTCTGGCCGCGCGCCGTCCGCCGTCCTCGAGCCGGGCCTGCGCGAGACCGAGTCGCTCAAGTTCCTGTCGTACGCCCGCCGCCAGCAGAAGCTCGGCGAGCAGCTCCTCTTCAGCGATATCGTGCCCGTCGGCGACACGAACGCGAGGACGGCGGCGCAAGCTTTGTACCACCTGCTCTGCCTCGCGACCAAAGGCCTCGTCAAGGTCGAGCAGCCTCAGGCGTACAGCCAGGTGCGTCACTGCCCTCTCTCTCCTCTCTCTCAATTATCGAAGCAGCACTCACTCGGACCGGCACTGTCGCAGATCGTCGTCGACATCCTCTAGCCGCTCGAGCCCCCTCGTCCAGCCTCTCACCTTGGCCTCCTCCCTTGCCCGCACCCGTCCTTCTCGGCCTCCCAGTCTCTCAGACTCTCCGTCGCTTCATCAGTACCCCTCTCGTTCTCCTCCCTCTTGTCACCCTGTCGATAGTTCCCGTAACGAAGCCCGCTTTCCTCAGTGCCACCTCTCGCGAGCCACGAGTCGACCGAGCCGAGAGGGACAGGACGACCGTTCTCTGCAGCTCTCGAGGTGCGAGGAGAGAGGACTAACTGCATTTCGATTCTCTTGACGATCGACGAGAGGCTGGTGGGAGGGGAGGGAAAGAACGACGAAAGGAGAGGAGGAACGACGAGAAGAGGAAAGGAGGAACGGGGGTAAACACGCGAGGAGGAGAGGCCCTAGATCGGCCAGGAGGTGACAGACAGGGAGGAGAGAGGGGAGGAAGAGAGATAGAGAAGCGGGGGGACCGCCGCCGACGACCTGCTGGACGACGACCGATCGGCTCACGCGCGAGCCTAGTACCACCGTCCCTGCTCGGCGCCCGGCTGCTGTGCCGCGTAGAACTGCGCCTGCGCCTGAGCTTGCGCCATGGCCGCCGCATACGGGTCGTGGAAGCCGTGCATCGGCGGGAGGCCGCCGCCGGGTCCAAAGTGCGGGACCTGGTGCGGGTGCTGGACTTGGCTCGAGATCGGGTGCGACGAGTAGTACGGCTGCTCCTGCTGGTGCTGGTGCTGGTGCTGGACGCCGAGCGGGTACTGCTGAGGCTGCTGAGCGTGCGACGACGTCGGCGGTGGCGGCGAGGCGAACTGGGCGGCGGCAAAGTGCTCCGAGCCGGGCATGGCGCCGTCGAACGAGTCGTGCGACGAGTGGGTGAAGGTGTTGTACATGGGGGCGGACGAGGGAGGGAGCTGGCCGGGGCCTGGCGCGGAGAAGTGCTGCTGCTGGAAGTGCTGGTGGACGAGAGGCGCCGAACCGTAGAACGGCGACGGCGCAAAGCCCGGGTGCTGCTGCTGCTGCTGCTGCTGTTGGTGCTGCTGCAGGTGCTGCTGCTGCTGAGGCATGACGGGCGAGCTCGGCGGGAGGAAAGCGGCACGCGTCGAAGCCGGCGAGCTCGAGGCGGCCTGAGCGCCGGCCGAGCTCGCGTCGCCGTCCGAGTACTGCGCCCACCGGTTGGCGTACCCGTGCTGGCGCTCCTCGGCCTCGCGCACGAGCTGCGAGATCCTCGCCTGCTGCGCCGCCTCGAGCGCATCCGGCGCCGCTTGGACGACGGCCGTCCGCAGCGGGACCGGGCTCTGCCCGTCGCGCGACGGCGCCTTGATCTCGACGCGCTTGTTGAGGCGCGGCGGGAGGAAGTAGGCCGAGGTCGGCGTGTGGATGGCGCCGAAGGGAGGAGGGGGAGTCGAGGTTGCGCTCGGCGAGGGCGCCATCGTCATTGGGTCGGGGAAGAAGGTGGCGTGCGGCGGCGGCGCGAAGTAGGCCGGGCTCGAGTGCCGCGGGATGTACGGCGCCTGGGCCGTCGCGGTGGCGGCCTGCTGCAGGTGCGGCGGGACCTGGTAGAAGGACGCCGGCGCCGGGACCTGCTGCGGGAACGGCGGGAGCGACGCCTCGAGCTGCTGCTGCTCGAACGGCGCGAATGACGACGTGTCCTGCGCCGCCGAGCCGGGAGGAACGGCGAAACGCGCCGGGTCGGCGGCGTACAGGACGCTCGGCTCCTTGCGCAGCTCGTCGGCGGCGTCGGCGGCTGCAGGCGGAACGACCTGCTGCGCCGGCGGCGCGTTCTCCTTCTCCTTCTCGGTCTCCTTGGCCGCCGCACGTGCCGCACCGCCCTTGATCGCGAGCGACACCTGCGCGTCGGGCAGGCGAACGCCGACCACGTCCTCCTTGCCCTTGGACGCGGCCGCTCCCTCGTCCTCGCGGAACAGCTCGTCGGCCGGCGCCGCCGTCGTCGCCTCAGGCGCGACAGGCTCCGGCGCGACGGGCTTGGGCTGCGCGCCCGGGTGGAAGCGGTGCGACGGGTGGAACGGGAGGTGGGCGAAGCGCGGGTTGACGCCGCTCGCGAGGAGCGATGCGTTGCTGCTGCCGCCGCGCCCGGCGCCGGCTGCACCGCCGCGCTCGCCACGCAGGCCGCCGCAACCGCTGCCGCGAGTCGACGGCGAGTGCGCCGTGCCGCGCTCCGCCTCGAGCTCGTCGAAGCCGCTGTGGCTCCACTCGCCCGGGGTCGACGCCGACCCGGCGGGAGCGACGTCGGCGCCGCCCTCGTCATGCGCAGGCCCTCGACGCGTCGACGGGCCGGCTGCGAGGCCGCCTCGACCGCGACCGCGACCGCGAACGGCGGACGAGCCGAAGGGCTGCGGGCTGGGCTTGCCCTGGGCGTCGCGAGGGAGGAACGCGGGTTGGCGGGTCGAGCTCGGGACGACGGGGGACGTCGTCGAGGCGGTCGAGTCGGCGGGAGCGGGTGCGGGGCGGGAGGAGGTGGACGGGGAGGCGGTGGTGGTGGGCGAGGCGGGCGTGGACGGGACGAGGCCGAGCGCGAGGCCGGTGCGCGACGGGCGCGACGGCACGACGGGACGAGGCGGCCTCGCGGGACGAGTGGTGGGTGCAGGAGCGCGTGCCGGCGCCGAGGCCGAGCCGGCCGCGGTTGGCGACGCCGTCTCCTCGACCGGTCCCTCGCCGTCCTCCTTTGCCGCCCGCTCCGCCATCTTCCTCTCGCGCCGCTTCTCCTTGAGCTTGTCCTTCTTGGCCACCCGCTTGGCCTCGTCGCGCTCGGCGCGCTCCTTCTCCTGCCGCTCCCACTCTGCCGGGTCGCGCGCCTTGAGCGCCGCGCTCTTGGCCTCGCGGCGCTGCAGGACGAGCTGCTTTTTGCTCGGCGGCTTGACGCCCTGCGCGGCGGGTGCGCCGGACGAGACGGCGACCGACGGCAGCGCCTGGACCGTGTCGAGCGTGAGGTCGGCAAAGTCGAGGGTCGGGAGCGCGACGCTGTCGTCGCCGTCCTGCGCCGCGTCGACCGCGTCGCTCCAGCTCGGGGGCACGTCCGGGCCGGCGAGGACGGCTTTGTGCGGCGGCTTGCTCGGCTTGGCCACTCCGCTGCCGCCGAGCTGCTCGACCGAGGCGCTCGCGGGCGTGCGCGGCTCGGTGGCGCCCTCGTGCTCGTCGTCGTCGCCGTCCGAGTCGTCGTCGTCCAAGTCGTCGTCTTGCGGCGACGGCACAAAGTCCGAGTCGCTGTCGGACCCGGCGGCGGCGGCGGTCGCGGTGGTGGTGGTAGTGGTGGCGGTGCGAGGAGCGGTCGGGGGAGGGGCGAGCTCGCTCTCGTCGTCGTCGTCGGGGCGGGCACCGCGCCTGCGCACGGGCTTGCGCTTGCGCGACGCGGCGGCGGGCTGCTTGGGCTTGGTCGAGGTGGCGCGAGCGGGGGACGAGGACGAGGTGGAAGGCGGTGGAGGCGCGTCCCGGTTCGAGGCGGGTGTCGCCTTGGCGGGCTTGGGCGGTGCGGTGGTGGGGACGGACATGACTAGGTGCGAGGCTGGAGGGGGCAGACGCGTCAGGTCGGGCGAGGTGGGCGACATCGCGCGGCGAGTGGATGAGGAGGAGATGGAAGCTCACCAGACCAGGAGACGAGGGGCGTAGGGCGGGCTAGTGGTATCTCGTACAGCAGCAGACAGCAGGCAAGTACACACACAGGGCGCGAGCGCTCTGGACGGCGAGCAGTGGCGGGAAGCGAGACGCGTCCTCTCGTCCGCGGTCAAGGTCGAGATCCGCTGGCTCACGCGACAAGCTCGCAACGCCTCGCTTTGACAGTCCTGAGAGCTCTCGGCAGCCTCTACACTCTCATGAATCCTCTCGCGAAGCGGACGCCCTGCTCGAGAGTGTACCGCCTGCGCGAGGTTCACGGGCTCAAGCTCTTGCTCAGGATTGAGTAGTCTACGTCAAGCACGCCGAACCTGCCCGGGTCGATCTCGTCCTCTGTATACCTGCGGACGAGCGAGAGGCCGTCAGGGATGCGGTCGATCGCGTGGCAGACTGGCAAGGCGAAAGGAAGAGAGGGGACGCACCCGACCTTGGCGTAGAACGCGAGCGCCTGCTCGTTCGCTGCACGAGGGTCGAGGAAGATGTAAGCTACACGTCGCGAAGGTAAAGTCGCGACGAGCCGGAAAGACTGGGCCGCCGAGCGACGCACCCTTGAAGACTGTGAGCATGACCTTGTCCATCCTCCACGCTCGCGCCGTGCGCTCGAGCGCGTCCATCAGCACTCGCCCGATGCCCTTGCCGTGATGCGCGCCGTCGACTTGGAGCTCGTAGCTGCGGGCGCGGCGGGATCGAGGGTCAGGTCGTCGTCCGCCGGGGGAGACTCGCCGGCGATGGGAGAAAGGTACGGACGGACCAGTACGCGACGTCGCACAGCTCGTCGTCATCCTCCGAGGCCGTCTCCTCCGTGTCGAAGCGGAAGATGCAGAAACCGAGTGGTGCGGGTCGAGGTGGTGCGGCGCCGGCGGCGGCTGCTGGCGGCACGGGCGATAGGACGAGGAAGCGCGAGTCGGGGTGGAAGACCTCGGCGCGCTTCTCTTGCGCGTCGTAGCCATCTTGTTGCGCCTCGTAGCTGTCGAGAGGGAATTCGAAAGGTCAGCTGCGCAGTCTCGCGACGCAAGGGAGGTGTAAAGAGGGACGAGAGACGGACAGGGGCCGCATGTTGCGCTCAAACAGGTTCCAGATCCAGTCTCGGCTTGTGGAGGGCAGCGTCTTGGTCGAGTGGACCTCGAGACGAGCGCTGTGGGCGAATAGAGAAAGGTAAGCGCTTCATCGCGACGATGGTGGGCCGAGAGAGGGGGACGCACAAGCTAGAGTGCCAGGGCACGTCGACGTGCTTGGCCCGAGGCGTAGGCGCGCCATAGGTGTCCTTGAGCTTGGCGAGTAATGCTTCGGGGCTGGCCTGTGTGCGTGTGAGGCGGGTCAGCGAGGGTTGGTGGTTGGTGGGGGAGGAGGAGGAGCGGGGAGAGACGCACCTGGTTTGCCAGTTTGACGGCGAGGTGGGGTCGTGCAGGCATGTCGATAGAGCAGGCTGGTGGCACACACAGGTCCAGGCGAGCGTGGTGACGAGGACTGGCGAGGTGCCGACGCGAGGCTCGTTAACGACGCGCCTCTTGGTCCTCGTCGCTCTCGTGCACAGCTCTGTCCGAGGTCCGCGACCATGGCCCTTGCTGCCCAGGACGCCGAGCTATTCTTGCCCGGCATCTTCGACGCGCGCGACCTCCCTCAGCACGTCGCCCACCTCAACATCCCCGCCGTCCTCTCGCTCCTCTCGACCCTCGAACTCGCGCGCACCTGGGCCATGGTTCTCGCAGACCAGTTCCTCGTGCACTCGCCGCACTTCGACCTCGTGCCGCGCGACGCCTCGTTCCTCGAGCGCCTCATCGCCGACGACATCTCGCGCGAGGGCGCTGTCCGCTTCTCGGTCGTTGACCTTGTCTGGCGCAGACGTGTGCGTCCTCTGCCCTCTCCCCTACAGTGCAACGAGTCAAAGAGCTCACCTCTAGCGCGCACGCAGATCGTCGAGACGCAGCTCCGCGCAGGCCACCTCGACGAGGCCCAACGGTCCCTCACCGCCTTCTTCACCTCGTCCACCTCGTTCTTCCTCCAGGTGTTCGCCACCGAGCCTCCCGTCGCTCGCGAGCACCTCGAGACGTTCAGCCACGCGTACCAGGCCTACCACGACCAGTGCGTCAAGGCGCGCCAGGCCTACCTGCGCGACCAGGTCCTGCGCTGGCCCTTCACGGGCCTCAAGCACAACGGCAAGATCGACGACGACGGCCATGCCCTCATGACGCTCCGCTGGGCCAAGAACGTCGTCCGCCTCGTGCGCAGGGTCAGGGACATTCGCCAACGGGTCCGTCCTCTTGCTCTCGATCCCTCCCCTCGTCTCCCTTCTCGCGCTCACGGTCTCTCGCCCTTTCCAGTACGAGCAGCGCAACTTTGCGTCGCCCCTCAACTCGACGACGAGCTCGCCCCGAGGTCTCGCGACGGCGTCGGGCGCCCCGGCGGCGCCGTCGAACGCCAACAGCGGCAACTCGCAGGACTCGCTCCCGACGCCCGACCCGAGCTCGGACGGTGGTCGCGCGCCGTCGTCACGACGAGGGCAGCTGGCGACGAGCTTGCGCGGGCCCGAGGGAGGAGCAGGCGAGGTGGACGAGGTCATGACCCCCGTACCCGCACCCGCACCCGCACCTGCACCGACGATCGCCATCGACTCGCCCGCAGCGACCTCCTCGACCCGCAAGCGCCAGCTCCGCGACAGCAGCGTGCAGACGACGCCGCTCCCGCCCTCGCACTCGCCACGCCGCTCGGCTCGCCTGTCGCCCTCGCCGCAGCCCGCCGACCTCGCGTCGCGCCGCCGCTCGCCGCGTGCTCGCACCCGCTCACCTGCCCCGCCGTCGACACCCGCCGCTCACCTCGCCGTGCCCGCGCCGGCATCCGCCGTCGCCGACGACGCCGAGACGCAACCTCCGCGCATCTCGCCGCCGAACCGCGCCGCGAGCGCCGTCATCTCGAGCCTAATCGAGCGGGCGGCGCAGGAGAACCAGGCGCGGCTGCGGCGGGACCGGCGCGCGACGACGGCGGGCGCACTTGGCGAGGGTGGACCTGCTGCGTCGGCTGCAGAGCCTCGGTGCGCGACCGCGGGCCCGGTCGAGGCGGACGAGGCGTGCACGAGGGAGATCAAGCGCCCGAGGAGGTCGGCGCCGGCGGCGAGTTTCGCGCACGCCGACGACGCAGGCTTTGTCGGTCCCTCGACGTCGCCGCCGGCGCCGTCGTCTTCAAGGGCGCTCGGCCCGACGACGAGCGGGATCCTCATGCCGCCGCCGCCGTTGACGGCGCGCAGCGGTCCCGAGACGGGCCGAGCGGCCGACGCGGCGCGCAGCAGCGCCGAGGACGGCGCGTCGCGCGCACCGGCCGGGTCGTCCTTGCCGTCGTCGCAGGACGTCGTCCCGGCCACGTCGTCGCCGTCGCAGCCCGTGCCGACCACTCAGCCGCGCACGTTCCCCCACACCCAGCCCGCACCCTCTTCCTCCCAGCCCATCTCGCCGAGCCAGCCCTCGCCCTCGTCCTCGTTCGCCGTCGCACCATCTTTCTCGCTCCCTCAGCCAGGGCAGCACCGGGCCCACGCAGCACGGGCGCGATCCCGCCCCTCCCGGGCTACACGGGCTCGACGGCGCGCTCGTCGCCGGGTGCGCCGACGCTCGAAGCGCCCGAGTCGGCGCAGGCGCAGGCACATGTGCAGGTGCTCGGGCGACATGACGGCGCCGCCGAAGAGGAGAGTTCGCTCGAGACGGTCGAGCCCTCGCCGCCCTCGCAGGCGCCCATCGGCCACGGGCGAGCGGCGCTCGACGGCCTCGCGCCCGGCAAAGGCGCCGCAACGCGTCTCTCGATGCAGACGTCGAGCGCAGGCGTCGGGGCGCCGAGCGCGCCGCGCGTACTCGTGCCCGACTCGCAGTCGAGCTCGGGGGCGCCTCCTCCGCCTCCCGCCGCCGATGCAGCCCCTTCCTCGGCGCCGAGCTCGACGGGTCCAGCATTCGCCGTCGCGTCCGTCGTCGTTGCTGCCGCAGCCGGCGCCGACAGCCAGGGCACGGGCTCGGGCTCCGGATCGGGCACGAGCGGCAACTCGTCGATCTCGTCCGCCGAGGCGCAGCGCCTCGTCGCCGCCGTCGCGCCGTTCGACGCGTACGACGCGCAGCGCGCTCGGGCTGTCGTCGAGCGCGAGCAGCAGAAGAAGGACGGCGAGGACCGCGAGGACGACGAGGCGCCGGAGCGCGACGACGAGTGGATGATGAGCCAGGCGAGCTTGGGTATCCTCGACGACGACGACGACGACGACGACGATGTCGAGGACGAGCGCGACGGCAACGGCGACGCGTTGCGCTCCGTCTCCGACATCGACGTCGACGAGCTCGCCTCGGACGGCGACACGACCGACTCGCAGGCGTTCTCGATCGGCGGCACGCAGCCGTTTACGCAGGCGCCGCCTCGAGGCGCAACGCGCGACGTGCACGAGCGTCGTCCGCGGCGCGTGAGCCTGAGCGAGGTCGAGAGCGAGGGCGAGGCGGACGAGGCGGGTTTCGAGGGAGGGAGTGGGGGCGGGACGGACGGCGCGACCGACGCGGACGAGATGAGGGCCATCGACGAGTTTGTCAGGAGGGACGCGCTCGAGTGATGAAGCGAGTGCGAGTGCGTCCAGCAGGAGGGGGAGGTGGACGAGGCCGGTCTGGCGCTCTCGCAACGCAGCTCTCGTTATTCTTCTCTCTGAGCAGATCGTCGCCGAGCGTCGAGAGTGCCCGAGAGAGTAGAGAGAAGAGCGAGATAGACGACGAGTTGCATTGTGCGCGCCCTGCGCTCAGGCCTCCTCCCCCTCGAGAACTCGCTCTACGCCTCCTTTGCGAGCCTCACAAACTCCCTCACCTTGTCAAGGTCCTTCTCGCCCGCCGTCTCGACGCCGCCGCTGACGTCGACCGCGAACGGCCGCACGGTGCGCACGCCGTCCTGCACGTTGCCGGCGTCGAGCCCGCCAGCGAGCATGACGGGGAGCCTGTGGCCCGCCTGGCCCGGCTCGCCGCCCTGGCCCGACTCGACGAGTCGCCTCGCGACGCTCCAGTCGAACGTGCGCCCGGCGCCGCCGCTCAGTGCGCCCGGGAGCGGCGACACGGCCGTGTCGAGGAGCGGCAAGGCGTGCAGGCCTGGCCGGCTCGCCTCGCTCAGCTCGCGCTGCTGCTCGGCCGTCTCGGGGCCAGGCGCGACGTGGAACGCGCGGATGACGGGCACGGGCAAGAGGCGCGCCCAGTGGGCGGGCTCGGAGCCGTGCAGCTGGACGAGGTCGAGGCCGAGGGTGTCGACGGCGTGCAGGACGGTCGACAAGGGGGCGTTCTGGAAGACGCCGACGAACAGGGGCTTGCGCGGGTGCGACGCGATGCGCGACGACTGGAGCGAGAACCAGGTCGACTCGTCGAGCTGCGGCGGCGTGGCGGTGCTCGATGAGGAGGACGGGCGCGCTCGGACCGCGGCGATGATCGCCTTGGCCTGCTCGAGAGGCACGTTGCGCTTCGATCCAGGGACGAGGATCAGGCCGAGGAGGTCGGCGCCTGCGTCGGCGGCGACGAGCGCGGCCTCGGGCGTCTTGAGCCCGCAGATCTTGACGAGCGGGGCGGTCGGCTTGAAGCTCGACGACGACGAGGGCGCCGGCGACGACGACGAGCCCGTGACGGCGCCGACGACGGCTGATGCTGCCGACTGGACGGCCGCCGCTGCGCCGTTGACGAGGCTGGACGACGAGGTGGACGACGACGAGGCCGATGCGCCGACGCCGAGGAGCTCGCGGACGAACGCGCCCTTGTCCTTTGCGCGCATGAGGCTCTCGCCGACGAGGACGGCGCTGACGCCCTGCTGCTTGTACATCTCGACGTCCTTGCGGCCCGTGATGCCGCTCAGGGCGATGAGGATGATCTCGCGCGCGCGCTCGGGCGGGTACTTGTCGCGGATGACGTCGGCGATGCGGCTCGTCGTCTGCATGTCGACGTTGAAGTCGTGCAGGTTGCGGTTGTTGACGCCGATGACCTTTGCGCCGACGGCGAGGGCGCGCTCGAGCTCGTCGGCGTTGTTGACCTCGACGAGCGGCTCCATGCCGCGGTGCACGGCGTGGCGGTACAGGTCGCCGAGCTGGGCGTCGTCGAGCATGGCGACGATGAGGAGGACCGTGTCGGCGCCGTACACGCGCGCCTCGTCGATCTGGTACCGGTCGAGGATAAAGTCCTTGCGCAGGACGGCGGGCCGGTTCGGGAGCGCGTCGACGGCGGCGCGCACGGCGCGCATGTCGTCGAGCGAGCCCTTGAACCACTTGGGCTCGGTGAGGACCGAGATGACGGACGCGCCGGCGAGCGCGTACGACAGGGCGATGGCGGGCGCCGAGGGCGACGACGAGTCGACGATGTCGCCCTTTGACGGCGACGCGCGCTTGACCTCGGCGAGGAGCGCCATGTGAGGCTCGTCGCTGCGCGTCGTCGGAGACGTCGACGCGGCCGACGCCTGGAGGCGCTGGTGGAACGAGATGAGGGGCGGCGGGACGTGGAGCGCGATGAGCGACTCGAGGTCGGCGGGCTTGTAGCCCGGCGTCGCCTTGGACTTGGCGACGTCGAGGATGCGCTGCTGCTCGATCTTCTGGAGGATGGTCGGGACCGCGCCCGCCTCGGCGGTGGCGGCGCCGTTGTTGACGGGCTTGACGGCCGAGAAGGACGAGGTCGGCTCGAGGGCGCCGTCGAGGTCGGCCCACTTGCCGCCCTTCCACGACAGGAAGTTGGCGAACATGAGCTTGCCCTCCTCGCTCAGGATCGACTCGGGGTGGTACTGGACCGACTCGATGGCGAACTCCTTGTGGCGAAGGCCCATGATGATGCCGCCCTCGGTGCGGCTCGTCGTCTCGAGGCAGTCGGGGAGCGAGTTGATGCGGGCCGCGAGCGAGTGGTACCGGGTGCCGGCGATGCCCTGGGCGAGGCCCTTGAAGAGGCCTTTGCCGTCGTGCAGGATCGACGACGTCTTGCCGTGGACGTACTCGCCCGCTTGGTCGACGTCGCCGCCGTACTTGACCGTGATGCACTGGAGGCCCATGCAGACGCCGAGGATGGGGATCTTGCCCTCGTAGCGCGAGATGGCCGGGACCGAGATGCCCGAGTCGCTGAGCGGGTGGCCGGGGCCGGGCGAGATGATGAGGTGGGTCATGTCGGGGTACTTGGCCTCGAGCTCGTCGACGGTGAGGGCCTCGGATCGGATGACGGTCATGTTGGCGCCCATGAGGCACAGGTACTGGTACTGTTGGCGGGGAGAGGGAGGGACGGAGGTGAGCGGAGATGTGCGAGGACGAGGTGGGAGGGGACGCACGAGGTTCCACGTGAAGCTGCGGGCGAGCAGGGGCGTTGTCAGTGGCGCTGGTCGCTCGCAGCAATCTCGCCAGCGGTCCTGGTAAACAGCAGGCGAGAGAGCAAGGGCGAGGGAGCTCACCTGTCATCTGCGGCGGCGAGGGGGAGGAGGGGCGAGTGTGAGCGAGGTGCTCGGCGGGTAGGGCGACTGAGGACAGGAGAGAGGGGACGTACAGTTGTCAATCATGACCACATGGTTGTTGGGGTCGATCTGAGGGAGGTGCGACGAGGCGGAGGTGGACGAGGAGGGTCCGCCGTCGGTCATGCCGATGGGGACCGACCCGGCGTGTTCGAGCGAGGCAGTCATGGTTGTGGCAGCTTTCGTGGTACAGCTGGGTGCCACAGCGAGTGAGAGAGAGAGAGCGAGGCCGTCGTCGTCGTCGGGAGCGAGCTAGACAACCTCGGACAGACCTTGACTCTGCTCACACCGGCTGGACCAGGTCCTCGACTCGTCCTACACTCCGACAAGCACCGCCTGCACTTGCCCACCTCTTCAACCCGCCCCCGACCCGCCGCGCCCGACCCACGACGCGACTCGCTCTCGCTCTCGCTCCAGATGGCACAACAGGGCCCACACATCTCTATAGCAGCAGGCGTCAGTCTCCTTCTACTCTCCAGAGCCTTCTCGCCGACTGGGCCAGCCGGCAGCCCCGCAGGAGGCCGCCATCGTCCAGACGGCGCGTCGGAACTTGGGACGCGGCGCGCCCGGGAGGCGGTGCAACCCTCGCTCGCACACCGCACAGCGCACCACCACGCCCCGGACTCTCACGGACAGCCACTGACCAACCCACTGCGACCGCGCACGCAGATCGTCATCGGCCTCGTCGCCAGCTTTGTCCAGTCGCTCGGTGCGCTCCTCGTCCCTCTCGCCCGAGTCGGCTCGCTCCACCCTCGCGCACCGTGTCCTGACCTCGACACGCACCCCACAGGCCTCACGGTCCAACGCCTGAGCCACATCTCGAACGAGCAACAGCCCGTCGACAAGCGCAGGCGAGACTGGCAGCGCCCGCTCTGGCTCGCCGGCTTTGCCGTCTTCATCCTTTCCAACGTCTTTGGTTCGTCCCGCTTTCATTTCCCTCACTCGACGAGACAGCACAATCTGACCCTCGTACCTTACCCACAGGCACCCTGTTCCAGATTGGCGCCCTCCCCATCGTCGTTCTCGGACCGCTCGGCGCCGTCTCGCTCCTGTGGAACGCCTTCTTCGCGCGCATCATCCTCGGCGACAGCTTCACCGTCCAGCTCGCCGTCGGCTCCATCTTGATCGCCGGCGGCGCGACCCTCGTCGGCATCTTTGGCGGTGCGTCGCCCCGTCCTCTCGTCCTCTTTCGTGCGCCGCACTGACCCTTCCTCCTCGTCGCACCCACCCACAGTCGTCCCCGAGGAGACCCACACCCTTCCCGAGCTCATCGAGCTGTACCGCCGCCCCGCCTTTGTCACCTGGGTCGTCCTTCTCGCGCTCACCCTCGCGCTCGTCCTCACGACGGCCCACCTCGCCGAGTGGCGCCTCGCGCGCCGCATCGCCGGCGTCCTCCCGCCCGGCACACCGACGACGCCGCTCCTCCTCGGGCGCGGGCGCGCCAAGAGGGCCCGCCGGTGGTCCCTCCCCGTGCACCACGAGCGGCCCGTGCCCGTCCTTGGCGCGCCGCCCGCCGCCGCCGCCACGGCGCGCACGAGCCTCGACGAGCGCGAGCCGCTCCTCCTCGATGCCGATGACGACGCCGAGCACGAGTCGGATCCGGACGCGACGACGCTCCTGTTGGGCGAGCCCGACGGCGGCGAGAGGGGAAGGAGCACGTCGGGCCGGCGTGCGAGGTTTGCGGGCGTCGACGGCGGGAGACTGAGAGGGGTCCTCGCGCTCGGGAGCATGGACGAGGATGAGGACTCGAGGGGCGAGAGCGTCGAGGCGGTACTGGCTCGGGCGGACAGGTGCGTCTCGCTCCCTTTCCCCTCTCGTTTCCAGGCGCGCAATCTGTCCTGACCCTTCCGCCCTCGCGGCAATAGGACCCGGGTCTGGATCGCGGTCGCGTACGGCGCGACGTCGGGCACCCTGTCGGGCTTGTGTCTGCTCATCACCAAGACGGGCATCGACCTCCTCATCTCGACCATCACGTCGCGCGAGAACCAGTTTGGCCACCTCGAGGCGTGGGTCATCATCGCCGTCCTCGTCGTGTGCGAGCTTTTCCAGGTGCGCCCGCCTTTCTCTCTCCTTTCCTCGAGAACGCGGCCGAGGAGACGAGGCCTCAGCGCTCGCTGACCTTCTTGGTCCGCCCGCGCAGCTCGCCTACCTCAACCGCGCCCTGCGCCTCGTCGGCCCGACCCTCATCTGCCCGCTCGCCTTCTGCGCGTACAACTGCGCGTCGATCGCGTCGGGCCTCATCTACTTTCGCCAGCTCGACGTCCTGTCGCCGCTCCAAGGGTGGATGCTCGCCCTCGGGACGTGCGTCCTCCTCGGCGGCGTGTGGATCGTCAGCGTCAAGCCGGGAGGGGCAAAGGGCGACGCGGACCAGGCCGGTGGGCAGAAGAAGAAGGCCGGGCAGGTCTGGGCCGACGAGCCGCTCGAGATGGAGACGGAACCGGACAGCTGTTCCTCGGACGACGAGCCTGGTGCGTCCTCTCTCTTTTTTTTCTCGTCATCCTTCGCCTCCTGTCTGACCGCTTTTCCCTGTCCTTCCTCGCCTCGCTACAGTCGCCTGGCGCCCTCGAGGCTTTTCGATCGGCCTCGGCGCCGCCTCGCCCGGGTTCGAGATCCGCCCCAAGGTGCTGCACCGAGCCCACGCCTCGCACGCCTCGGCCCCCGTCCCCTCTCTCGACCCGTCCTCGCCCTCTCCCGCATCGACGCCCTCGCCGTACCCGTCGCCGTTCACGCCCGTCATCGACCTTGGCGCGTCGACGGCGAGCCTGCCGACCGACGGCCGTGCCGCACAGCGCAGGCGGCACGGGCACGGGCGCAGCGAGAGCCTGAGCGGCGCGCTGTACGTCGGCCCGAGCGCGCACGAGCACCACCTCGGGCGGCACAGGAGGGAGGACAGCTCGCCTTTGCCGATGGGGCGGGCGAGGGAGGGCGGCGAGGCGGGTTCGGGGGACGGGCAGCACGAGCTCGACGACGAGGACGACGACGAGGGCAAGGAGCTGAGGGCGCGAGGGTGGTGGGCGAGGGTGAGGAGCACGCTCGGGAGGGGGACGTAGACCTCGTCCTGCGTTGTCGCCGTCGTTTTGTACTGCTGCTGTCGATAGATCTACATCGCTGTCCTGCTTTGCGAGGCTTTCCTACGGTACGGAGAGCGAGAGCAACGTGCGAGGTCGACTTGGGAAGGCGACGAGGCGAGTCTGCCGAAAGTCTACCGCGAGTCAAGCAAAGTCAAGCGGGCGGAATAGCAGAGCGGCGAATACAACCAGAGGCTATTCGAGCGAGCTATTTGCCAGCTTGATCGGCCAGTTCGCTCTCCTCTCGCACCATATCCCGCCGTCCACACACCTCGACGTGCCTCGCCAGCTAGCGCAGCAACTGCGCACCACCTCTAGCCCCAACCCGACGGGCATGCAGCGCCGCCTGTCGCCCGGCGACGGCCTCCTGCGGTGCTCCCTCGACCCGTCGTCTCGCGCCCACCTGTCGGACGTCCAGTTCTCGTACCCGCTCAAGGTCATCGTCCCGGCAAGAAGGTTCCTCCCGCGAGTCCAGTGCGCCTACATCATCGGCTACGGCGGCGGGCTCGTCGCAGGCGACCGGGTCCGGCTCAAGGTCGAGGTTGATCAAGGCGCCACGCTCGTCCTCCTCACCCAAGGTGCGTCCTGCGCGTTCTCTCGAGCTCCTGTGGCATGCTCGCGCAAGCTTGGCTTGCGCGCGCTGGCCTGGCAGGCTGACGCGGCGGCGTGACGCGACCGCCCTCTCTCCCCACATGGTCGCTGACCTCTCGCACTCTCCCGCAGGCTCGACCAAGGTGTTCAAGGTCCGCCCCGGTCGCTACCTGAACGCTCCAACCCTCTCCGAGACGAGCACGACCCAGCAGCTCTTCCGCCTCTCGGTCGCCCCCTCCTCGACCCTCGTCCTCCTCCCCGCACCCGTCACCTGCTTCTCGCGCGCTCGGTACACCCAGCGGCAGGTCGTCCGCCTCGCCGACGCATCGAGCAGCCTCGTCCTCCTCGACTGGTACACCTGCGGGCGCATGGGCATGGCGGCGGGCGCGGGGCACGGGCAGGACGGCGTCGAGGGCGGCGAGGAGTGGGAGTTCGAGCGGTACCGGAGCGAGAACGAGGTGTGGCTCGGCGGGAGGCGCATCGCCAAGGACGTCTTGCTCCTCGAGGACGAGCTGCCACCACCACCAGGCGCCGCCGACGACCCATCCACCTCTCGCGACCCCGACGCGCACGAGCCCTCCGCGCGCACGACGACGTACCGCCCTCGCGTCGCGCCCTACTCGTGCTACGCGACCCTGTTCCTCTTCGGACCCTCGTGTGCCGCCCTCCTCGCCTCGATCGAGGCCGAGTTTGCCGCCCTCGTCCAGCACAAGCAGCCCGCGCCCTTTTCGCTCGTTTGGTCCTTCTCGCCGTTGGCGCTCTCTGGCGGCCTCAAGGGCGGGATCGCAAGGTGTGCAGGCGACTCGACCGAGGCGGTCAGGGAGTGGGTCACGCATGTGCTCGGGCAAGGAGGGATCGAGGACCTCGTCTCGAGGGACTTGTGGAAGGGCGCGTTCAGCTAGACCAGGTGCGTCGCTCGCCCTTTCCCTCTCCCGCTCTTGGCTATCTCTCGAGTACTCACTGACGCTCTCGCGTGCGCAGTAGACGTCTCGGTGTTGCAATAATACTCGCATCTCGCTCGAGCCTCCCCCTCGCGACGACCACTACCTTTTCGACGTCGACGTGAGGAACTGCGCCTCGTACGCCGCCAGAGCCACCTGTGAGGGTATACGAGAGGGTCGAGCATGAGTGCGAGAATGGGATAGAGAGAGAAAGAGAGAGAGAGAGAGATGCGCACCGTCTTGAATACGACCGTCACGCTGTGCGACGCCGTGCGGAACTCCTGTGCGTCCGGACGGCGGCCAAGGACGAGTCTCGTCAGTAACCTGTAGTGCAGAGGAGACTCGAGAGGGCGTAGACGACGCACCCATCGCGAGCCGGCGAGCGGGACCCAGTGCGGCTTGAGGTGCTTCTCGCGCTCGAGGTCGGCCGGCTTGGGCAGACGCTGGACGTGGATCTTGACGTACGCGTGACCCATGCCGTCCTCGGACACGAGCGTCTTCTGGACGCCGATGCGCAGCGCGTCGTGAAAGTCCTTGAGCGCGAGCGAGAAGTTGAGCTCCTGCGAGGCGAGAGAGAGGCACGGTCAGGGCGAGGAACCGACGAGGACGCCCCGAGAGTAAGAGAGAGAAGAGGTCGTACTCGGAGTAGGTCGATGAGCTCCCGCTCGAGCACGCTGTCCTCGCCGCCGGCCTCGCGCTCTTGCTCCCGGGTGAGCGCCTGCGGCCTCTCGTACGCGACCGCTTTCGGCGGCGGCGGCGGCGGCGCACGAGCGTTGACGGGCGGCGGCGGCTCGTCGTAGTCGTCGTCGACCCTCATGCGGCTCGAGGCGCTCGAGACGGGCCGGCCGATGCCGCCGCCGCCGCCGCCGAGGTACGTGCGCTGGACGGGTGCGACCGGCGGCGGCGGCAGCTGCTGCTGCTGCTGCCGAGGCAGCTGATAGACCTGCTGCGGCGCACGCTGCCTCGGCTGACCCGGCGGCGGGAACGAGAACGGCGGCGCGTCGTCGGCGACGGACGAAAAGTCGTCCTCGTCGAACCCGGACGGCGAGTACCGCGGCGCCTGCGCCTGCTGGTACGACGGCTGCACCGGCGACGCCCGGCGGACCTGGACGCCTCGCGATGGCGGACGAGGGATGGCGAGGAACTGCTGCGCCTGCTGCTGCTGCTGGGCGGCGGCGAGACGGGCGCGAGGGTCGTCGGTGCGCCGAGTCGACGCCGCGGGCGAGTCTTCCATGTCGAGGTCGGTCGCGACGCCCGTAGCGACAGCCGTGAACGCGTCGTCGTCGTCGTCGCCGTACCCAGGCGCGCCCGGCTCGTCCGCCTCGCCGCCGCCGTAGTCGTCCCACGCGCGCTCGCGCTCGTGCCGCGGCGGCTCGTAGTCGTACGCCGTGCTCCTCGCGAACGACACGGGCGCGTCGTACCTGCTCCTGCTCGGCGCAGGCGGCGGCGGCATCTCGTAGCCCTCGTCGTCGTCGACGAAGCGCTGCCGGCTCGGCGCCCGAGGAGGAGGGGGGGCCCGAGCGGGCGCAGGAGCGGGTGCGACGGGTAGTTGAGCGCTGCGGCGGCCGTCTAGGCGCGTCGGCGGGATAGGCGGCGAGAAGGCGTTGCGCGACGTCGAGCGGGCGGGCAGGACGGCGTCGGGCGCCTCGGAGCCGTTGAACTCCTCGACCTCGTTCTCGCCAAACTGGACCGCTCGACGGGCCTGCTGCTGCCGAGCGATCGAGAGGTCGGTGGCGACGGCCTGCGAGACGGTACGAGGGTCAGTCACTCGGCAACGGCAAAGGTGAGAGCGGAAATGAGGCGCACAGTCTCGTCGTCGTCGTCCTCGTCGAGCTGCGGCTCCTCGCGGTACCCTCGCACACGCTGCACCGGTTCATCGTCGTAGTAGCTTCGCGGCGGTTGACGATCTGCGCAGTACGTGACGGTCAGGGAGATACCCGAGGGACGCAGGCCGAGGGAAAGACGAGGACGCACAACGAGGAGCGGCGGGAGGAGGCGCGAGTCGCTGTGCGTAGCGAGACATGGATGCGGCGCCGTCGAGGAAGCGCAAGAAGAGCTCGAGCAGAAAGCTGAAGCAGATGCGGGACTCGGACAAGCGCAAAGACGGCGAGCGAAGAACGGACGGTCCGCGGAGAGCGGCGGCGACGGGCAGGACCGCGAGGGACGTGCGCCTCGGCGACCATCGACGACAGGAGACGCTCGTGTCTCGCCCATGTCGGCGAGACTCAGCCTCTCGAAGCCGGCGAGGGAAACGAGGTTGCGGATGCGAGTACGAAAGAGGACGGGGAGACAAACGACGGGGAGGGCGGGCGCAAAACGACGAAGGATAGGGAGGAGGGTGCAAGAAGATGAGGGGCAGTCATCTCACGCTCAGCGATAGGCGAACGAGCCGAGGCCGAACGCGCCGCGCTCGTTGTCGGCCGGCGACAGGACGAGGCGCTGATGAGGTGTCGCCGCCGGGTCGTGGTACAGGCCCTCGATCGCGCCCGTCTGGCGGTCGAGGACGACGTGGTAGAAGCCCGAGATCGAGAGTGACGACTCGTTGGCTGCAAGGGGAGGAAGGCGAGGGCGAGTCAGTCGACTTGAGAAGGCTGCACAGAGGGGAGGAGGACCACGACGACGCACCGGTAACGTTGACAAAGTCGCGCTCCTTCCACCGGCACAGGACCCACCCCCTCGTCTTCTCCTCGACCCACACGCGGCTCTTTGCGCCCTCGAGCAGCTCGCGCTTGGTCAGGCCCTTGAACGGGCCGAGCTGGACCCAGCTCTCGGCCTCGCTCGAGCGCGTGACGCAGAACTCGCCGCCGGACCCAGTCGGCGACGGCGAGCAGAACAGGCCGTCGACGATCGGGTGCAGGATCGAGCCCGAGAAGAAGGTCGTCACGTCGCCGACCGGCGGAGGAGGGGGAGAGGCGTCGCTCGAGGTGGACGACGTCGCGACGGTCACGGGCGGGATGGCGACGCCGTGTGCGCGCATGACGCCCGTGAGCGACTTGAGCTCGGGCTCGTACGACAGGACCGTGACCTGGAGCGCGGGAGAAGGACGAGGTCAGGTTGGCGGGCCCGGCTGGGCGACAGAAGGAAAGAGAGAGAGAGATTAGGCGCACCTTGACGCTCCAGCTCTCGGGCTCAGGTCCTCCACGCCCCTTGGCCGCCCCTCTCTCCCTCTCGGCCTCCCTCTCGCGCTCGCGCGCAACCGCCCGCAGGAGGAGCTCCTCGCCGACCTCGCCCCAGCTGCTGCGGCTCGCGCGCGCCGCCGGGTTGACGCTCTGCGCGACACGGGCGCGAGCGCGAGCGGCAGCGGCGTTGGGCGAGAGAGACGCGGCGGGAGCGGAAGCGGCGGAAGGCGAGGTCGAGGAGGGGGACCCGGCGCCGGCGGGGTGCGTCGCGACAGGGGCATGCGTCGACGTCGACGACGATGACGAGTAGGGCGCGTAGCGCGACGAGGGCGACGTGTGCCCGCGAAGGATGGCGAGGAGCGGGTCCGTCTCGGCGCGAGTACTGCTGCTCCCGCTCGCCCTCGCCCTCGACTCTGCGGCCGCGCCGGCACGCGCACCTGCGCCGCCCGAGGCTGTCGCACGCGGAACCGCGAGCGCAGAGCCGTCCTCCCATGCACTCGCGGCTGCGCGCCACGGCGGCGGCGCGTTGCGCAGCGCACCTGGCCCCGTCGACTGCGCCGCACCGCTCGCCGCCTCGGCGCCTGCGCCCGACGGCTGCGGCGCGAACTCGGGGTGCGCGGTCGAGACGAGGCGCGACGCGGCGCCTGCGCGAGCTGCGGCCGCACTGCGCACGGCGAGCGCGATGTCGGCCGGGTCGGCCCAGGCGAGCTCGGGAGCGGCGCCGTCGAGCGACGCGTGCGGCCCGTGCTGCACGCGAGTGCGGCTGCGCGTGCCGAACGTCTGCTCGCCGACAAAGGTGGCGCCCGGCTGGAGGAACGAGGTGAACGAGAGGGCCGATGACGGGTCGCGCGAGAGGTATGGGACGACGGGGTCGGGCGAGGGGACAGGGGCCGAGTACGTGTCGCTCGGGGCAACGTGTACCGGGTTGAGGAACCGCTCGCCCGCGAAGCCGGGGAGCATGGCGCGGAAGTCGGTCGAGGAGGAATGCGCGGCGGCGCCGGCGGGGCGAGGCTGGGCCCACACCTCGCCGAGGAGCGCGTCGTCGTCGCCCGAGTCGGCGTCGTCCGGCGCGTCAAACATGTCGCCGTCGAAGCCGACGAGGTGGAAGTCGTCGACGTGACCGGCGTCGGCCCAGCCGTCGTCGTCCATCATGTCGTCGTCGTCGCTGTCACCGACCATGTTGTCGTCGTCGTCGCCTGCGCCTGCGCCGACGAGGTCGGTCGCCATGTGGAAGAAGCGCTCGGCAGCGGTCAGGTGGTCGAGGTCGCGGTCGCCCTCGTCCTCGCCGTCGTCGCTAGTCGACAGGCGGACTGGGTGGTCGGCGGCCGCGAGCGAGCTGAGGAGGGCCCTCCTCGCGCGGTCGAGGTTGTCGCGCTCGTCCCACTCGAGCTCGCGCTGCCTGCGTGCTGCGTGGCGCATGGCGAGCGTGTTGGCTGCGAGGTCGTCGAGGTGGGTCGCGAGCGGCAGGCTGTCGTCGAGTCGGCGGCGGCGGCGGGTGGGAGGGGCAGCCGACGAGGGCGCGGGCTGGCCGGTGAGGGGGGCGGCGGCTGTCGTGGCTGCGTCGAGGACGTGCAGGAGGTGGTCGAGCGAGGTCGAGTCGGGGTCGACCTGGATGAGGGGCGGCGAGGGAGGCATGGCGGCACGGGGTCGCCGTGCGACTCGGCGCGGCTGGATCGAGCGCGGCCGGGGGTGACGTGCGGGATGACTCGAAGCTCTCGCAGTGCAGCTGGGTGGTGAGGAAGGGAGCGAGGTTGGCCGACGCGAGGTCGGCGGCGGTGCTGACGAGGTGAGACTCTCTCGACAGAAGACGCTGCTTTGAGGGCGCAGGTGCGTGTGATCTACTCTCGGTAGCTTCTGAACGGCTGCCGCCGACCACCGAGAGCTGTTCAGAGAGCGAGAGAGGGCGGGTCTCGTGTCTCCCTCTCTCGAGCTCGACCAAGTCGGCGCGCGCTCGCCTCGCCTCTCCTCCTCCCCTCCCCCCTCCGCTCTCGTGCGTCCGCTCCCTGCCAAGCTGCTCAGCGTGCCACCACGACCCTAGCTCACCCTCCTCCCCCTTCACCGCACCAGCTTATCCGCACAATGTCGAGTGACGAGGTGAGCCGCACTCGCTCGCAACCCTCTCCGCCTGTCGCACCCCGGCTCACACCCCCCGTCTCGCCCGCCACAGATCCCCCAGCTGGTCGAGGGCGCCGCCGCCGACGATGTTTTCGAGGGAGCCATCGGTGCGCCCACCTCTCCCGCCCTGTCGCCCGCCCAACTCGTTCAAGCCGCTCACTCTCGCCCCTTCGCCTCCCCCGATTTTTCCCCCTCGTTGCCCGCCACCGCTCGTCCCATGGCGCAGGTATCGACCTCGGCACCACGTACTCGTGCGTCGGTGTCTGGCAGAACGACCGTGTCGAGATCATCGCCAACGTCAGTCCCCAACCTCCCTCGACTTTTCGGACTTGAGCGAGCCGGCGGCACCGCCAGCTCGCCGCGCGCCGGCCCGTGCCGCTCCGGCGGGAGCAAGAACATGGCACTGACGAGCTCTCGGACGCTCCCTTTCGCGCCCCGCAGGACCAGGGCAACCGCACCACGCCGTCCTACGTTGCGTTCACCGAGTCGGAGCGCCTCATCGGTGACTCGGCCAAGTGCGTCCCTCCCCGAGCCTCGTGCATCGTCTGGGAACAATCTCTGACATGCCGCGCACCCGCAGGAACCAGGCCGCGATGAACCCGAAGCAGACCGTCTTCGACGCCAAGCGCCTCATCGGCCGCCGTTTCGACGATGCCGAGGTCAAGAAGGACATGGCTCACTGGCCGTTCACGGTCGTTGACAACAACGGCTCGCCCTTCATCGAGGTGCGTCTCGCGATTCCGCCCTCGGAGCGCCCTCTCTCGCCCGCCCGGACCTGCGACTAACTCGCGCCTCCCTCCTCCCCCTCTCTCTCCCTCCCTGCAGGTCTCGTACCTCGGCGAGACCAAGTCGTTCTCGCCCGCCGAGATCTCGGCCATGGTCCTCACCAAGCTCAAGGAGACCGCCGAGGCCAAGATCGGCAAGGAGGTCAAGAAGGCCGTCATCACGGTCCCGGCCTACTTCAACGACTCGCAGCGTCTCTCGACCAAGGACGCTGGCACGATTGCCGGCCTCGACGTCCTCCGCATCATCAACGAGCCGACCGCCGCCGCCATCGCGTACGGCCTCGGCGAGGCGACCGAGAAGTCGAAGAAGGAGAAGATGGTCCTCATCTTCGACCTCGGCGGTGGCACGTTCGACGTGTCGCTCCTGTCGATCACTGGCGGCGTCTTCGCCGTCAAGGCGACGGCCGGTGACACGCACCTCGGTGGCGAGGACTTCGACAACGCGCTCCTCGAGCACTTCAAGAAGGAGTTCGAGCGCAAGACCAAGCTCGACATCTCGGGCGACGCCCGTGCGCTCCGCCGCCTTCGTTCGGCGTGCGAGCGCGCCAAGCGCACCCTGTCGTCGGTCACGCAGACCACCGTCGAGGTCGACTCGCTGTTCCAGGGCGAGGACTTCTCGGCCGCCATCTCGCGTGCCCGCTTCGAGGAGATCAACGCCACCACCTTCCGCTCGACCATCGACCCGGTCGAGAAGGTCCTCAAGGACGCCAAGGTCGACAAGGCCAAGGTCGACGACATTGTGTGCGTCTCGCCATCGCCCTTTCCCCCCCACACCTTTCCCCTTTGGCGGTCACTGACGTTCTCCTTTCCATCCTTCCCTCGTCCTCTACAGCCTCGTTGGTGGCTCGACCCGTATCCCCAAGATCCAGTCGCTCGTCTCGGAGTACTTCGGCGGTCGCCAGCTCAACAAGTCGATCAACCCGGACGAGGCCGTCGCGTACGGTGCCGCCGTCCAGGCTGCCGTCCTCACGGGCCAGACGTCGGAGAAGACGGCCGACCTCCTCCTCCTCGACGTTGCGCCGCTCTCGCTCGGTGTCGCCATGCAGGGTGACGTGTTCGGCGTCGTCGTGCCCCGCAACACGCCCATCCCGTGCAACAAGTCGCGCACCTTCACCACGGTCGAGGACAACCAGACGACCGTCACGTTCCCCGTGTACGAGGGCGAGCGCGTCACGTGCAAGGAGAACCGCCTCCTCGGCGAGTTCGAGCTCAGCAACATCACGCCCCAGCCGCGTGGCCAGGCCGAGCTCGTCTGCACGTTCGAGATCGACGCCAACGGTCTCCTCAAGGTCTCGGCTCTCGACCGCACGTCGGGCCGCCGCGCCAACATCACGATCACCAACTCGGTCGGCCGCCTGTCGGTGCGTCCCACCTTCTCCTCCACCTCTTCCTTCTCCTCGTCATCGTCCCTCTCTGCGACACAATGGACGTTTACTGACTGTCAAACTCGCCGCCACAGTCGTCCGAAATCGACCAGATGATCAAGGACGCCCAGACCTTCTCGGCTGCCGACAAGGAGTTCACCGCGAAGCACGAGGCCAAGCAGTCCCTTGAGGCATACGTCTCTTCGGTCGAGTCGACCAGTGCGTCACTGTTTCTCTTGTTCCCGTCCCTGTCGTCGTCCCTGAAAGAGCCGTCACTGACCAACTTTGCCTCCCTTCTTCTCCCTCCTTGTCCTCCTCCTCCTCCCGCCTCCTCCCCCTCGCCGCGCCCCTCCTCCTCCCCATCGTCAACGTTCGCCTTTCACCCTCACAGTCACGTCGCCGGAGGTTTCGGGCAAGCTGAAGCGCCAGCACCGTGGTGCCGTCGAGGGCGAGCTCGCCAAGGCGCTCGAGCGCCTCGAGATCGAGGACTCGTCGGCCGACGAGCTCCGCCGCGCCGAGCTCCACCTCAAGCGCGCCATGCAGAAGGCGATGTCGGGCGGCCGCTAAGCGGCTCGAGCGTCGTTGTCGTCGTCGCTCCCGCCTCTCGGTTCCCCCTCCCTCCGTCCCCCCCTCCTGCTCCCGCACCTGCATTGTCGTACCCTCTTCTTCTTCGTCTACAACCCTCCTCTTGCACCCGCCGTCGCCGTCGGTGCGCCTTTACTGGCGCTGCCGTCGGCGTCGCTCTCCCTCCCGCTCGCGGACCACCTCCCCCCTCTCTCTCTCTCTCCCCCTCTTTCGAAAACGGCCCGTACTCTGTTCTCGTCTAGCTCCGACCTCCTCCTCTTTGGTGCAACGTCGATCGATGGCCTGATACCCTTGTGCGTGCTCGTCGTCCGCCTGAGTGAGCGAGAGCGAGAGCACCTCGAGCGAGCTACCGGGCTCTCTGCTCTGCTGCGCGCCCGTATCCGAGGTGCATCGGTTGGCTTGCAAGCTGTCCATTCAACAGCAGAGCAGCAGGAGAGCGAGCGGTGCCCCGACGTCGTTGTCGTCGTCGTCCTCATCTCGTCGTCGAACCTGTCGCTGCCTCTCACGCCTCGCACGCGACCGAGGGCCATGCCGTCCTACTCGCTTTCGCCGCTCGCGTACCTCAAGCTCGTCCTGCACGCGGCAGCGTACCCGTCGAGCACCGTGGTCGGCGTCCTCCTCGGCACCGTCGACGACCGCTCGACTGGCGCCGTCACCGTGTCGGACGCTGTGCCGCTGCTGCACCACTGGAGCGAGCTCAGTCCAGCGATGGAGGCGGGCTTGGCACTCGTGCGTCCCTCTCTCTCTCTCCTCTCGCTCCTCGTCCCGCGAGCTGAACCTCGCCTCCTCCCCGCACAGGCCGAGACGTTCGCCAAGCAGCAGGGCGCGGTCCTCGTCGGGCTGTACGTCGCCAACGAGCGACTCGGAGACGTGCGCGTCCCGCACGGCGTGCAGCGTGCGGCCGACGCCGTCCGGAGTCAGTGCGCCGAGGCGCTCGTCCTCGTTGTGCGTCCCTCTCTCGCTCTCTCGCTCTCTCTTTCGGTCGCCGAGACTGACTCGCCGGTCCGCAGGTCGACAACGACAAGCTCGCGTCGGGCGAGCCGGCCATCATCGTGCGTGCGCTCCCTCGTCGTCTAACCTCGTCGCCGTTCTTGACCCGTCTCTCTCTCGGACGCAGCCTCACCTCCCCTCGTCCAAGCCGCCCGCCTCCTGGCAGCCCTCGTCCCTCTCGTCCGCCAAGCTCACCCTCGCCGACCCGGCCTCGCCGACAAAGGCGCTCGCCGCCGTGCGCGAGGGCCAACATCGCCTCGTGGGCGACTTTGACGCCCACCTCGAGGACGTCACGGTCGACTGGCTGCGCAACGCGCGCATCTCTGTGTAGCGCGAGACGACGGCCGGTGGAACGAGCTCGATGTACAGACTACAGCACGAGGAGGAGGACTACAGCAATGAGAGAGGGACAGAGAGAGGGAGAGGGAGCAACGACGAGCTCGGCGATCAACCGCGGTTGTTGTTCTGGTAACCGCTGCTCGTGCCATCATACGCCGGGATAAAGAGAACCCGCCGGTTGAGGTCCATCCACCTGCGCGCGCCAGCGACGAGAGGTGAGAGACTGCTCGACCTGGGCGACCGACGAGGAGAAAGAGAAAGAGAGAAACGCACTGGAGGAACTGCTGGACATGGTCCTTGAGCTCGCTCATCGCCTCGGGGTCGAGCGTCGTGTGCGCGAGCAGCTCGGGAAGGTTGACTGCGCAACGAAAAGCTCGACATGAGTCTCGGCCGCATTCTCGCGACGACGAACAAGGAGAGAGGACGCACCGAATAGCCGCAAAAGGTGCTCGCCGCCGTAGACCGAGCTCATCTGCCGGTCGGTGCCCTGCAGGAGCTTGTACTGCTCCTGGTACTGGCCGCGCTCGAAGCGGTACAAGAGGTTGTTGCCGAGCGCCTTGTTGAAGTAGAGCCCGAGCCCGGCGGCGACCTCGGCGGCGACACTGCGGGAGGTGCCGAGACGTCAGGAATGTCGAGAGGAAGAAAGGAGGGGCGCGAGGACGGACCGCTTGCGCGTCTCCTCCTCGTTCTGGAGGTAGATCAGCCACTCGTTCAGGATCGTGTCGACGCTGGGCACTCGAGGTATCGGGACGAGCTGCGGGTGGCGCACGACTGTCAGTCTCGGCGACAATGGAGAGAAGGAGGAGCGGGGCGGCGCACCTGCTGGTTCTTGGTGATCGCCTCCCAGTCGTCGACGAGCTGCGTCTTGAGGTTGTCCGGGATCGCGATCTTGACCTCGGGCCGCTTGAGGTACTCCTCCTCCTGTGAAAGCATGCTCGATGTCAGTAAAGGGAGGAGAGAGAGAGAGGTAGAGAGGAAGGAGACGCCGACGCACCGCCTCGCCCTCGCGCCCACGCTTCGTGCCCCTGCCCGTCCCCCTCGCCGCCGCACTCGCCGCACTCGCACCCGGCCCGCCAGCCATCTGCGCCGCCTTGAGCTTCTGCTCGAGCTCGGCCGCCTTGAGCGCCTCGCGCTCGGCGGCGTCGCGCGCCCGCTGCGCCTCGATGAGCGCCTTCTGCTTGCGGATGCCCTCCTCGTTGAACTTGCAGAGGCGCTCCTCAGGGACCCACTCGTCCCAGCTGCATGGTGAATGGAGCAAGGCGGCGTGTCAGGCGACGGCGTCGGGCTGTCGAGCGCGACGGGGAGGAGAACGAAGAGGAGGAGCGGTCGGACGCACGTCTGCTTCCAGCCCTTGTAGTGGACAAAGTAGTGCGGCCCGACAGCGCCGCTCTTGTTGACGCCCTTCTGCCAGAACTCGGCCTTGAGGATCTGCAAGGGGGCGAGACGAGGGTCAGAGAGTCGGTCGCGTCGAGGAGGGGGAGACGAGGTGGGCGGGGAAGCGGCAGGGCTCACCTTTGCCTCGTACATGAGCGGCCCGTGGAAGCACAGGACCTTCTCGTTCTCTGCGTATGCGAGCTTTGGCCTGCGAGTGCCGAGCGGGGACGTGGGCGCGAGGGGAGATGAGGGGGAGGGGACGCGACGGGGTCAACGGGGGGCTGCGGCGAGACTGTGCGAGAGGGGGAGGGCGCGCACATGATGATTCGGAGCTCGATGGAGCCGAGACGGAGATGCCGGGTCGACGAGGGCGAGAGCGAGCGCTCGAAGAGGAGAACGGCGCACGACGACGAGGACCAAGTCGGCGCACGTCGCTTCTCTCCCTCTCGCCGCCCTCTTTTGCGTGACAGAGAAGCGGGACATGCTCTCGTAGGGAACAGAGGCGAGTTGGACGAGCGAGAAAAGCCTCTGCGAAACAGCGACCTCGAGCCTCCTCCTCGTTTGCCGCGGACAGCGTCTCTCTCCTCTCGCTGCGGATCATGGCGGCACTGCGCTCAAGATGCATCGCCGTCTGACCATCGACGTCTAGATGCCGCTCATGATCTGCGCAAACTGCTCGGCGCCGAGCAGCCGCTGCAGCTCGGCAAAGTCCATGCCGGCCACTCCTCCCTCGGGGAACGTCTGCGGCTGCGCCTGCTGCTGCGGCGCCTGCTGCTGCTGCTGCATGGGCGGCGGCTGCAGCTGAAAGTTCTGCTGCTGCTGCTGCTGCTGTAGGGGCGCGCCGCCGACGTTGAACGGCGCGGGAGGGAGCGCGCCGGCGAACGACGAGGGCGGGGCGGCCTGCGCCTGGAGGCTCGGCGACAGGTGCGGCATCTGGTACGGCGGCTGGATCGGAGACGAGAACATGCCCGACTGGGCCGAGTTGGGCCGCACGGGCTGAAGAGGCGGTGGCGGAGGAGGAGGCGCCGACTGCTGCTGCTGCTGGGCCGAGTGCGCTCGCTGGTGAGGCGTCGAGGTCGACGACGTCGCCGAGGCCTTGCTGTCCTGCAGCCAGGCCTCGGGGAGAGGGATCTTGGTAAAGACGAGGGCGAGGAGCTTGTTCTGCTGCGGGACCGGGATGAGGACGAGGCCGTGCGGGGTGCCAGAGAACCGGGCGACGCCGCACTGCGGGCGCACGAACACGAAGAGTCAGTGACGCTCTCCTCGTACAGAGAGAGTGGAACGAGGGCGACGCACATGGCCCCTCATCTCCATGCTCTGCGCAAACATGCCGTACAGCGCCTCGTTGGCGTGCCCGCCGGGCGCCGCGAGCTGCTTCTTGCGGAGCTCGTCCGGGAGCGACTCGCTCGGGATGGCCGACAGGCTCATGGCCGGCAGCGTGTGCTTGTTGGCGAGCTCCTGGAGCGCCGCCATCTTGATCTGGACGAGCGACGAGATGCGCCACGACTGGGGGAACTTGACGTCGGCGCTGCGGATTCGAGGCGGCGTGAGCTGGCTGCTCCTCAGCGTCGAGAAGGAGAGAGAACGCTGGACGCACAGGTCTCGGATCGCGCTCTGCTGCATGGGCACGGCCTGGCAGAACATGGTGTACTCGGCCGTCGTGCCCGACACCTCGGTGAGCGCCCACGAGATCGGCCCTCGCCACACGGTGCGTGGTCGCTCGGGCTCCTTGCGCGCCTGCTGCTGCTGCTGCTGCTGCTGCTGGGGCGGATGCTGAGGCTGAGGTTGCAGCGGCGGGAGCGGCTGCGCGGGCGCCAACTGGGGCGTCTGCAGGCCCGGCGCGAGCGGGATGTTGAGCCCGAGCCCTTGGCCCTGGCCGTGTTGAGGAGGCCCTTGCGCCTGCGCCTGCGCCTGGCCGAGGGCGCCGTTGATGCGCTCGGCCGCCTTCTGCTGCTGCGCGAGCTGGTACCGGTGCCTGCGCGACGACGACGAGCTCGTGAGTACGAGTGCGCGCACCACGCCCGAGGCAGCGAGAGAGGGGACGCACTGGTTGGCCATCTCCTGCAGGCGCTTGACCTGCTGCCCGGCCTGCTCCTGCGTCAACTCGCCGCGCTCGACCTTCTTGCGGATCGTCTCGAGGTGGACCTCGATCTTGGCCTTCATGTCAGGCGGGATCTGCGGCAGGCCGTTGAGCTGCTGCTGCGTCATCTGCCGCGGCGTCGTCTGCTGCTGCTGCTGCTGCTGCTGCTGGCCGTGCGGCGGGACGGGCAGGTTGGCCGAGGGCGGGCCCGTCGACCCGGGCGCGCGCGAGCCGTTGGCCCGGGCATAAGCGGCGAGCGCGGCGGCCTGGATGTCGGCGGCGGTCGGTGGCGGCTGGCCCGAGCGTGCGGCGGCGGCCTGCATGTCGGCGATGTACTGCTGGAGCGTCTCGTTGGTGAGGTTCGCCGGGACGGTCGGCATCGACGGCGAGCGGTTCGGGACGAGTCGAGGCGAGGGCTGAGGGTGGTTGGGCGTTCGGGAAGGGTTGGGCGGGGTCGGCTGCTGCTGCTTGACGCCGGCGAGGTTGGCGTTGCCGAGGTGCGGCGACACGGCGGCGCCCGACGGGTTCGGCTTGGGCTTCTTGTTGGCCGCCGCCGCCGGATCTGGCGGGGCCGTGCGCTTGTTGGCGCCGGCTGCAGCAGGCGAGGGCGCGCCGCTCTGCGGCTGAGGCGCCGGGCGCGACGCGTGCTGGTTGTAGAAGCCGATGAGGAAGGCGGCGTGCGAGGGCGACAGGACGGGGAACGAGAAGCCGGGATTGGGTGGCGGCGCGAGCGAGTTGTAGATGAGGTTGGCGGGGAACCGGCCCGACGACTGCACGACAAGTGCTCGACATTAGTCGGTGCTCGGGCCGCGAGAAGGAGAGGGACGGGCGAGGCGCACCTCCTTCCAGAACGTCTCGAGGTTTGGCGTGTACCCGAGCGAGATGAGCGAGAAGAGCGTCGTGCAGTGTTGACCCTAGAGAGGAGAGGGATCAGTACGTGCCGGTCAGGGACCGAGAGGAGGGAGAGGGAGCGAGAGCCGCACCTTGGTGAAGCTCTTTGCGAACGACTCCCACGACTCGCCCTGGTCGTCGTCCTCGAGCCAGACCTCGTCGCCGCCCATGTTGTCGACATCGGTCGCCGAGATGACGACGACGTACTTTGGGAGCTGGCCCCGGCCCTCGCCACCTGCGCCCGCGAGCGAGCCCTCGACGATGCGGCTGCGGGCGAGGCGGATCGCGCGCAGGAGGCCCGTCGTCGAGCGCCACAAGGTCGAGGCGGGTCGAGCTGGTCGGCGAGTGTACGACGGGAGGGCCGAGAGGAAGGCGGCGGGAGGGAGGAACGGGTTGAGCGGCGAGGCGTGCGACGACGGGGTGACGCAGGTGAGGAGGAGCTGTTCCGGGCGGCGATCGATAGTCAGTGAGATTGTCTTGGGGAGCACTGCGCCTGCCGAGCTGCGCCCCTGCTCCCTGGCGGCCACGCCCTCGTCGCCGGCCGCACACCCCGCATTGCCGACCGAGGCGGCGCACTGGCGCAAGGCTCGCTCCCTCGCTCTGCGCATGCGGGCGAGCTCGAGAGGCTCTAGTTGCTCGGGTGCGCCGCCAGGCCAAGGCGGCAGGTGGTGCGGTCGGCGACGTCGGGCGGGAGAAGCGGAGGAGGGGGAAGGAGGAGGAGGTACCTGATGCGTCGGGTGCAGGGCTTGCAGGGCACTGTGTGGGGGGCGATGCGAGGTCAGTCTGCGAGGCCTCGAGGGAGCTGGCAGGCCGTGGCAACGCACGAGATGACGGCCTGGGCGTAAGGCGCGATGAGCGAGTCGCTGGCGGGTGAAGGGTCGACGACGAGGGCGATGGGGACGACGTGGCGCTTCTTGGGCTTGTCGGCCATGCCCGCTCGCTCAGGGTGGCAGGGCGGGATGGGGTCGAGCCTGTCGCCGGGCGAGAGCGACGAGTAAGCGGGGGAGAGACGAGTCGCTCCTCTCGCCCTCTCACCGCCTACAGACCTCAGAGCCATGTCGGGAGCAGTGCGTCCACTTCCTTGCCCTCTCTCACACCCGCCCACGCTCACCCCACCTCGCCCCGTCGCCGCAGGAGCCCTGGGGTTCGTCATCTCTCTCCTCATCCTCGACCAACCCTCGCGGCCCCTCGACCTGACCACCGCCCACCCACTGCAGAGATCCGCTTCTCCAACTCGCGCAAGCGCCCCTACTTCTACAACTCGGCCACCCAAGAGTCGCGCTGGGAGGTGCCCGACACCCTCGCCAACTCGGACCTCTCGTCCCTCCCCGGCGCAGAGTTCCTCAGCTACGCGCAGCAGCCCGCCCAGGCCGGGTCATCCTCGGCCGGCGGCAACGGCGGCGGCAACAACAAGGTCCGCGCGTCGCACCTCCTCGTCAAGCACAGCGGCAGCCGCAGGCCCAGCTCGTGGCGCGACGACAACATCACCCGCACAAAGGAGGACGCCATCGACCGCCTCAAGGCCTTCGAGCAGCAGCTCAAGGACTCGCCCGACCTCGCTGCCACGTTCGCCGAGATCGCGAGCAAGGAGAGCGACTGCTCGTCGGCGCGCGACGGCGGCGACCTCGGTGCGTCGAGCCCCTTCTCTCCCTCGGCCCTAGTCTGTCTACAGCCGCGACTGATCCGTAGGCGAAATGTGCCGCACACAGGCTACTTTGGGCGCAACCAGATGCAGAAGCCGTTCGAGGAGGCGTCGTTCGCGCTCGAGGTCGGCCAGCTCAGCGACATCGGTCCGTCCCCTCTCTCTGCGCCTCGTCGTGCCTCGTACAGCCTGCTCATCCTCCCCTCGCACAGTCTCGACCGACTCGGGCGTCCACCTCATCCTGCGCACCGCCTAATCGCCCGGCCGCGCCCGCACCCGTCCCTCCGCATTCTCCCCTTTCCCCCTGCAACCTCGCCGTGTCGTTCTCTCGTCCTCCCTCTTTACTTTCCTTCTCTCTCCGGTCATGCAGTGCCACCGAGCCGTCCACATGCTGCGAGCTGTGCGTTCTCGAGAGCAAGAGAGACGTCGAGCGAGTCAGCGACTTGTCGAGCAGTGCAGATAGGTCGGCCGGGTGCGGCGCAGCCGCGGCTCGTTCGTACGTATGTGCGGCGGCGCAGTACCGCATCGCGCCAGCGAGCAAAAAGGCGCAGGCGAAAGAGCGAAAGAGAGGACGAAGCTCGCCGGCTCGCTTGGACGAGGCGGCCGCGCCGACCGGGTTCATCTAGCCTTGCCGACGACGATAGCTTCAATCGGCGACGCCGCCATCAAGCCTGGCCGGGGCTGGCAGCACTGAGAGAGGGCCGATCGAGCTGGGAGGCGAGCGAGGGACGAGGACAAAGCGTCGGGCAGCCGCCGGGCGCCGCGCAGAACAAAAGGGGGCTGCCGAGGCGAAGTTCAATTAGAGCGGCGCAAGTGGAATGAAGCCCTTCTGGGAGCGGTGGAGCGTGAGAAAGAGAAGGCGGGCGAGATGGCTGGGCGGAGAACGAGCGGAGCCAGCGCTCGCCGTCTCGCTCGACTCGCACCCGACCGCGCGGCGTCGATGGCCGGCGTGAGCCATCCTGCGCAAAGTGCCACTCTGCCCAAGGCGAGCTAAGCTCGACCGCCCGTCGAAGCCGTGCCCTCGTCGCGACCTTCCCCTCCTCATCGCCGCGCCTTCCCAGTCGGGGCACACATTGACGAGGGCTCCAACCTTGTCCTCGCGTCGGCTGCGAACCTCCCGAGAGTCGGTCGGTCCAGCTCGAGCGTCACCCTCCCTCGCCGTCCCCCTCGCCCTCGCCCTCGTCGTCTCCCTCCACCCGCTCGCCAGATCGTCCACCTCCGCCTCCTCGCCCAGCCTCGCCGCCCTCGTCTCTCCGACCGGCTCCCTCGAGGCCGACTCGACTCGACCGCCCCGACCGCGGCCCGCCGTCGAGCTCTCGTTCTCACCCGCTCGCCCTCCCCGACCGCCAGCTCGCCGACGATGAGCTACCCGCCAGCGCCGTCCTCGCACCATCAGCACCACCCTGCGCCGCACGACTGGTCGCGCCACCCGGTCGCATCGACCTCGTACGAGCCGCCGCACTCGCCGAGGCGGTTCGCCTACAGCCGCGACGCCGACCCTCGTCCCGCCCTCACCGATCCGTACGGCCAGCAGCAGCACCAGGAGCACCATCACCAGCCCGCGTCGGCCTCGACCTTGACGCCGCCTGCGAGCTTTGGCGGGTTCGGGTTCCGTCGAGCTCGTAGCTCCGGAGCGCTGCCGACCCTCCAGCCGCCCGCGCTCCACGAGCAGTCGCTGCACGCCTACGCCCCGTTCCCGCCGAGCCCGGTGTCGCCCAACTACCCGCTCGGCGACGCCTCGCGCGGGCAGCAGTACCAGCAGCGGCCGGCGGCGGCGGCGGCGGCGGCGTCGGGTTGGCGAGGGCCGCCGGCCGACTCGAGCTGTCGCGACAGCTGGACCGTCGGGCCATCGACGTTCGCCCACGAGCCGGCCTACTCGTCGTCGTCGTCTTCGCAAGCTTGGGCGCAGCAGCAGCCGCATACGCCTCCGCCGTCGGCTCGGTTCCGCCGCACCTCGTCGGCCCAGCCCTCGTTCGCGGCGCCCTCAACGACGCCCAGCTCGCCGTCGCGGCCCGGCAGCGCCTACTCGGCTCGAGCTTCGACGTCGCTCGGCGCGCACGAGGCGACGTCGGCCATGGGCTTCTCGTCGGCCATGGGCTTCTCGTCGGCCAAGTACCAGCACTCGTCACCCGAGGAGATCAACCAGGTGCGCCCTCGCTCCCTCTCCTCCCGGAAAGCCAGTCCTCGTACTGACTCTAGCTCTCGACCTGCAGTTCCTGAACGACATGAGCGAGATCTTGGGCCCGGACGCGCTCGCCGCCCTGTCGCCGACAAGCTCTGCTCCGCCTCGGCCGTTCGATCCTCGTCAGGCGCCGAGCGTCAAGGTCCAGCCTCCTCCGCCGGTCAAGAAGCAGGCGACGTACAACGTCGCGGGCGTCCTCCTCGACGAGGACGAGTACCGCGCGTTCGCCGAGTCGCCGACCTCGTCCCGCCAACCGTCGCCGACTCGGGCGCCCTCGTTCGACGACCGCCCTCAACAAGGCAAGCCGCAGTACGGCGGTGGCTCGACCTACCGCGAGTCGGCCTATACCGCCCCGTTGTGCGAGGCGTGGAGCGGCGGCTACCTCGCGCCGTCGCAGGTCGACATCCAGCGCCCGGCGTCCGCTCCGCCGACGCCCGTCCTCGACCTCGAGTCGTCGTCGTCGTGGACCCAGTTCGCGCCGTACGGGTCGACGTACCAGTCGCCTGTCCTGCGCAGCACGGCCGCCATGAACCGCCGTCGCGGCTCGTCGTTCGACGCGTCGTCGATCCCGCGCATCTACTCGTCGGGCCTCGTCGGCCTCCAGCCGCTCAACGAGGACGCCTACTCGCGGTTCAACGCCGGCCTCGGCTTCGACGAGTCGGTGCAGGCGTTCGAGCCGCAGCAGCCGCAGCGCCGCACGCCGCCGGCGTCGACCTCCTTCCGGGCTCCGGCCGCCTACGTCCCGCCGCCGCCGCCGCAGCACCAGCAGCAGCACTCGTCGACGCCGTCGCCCGTCTCGCCCCAGCGTCCGCCTCATCAGCAGCAGGTGCAACAGCAGCCTCGCGAGCAGGCGCAGCGGCCAGCTCAGCCTGAGCCGACGACGCCCGTGCGGCGGCCCAAGCCCAAGTCGTCGATCTCGTTCCTGAACTTTTCGGCGGCCGACAGCAAGCAGCTCCTCGGTGGTGTCGCTCCGTCCGGGTCGTCGAAGAAGCGCGCGAGGGACGACGAGCCTTCGCCGACGCAGAAGAAGGAGAAGAGGGCGGCGTGAGGAGCGCGGGTCCTTCGTTTCGTGTCTATAGAGCTTCCAGGTCCTTGTTGTGCCCGTGCCATCTATACAGTCGTCTCATCTGTCCAAGTAGAGCCCGAGAGAGCGTCGTCGCCATTGATTGACATTCGAGAGCTCCTCTCGCCGCACCTCCGCCAGCCCTTGACCTCGTCCCGCCACTCTCGTCCCTCTCGCCCGTCGCGATGGAAGACTCAGACGCTCGCATGGCCCCACCCGACAGCACGAGCGCACCCGCCGGCCCGCCCACCGCCTCGACGAGCACCTCCCCCGACTCGGACTCGCCCGGCGCCCACGTCCTCGCCGACTCGAACCTGCCGACCGAGCTGCCGTCCGAGCTCTCATTCGACCTCGTGTTCAGCTGGAGGGGCCAGAAGCAGGCCATTACGGTCCAGGAGCTCGACACGGTGCGTCCTCCTCTCCCTCCGGCTCGTCAAGGTGGGGCAGAGGTCACGCTGCCCTTGCTGACCCTTTTGCCTGCGTGTCCACAGGTCGGCGACCTCAAGATGCTCCTGTGGAGCCTCACGTCGGTGCCGCCCGAGCGCCAGAAGATTGTCGGGCTCGTCAAGGGCAAGCTCCCCGGCGACGAGCAGGAGGTCGTCGAGCTCGGCCTCGGCAACACGAACAAGAAGGAGTTCTTGCTCGTCGGCACTCCCGAGGGCGAGGAGGCCAAGGCCAAGGCGGTCGGGCCGAGCGCGCAGGACGAGGCCGACGTCGACTACGCCGCCGCCGAGACGAGGAAGAAGGCCGACCAGGCCGTCCAGTCGGCGCGCAACCGCCGCAAGCTCAAGGAGGCCGCCGACAAGCTCGAGCTCAGCATCATGGTGCGTCCCAGCCGAGTCGGTCGTCGTCTGTGCGCGAGGGACGAGCTGCTACTGACTCTCCCTTCCCTCCCCGCAGGCGCCTCCTCGTCCGGGCAAGAAGCTCCTCGTCCTCGACCTCGACGGGTGCATCCTCGACACGTCGCTGTGGAAGCACGACAACTTTGCGTTCCCGACCGAGATGTTTGCGCGCCCGTACCTGCACGACTTCCTGCGCCTCGTGTCGCCGCATTACGACATCATGCCCTGGAGCCAGACGAGCTGGCGCTGGCTCGAGTCGAAGCTCGCTGAGCTGAGCGTGAGGGCATTCCTCCATCATGTCGAGCCCGGCGCGAGCGAGACCTGGTCCCTGACAACGACGACGACCGCCCGCAGATGATCGGCCCGACGAGGAAGGGCGACTACCACATCGTGTCGACGGTCGACCGCACGCCCATGTTCAGCATCTACTCGGAGCGCGACGGCAAGCCTTTCGCGCACGAGGTCAAGGCGCTCGGCATCCTGTGGGCCAAGGTGCGCCCCGCCGTCCTCACCTCGTCGCGCTCGAGGTCATCCTCCCTGACTCTCCTCATGCCCAACAGTTCCCTGGCCAGTACTCGGCGGCCAACACGATTCACGTCGACGACCTGTCACGCAACTTCGCCCTCAACATCGCGAACGGGCTCAAGGTGAAAGCGTACAAGGTGCGCACGAGCCCTCCTTTTCCCTCGCCTCGTCGCGCCGTCCTGACGATGTCTCCTCTCGCGCAGGACGCCCTCACTCGCGACCGCATGAGCAGCGACAAGGAGTTGCTGTACGTCGCGCGGTACCTCCTCCAGATCGCCGACCACGACGACCTCACGCAGCTCGACCACTCGCGGTTCAAGCACTGCAAGCGCGCGCTCCCTCCAGGCGTGTCGGACCCGCTCAAGCTCGCCGCACCTTCGGCGTCGCCGCAGCAGCAGGGTCAGCCGGCTACGACGACGAGCGAGGCGCCGCCGCCGCCTCCTCCTCCCGGCGGTCAGCGGCCGCAGTGACCTCGCTCGCCCGCTTTCGATACCCCCTTTCCACACTCTATCCCCCTTCGTACTCCGTCCTCGTCGTGTCTGTTGTCCCTCTGTCCTCGCCCGGTCGTCCCTTGCCGTAGTCACCTCGTCGCACCTCGCTTTGTCCACCTTCGCAACTTGATCCCTTTCGCTTCCTCGCCCGGCTTCCCCTCGAGAGCAACAATCGTCGCTGGCCTCGTCTTGCCTGCTCGCCGGACAGGCCGTGCTCGCCGAGCCCCTGGCCGGAGCTGCCGCGGAGGGACGCCGAGCTTTGCGCTCAGCTCGCTCGGACTCTTTGTCGCCTTTCTAGCTCCTCCCTCTCTGCTCCGCCCTCTCCCGCCAGGCTAGTCGACATGTCGCTCGCCGTAAACGTCTTCAACCGTCCCTCTGTGCGTCCTCCTCCTCCTCCTTGCGCACGCGCCCTCTCCTCCTCCTGACCCTCTCTTGCCGCCAGAACCGCTCGAGCTCGAGTGGCCTTCCGTCGGCCCTGGAGTCGGCGACGCAGCAGAGCATGCTGCGAGCCGGCATCATGCCTGGCTCGTCGCCCCTGTCGCGCACCGTGACGCTGCAGCGCAAAGTCGCACACGTCGAGGTCTTCAAGCGCGGGCGCGGCGCTGACGGCGTCATGCGCGACCAGCACCTCCACGCCGACGCCGACGGTGTTGTGCGTCCCTGTCTCTCCCTCCCTCTCGGTGCGCGGTGCGCGAGCCGTCGACACTGACACGCTCGAGCCCCGTCGCCGACGGCAGCACGACGACGTCAAGGACCTGTTCCGCACGCTCGAGGGCCGCATCGCCCAGGTCGAGCGCACGCACGTTCACAAGACGGGCGGGCTCACGTTCTCGAGCCAGCGCACGCCGTCGTCGTCGTCGCTGCTCTCGCGCGCGCTCGAGCCGTCGTCCATCCTGCGCCCGTCGGCCTCGCCCGCCGCCCGCGCTTTCGGTACGTCGCGCGTCCCGGCGTTCGACAGCGGCTCGGACGGCGAGGGCGACGGCGCCGACGAGCCGTGCGCGTTCCCGCACGTTCAAGGGCTCTCGCAGCCGCGCACGGCCGACGAGCTCGCCGCCGTGCTCGCGCAGCTCAAGCCGGGCAAGAAGATCCTCAAGGTCGCGGTCAACGTCGACATCGAGGAGACGTTTGTGACCGAGGTCGTCATCGAGAGGAACCAGCCGGCGCGCAGTGCGTCGCCTCGTCTCTCGCTCTCTCTCCCGCTCTCGGACCTCGTCTTGGACGAGCGAGTCCCTCTCGACCAGCGGCGGCCCTCAACTGACCCGGTCCTTGTCCGTCGCACGCAGAGCCTGTCCTCGTCGTCATGTGCCGCGGCGGCCTGCCCTCGACGCGCCACATCTCGGCCAACCCTCGCCTGGCGGGCATGTGGCGGATCGGCTCACGCACGCCCAGCAAGCAGGTCCTCATGTGCGTCCTCGCGCCCACCTCTTCGTCCTCGAGGCGTGTACGACGGCGACTGACGCAGCCTGCGTGTGCCGCACAGCTTGCGCTGCACGAAGAAGGTGCACGTCGAGGTCCACTTCCAGCTGCAGGTGCAGCTGTGAGGCGGGACCGGGCCAGCGGCGACCGTAGTTGCGGTGGAGGAGCGGTGTGCAACCATGCTCTGTCTCGACTGCACTCGTGGCGCGAGAAAGACAGCTGTGAGAGCGCTCGAGAGAGAACGCAAGCCTCTCGAGAGCGAGAGGGAGAGGGCCAGAAGCGCGAGCAGCCGGTGCTGGGCCGAGCCCGAGCGAGTACGGTGCCTGCTGTGAGCTGCACAGGAGCACAGAGCGGCGTGCGGCCGAGAGAGCGCGGGCGGGCGTGCGGAGGTCGAGAGAGGGAGAGGGGAGGAGGAGGAGGAGGAGGAGGAGACCGGCTCGCCCTTCTCTCTGTCCTCGTACCATCTCCCCTCAACGTGAGCTGCTCGGCCTGTCTCTGCGCCCTCTGCACCATTCGCCTGTGCGCCGCGCCCACCACCCACGCCCCAGCCGCCGCGTTCCCCGTCGACCTCGTCCGCACCCCGGCCGCGGGCAAAGTCTTCGACACGGCGCCGCACTCGCCCACCAGCCTCACTAGGGCGTCCTTGCACGCGTTCGGTGGACAGATTGGAGGACTGGTGGTGGAACGAGCGGGTCGGGCAGGCGGTCGAGCGAGCGGCAACCGCAGTGCGCCCCCTCCAAATCTCTCGAGGACGAGCTGACCCTCCCCCTTCTCGTCCCCTCCCCGCCTCACCTCGACCCTGCGCACCCCTTTCCGACTCGCATAGCACCTCCTCCTTTAGTCAACAATGGGTGCTGGTCGTGGCCGCGGCGGTTCCGCCGGTAACAAGTTCCGCATGACGCTTGCGCTCCCCGTCGGCGCCGTCATGAACTGCGCCGACAACTCGGGTGCCAAGAACCTCTACGTGCGTCCCCCGCTCCCTCTGTGTTCGTCGAGACGAGCCGGCCGGATCCTGACCAGCGTCGCCCCCACAGGTCATTGCCGTCACTCGCACTGGCGCGCGCCTCAACCGTCTCCCGGCTGCCTCTGCCGGCGGTGCGTCGCCTGTCTCTCTCTCTCTATCTCACGCTCCGAGCGAGACACTGACTCGGTGCTCCCTCGCAGACATGGTCATGGCTACCGTGAGCCTTCCCTCCTCCCTCCTCTTCCCCTTCCCTCCCTATCCGCCTTCGTCCCGCCGTCCTCGACACGCTCCTCGCGGCCCGGCCTCCTCCCGCATCGGCGCCGTCTACCTGCGCCCGTTGGGCATATCTCGGCGCGAGCGCGGCGCCGCGATGGACTTGGGCGCCGTGCGCTCGCTTGAGCTCGACGAGGGTTCGGGCGCGGGCACGAGGTGCAGGAGCGGCAGCGGGCGCGCCTCGAGTTGGCGAGATGGACGAGCTGGGACGTGCGACGCGGCGAGGCCGGTGCGCTGCGGCTCGGCGGGCGCGGGTGGACGAGCAGCCGAGCGAGGAGCAGCCGGTCGATGCTGTCGGCCTGGCGGCGGACCGCTCACGGCGTTCGGCTGCACCTGTCTGCGCCTCGAACGAGTCGCCTTAAAGGCGGTACGCGTGTGCGCGGCTCTGCGCACGACTGGTCGGGCGTCGGGCTCGAGCTGCTCGGGCTTGAAGCGGTCTCTCGAACGGCGGCGAGCAGCTCCCGAGCCACTTCATCGACCCAGTCACTGACCCACTCTCCTCGTGCGCCAACAGGTCAAGAAGGGTAAGCCCGACCTGAGGAAGAAGGTACGTCCCGCCGCCCTCCTCCCCTTCCTTCCCTCCTTCCTGCGCCTCGAGCCTGACCCTCGCCCTCTCTCGCACCCGCACAGGTCCACCCCGCCATCGTCGTCCGCCAGCGCAAGGCCTGGCGCCGCCGCGACGGCGTCTTCCTCTACTTCGAGGACAACGCCGGCGTCATCGTCAACCCCAAGGGCGAGATGAAGGGCTCGGCCATCGCTGGCCCCGTCGCGAAGGAGTGCGCTGACCTCTGGCGTGCGTCTCCCTCTCTCTCTTTCTCTCGTCTGCGACTTGAGCCTCGTCCTGACCCTCGTTCCCGTCTCGCCTCGCAGCGCGTATCGCCTCGAACGCCGGCACCGTCGTCTAAGCGTCTGTACCGCGTTGTGGGTGTGCAATCGGAGGGTTGACCTCGAGTCTCTCTTGCCGGGCTCTTGCCGCGAGAGCGAGAGCGGGATCCGAGAGTGCGAGAGACGAGAGAGGAAGCGAGAGCGAGAGAATCAAGCGCCGGTCCGGGGCGCTCGGGCCTCGTCGCAGAGCGGCTCTCGTTCTCTCGCGCTCGACAGCTGAACGTGAACGGGTCGCTCGTCGTTGCACCTCTTGTCGATCATGCCGCACCCTCGAGCTCTACTCTGAGCGCGTGAACATCCAGCCGTGCACGGTGCTGCGCACAGCGAGGTCGCCGCCGTCCTCCGGGAACGCCGGCTGCGCGCAGTGTGGGTCCTCGTCAGTAAGGTCGCTCCACAAGGAGGGCATCGACGAGAGACGAAGAAAGGAGAGAGAGGGAGGAAGGAGAGAAAGAGAGAGGGAGAGAAACGCTCGACGCACCCCAGCCTCGGGGTCCTCCCACACTTTCTCGCACGCCCACCCGGCTTGCCGCGCGAGGTCGAGGATGCCGACGTCGGCTTGCGCGAGCCAGGGCCGGTGGTGCGAGAAGAAACACAGGACGGCGGGCGTGCGCAGCGTGTCGGGGCGCGAAAGGTCGACGGGCGGTTGGGCTGGGTCGGCCGCCGTCGACGAGGACGACGGCGGGGCAGTAGAAGACGAGAGAGGAGAGGAAGGGGAGGACGGAGATCGAGGGGCGAGGCACGAGAGGCACGAGGCGAGGAGGGCGGCGTGCTGCGAGTGGTTGAAGACGAGGTCCGACAAGAGGATGAGGTCGAACTTGCGCGACGAGTCGGTGCTGAGCGGCTCGAGGAGCGCAGACGGCGCCGTGCCCCACGTAAAGCCCTGTGTGTCCGTCTCGAGTGTCAGGCTCTGTCGATCGAGGGCGCGAGAGGGGGACAGCGAGGCGCACCTTGGCGCAGGCGTCGGCGACGTCGGGAGAGTCGAGCGCCGTCACGTTGAGCGCGACGTTCTGCTCGAGGTTGCGGACGAGAGACGCGTCGGGAAAGTCCGAGATGACGACCTGGTGGATTGACGAAGGGGGTGTGAGCTCGCGCGAGGAAGGGAGAAAGGAGCGCAAGGGGAGAGGAGGACGCACGTTGCCCGCGCCCTCGAGTGCGGCCGTCAATCCCGGCAGGCCTCCTCCCGCGCCGAGCTCGAGGACGGCCTTGCCCTTGCCCTTGCCCATGCCGGCAGGCCCGTGGAGGAGGGTCGCGGCGTGCAGCTCGAGGAAGCGGGCCATGGCGATGGCTGCCGGGTACAGGATGTGGCCTTGTTGCAGGGCGCGCACGCGAGGGTTAGCGCGACGGTCGTCGAGACGACGGAGACAGAGAGAGTGGGACGGACCCCAGAGCGGGTGGCCCGAGACGAGGCCGACCTCGACAGAGTCGGGCCCGACTTGGTCGAGGAGGCCGCCGCACTTTCTGCGTTTGTACGACTTGACGGTCGGAGGAGGGGTCGCAGGGCGAAAGTCGGCTGGTTCCTGTCGAGCGCAAGTGGTTGTCAGTGAGGTCGAGGGGGGAGGACGAGCGACCGAGAGGAAGGCGAGGAGGCGCACCTCGAAGACGGCGCCGAAGCCGTCGTCGTCGGACGCGGTGCTGGGCGAAGAAGGGCGCGACATGGTGCAGGGAGCTGGCTGAGAGCAGGCAGGTGGCTAGTGCAGCTCAGGAGCGAGGCGGTGCGGGTTGACTGGGCGAGAGCAGATGAAGACGAGGCTCAACTCCGCAACTTCATCTCGCTCGTCGACAACAACCAGTGAGTCGACAGTGCCCTGCCCACTCGAGCCAAACTGACCATGGTACCCTCCTGCACCCAGTGGCGACCGCTTTCATGCAGTGGGCAAAGTGCGCTCGTCGCTCTCGTCCCCCATCCCCATCTCGTCCAACCTCTCGCCCCTTCCCCACCACGTCTGGCGCCACAGAGACCGCGTGCACAGCCCACCAAGGCGTCTCGCCGTCGATGCCGAGCCCGCCGGCCCCGTCCTGACCAGGTCCTGACTCGCTCCCCTCCCCCCCTCCTCGCCGCGTCCCTCTCTCGGCCCCATGCAACAGGTCGCCCGAGGCGCGCAACTACTTCTTCTCGACCCACTTCTGGGGGTCTGTCCTCTCTCTCTCTCTCTCGCCCCGCTCGCCGCCGCACAGAGCTGACAACGCCGTCCCCACCACAGCCCGCTCGCCAACTGGGGTCTTCCCCTCGCCGCCATCACCGACCTCACGTCCAAGGACGCAAAGTTCATCTCGGGCCCCATGACCCTCGCCCTCATGTCCTACTCGTGCGTCCCTCGCCGCGCCGTGCCTCTCGTTCCGGGTCCGCACGCTCACCTTCTTTCCCATGACAGGCTCGTCTTCATGCGCTTCGGTGCGTCTCGTCACCTCGGCGCTCGTTCGTCCATCGAGACCTTATACTGACGCGTTGCCCGTCCTGCAGCCTGGCGCGTTCAGCCTCGGAATGTGCGCCCCGCTCCCCTGTCCTTCTCGCAGCCGCCCGACTGACCCGTCCTCTCTCGCCTCCTCGCAGTACCTCTTGTTCGCCTGCGTGCGTGTCTCTCCCCCTCCGACTCGTCCCGATGAACGACCCGCTCACCCTTGGCCTATTGCCCGTACAGCACGCGACCAACGCGACGACGCAGGGTCTCCAGGGCGCGCGGTTCTTGCAGTGTGCGTCCCGCCGCCTCTTTCCTCTCTCCTCTCGCGCGACGGCGACACTGACCTCACCTTCCTTGACCTTGCAGACAACTGTGCGTCGTCGCTCTCGCCGTCTCGCCTGCCTCCTCCTCTCATTCTCGAGCGAGGACTGACGTTGTTCGCCTGGTTCGACGCAGATGGCGGGAGCGAGTCGGCCAAGGACAAGGTCAAGGACGCCGTCATCACCAAGTAGAGGTGACAACGAGCAGGGCGTGGTTGCTGGCGGTTCTCTTTCTCTTTCTCTCTTTCTCTTTTGGTCGTCATCGCGAGGAGTTGGCCAGAACGCGCAAGCTGTGCATAGCGCTTCCTCATGTCTGTCTTTTCTCGTGCTTTCGACTCTTGCGAGAGCGGCACGCGATGAGAGACAGAGAGACATCCTTGCACCCGCACCGCGACTCGACTCATCGTCGCCCGCGCGCTCCCTCGCGAGACCCAGCTCATGCCTTGAGCTTCCAGCCGTCCTCGTAGCCCTCGACGGCCTCCCTTGGCCGGTTCGGCACTGCAGTGTCGGAGCGAGTAGGTCGCGAGGCGGTGGGTGCGAGTGCGGCGGGAGGGTGAGGCGAGAGGGCGCGGCGGGCGGCGACGAGGTGACGCACGAGGAGCGCGAGAGGATAGGGGAGGAGGGAACAAAGGAGGGCATGTCAGCTCGCTGCACTCGAGGCTGCAGGAGAGAGAGAGGGGGCGCACGAGGGTAGGTCGTCGGGGGCCGCTCGGCCTGCTTGTACCCGAAGAACCGCTTGCGTGCCTCGGGAACGGTGAGGACCATGGCGGGGCCTGTGTTGGGCAAAGACAGAGTCAGGCTGCGCTCTCGGAGAGCCGGGTCGAGAGCGAGATGGGGACGGACCGAGTGCGCCGAGGACGATGGCCCAGAAGACGGGGGGCGACTCGTGCGCTGACCGTTGCTGTGGGTGCAGGGGCGTCCCAAGGGGTGTGTCGACGAGTGAGGTCGGGCACGAGTGCAGCCGGGCGGGCGCATGGCGAGAGTCGGCGCGGGAGAGATGAGGAGGAGGGGGAGAGAGGGTCAGATCTCGCTCACGACGGCGGGCGAGAGGTGGGAGGACAGGCGCCACGCACGATGAAGGCTGCGCCGCGGCGGAACGGGCTGAACATGGCGGACATGGCGACTGAGGCGGTGGACAGGAGACGAGCCGAAGCGAACCAACCCTCGCCTCGTCTCCCTCTTCACCACAGCTTCAGCCCCTCGAGAGCACAGTTGAGCTCGTGCAATACCTCTCGTAAGGGGCTCTGAGTCCCCCTGTATCCCCGCCGCTCCTCGCTGAGCCAGTGCAACAACGCTCGCCTCCTCCTCGAGCGCTCCTTTCAGCTCTCGCGTCGCCCGCGTCGACCGAGAGTAGCTCGAGAGCGACTCTGTGACGACGACTCTGCTCTCCTTCTCTCGCCGTACAGGAGAGCGGCTCTCGAGAGGAGGATGCCAGACGAAGCGCGAGGCGAAAGCACCAGGTTGCACGAGACAAAGACTACTACAAGGCGGCGAGCGCGTACACACGGCTCAAGCTGGACGAGGCGACGAGAAAGGGGACGAGGAGGAGACGAGTGAGAGAGGATGGGAGGAAGGGATGGGAGGGAAGGAGGGAAAGAGGGAAAGAGGGAGGAAGAGAGGGTACGGGTTACAGACACGGCAAACGACGGCCGCCGGCGCCACCTGCCTCGAGATGTTGATGATGTACAGTCGCGCTCGGTCTTGTGCGTGCGTGTGAAGAGAAGAGAGGTCGCGAGAGAAAGAAAGAGAGAGGGGGAGAGAGAGAGAGAGGCCGGCACGAGCGCCTCAAGCAGTCATGGGCACGGGGGCCTGCTGCGGCGACTGCTGCTCGGTCGGCTGCTCGCCCGCCATGACGGCCGTCTCGTTGGCCGGCCCGCCGTTGACGACCGCCGCCGCAAGCCCATCGAGCTCGCCCGCCGGCAAGCTCGTCTTCAAGCCCGGGATGGCGACCGCCGACGCTCCTCCTGCTCCTGCGCCCGTCGGCGCCCCTGCTCCTGCGCCCTCGCTCGCACTCGCACTCGCGCTCGGCGACACGCCGACAGCCGCCTCGGCGGCCTGGCGCACCTGGTCGGTCGGGATGGGCAGCGCTCCTGGTGCCGGTGTCGGCGTCGGCGGCAGGCCCTGCGGGTTGGGCGTCGCGCACTCGGGCACGAACGACGACGCGCGGTGCTTCTTGTTGAGGCGCTCGGCGTCGCTGTCGTCGGCGGTCGCGGCGGCGGCTTCTGCTGCGGCCGAGGCGGCGGCGGCGGCGGTCGACGAGGCGTTGGCCGAGGCGGACGAGGCGGCGGGCGTATTGTTCGAGGCTGCGCCGTTGGTCTTGGACTGCATGACGAGGTCAGTAAGGCGCATCGACGGAGGAGGAGGGGGAGAGGAGGACGAGGCGAGAGTCAACAGGACGCGCTCAGGCAGGGAACGGCGAGGGCGAGGTCGCTCGAGTCGGCTCTGCGGGAGGGGACGGGCAGAGAAAGGTGAGGCGCACCTTAGTCTTGGCTCTCTTGACGCCGCCCGTCTTTGCCGGTTCTGGTTCGCGACCGGCGTGGACGTACGCAGGCAGGGCCGAGCTGCACGCATACGCTCGAGCGAGTCAGTGACGGTACAAGAAAGGGAGGATGGACTTGTCGATGACGACGACGCACCTCTTGATGTACCGCACGATGACGCCCATCGTCTCGGCGTCGTAGCTGTCCCACATCTTGACCAACTTGGTGAACTCGTTGGTCGGGTACGAGATGTCGAGTTTCCTCGGGCCTTGTGCTCCTGCGGCTAGAGGGCGTCGACGCAGTCAGTCACCGTGCGCATAGGCGAGAAAGAGAGGGGCGCCGGGAAAGGCGAGGAAGCACGAGGAGGAGAGAAGGAAGGAAGGGCAGACGGACCAGGTCTCCGCTCGATCTGCAAGCCGATGTAGAAGGTCGTCGTGTGTACCGTCGTGCCCTGCCCAGGCAGCAAGTCGGCCTCGGTGCGCTTCTCGACGACGGCCGGGACCTCGCCGATCGAGACGGCGCGCTGCTCTGCCTCGTCGATGCAGTGGCTGACGCGGTCGAAGCTCTTGACGAACGGGTGCGCGAGCAGGAGCGAGTCGACGTATTCGAGCTTCATGACGAGTTGACGGATGCGCGACTCGACCGTGCCGGACCTGGGGCGCGCCGAGCGAAAGAGAGTCAGACGGGCCCGGCTAAGGGGAGGAAGAGGACCGAGCGACGCACCACTTGAGCTGGACGTCGGCGCTCCCCGAGCTCGCCGTGATCTGCAGGTAGTAGCGGTACTTGCTGAAGAAGTCGTGGGGCTGAAAGAGCTCCTTCCACGAGGTCGACCCGACAAAGACGCGGTCGACGATCTCGGCGGCTGCGCGTGCGACAGAATCGGCGGGTCAGGTCCTGTCGAGGCGCACTCGCCGAATGTCGAGAACAGAAAGCGCACCTCGCTTGAACTCGGCCGTCATGATCTGCTGCGTGCTCAGGGTGACGTTGTGGGTCGAGCACATGGACGGGTACGCCGGCGTGATGATGGGCATGCGGTGCGAGCGGTCTTGAGGGTAGAGCTGCGTCGAGGACGAAGCGGTGAGTGACTGCCGCTGTCGGTCTCGGACGAGGGACGAGCGGACGCACCTTGGGGTTCCAGACGCGGACCTGCAGAGGACCCTCCTCGATCGGCTTGAGCAGCACCGGCGCCGGCCACTGCCACTGGTGCATGATGATGAAGAATCTGCAGAGCGCTCGAGAGCTTCGTCAGAAGGTCCTCGACGCTGACGCTGAGAGAGGGCAGAGGAGGAGAGGACGGACCGCGAGATGATGCTGCCGACGCAGCCCTTGGGGTACAGCTGGCATATCCGCGCGACGAGCATCGCCCAGGCGACACCGCCGCAGAAGCCCATGACGTTGCCGTACACCGCTCGTTCTGCAGGCGAGGGAGAGAGAGCGTCAGGGGCTGCTCCTCAAGGAGGAGAAAGGACGGGGAGGAGGGGACGCACGTTGCGCCCACAGCTTGATCGTCCTCAGTGCGTCGCGGAAGACGGGCACGTCTGGTACGAGTCGCAGCATCTCGTCGGTCACGCGCGAGCCGCCGAGACTGCGCACGCAGCGCTCGTCGAGGTTGCGCAACAGGTTGTCGTCCTTGAGCTCGAGGTCGTCCGGGATGGTCGGGAGCGCGAGTCGCGCGAACAGGAGGTCGATGTCGATGCCCTGGAACGTGCACTTGATGATGGGGACGAACGCCTCGGGGACCGACGTGACCTCGAGGACGCCGTCCGTCTCCTTGAGCATGGCCTCGAACAGGGTGTGGAAGTCCTCGCGCTCGACGTGCCGAGGGACGACCAGCAGCGTGTCGATGTCGGACCCTGGACCGTGCACGCCGAGGCGGTACGAGCCGAACGTGAAGATCTTGCCTCCTCTGCAGGGGAGAGAGAGAAGTGAGCCGACGAAGGAGGGGAGGAGGGGAGGAGGAGGGAATAGGGACGCACGCCTCGCGCGCCTTTGCCTCTGAGAAGCCTCGATGCAGACTCGCGCGGTACACAAAGTCCTTGACGAGCTTGTCGAGGCGGCCGAGCACCATCTCGCTGCAGGCGGGTCGAGGAGCGGGTGAGGGGGATCCACAGGGGAAGACGCTCCGAGGCTGGCGCTATGGTGCGCGCCGAGAGAGAGACAGGACGGACCGAACACGACCCTCCTGCGGGCTCTCGTAGATGTTGCGGCCCTTGAGCTCCTCGATCAGGGTCTTGCTGACCTCGAGGTCGCGAGCGGTCGGCGGCGCGACCGAGATGGGAGGCGTGACGCCGAGGTAGGGATGGCTGGTCATCTTGGGGAGGCTGGGCGGGTAGCTCGAGGCTCGCGAAGGTCGAGGGAGAGGGGCAGGGAGCTGGAGAGGGGGCGAGGGGGAGGAGGAACGGCGGCGAGGCGGTGTCGGGGCGAGCTGCAGTCGGTGCGGCCGAGTCGTGGCGTGCTCTGCGTCGCTAGTCGGGCGCGAAAGAAGTCCCGGCCGGCGAGGGAGCGGAGCGTGTCCAAGTTGACCTCCGTCGAGCGACGAGCGCGAGGTCCTTGGCTCCGTTCTCCACACTCAGGCTCGTGCTGCCACTGCTTGCTCGGTCAGATCTGCATCAGCGCCATCTCGGCCCCAGATACAGCCGCGCAGCTGCCCTCTCCATCGAGGTGCGACCGACTCGCCGACGCTCCACCAACTGCCGAGGTCTTTCGTCTCGCCCTCGCTCAGGTGCGTCCTTGCCTTCCTTCACATCTGCGAGAACTTCCGACAGACGCGATCGTCCTACGCAGCACACCCTCAAGACCCGACCCTCCCTCCTCGTCCACCTCGCCTCGCGCCCCACTCCGCCGTCTCGGAGTCTCGCTCGACGCCTCGACACAGCCGTCCTTTCGTCTCTCGGGCCATGGATACGGCTCGCAGGCTCAATGAGCGCGCCGTCGAGTACGCCGAGGCCGGTATCGCGCGGTATCGAGGCCTGAGCAAGGGCGGCAAGGCGGTCGTCGTCGGCATGCTCGGCCTCAACCTCTTCTTCTTCTGCACGTTCTGGATCGTCGGGCCCGAGCGCATCGCAGAGCGTGCGTCCCACCTTTCCCTGTCTCTCTGCAGCCCGTCGTCCCGGCGGCGAGCCTGACCTGACGTCTCCTCCTCGTCCATTCGCAGAATTCGCCGCTTGGGCCGACTACATCCGCGAGTCGCCGTCAGGCTGGGCCATTCTCTTCATCGTCATCGTCATCACGTCTCTGCCGCCCTTGATCGGGTACGGGACCGCCCAAACCCTGGTCGGCTTCGCGTACGGCGTCTGGCCCGGCTTCCTCATCTCGGCAGCCTCGTGCCTCGCAGGGGGCGCCTTTGCGTTCCTGTGCGTCCTCCCTCTCTCTCTGTGTCTCCTTCTCGTTGTCCAAGAGGGCACAGCATCGTCCAAGTCAACTCACGCCCGCCTCCCTCGCCGCAGCGTCATCCGGCGGTTCATCCGGTATTTTGCGCCGTTCGTCCAGCAGAACGACACGCACCAGGCGCTCTCGCGTGCGGTCAGGGCCAAGGGCCTGCCGCTCATGATGATGCTGCGGCTGTGCCCCTTCCCGTACCCGTGGAGCAACGCCTTCTTCGCGTCGATCGAGACGGTCACGCTCGGGCAGTTCCTCATCGCGACTCTGTGCGTCTCTCCTCTCGCTCTCTGTCTCTGTCTCGAGCGGCACCGAGTCCTGAGATACTGACAAGCTTGCACCCTGCAGCGCCATCACGCCCAAGCTCCTCCTGCACGTGTTCGTCGGCCACCGCACGTACCTCTTCGCCGACCCCTCGTCGCGTCACTCGATGGACCCGCTCTCAAAGTGGCTCAACGGCGCCTTCCTCGTCATCGGCAGCCTACTCGGCATGGCGACGAGCTGGTACCTGTACCGCCTCACGATGCGGTACGTCGAGGAGAGCGCGGTCGGCGGGTCCGGCGACCTCGAGCTCGGCGATGAGGCGGACGTCGAGGGGCCCGGGACGGGCTTGCTCGACGAGGTCGACGAGATGCTCGACGGCGACGAGGACGAGGGTGCGGCAGCGGCGCGCAAGGGCGAGCCGAGAGCGTCGCAGGACGGGTGGGGCGACTGTGCGGACGACGACGACGACGACGAGGGTTCAGGTCGAGGAGGAGAGCGAAGGAGCTCGTCGGCGTGGGGACTCGAGCTCGATGGAGATGACGCGGAGCGCGGCGAGGCGCCGCAGGGACGGCTGAGGCTAGACTGAGGGAGGGGGCTCTCGACGGGCGACACGACGGGGCTCGATAGACACTTGCATTGCGACGTGCTCAGGCGTAGTAGTCGAGGAACAGGAGAGTGAAAGACGAGCCAAGGAGGAAGATGAGGAGCCACATGCGGCTGTCGCGGCTGCGCTCCTTGGCCTGCTTGAGCTGCTTGTTGCCGCGCTCCACCTCGCCCGACACGGTGACCGCCTCCTCCCACAGCTTGTCCGTGAGCTCGCTCTGCTGGCCGAGATGCTGCGCAAGCTGGCTCTGGAGCGACGCGATCTCGAGGAGCGACGACTCGGCCGTCTTGAGCGCCTCGAGGTCCGACTGGGTCGCCTTGAGGAGCGCCGACTCCTCGGCCTCGAACTGCTGCACCTGCTCGGCCGTGAGCTCGCTCCCGAGCGGGTTGTCGTCGTCGTCGTCATCACCGACGCCGTTCTCGCCCGGTATCGGCGCCGGGCGGTACATGGACGGGACAGCGCCGACCGTCGCACCGCTGGCGCCATTGCGCTCATCGACGCTCGCGCCCTTGCCGCCCCGACCCGACGCCCGCTCGCTCTTGGCCTTGGCCGCCATGTCGCGGCCGAGGGCATCCATGCCGAGCGCGCCGCCGCCGCCCATGCCGCCGAGCGACTGGGTGCGCTCGAGCTGGCGCCGGACGCGCGCCTCCTGCTGGTCGCGTTGGCGCTGGCTGACAACGGCGAGGAGCTCGTTGAGGTACAGGGTGACGTGGGCACGGTGGTCGGCGAGGACCTCGGCTTCTGGCGACAGCGAGGGCGAGGACGACGCGAGCCCGAGGAAGCGCGAGAGGCCGGCGTTGGGGTTGTCGCGCTTGGCGGCCGCGAGGCGAGCTGAGCGAGGGAGTGGGGCGTCAGTACGTCGCTCGAGAAAGGGCTGTGCGAGAGGTAGGGACGCACCCTTTTCGAGCGACTCGAGCTCTCGGACCCGGTCGACCGACTTGCGCAGGGCGACCTTGACGGCAAAGTCGATCTCGTCGCGCTCGCGGTCGGTGAGCCAGCGGACGCCCTCCCACGCGGCGAGGCCTTTGCTCGCATCGAGCTGTCGCGCGGGTTGCTGGTGGTGGGCGTGCGGGTTGGACGCGGACGAGCCGAGGTCGAGGTAGGCGCGGCGGATCGAGGCGAGGAAGCCGAGGAACGAGCGCAAGTTGGTGGCCTGGGCGGGTGCGAGGGGGTCAGTGGGGGGTGTCGGGAGAGTGCAGAGGTGGACGCACGACTTGATCGGCCTGCTGGGTCCACGGGTCGAGGGCGGCGTCGGGTCCGGAGCGATGAGGACCAAACTTGACGCGCTGGCGCTTGTTGGGCGGGAAGGCGTGCTCCTTGGCCTTTACTGCTTCTCGGAACTCGAGTGTGCGGTCCTCGGCAAGCATGGCGGGCGTGTGGTGGGAGCGAGATGAGGTCGACGCCGACGAGCGAACGACGACGAGCTTGTGGGGGGGAAGCCCTCCCCCTCGCTCTCGCTCAGTCTACCGTCGACTCGAGCCAGGAGCAGCCCACCAGCATGGACGACCTCAGGCTGCCCACCCCGCCGCCGCTCCTGCTCGCCCCCTCGTCCCCGCTCCCTCCTCGCGGCGCCGCAGGGCCTCGCTTCGCCGCCGTCGAGTTTCCGGGCCCTGTCACCTCGGTCGACCAGGCCCTCACACACCTCGGCGGCCTCGCACGCGTCTCGCGCACCCTCGAGGCCGACCCGGCCGCAGCCGCCCTCAAGCCGCTCCAACTCGACTTCGACCCGGCCAACCGCTGGCTCCACTCGATCCCGGGCAACGTCGCGACGGGCGCCAACATCGTCTGCAGGGTCATCAAGCGCAGGCGCAAGGTGCCCAAGCGCGACGAGCACGGCCAGGTCGTCGACGAGGGCGTCTACTCGATCCAGCCCGTCGGTCACCTCCAGCACACGGTTCGCTTCAGGGGTGCGCCTCCCAGCCTCTCTCTGGGCCTTTCCGAGACGTACTGGACCTCGGGACTGACATGTCGCACCCGCTCGCAGCCATGGCCGACTTCACGTTCACGCCCGAGCCTACCGCGGGTCCGGACGCGACGATGGAGCTCGCCGACGCGCTCGCCAGCATGGACAGTCCGTCCCTTTCACCCCTCGACGTCTCTCACGAGGTACCTCGTACTGACGCTCCCGTCCCTGCAGTCGGCGCCATCCGCGACTTCAACTTTCCGCCGCCGCAGGAGGATTTCCCCTCGTCGGCGTTCCTCCCGCCGCCAGCCTTCAGCCGCCATGCCCTGCCGCAGATGTTCGAGTGCGTCCTCGGCATCACTGTTCCCCCCTCTCACCTGCAGGCGAGAGCTAACTCTCGTCGTCGAGCAGCCTCAAGCCCGCCGCCGGCACGGTCGCCCAGCTCCTCGACTCGGGCGCGACTCGCCTCATCGCCACGACGCGCTACAAGCCGCGCCCGATCCAGACCATCCTGTTCGTCGACCCGGCCGTCCCGAAAGGGCCCGACGACAAGCTCGTCAAGGAGCTCGGGAGGAGCGAGCCGCGAGGTGTCGAGCTCAAGTTGCGCGAGCTCCTCGAGAAACGGCCGGTCTGGACTCGTCTCGCGCTCCTCAACCAACTCACACACGAGGAGTCCAAGGTCGTCAAGTCGTGCGTCTCCCCCTCCCTCTCCAATTCGTCCTTCACCTCATCACGTGACCTATCTGACGCTCGTACGCGCATCCGCAGGGACAAGAGCTGCCTGCCGATGGTCGCCTACACGTTTGGCGACGGGCCCTGGCGCGACCTCCTTGTCCGCTTCGGCTACGACCCTCGCAGGCACCCCGACGCCCGCTTGTACGCCCTCGCCTTTCGTCCTTCCTCGACTGCCTGTCTCGGCCCGCATGTCCTGACTCTCTCCCTCCTGTGCAGCTACCAGCACATCAACCTGCGCAACGCCGCCAACGTGCGCACTCGTGCGCAGCCAGGAGCGCGCTCGGCGGCGCAGTCGAACGCGGGCAGCTCTCGGTGGCTCGGCAAGGCGACGGACGACCAGGCTTCCTCGACTAGCCAGTACGCCCTCTCTCGCTCTCTCTCTCTCTGCCCAGTCCAAGCCCTAATCCCCTTGCCTACCTCCTCGTCCAGCCTCGCACACATGTTTGACGGCATCCACGCCCACTCGAAGATCGCCAACTTCCAGCTCGTCGACGTGTCGGACCCGCTCCTGTCGTCGCTCATCCACTCGACCAAGGGCGTCCTCGGCGCGTGTTCGTCCGACCCGAGCGAGGGCTGGTTCGCGCACGACTACCTCGAGCAGATCCGCCAGATCCTGCGGCGCAAGTGGCTCGGCGCGCTCGAGGCGACGCCCGTCTCGGACGCCGACTGCGCCGACCTGCTCGCCCTCGTCCTGAGCTCCGAGAGCAGGCTCAACGCCGACGGGCCGGTGCGCAGCGCGCCGGCGAGGGTCGCCGAGGCGGCGATGCGGGCCAAGGCCGAGGGTCGGCTCACGCGCGCCGAGAGGGCCACGCGCAAAGGGTCGGCGGCGTCGAGGGCCAAGGGCAAGGGCAAAGGGCGGTCGCGCGTCGCGAGCGGCACCGAGTCGGACGCGAGCGAGACGCCGTCGGGCTCGGGCACCGACGCGGGTTCGGGCGTCGACGGCGGCAACGGCGAGGGCGAGGGGCAGGATGACGAGGCCTCGCGAGCCATGCGCGACGACCACGATGACGATGACGGCGACGAGGCGGTGGGGAGCGGCGCGGCGTCGAGCGGCGCCGAGTCGGGCTCGCAGGCTCGTCGCGGTCGCGGCACGTCCGGGTCGGCGGCGCCGAGCGGGAGCGGCGCGCCGGTCGCCAAGGCGCCGTGGGAGCTGCCGAGGAAGAAGAGGACCAAGGCCAAGGCTGCAGAGAGCGAGGCCGACTTGGTGCGTCCCCTCTCCCTCTCCCTCTCCCTTTCGCCCTCTCGCCCTCCTCTCTCGCTCGGCATCCTGCCTCGTGACCGCGACCTCTCACTGACAAGGTCTCTCCCCGGCGCCCGCAGCTCGCGCGCCTGAGCCAGCAGACAAGGAGGAAGAGCTCGCGCCTCCCGGCGCAGTCGAGTACGCCGGCGCCGACACAGGGCGACCACGCTTGAGAGGGCCGTAGCGTTTGCGCGCACACGCAGCTGCAGTCCAGCATGCTTTCCATTCTCGCGAGAGCTCCTGAGAGCGCGAGAAGGTGAGAGGAACGAGCGCAAGAAGCTGCGGGCGCACTCCTTTCACCGCCGCCGTCGATGAGAGTCTGGGGAAGATGCGGAGAGCGAAGCGCGGACGGACATGACGGTCGGCGAGCTCGAGCCTGGCTGAGCTCGCTCGAGAGAGTTGTGCGAGGAGGCCCGGGAGGCGAATGTACGAGCGAGGAGGTCAAGTCGCCGTACTCGCCCGCTGCGAGCAGTTGGAGCGGGTGAATTTGACGCGGTGCGCGAGCGAGCGTGTTTGGCCCCGGAGCAAGGGAGAGGCGATCGCGGTGCGAGCGCGCGAGAGCTGCGCGAGGCGGCCCCCTCGTTCTAGCAGCTCGTCCTCGTTCTCCTCCTCCCCGACTCGCTTGCCCCCGTGCAGCGTATCAGAGAGTGCCCGCCTCGCTCTCCTCGGGATCCAGAGCACGCACACCAGCGTCCGCTCGCCCCGTCTCGACCCCTCGCCACCGCCCGGCCGCCGCAGCTCGACCCCCCCTGCGCGACCTCGTCTGCCCACCCTCTCCTCCCCTCCTCCCTCGTCCCACCGCCGGTCGCTCGCCCGCCCACCAGCGCGTCAGCCCCTCCAGGCGTCCTTCCACCAGCCAGGCGTCCCGCGTCCAGCTTAACCGCGCCACAAGCGCCTCGACCTCGCCCTCGACTAGCCCGCTAGCCGGTGAGCCCACTCTCCTCTCTCTCGCCTCCCAGCGTGGGCGGTTGGACAGGCCGATTGGGTGCCTGCGTGAGCCTTGCGTCGGTGGGTGGGTCCGGTGAGCGCTCTCGTCGTCGCGGCGAGCGAGGGACGCGACCCAAGCGTGGTCGTGCGAGACGCGGGGAGGAGGGGGGGTTTGGTTCGTCACAGTCGCGTCCCTACGCCACTCTCGAGGGCGATCAGAGTGCAGGACTCGAGTCCCAGTGACTCTTGCGAGCCCCTGGCACCACCAGCACCCGAGCGCGAGGGCTGTCTCGTCGTCGAGCATCGCGCGCTGACCTCGTTCCCCCTCGTTCCGCCTCCGCCTTCTCGGCGTCCTCCCGCTTGGCCCTCCTCCTCCACTCGTCCCCTCTCTCGCCCCTCGCCCACTCGACCTCGCCTTCGTCCCTACTCGTGCGCACCAGACATCGACTCGAGCCCGCTCGTCGCCCGATCGACCTCGCCCCGCTCGCGACCATGTACTCGTCGCAGCAAAACCCCGACTTTGGCGGCCACTCCGCCCAGGCCAACTACTCGCGCCCGGGCGCCTACTCGGGCAACCCGTCGCCCTCGGGCTCGAACGACGACCTCGAGCCGTCCGCCGCCGACCCGCTCCACGGCCGCGAGTCCTACATGGACTCGGACCTCGAGATGCGCAAGTACCAGGGCCTGTCGGCCTCGGGCGTCGCGGGCTACAGCGCCGTCGGCGACGCGTCCGAGCCGGGCAGCCCGATCCAGGAGGGCTCGTACGAGCGCAGCCACGAGAGCGGCAGCTCGGGCACCAAGGTCGACGGCGCGTCCAACTCGCGCCTCGCCCGCCCCGAGACGATGAGCAGCGAGGGCAGCTTCGACGCCCGCAACCTCCAGACTGTGCGTCCCTCTCTCTCTTCATCGGCGTGCGGCGGCGTCGGCTCGACCAGAACCTGACCCTCGTCCTGCACCGCCTCCCTTGTCGCAGTCCGAGTCGAGCCACTCGCACGGCGGCCAGTACGGCGGCAACTACGCCGGCTACCAGGACCAGAGCGGCGGCCTGTACCACCCCGGCGGCTCGCCCGGGTCCGGCTTCGGCCGCTACCGCGAGGGCTCGTTCGGCCAGCACTCGGGCCTCGAGTCGGGTCGCGCGTCGACGATCGGCACCGACCACATGCCGGCCAACAACATGCCGCAGAACTCGTCCCGTGTCGCCCTCAACTCGGACTGGCGCAACTCGTACGACCAGGGCAGCGACATGAGCCGCAACATGACGATCGCCGAGATCGCCCCGGGCAAGGAGGGCTACGGCCGCGCCGACTCGAGCTACGGCGACGAGAAGAAGGACCCGGCGCTCGGCGGCAACGGCCACTCGTCGTACGCGCCCATCCAGCCGGGCTCGCCCGCCGTCGGCGCCCCGAAGCCTCGCGAGGCGCCCGCCGTCGTCATCTCGCGCACGAACCGCCTCGAGTGGATCGACGGCGTGCGCGGTCTCGCGTCCATCATCATCTTCACGCACCACTTTGCCGACCTGACGTGGTCCCAGACGCACCCGAACACGCTCGCCGAGGGCTCGCTCCCGGGCTTCCTCCGCAACGGCCAGCTCGCGATCGGCATCTACTTCATCCTCGGCGGCCGCGTCCTCGCCGCGTCGTTCCTCAAGTCGGCGTTCACGGTCCCCAAGGCGCCCGTCGTCCACGGCGACGACGAGCCCGAGAAGCCCGTCGTCGTGCGCAAGCCGCCCGGCCCGCGTTGGCTCACCCTGTCGTCGTCCCTGTTCCGCCGGTCGATCCGCCTCGCGTTCCCGGCCATCATCGTCGGCTTCATCCAGTGGCGCGTGTGCCGCGACGGCCTCATGACCAAGGCGATGCAGGCCGAGGAGGAGTTCCTGTCGCCGTCGGCCCTGTGGGAGCCGACCTGGTGCGCCATCGGCGGCAACTTTGCCGACTTCCTCCAGTTCTGCCTCGACCTGTTCACCAACCCGAACCGCCAGTACATGCTCACGGTCGGCTCGGCCCTGTGGTCGACCTACGACCAGTTCTGGGGCTCGGTCCTCGTCTACATCCTCGCCGGCACCCTCACGCCGTTGCCGTTCCGCGGTCGCTACACCATGTACCTCCTCATCTCGGTCGCCCTGTGGTGGATCAACTCGTCCAACATGCTGTGCGTCCCTCTCCCTCTCTCTCTCTCTGCCCCCTCGTCGTCCCCCTCGTCGTGCGCCGACTGACCCTCTCTCTCTCTCCCACCTGCAGCTACGTCATCGGCCTGTGGATCGCCGACTTTTACGCGTCGGGCTTCGTGCGCAAGATCCAGGACCACTGGAAGCTCAATGTCGCCATCGAGTTCGCGGCCGGCGCCCTCGCGCTCGCCATGATTGCCGGCGGCGAGAAGGTCGCGACGCCCGCCAACCGCGCCGTGGGCTCCATCTCGGTGTACAACGGCAAGTACTCGTACAACCCGTCGTACGTGTGGCCCCAGTACATGCTCATGAGCAACTGGTGCGTCCTCGTCTCTCCCTCCCTCTCTCTCTCCCTCTCTCTCGGCGCACAGTCCCCTGACTCTCGCTCCTCCCCGTCGCCATGCAGGATCCCGCCCGTCACCATCCTCATCTGGATCGAGGTGTCGCACGCCATGCAGTGGTTCATGAGCTGGGGCATCTTCACCTGGGTCGGCAAAGTCTCGTACGGCTTCTACCTCATGCAGTTCCTCACCCTGTACGGCCTCATGCCCCACCTCATCCTCCACTTTGCGGCGCAAGAGACGTCGTACTGGAACATCGTCACGCCGACCTACATCATCTGCCTCATGTTCAACATCTTCGTCGCCTGGTGCGTCCTCCCCTCTCTCTTTCTCCCCTCCCTCTCTCGAGCGGTCGGTCTGACGACGTCGACGTCGCAGGGTCTCGTACCACCTCCTCGACCGCGTCGGCCTCAAGCTCGGCAAGTGGATCTGGGACGGCCTGTTCGTCAGCAAGCCCAACACGGCCGGCTCGCTCCCCATCAAGATGGCTCGTCACGCCGCGTGGTGCGTCACCAAGGGCCCGGTCCACGTCGCGCGCGGGTTCGCCAAGAAGTCGTCGACCAAGGCGAAGGCGTTCAAGAGCGGCCTGCACACGGTCATGAACTGGCGCACGCCGACGACCCGCCCCTCGGTGCCCGACCCGACCGACCCCGAGGTCCTCGCGCAGCTCCACTCGACGCGCTGGACGTCGGACCTGAGCGGCGACGGCGAGGCGATGCGCACGCGCCGCCTCCTCCGGTTCCAGTCGTTCATGTGGATCCCGCACCTGTTCCTCATCCCGGGCATGACGGCGCTCTGGGTCATCTTCCACCCGATGGGCAGCTGGACGTACGACGCCCTCACGTTCTCGTCCCTGTGGCGGTTCATCTGGGTCCTGTCGCTCCCCAACTGTTTCTTCGCCTGGCTCGGCTTCATCACGCCCGACATCACGCCGCCGCAAGGGTCGCAGGAGAACAAGCCGGTCCACCGCGAGTACATCCGCAACTTCTTCATCGTCCTCGTCACCAAGGGCTCGAACGAGGCGGCCGTCCGCCGCGGGTACAACAAGCTCATCCGCCTCGAGAAGTACCACCCGGCCGTCAAGGTCGTCGTCCTCACCGACGAGCCGTACGTGTACCCGGACCTCCAGAACATCGTCTGCCCCAAGTCGTACAAGTCGCCGCTCGGCAAGGCCAAGTACAAGGCGCGCGCCCTCGACTACTTCCGGTACCACGTCTCGCTCGGTGTCTACGACTGGATTCTGCACATGTGCGTCCCTGCCTCTCTCTCTCTCCCTAGAGACTCGTACTGACGTCGTCGTCGCACACAGGGACGAGGAGTCGGTCACCGACGCCGAGTCGCTCCGCAACTGCATCGAGTTCATCCGCTACACGCCGCACCACTTCGGCCAGGGCATCATCCTGTACAACGGCACGGGCTACTGGGACAACTGGTACTTCACGGTCGCCGACGGCATCCGTGTCGGCGACGACCTCGCGCGGTTCCACCTCCAGAACACGATCATCAACCGCCCCGTCTTTGGCGTTCACGGCTCGTTCCTCATGACCAACGGCGAGATGGAGAACGAGTGCACGTGGGACTTTGGGTCGCTCGCCGAGGACTTCGAGTTCTCGCAGGACGCCTGGCGCCGCGGCTTTACGTGCGGCCGCATCCACGGCATCGTCCGCGAGCAGTCGCCGACGACGCTTCGCGACTTCCTCAAGCAGCGTCGTCGCTGGTTCATGGTGCGTCCTCTCTCTCTCTCTCTCGCTCTCCAATCTCGGTCGGTCCTGAGGTCATCGCTCATTCGCCGTCGTCGTCTCCTCGCAGGGCATCCGCGACATCAAGGGTCTCTACGGCCTCCCTCACCTCGCCATCAACCTCTGGATCGTCGGCGTCTTCACCCTCGGCGCCACCGTCATCAACTTGCCGCTCGGCTTCATCGAGCACTCGCTCACGCCGCTGTGGATCGCCGTCTGCGCCAACTTCTGCTTCATCACCTTCTTCGTGCGTCCTCTCTCTTCCTGTGCGACTCGAGCGTGTCCCTGACTCTGTACGCCTTCCCGCAGACCCTCTACCTGTGGGGAATCTTCTTCCAGGAGCTCGACTTTGGCCAGACGTGGTGGAAGATCCCGATCCACCTCCTCTGCGGCATCATCATTCAGCCGTTCGCCTCTCTCGCCGAGGGCCTGTCGGCCATCTGGGCCATGGCGTCCGAGGACTTTGGTGCGTCCCCTCTCTCTCGCGCCCTGTCGTCGTCGTCGTCGTCGTCGACCCGGTCACTGACCCTCTCTCGCCTGCACCCGCTCCCCCCTCTCCTCGCTCGCCTCTTCTCTTTCTCATTTTTTTTTAAACAGGCAAGTTCGAAGTCATCGTAAAGAAGTAGATCCAGGCGTGCGCGCAATCGTCATCGTCGTCGTCGCCCTTTCTCCTTCCCTTCCCTTCTCTCCCTCTCTCCCCTCTCTCTTTCCCTCCCTCGCCGACGCCCTCCCTCCTCATACCCACGCTCTCATGGACAATCTGCACACGAACCCTTCCCCCTACCTTGCTCTTACGCTCTCTCTCCCTCGTCCTCGCCTCCTCTCCCTCCCGTGGACTTTTGCCTCGCCTCGTCGCCCTCGGCGCCCTATCGTAGAACGACCCTCCTTTCTTCCCCTTTCTCCTGTGCACGCTTTCATTTCCCCATCACTTCACGTCCGCTTCTCTCTTTGCAAGTCGCCTTCGCATCCAGCGCAGCCGTTTCGAGAGCGAGAGAGACGTGAGTAAAGGTCGATGAGGCGAGCGGTGCCTCTAGTCTCGCTCGTGGCCTCGTAAACCTCGATGGCACGCAGACACGCAGCGCTTGTCGACACGCGGAGCGAGAGCCAAAGTCGAGGGAGAGGCGCGTTTCGAGTCGCGCCCTCCCTCGCCCCCGTCATCGCTTCCCTCGCGAGCTAGGGCGCACGCACGGCGTTGTCGGCACGCCTGTGCCTCTCATGCGCCCTCGCGAGCTGTATACACGGCCTCGCTCGCGCTCGCCGACCGCGCACAGCGACTCGCGCCTTCATCAGCGCCAGCGACGACCAACCTCTTCTCGAACACGGCAACGGCTCGTGGACTGGTGGACGCGCTCGTCGAGGGCCAGATGAGGTGCAAGGAGCAACTGGGGCAGGGCGGAAGGGCTCTGCGGGCGTGGGGCAGCAGGTGCGTCCTCGCCTCCCCGCCTCTCTTTGTTTGGCGGCCCTCTCCCTCGTCTCTCGCCCTCGCCGCCGCCTCGCGACACACCCAGGGCAGGTCCTGAAGCTGACCTGGTCTCTCTACAGGCCGAGCGGCTGCGCAGGGTGGGCGGTCGGAGGTTCTCGCGGCGGGCGACTCGCTCTCGACCTAACGCCGGTTCATCTAGATCCTTGTACGTCCCTCTCGCTCTCGTTCTTGCCCCCAAGGCCTACAACCGAGTCTACAGGCCGCTCTGAGCCGTGCATTCACCCTCTCGATCATGCGCCGCAGTTTTGTCGAGCCCTTGATGGCATCCCCTCCTTCTCGTCCCCGAAAGCTCCCCCTCGTACTCTTCCTGTGCCCCTCGATGGCTCCTGTCGACGCCAAGACGCCCTCTGTAGGATATGGGCGGGCCCCGGAGGACCAAGCTGCCCGCCCCGTGAAAGTTACTCGTCCCGGCGGCCGACCAAGCCGAGCCGTCGTGGACGGGTCTGACGAGGCCGCGCCCGCCCTCTTTGCCCTCGATGGGCAGCGGGCGCACCCCGGTGAGCCGTTGCGCACGGCAGCGCCCCTCGGGGCCAGCCCGTGCGCCCGGCCACCTACAAAAAACAGGGGGACCCTGCGCACCCTCGCTCAAACGCTATCTCTTGATCTAGCAGGGTTGGGGCCTTCTGCTTGCGCCAGGTCGAACGAGGAGGTGTCTGCGGTGCAATCGAGCGCGTTTCCCGAGCAACTTTGTCGTGTAGAGCGCGAGCTGGCCTCGTCGGCTGGGTCTTCGAGTCGGTCGAGGTCCGGGCCGAGCACGTTCTTCCTGTCGGTCTGCCGGTCGGCGAGTCCACTCTGTACAGCACTGAGAGCACTCTCGAAGCAGGAGATAGCGCGGCGACTGCTGTGGACAGCGCAGGATTGAGTTTAAGGTCTGCTCGGCACTGGCCTCCCTCCTTCCTCTCCCACCTCTCGGCCCTCACGACTGGGCTCGCTCAGACTGGCTCGAGTCGGTACCTGCACATCTTGGCATCATTCTTCCGCTTCATGCGCACCACTGCGAGCGCTCGCCGTCGGCGCAGGGCGCGTCGTATCTTCATCAGTAACTCGCGTTGTCCGACCTCTCTCGACTGGTGGCAACGGTTCATGGGCCTGTGGGTATCGTCGTCGAGGTCTATCGCAGCATCAAGGAGACTACTGGGCCAGGCGACCGCGCTGTGCGGGCTGTGGGCGACTGGTGCGTCCCCCTCCTCCCCGCCTCCCCGTGTTTGGCACCCCTCTCCCTCTCCCCCTGCCCCCTCTGCCACCTCGCGACGCGGCGCAGGGGTCTCGATGGACTGACTCGGTCACCTTACAGGCGGAACGGCTGCGCCCGGCGAGCAGGGCGGTCTTCTGGGCGGCGCGAGGCTGGCTCTCGACCTCGAGGCGGCTCGTCTTGTCCTTTGTACGTCCTGCGCGCACTCTCTCTTCCTTGCAGGACCTTCATGTGGGTCTATGCTCCTCGCCGACCCGCGTACTGACCCTCTCGACCTCGCGCCGCAGGTTAGTCGCGCCCTCGATGGCACCTCCCCCTTCTCGGCCTCGAAAGCTTCCCCTCGCGCCCTTCCTGGGCCGCGCGACGGCGCTCTTCCCTGTCCGAACGCTCTCCTCATCCTCGCAAGCGTTCCCGGACCGTTGAGAGTTCTCGTTCGTCGTCGCACTCGTCCCGGCGGCTCAGCGAGTCGAGCCGTCGCGGACGGGTCTTTACGAGGCTGCGCCCGCCCTCACGTGCCCCTGAGGGCAGCGGGCGCACTGTGGTGAGCCGCTCGCACGGTGCGCACCCCTGCGGAGCGCCCGTACGCCCGGCCACCTGCTAAAAACAGGGGGATCCTGCGCACCCTCGCTCAAAGGCTATCTCTTGATCTAGCAGGGTTGGGGCCTTCTGCTTGCGCCAGATCGAACGAGGACATGTCTGCGGTGCGACCGAGCGCGTTTCCTGACCTGCTTCCTCGTGTAGAGCGCGAGTTGGTCTCCCTCCCTCCCCTTTCGAGTCCGAGGCTCGCGAGGCGAGAGACGCTCTCCTTGTGGGCCCTTCCTCTCTCGTGCTCTCTTTTACCCTCGCTAGAGTCTGTCTTGAGCGAGAGAAGGCGCGCCGACCCTTGTGGGCCGCTCAGTCCTCGTCCTCCTCGACTCGCTCCTCGAGCTGGTTCTCACGGCTTCCGCCTCGGTCGCGCGCTTCCTGTCATCTCGTCTCGTCCTGATGAGTCTCTCTGAGTGTATCCGAGTACTTTGCGAGCGCGAGAGAGTACCGTCGACGCCGGATGACACGGCAAATCCTCGTCCTCGTCGTCCTCGACTTGCTCCTTCGACTTGCTCGCGCTTCCTTGCGCACAGACCTCTCCCTTTCTCGGTTTCGCACCTTTCGGTCGGCGTGTCGAGACACATGCTCGACTATGGTGTCGCTGGGGAGAACGTTCCGCAACAGCGCCCGCACGACTTGGCGCTGAGGAGGAGGTCGAGGAGGAGGTGGCGCACGAGCCGCTTGGCCCGAGAGCAGTTCTTCCTACCGGCCCGTTCTCTCACAACGTTCTCTCTGAGTGCTCTCGAGTGCATCCTGAGCGCGAGAAAGCGACCCGACGCCTGTGCGCAGCGCTACGCTCGTTCTCCTCGACTTGCTTCAAGCTAGACTCGCGCTTTGCCCGTACGAATCTCGGGCGCATGGCCGTGGAAAGCCTCGAGGGCGACCTCGAAGCGCCCAGCCTGAGCTCGGAGAGACTACGCCAACGCCTCACCAAGCTGCAGACCCGGTAGCGGCGGTCGAGCGGTTTGGAATCTCGCTCTCCAGGCAAGCCAGGTCGCTGCTCGCCTCGCTTCCTACCTCGAGTCTCTTCCGCTTCGGTGATGTCGATGACCTGTGGATCGACAGAGCACCTGCCCAGGCAGCTGCGCCCGCGAGCAGGTGCGGCTCACTCGGCGAGCCGTTTGAGAAGGTCGACCTGGTTGTGTGCGCACGGCCCGCTTCTCGCTCGCTCGCCGACGCACTCTCTCGCCGAGGGCCTGTCGGCCATCTGGGCGATGGCGTCCGAGGACTCTGGTGCGTCCCCTCTCTCTCGCGCCCTGTCGTCGTCGTCGTCGTCGTGGACCCGGTCACTGACCCTCTCTCGCCTGCACCCGCTCCCCCCTCTCCTCGCTCGCTTCTTCTCTTTTTTTCGTTCCTCTCGACAGGCAAGTTCGAAGTCATCGTCAAAAAATGAACGCCGGCATGCGCGCAATCGTCGTCGTCGTCGCCGCCCTTCCTCCTTCCGCCTCTCCTTCTCTCCCCTCTCTCTTTCCCTCCCTCCTCATACCCACGCTCTCATGGACAATCTGCACACGAACCCTTCCCCCTACCTTGCTCTTACGCTCCATCTCCCTCGCCCTCGCCCTCGCCGAATCTGTCGGCGAGCGGTCGCCTCCCGTGGACTTTTGCCTCGCCTCGTCGCCCTCGATGCCGCTCAAAGATAGGGCGGGCCTAACCGCCTCTCCTCCCTCCTTTTGACAGCGTCTCGCTCGTCCGCCGCAACGTGAGAGAAGAGCACGCGAAAGCAGAGCAGGCGCGCACCGTCCGCCTTCTCGAGTGCACCGCGCTCAGGCCGCCAGATGCTTCTCTCGCCTTTCTCTCGACCGGCCGAGCGCAAATGGAATGAGATGCATTGATCACACGAGCGAGAGAGATAGAGTAGAGAGTCCTTGGTACTGCTTGGCGGCCTCCCTTCCCCGTCCCCCTCCTCCTCGCCCCGCACCGAGACGCGTCCTCCTGACCGACCCGACGCTACTTGAACAGGAGCGAGATCGACTCGCCGTTGTGTGTCTGCGAGAGCGTCGACGTCAATGAGTGTCCGCCCATGAGGAGGAACAACGAGAGAGAGAGCGAGAGAGGGACGCACCCGGCGAATCGACTCGGCGAGGACCGGGCTGATGTCCATGATCTCGAGCTTGCCCTGCGCCTGCTTCAGGTGCTCGGCCTGGTTGATCGTGTTCGAGACCTGCCAAGGAGGACAGACACGTGAGTACGAAGGAGTGGGAAGAAAGGAGAGCGCGAAAGGAGAGGTGGACGTACGACGACCTTGACGATGGGCATCTTTGCGAGCTCCTGCATGCTCTCGCCCGACAGCAGACCTGTTGCGCGACGCAGAAAGTGAGTCGGTTGGTTCTGCAGGAAGACGGACAGAAAAGAGAGAGAGCGAGAGGACGGACCGTGCGACACGAGGGCGTAGACCTCCTTGACGCCCTTCTCGACGAGCGTCTGGGTCGCGAGCTTGATCGTGCCGCCCGTGTCGGCCATGTCATCGATGAGGATGGCCACCTTGTCCTTGACGTCGCCGACGAGGAGCTCCATCTTGCCCTCGGCGTCGGGCCCGTCGCCCTTGGACCGGTTGCGGTTGATGAGGGCAAAGTCGCAGTCGAGGCGGTCGGCGAGCGTCGTGGCGCTGCGAGCGACGGGAAGCCGAGTCAGTGACGGCTCTCTTCGCCGTAGAGAGGAAGAGAGGGACGCACCGCTTGGCGCCGCCGGCATCGGGCGAGACGATGATGGCGTCGCTCCAGTCGGCAATGTTGTCCTTGACCCACCTGCACGCAAGTCGACGGTCAGTGCGCCGTCCTCGAGGACTCGAGGAGAAGAAGAAAGGGCGAGGACGCACCTGACCATGCTCGGCTCGGTCCACAAGTTGTCGACAGGGACCTCGAAGAAGCCCTGGATCTGGCTCGCGTGCAGGTCCATCGTGATGACGTGGTCGCACCCGGCAATCTCGAGCATGTTGGCGATGAGCTTGGCCGTAATGGGCGAGCGCGACTTGTCTTTCCGGTCCTGCGGGGCGGGGCGGGCGAGGGACGAGTCAGGATCGGCCCGAACGAGGAGGGAGTGGGAGAGAGGGGGCGCACCATGCGAGCATAAGGGAAACAGGGGATGACGGCCGTGATGCGCTTGGCGCTCGCCGTCTTGCACGCCGAGATGAGGATGAGGAGCTCCATGAGGAGGTCGTTCGGGTCGTTGAACGGTGCCGGGGTCGGCTTGGACGGGCTCGTCGGGCGCGAGTTGAGGTCGGTCGCGCGGGCGAGCGGCGGCAGAGGGGTGCCCGGACGCGACTCCTCCGGGTTGCCGTCGTGGCCGTAGTGGCGCGCCTTGGCGTTGAACGGGTGCGGCGAAGGGTTGAAGCCCGTCTGGATGATGAAGACGTCCTCCTCCCTGACCGAGGCGCCGATCTGGACCGACGTCTCGTTGTCCGAAAACTTCTTGACCGTACACGGCGTCAAGGGGATGCCGAGCCTGCAAGGGGGAGAGGCGGCGCGGCCAGGGTCAGCCCCTCGTTGTCGAGGCGGGCTCGGGAGGTGCTGCGACCGAGGAAGAGCCGTCTCGGGTCCGCGCAACGAGCGGCTCCGCTTCTCCAGCCAGCGCAAGGACCTGCCATGGCGGCGGGACCTCGCAGGCGCGCTGACAGGGCCGAGTCGTCGCGCACGAGCATCTTGGCCGAGGCCGCGGGAGGGAGGTGAGGGGGGCTCACCTCTCGGCCACCATGGCGGCGAGCTCCGGGTGCGAGTTGCCTGTTGCAGTGCGGCGACAGGGATGGCAGGGCGGGCAGACGTGGGCAGGGAGGAGGGGACGGCCGAGGTCAGCTTCATCGGTTCCCTTTTCTCGCCGGCGACGAGGCTCGACGTGGGCGCGAGGACGGGTCTGAGGGGGATGGGAGGGACGCACCGGTGAGGAGCTTGATGCTCGTGCCGTTGTGCATCATCTTGAGCCGAGTTGGCGGGGCTGAGGGCGGGTCGACGACGAAGTGAAGCGGAGAAGGCCGGGTGGAGAGGTGCGACGACGGCTGGCTCTGGGCGAGGTGGTCGAGGGGCGGGCTCGGGAGGTGCAGCCAAGGTGCAGCGGTGCACTGGAGACTCGTAGTATGCGGGCGAGGCGACGAGGAGGGAGGAGCGAGCCGCTCGTCGCTCGTGCTGCCAAGTCGACGGGCTCCGAGCGGCTCACTCGGCTGGGCCGCGTTCGCTATCCGCCCTCGTCCCTGCACCTCTCTCGCATCCACAGGGACCCATGTAGTACAACGCAGAACAACGAGACATTGCACAACCCCGAGAGTAGCACTGCCCTCGAACCCTCGCTCGCTCACAACTCGTTCCGCGCCGCCTCGATCGCCTTGGCCGTCGCCGACTGACTCGCCCGGGCCATGGCCTCCTTCTGCGACAGCTCGTCGTGCTCGTCAGTCTCGAGAAGGGCAGATGGAGAGAGGAGAGAGAGCGGGACGCACGCCGTAAGCCGCACCCTGGCGCAGGTAGAACCACCACACGCCGCCGCCCGTCACCGTCAGGACGAGTGCCGCGATGCCGAGCATGCCGCCAATGACCATGGCGAGGAAGATGAACTGTCGGCGGGGCGAGGAGACGCGAGTCAGTACGGGCTCGAGAACTCCTCGGCGGCAGCTCCTCCTCGCCGCACACGACCCCGGCACATCGACGTCGCCTCGTGGACGTCGAGAGAGAGAGGAGAGGAGGTGCCCGACTCACGTCCTCCTTGCCCAAGCTCTTGCCCTCCTGCCGCTTGATCCTCTCGGCGCGCGCCCTCTTCTCGAGCACCTCTGCGCTCGGGCCGGGCAGCTGCCGGATGCGCGCATCGAGGCCCGGTGCCCACTCGTCCGACGAGGTCGGGACCGGCTGGCCAATCTGGATGAAGGACGGGTACCGCGTCTCGGTCCATTGCTCGATCTGTTGCGGCGCGAGTGAGGGGTCAGGGGCGGGCTCGGCGAGGAAGGGGGAACGAGGGAGGGACAGCAGGACGCACCCGACCGGCAAGGACGGCGAGCTTGATAAAGCTCGGGTCGTTCGGGCGCGCCTTGGCGTGGATCTTGCGCGCATAGTCGCGGAACGTGTAGGCGACGTCGCGAGGGTTGGTCGCGCCGATGATGAGCTGTCGGACGACGAGAGGGTCAGAGGGTCTTGTAAGGCAGGGAAGAAAAGGAGAGAGGGAGGGAGGGGAAGGAGGACGCACACCGACCGCCTCGCCTTTGCGGATCTTGACGTTGCGGTGCATGACGGCCGGGTTCATGAAGCACGCCTCGAGCGTCGCCATGGCCATGACTTGCGGGATGGCGCAAAAGTTGAACACGCTCTGGTTGCCGAGGAGGGTGAGGTAGTCGAGGGCGTCGGTCGCGTGCGTGAGGGCGTCGACGGCCATCTCGCTCAGGGCCCACATGGCCTTGTCCTCGTTGCCGGCCTGGTGCAGCTGCTCCGGGCTCGTGACGTACTTGGACCAGATCTCGGCCGGCCAGAAGACGCGGCCCTCGTCGACGTCCTCGCGAAAGTCGCGCAGGATGTTGGTCTTCTGGAGCAAGAGGCCCATCGAGTTGCTCAGGGTGAGCTGCTCGCCGAGGTGCGGCGACTCCTTGCCCGACGCCGAGAACAGGCGCGACAGGCCCTCGCCGACGAGGCCGGCGACGTAGTGGCAGTACAGGTCGAACGACGGGAGCGTGTCGACCGAGAACTTGCCGCCGCTCGCGGCGTGCATCTTGGCGTACCGCGACATGCCCGCGCCCATCTTCTTGGTGATGTCCGAGATCGCGGTCCGGTAGCTGCGACGAGGGGCGGGAAAGGTGAGCGCGCGTTCGAGGGGAGGGGGCGGGAAGCGAGGCTCGAGAGGACGCACCCCTGGTCGAGGCGCTTGAACTCGGTGACGACGACCTCGAACTCCTGCAGCAGTGCCCGGTCCTTCTCATTGGGTCCCGCTGCGAGAGGGCGGACGTCGAGAGTCAGTAGGGAGAACAGGTCGGGGTCGACGAGGAGGAGAGAAAGGGCGGGACGCACACTCCTGGAAGTTCCAGCCGTCCTCCTCGAGGTGCTTGTAGAACTCTTCGAGCAAGGGCGCCTTCTTGTCGATCGGGATCGTCATGTCGTCCTCGATCGTGTCGAGCCCGCGCAGGATGAGGTAGAAGAGGGCGACCTGCGGACGCGCGGACGAGCTCGTCAGTTCTGGCTCTCTCGAGG